GTTGGTTGTCTTCTTCTATTTTATCCTTAACATTCACCGGTGATGAGTATGAGGTGTCCGCTGCACGACAGTATAATTTTTTGTCATCAATGGTAAGGATTCACTTTATTCCATCTGATGTCAGGCAAAGTCAAACTTTAAGCACCACTGACTACCAGTGGAGTGCGAGGGCACCAATGACCTTGAAACACTCACTGAGCGAGTCAGTGAAAACTAGCAAATAATGCTGTCATCATCACTAAAATATGCTCATCGAAGCCAAGGACAAGTTAGGGCTAAGTTAACCTAATAAAGGCTGAGTTAGGGTTAGGTTGAGTTAGATTACAGTTAGTTTAGGGACATTTTCACGTTACGGATAGGTTTAGGGAAGATTAGGGTTATTGTCAGGTTTGGAAGACCTAATTAATTACATGCATAAGATGCGGTTAAATTACTCTGTTGATTCAAGAATAGAAATTGTGCACTGTGACAGTATAATTCCATTGTAGGTAACATTTATTTTGATAAAGCCTCACAGTGTTATGCAGTAATATTTACTGATGACCACGTTTCGAGCACAATTTATTACTCAGGAAATATTACTGTATTACACTATGAGACTTTATCAAAATAAATTTTACCCACAATGGAATTATACTCTGCTGATACTCTGAAACTGAGAGCCAACGATTAGCACGCGTTCAGGGTCATTGCAGCGTTAGCACTTCTGGGACGCTGTTGCTGGACTTCGCCCTATTTTTATCACATGTGAGAGCAACGTACCCTCCGTAACACTTTTCCACAGTTTTTATGCATGATTTCATAAATGTATAAGTATTCCATACACGAAAATACCCCCTTCACAACACTGGTGTGTTCGAGGTCATTCGCTGATTGGTCGTTAAAAGGGGTTGCTTAAAGTTTAACTTTACCTGATGTTGGTTTGCGGTAAGGAATCACCACTGTACTAACCCATTTCTTAGCAACAGATTTCTATTCATGCTTATTTTCACATTTTGATGACAATTATCTCACAAGAATAGAATAGAGAAACGTTACAAAATAGACGTGACTTGTTTTGAGGCACAAAAGATACAAAAAACAAAATCGACATGCTTAGAAATGAATATTCACGTTCTCAGAAGAATGGATACTGAACAAAGAGTACTCTTTTCGATAACTTCATCATCAGGCTCTACAGTTATAAACACATTATAGTGAATGAGTGAATTAGTCTTATGAACAACATTATTGTTGTTTAAATAACATCGAATCAATAATATCAATGGATTACAGTTCAATAGCATCAACATAAAATAAGCTGAATGTCAGAAAAATTAGGAAAGATAATATTACAAATTCATGAATTTATAGTTTCTACTGAAGGCCAGCCAGGGCAGTAGTAGGGGCTGGACTTGCTTCTTCTGAACACAGAGCACTGGTTGTTTGAGGCGAATTGCAATAGCCTCTGCTGTTTGAAGCATGCAGTGCTTCGATGATTTTGGCAATTTATTAGGCACCCGGTAGATGATAGAGAAGGATTCTTCGACGCTGGCTTTGTGGCCGGTTTGCACCAGAGCGTCCAATATCGAACTGTTAATGGTTTTAACTACACCTTTACTTAGCCATAGTGTGAGATGTTCCCGAGCGAGCACGAAAAATCAAGTTCCTAGAGCAACGGCCGATATAACTCGCTCCACCACAAGCGCAGTTGAATTGGTAGATACAATTTGAAGTGGCTAGCTAGTCTAGGTACTTCATCTTTCAGTCGAGGTAGCATTATCGGTCATGTAGAGAATAATACGTGTAGTTCGCCAGCATTAAAAGCTCTTTGAACTGACTTTCTTAATTTCTTCGTAATTATCTCGCTTGGTATATCGCCCATGAATTGCAGTTGAATATATAAAGGCTTCTTGTTTAAAGATAGTGAGTAGTCCTTTTCCGCTTTTTTTGTCATGTGTTTCTTGATAAATTTTTCGAGATAGCTATTTTCGATCAAAGTATCATATACCATGCTTCAATTACTTCTTCCGAGCATATAGCTCTAGGTCTATGGTTGAGTATCTTCCCTAAATTTCTTTCGTACTTCATAGGAACGAAGCTGTGAAAATGTGTGTTTATTGTCCTATCCAAGTGCTTTTTCTATGCAAATTTCTTTTTATGCTACCATCTGGTTTTCTTGTAAGTAGGACATCCAGGTAGGCAATTCTGTCTTGGGATTCCTCTTCTCATGTGAATTTCATAGCCAAATGCATTTCATTGAATTCAGTGATTATTGTACTCCTATCAGAACCATTATCACGAAGAATGAAGGACAGGACAAATTTGCATCCTTTTGGGGATATACCACATAAATATTCGAAAAAATTGTAAAAATGTAATTGTAGAAAAAGTAATTAGCCACAGACATTATTCATTGCCATGTATCTACGACCTTGTCAAAGACAGATATGGTTTTTCTGAGAATGAAATCACAAATTGCAAATCACCTTGGTAATATCTGTTGTGTCTTCACGCATTTTTTCGAATTGTTTTTTTCCTGTCTCCCTAAAAAAACATGATTTCGGAATAATTTACGAAATGACTTTTCCAGTTTTCATGAAGAACTAAATGGTGTAATTTTTTGTTTTTCCCTTGGGCTTCATTTTTTGAGTGGACAAACGTCCCCAGCTATTGTACACTGAAGTAGAGAACTAATTTGGCGATTATAGCACTTGTAAAACATGACAGGAATAATAAAAGTGTAGTCGGAATACGAATCTGAAGTCATTTGTCATATGGATGGATTCTGAAGTGAAAATATACAGCAGTTATAGTTCTTCCACGAGGCAATTAGTATCAAAATCTGCTTTTTCGTAATATCCCATTGGCATAACTAGACCGAATTGATAAGCTTGATTTGCCTCGATATTACCAGGATGAATGAGAAACCCCAAGCAATAATAAATAATTTCAAGTAATACTTGCTAAGTAAGACGTGGCTAACGTGTCTCATTGACCTAGATGATAACTGTTTGGTGTTTGCAGCGATTGACGATGGGTTCGACTGTCGATGGGAACATCATCACTCACTAGAGAGCAGATAAGTCCAGATGACAAGTCTCGAGTCTGATAAGACGCGCATTCACACGCTACTCACCGTATAACAAATGACTTCAGATTTATTCTATTTAAATAATTTGCTACTCAAGAGTGAGATCTACATGAAAACTGGCGGCACAGCGGTAGAATGCTCGCCAACCACGCCCTATTTAGTTCCGCAGTTCGATTCCCAGCCGACGCACTGCTTTAACTCGCTAAGCCAGTAATAAGACTGGTAAAGAGGGAAGGTTGCGATGGGCATGAGGCTAGCAACCCCATCCCGTAAAAATAAGCACCACTGCTATCGAAACTTCAAGGCTCTAGCCTGAATCCACATGTTCCACTGGGAACGAAAAGGAATAACAAACCGATTTGCTGAAGTGCTCATCCTTAATTCATCTACTTAAATGTAGCTATCTCTCCTGTATTCGAAACTAAGAGAAAAACGTCAGTTAGATCTCGGCCGTTGTTAGCCCCAACGAACAGAACATATCTATGACTCCTGAGGATCGTACTTCAAGATTTACTTTTGCATGAATTGAGTTTGATGAGTAGTTTCATTTCCTGAAGATTTTAGACACGTCATACCAATGAGCATTTATCCACAGAAGTTCATTTCAGCAAGAGCGTTGTCCTATGCTTAGAAGGCTAATTTCCCTAATATACAGCTCTCTTTTCGTAAATAAGACAAAATTATGGGGATTCTTAGCTCAGGTGGCTATTTACAATGTGGTACTTTTCTCTAAACTGGATAGTTTAACTATAGATGTTTCATTATCCTTCTAGACAATATGTTTAATGCTAATTTTAAGAGGGAATTATTTTTCTCAGTTATCAGTGTATAACTTAGCTATATATGTCCAAACCAAGTTCATTTTTAACAGTTTGAAAAAATTCGGGCAATGGGTATATGATATATTCATTATAATAAAGGCTTTCTTGTTTTTCCCAATAAATGAATGAAAAACAAAACGATATTGTTTTTGCTGACGTTCCGCTATTTAATGCTGCTGCTAATAGCTTTATCAAAGTGGTATTATTAAACCAGAATTTACAAAATCCACTCAGCTTATATATAACAACTTAATCATCGTTCCTCAGCATGGGATTATTTTTGCGTTGTCAAGTTGGCCATTTGGTAAGGGTAACAAAACCAGGTGTAGATTGTTGGATTTGATAAGTGTATAAAATTATAAAAGCAGGGTGTGTTTACATAAGGAAATTGCTTATTACATTCGTGTTGATTTTGTCATTTCATGGGCGAGGGGGATGTTGTAACCAGGTCAAATTCTGTTTTAGTCCATCATTCCTATTCAGGCAATTTGGATTCAACTTGATATGAAGTTCTTCTGATATTAGACTCTCTTTGAGATTACTGGAATTTTTCTTGATTATTTCAATATTGTCAGAATCGATTTTGTCACCGGCTTCTATAGCGTGAAGACCCACTACTGATGATTTTCCAAGTTTTGCTAGTTCAACTGGATTTTTCGGTGGTCCAACAGATGCTCTACGGTGTTCATTTCGTCTGATTTTGATTTTCTGAGATGTTTGTCTGATGTACATCACATCACATTCTAAGCATTCTATTTTATAGACACAATTAGATAGAGAATCTTTAGGGATTCGGTCTTTTATATGGACAAGGTTGTTTCGCAGTGTGCATGTCTGATGTTTTGAATAAAACTCTGATGCCGTGCTTATTGAGTGTTCTTCTGATATTGTCTGACATCTCCACTCTATATAGAATGACAACTATTGAGGTCCATGTTTTCGTAATACGTGTTTTCGACCATACTTAACGTCAATGTTCATTGAGAAATACAAGAAAACCTTTATTATAATGGATAATTTAGCTTTCTTTTATTTTTATATAATTTTACTGTCATTATGAATAACTATTTTAATTTTCTTTTTCTGAAATCTCTTCATTCATTTAGACGGGTTACTCAGGTGGAAAATGTGATGAATGCACAGAAGGTTATTTCAATCATGAAGGAAAATGTTTACAGTGTTATTGTTCTGGTAAAACATCATCTTGTCGTCTCTCCAATGAACACTACTTCTGGAATATTACACCGGTATGTTTATGAATAAATGTTTCCACATATTGTATTTATTATATTATTATTATTTCCTTTAATTCCTAGAGGAACATAGGGCTTCAGCCACACGTCTCCTTTGCGTTCGGTTCTCTGACAGAGTCTTCACCTGGCTCCAGGTCTGCCCACACGCCTTCATCTTCTCTTCACATGACCTCCTCCAAGTCACCCACCATCGCACTGACGACCAACTCGCCGCTTCCCTTTCGGGTTCCAATCTAGCGATGGCCTGTCTAGTGATGACACTTGATGGTTTCCTCAGAGTACGGCCAATCCACCTCCATTTCTTCCTGGATATTTGTTGCGAAATCGGTTCCTGGTTGGTTTGCTCCCACAGGTCCCTAATGCTGATTTTCTGGCCATCTGATCTTGAGTGGTATTGAGTGAAGACAACTGTTAATGAAGGTCTGTAGTTTGTTTGAGATGCTCTTTATGACTCACTGGCCAAGTCTCTGATCCGTATAGTAGCACTGACTTCACATTGGAGTTGAAAATCCGGATCCTATTTTTGATGGTGAGTGCTGTTGACCTCCACACAGACTTGAGAGTAGTGAAAACTTGTCTTGCTTTTCTAATTCTTGCTTTGATGTCCCCGTCAATTTCGCCTGTAGTTGAAACGATGCTTCTCAGGTCGGTTGGTGAAGGAGGTTGTTTCTTTCAGGTTCCTCCCGCTTATGCTGATTGTTGTCAGTTGTTGTTGCCGTTGGTGGTGTTGCCCAGGAATTTTCATCACCTCTGTTTTATCTATGTTCACCTGAAGGAAGTCCTATCTTTGATGCTTCTTCTGCCAACTTGTTGCTTTTCATTTGCATATCTTCCAGTTTTTGGGAAATCAGACATATATCATCGGCGAAGTCCAGATCCTCCAAGTTGGTTTTTTGTGTGAGTCCATTTTATGCCTGTTACCTCATTGCCCGCTGTCTGTCGGGAAGGAGGAGGAAGTCTTGTTAGACCATGATTTCTTGCTTATCGGTACTCTTCAGCAGAGCTTATGTCAAAAAACGAATGAACTGGTATCCCATGTGAACACACATCATCAACTTTTAGATTCACAGATGTGAATACTCTGTTATTTAGAATTATAAATGACCTTACTTAGGACTGCTGCATTGACTAATCATTTGTGAGGGGTACTCATTGTTGTTGTTGACCGAATGCTGTCAGGTCACTTTACCGTGTATTCATCAGTCTAGAGCACTCATCACCGTAAAGCAAAGCTTTTGAATTCATGCTGGATGATTGGCGATATTCGATAGGAAGTCTGGGGACTAGGTTATTCGCCCATTGGCTCACTCCAGGAATGCTTATCTGCAACTTATGGTGATAAATAGCTGCTAACAAGAAGCTTAAACCAACTGCCAAGAGGCGCATGAAGGGCATAAATGCTCAGGAAGCCCAGATGAGCCGGAAAGTATTTAAATTACGGTAGCTTCTGTCCATCGCAATGCAAAATAGGTATACAACGCATATTGATTGGGAAAGAAGTGTAAAATCTCACTAAAATATAAATGGACAACAATTATTTTCCGAAATAAATTAAGTAATCGGCTTTAATAGCACTCATCAACCTCAAAAAAGGATGTCTATATTTATTGATTTATTTATTGTGTATATTATTTTACAATTCAAGAGCGGTCACCAAAGTCTGTTCATTAAACACAGATTCAAAGAAGAACCAAATAAATCCTACAAATAATGTGAGCAGTCTCATATTTATGAAGAAAATGGAATTTATATTGTCCTGTAAACACTTATAGGATTTGAACGATAGTCTCATCTCCCAGTGGGTAAAATAGTATAAATAAATGTTTGGTCACATACATATACATTCTGAGAACACTTCAACCTCTGCAGATTTCCCACAGTATAGCGCATTTCGTAGGGTGGCTGATAGAGCAAACCAAATCACCTTAAGCAAGTAACCCTGTGTAGAGGTATTGAACAGAATCTATGACAAGGGTTGATTTTGATGCTTCTTCTGAATGAAAACAAACCATGTTCAGGCTCTTTTCGGCGGCGAATTCATCCTCCTCTTTAGCTGTACAATCGCATTTATATGCAACTTGTTTTTCATGAAAGGTAGTAACAAAAGTGAAGAGTTTTCACATTCATAGTTGTTAATAATAATCAGTGCATAAGAGACTCTGTATAAGTGCGTTGGAGTAACGCAAAAAGATGAATAATTTAATGAGTGATTTGTGATCAGAATGCACACAGAAACGAACGAAATTATGAAATTATGTAAGAGTTTTAATGAAACATCAGGGTTATAAGGAATTATTGATATAAGTATAAAACTTGGGCACTGTGGTAGAGAATAACTCCATTATATATAAGATTGTATTTTGATAAATCACACACACATCTCATCCGTTGTTTTTAAAGGCTAGCTTAGTTAAGTGTCTAAGAAACCGAGAATTAGCACTAAGTAGCACAAAAAAAACTTAAATGATGAAATGAAACAGATAGAAGAGGCGTTGGTGTTGAGCAACTGTCCTATAAAATTCATTAGGAATATCAGAAAACATCAAAAGCGAAATAAAAACAATGGTGAAACTTATAATGAAAACATAAATAAGAAAGAATATAAGGCATCTACAGTTCTGCCATATAAGGAGGGGACATCTGAGACCCTACGTAGGATTCTTAATAAAGCAGGAATTAGGGTGGCATTCAAGCCTACAAACTCACTCAGGTAGGACAAGCTCTGTAGGCTAAAGGACTGTGAGTGAGGTCAACTACATGGGTCAAACTATTAGGTCGGCGGTAGTCAGATTGTCGGAACATAAGAATTTAGCTCAGGTTGGAATGGTTGACCCCACGCAGATAAGTAATTTAGAAAAAATCTGTGATTGCACTGCATACATTAACTTACAACCACACATTAGGGTGGCGGGAGGGTTAAAATTCTTATGAGTAATATGGGTAGGTGGAGAGAGAAGTTGATTACTGAATTCTTGTTCATCGAGTCTACACCCAACACCTGCAGCAGAAATGACTCAACGCAAATACCAGAGGTATGGAAGATATTATTACCACCAGGCGGTCAAATCAGAGGATAATAAATAATGTTAAAATTCCATCTCAGTTCACGTGCGTCATAACATTTCAACAAGTTATTTATTTATTTTACTATAAACGCATCTTATTTCCCATCTTATCGTATTTGATTGATAACACTCATATCACTATTACTTCCGAATGTACATTATCCTATACTGATTTTTATTCAAATGTCTAATCATCAATATTTACTCATGTATATAAATGAAGGGAAAAAGTTGTGTGAGTGAGTGACTTGATATGATTACAAGCAGAAATAAATTGTGCTCGTGTGGTCATATCAGTTAATATTACTGTATAATACTGTGTGATTTATCAAAATAAAATCTTATCTATAATAGAGTTATAAGGAGTTAGAGAAACAAACAAACAAACAAAAATCAAGTCCGTAGAATTCAACATGTTTGTTACGATGATAGTGCAAGTCGCGGAGTAATTTTCTTTTGTATACATAGCTCCAGTTTTTCTATTTGAATGGCTAAAGCGTCAGCAATGCATAGACGAGAGGAAGGCGTATTATCTTTGACAGGTTGTTCTTCACTTTGTAGATTATTTTGATGTGCGAGGCTTTTGTTGAGATGGAATGCCCAGTGTTGACACGTTTGCATCGAATATCTAAGTCTGTTAAAGTCATATCCATAAAAAGGTTTAAATCTAATTTACAGGTTCATAAACTATTCGTTACTGCAGTGAATCTTCTGTATTAATCCGATTTAAAAACCAAGGGTTATTTACACAATTATTATTATTCCCTTGGGTTCCAAGTGGAACACAGGACTTCAGCAACACATCTTCACCCAGCTGTCCTCTTCATCTGGGCCCACGATTGCCCATAATGTATCATCTCCTCTAATTCGCTTGCTCCCTTGCATGTCACCCTCGCATTGACGACCCAGTTGTCGCTTCCCATTTTGATTTCACTCGAGTAATGGCCTGCATTGCGCGCAGTGTCATTCGACAGCCTCCACAACGTATGGCTGATCAAAATCCATCTTCCCTCACAAATATGCTGACCGATCGGCTCTTAGTTGTCTTGTTCCCAGCCAGAGTTTCTTGCTGCTAATTCTTTCTGGCTGGTTGGCCATCTAGCCATTTGATCTTCAGTATGGAACCAGCCAGTGAAGGTGGCAGCTGTTGATAAAAATCTGTAACTTGTTGGACACAGTAGTATTTCACTTTTGCTATTACTCTTACCCCTAAATTGACATTTTAACCCGTTATGACTTGCTTCTATATGAATACGTATGATAATTACGTATGCAAGCAGAGTGCTCGAAATGTATGTCAGAAATACATTCCACATGTCAGAAAAATTAACGTCTATTGATTGTTTTGTCAAAATTCCTGAAGAGAAAAGTGTCTGTATGAAATAAAGACAGATATAAGGAACGTTTTCAGCGTTTGGCTTCGAAATCCAGTTGAATCGAATACTGCATCTCATTAAAACACGAGTTTGAAGATATGAGAACTTAAACGGTTATTTTCAAAAACATTTTGGTTTAAATAAAGCAAGAACAACAGTGATTTGTGGAGAATAATGTGGTATAATCATTTATTTCGTTGGCTTCTCATCAGCTCAGCTGCTTACAGCCTAAATAAATTATTATTAAGTTTGTGTACAGAAAATTTTTAACATACTTGCAAATTTTTGATGATATCAGTTGACAGGAGGTTCCACAATTAGTGAACAGTGCTCAAAAAATTGCGCTTATATAGTTTTTACACAGGCAGTTCAAGTTTAAAGAAAATAAATGTATACGTACAATGGTAAGGCAGTGACGTAATAAAGACGAGAGATGCGTAAGAAGCTGAGTGACTAATAAATTAGGTAACAATGTACTGAGTTCAACTCAAATCATAGAAACAAGAGAGAAGCAAAATTACACTATATCAACGCAGGGTGAGGTTAAAGCCAAAGAATACGCAATCAAATACTAGAGACAACAAAGACATCCAGTTGCCAGGACAAGGAAGGACTCATAACTGCTTCTTTCGCAACACATAAATCAGGTCACCAGCATTTGATAGAAATTGCTTCGACGAACTTGAGGAGAATCAAGCTCCTTTTTCTATCGATAATTTTAAAGGATTTCGCGATTTCCACTTCATGATCCGTATCAAGGAGATGCCTAGTAACGGTATTATTACAAGCATTTGTTCCCTTGAAACGTAGGCTTTTCAGTACATGTCCATAAAATCGGAGGTGTGTGTGTCTGGTTTACAAATAGTTGTCTATTACACTGATTAACCATTAAGACGATTTCGATGTTATGTGGCCGCAAGTAATCATCACGGAGTGTTGGATCTTGATCTTGTGCTTAGTCACATTCATTGGCTAGGCATATCTAAAAAAAACTGAATTCCAATAAGGGATCTGAAATTTAATCATATACTTTCTTAATTCACTGCGATCAACGTCAGAATGAAAGAACTTCTCCACACTGATGACTTGATGTTTTTTAACAGACTGGACTGACACTGCAACTAGGTCAGTCACTTGGTTCCGTAGCATATTCGACAGAATGCCAAGTTGACAGTCAGTGTGGACAACGATGTTAATTCATCAAAAACATAATACTAAGTATATTACGTAATAATTTTTTGGGTGGGATTTTTAAGTCAGATTATTGATTTTCGCTTCTATCCCATTATTATTTCCAGGAGGATTCAGCTGGATTTGGTTTCAATGTTTGGCTTGGTCAAAGATTATCAATGGGTGGAGTAGAACGTGTTGAAAGAACTCCTGATGGAATTCCACGTATTGAACGTGTAGAAGACAGTTTTTATGTGAAACATCCGCTTAGTAATAAGGGAGTAATTCATTTTGGAATTGATTTAATTTCTCCGAAACCAACTTCTCCAACACAAAATGACGTAACTATTTATGTAAGTATTCTTTTTATTCTACTGTCTAACAGCGAGGAGTTTATTGAAGTGAATGCGATTGGCACTTAATTAAAGGCAAAAGTGCCAGTAGTTCAGGAGTGGAATGTTTCCCAATCATGCATGTGGTGTGGACTCGATTTCTGCTTGACACGTTCCTAGACCTCCTCTAGCCGACAGTAAGCCCGAAATAGAGACCTGGCTGGCAGGAAGATCAACATCCCTCACCACAGCAATTGAAACTTAAAATATCAGGCCTCGAGACCTGTATCCCAGGAAGATTCCAGGAAAATGAAACAGCTGTCAAGTACTCCCAGTTTTTCTAATGGTTCTCTAACTAATGTCAGCTCATGATGAAAATCCTGTAACCAACCAAGTCCCTACAAACCAACACTTGAAAATCAATGAGATGCTCACTAGCGACTTGCCCTATTCAGGTGGGTAGTCACCAGGGGTTCTAGTGAGAAGTCGTGACCAGTAGGGTGCAGCAGGTCGGGTGTGAGGACAAATACTCGCCGAAGACATTGGCTAGGGGTCACGCTATGTCGTGAATTGGCAGAAGTTAGAATTCATGGGCCATTGGATCGGGTTCCAGTGGCCTAATGGTATACGGGCTAGCCTTGTAACCAGAAGGTGCTGGGTTCAAATCCCGGTGGGTGCGTACTGTGAAGAGTCCCAAACTAGGACGAAACATCTGTCCAGTACTTCCAGGTCTTCCAATGGTTCTCTAACTAATATCAGCTCATGATGAAAATCCTGAAACAAACATAGGGCTGATGATACTGAGACGTATAAATAAAAATGCTGTAACGCAGTTTCCTAGACTAATGAAAATTCATACATTACACCATGAGTTAAGCTTATCGTATGAAGACCGATGAAATTGGACATTGATTTGGGGACCCACAAACTAAAACTACGTATTTATTCACTAATTGAGAAGTTTTAAAGATTAAGGATACATATTTATCAAGTGTTAGTTCTCAAGGATTTGATTGCTTACAGGATTAATGACTAGCCGACATTGGTCAGAGAACCACTAGGAAACCTTGAAGTACTGAGCAGCCAGCTGTCTCGTCTTAGTTTGGGACTCTTCAACAGTACGCACTCTACCACCGGGGTTCAGACCCAGGAACTACCAGTTACGAGATGAGCTTGTAGACCATTCGGCCACTGGAACCGGACCCAGTGGTTCACGAATTCCATGTTTTACTCAATTGTCTACCAGCTTGCCTCTTATCCGGATGGTCCTGGGTTCAAATCCTGATGGGTGGGTAAAACATCCAGCTGTCAAGTACTCTTAGGTTTTCTTATGGTTCCCTAACTCAAAAGTAATTAATTGAGAGGCAGAAAATATGAAGTCAAACAAGATTACATTATGAAATCAAAAATAAGATTCGTAGCTCTTGTGAAGATTTTCGGTGTTTTTACAATCTCTATGCTAGATAGTTTATTTGTGAAGCTTTCGTTTTCTTTCTGGACAACATCATCAGGGTGAAATCAAGGTGCCTAAGACGTCCTCCAGAAAGTTAATGAAGGATACGCTAATGTACCGTACCACACAGAGGACACAACAATATTGAAAAGTTCCTGTTTCACATGTAAATGACCTTTACCAGTAAATGAATAAGAAAATAAAATAAAATCACCAACCACATCGTGTTATTAGTACCACACTAACTTAGGCATATTCGACGTTACTGTGAAGATAAAGTCCAATAAGTAACTGGATAAAATAGCAATGTTGTAAATTTATTGAAACTACAATAAATGCAAATATATTGGAGAAAGAACAACTTCCAAGAGAATACTGAGGATTTCCAGAATCTAGCAGATTACAAGAACTGAATACATTAGTACCTCTAAAAGTTATTTTGAACTATTTAAAACATTGATTCCTAACATCCTGGAGGGTCCAACCACGTATTATACACATCCCTATATGACTCAAACTAACAGTTGGAGGTCTTGAATGGAACCACATTTTTCTGTACTAACCGTTTTTCAACTTAGTTCCATCCCAACTGACGTTGGTCATCTCTTGAGGTTATGATTCAATATCCGCTGTCTTGACTGAAGTTCTCAAAGCGAATATTATCACGAAAACAAGTCAAATAATCTCGAAAGAATGGTTACTGAACAAAGAATATTTTTTTCGATAACTTCATCATCAGGTTCTACAGTTAAACATCCATCCATAATAGTGAATGAATTAGTGTTATGAACAACATTAATGTTTAAATAAAATCGAATCAATAATGATAATAATATCAATAGACAACAGTTCGATAGCATCAACATGACAACACACTGAATATCAAAAAAATTAAGAAAGATTATAATACAAATTCATGAATTTATAGTCTCAACTGAAGGCCAGTCAGGGCAGTACTGGTGGCTGGACTTGCTTCTTTTACACACAAAGCACTGGTTGTTTCAGGCGAATCGCGATAGCCTCTGCTGTTTGGAGTATGCGGTACCTCGATGTTTTTGGCAGTTTATTTGGTACCCGGTAGATGATGATAGAGAAGGATTCGTCAATGCTGGCTGGCTTTGTGGCTGGCTACTTTGGATCAGGTGGTCTAATATCGAACTGTTGATGGTATTTACTACGCCTTTACTTAACCATATTGGGAGATGTTCTCGAGCATGAAAAATCAAGTTCCTAGAGCTTAGATTCTACAACTGTTCGAAAAGACTGTCATACACGGAATAGGCCAACTTTCAGTAATGAAATAGGTGGAAAGGGACAGTAACCAATGGCAACAAGTAACGTATTTGAAATGCAACTATACACTACATTTATTACCATTAATGACTGGCATTCCAGAACTAGTCGTATGAGATGCAGTTTGAATCAGCTATGCCTCACTTCCAAAATCCTATTGGCGCCAAATCTATCTTTTCATTTAGCCTCTATTGTTAAATGAATTAATGACAGAGTACTTCTGTTTTAATTCTACTTCATTTTCTAATTTCTCTATTCCCAAATAAAAGTTTGTTCCATTTCCTTTTGCAGAAATACTTGTATGGAGGTCAAATGTCGTTTAAAATTGATTCAATTAAAACTGATCCAAAGGAATTAACTCAACGAGAAGCAAGTGTTATAGTGGAACTTGAGGTAATCAAATAATATGACTTTATATATTCATGGAATATTAATGTGACACTATTATTATCATTGTTATTATTATTACTCATTCCTTGAGTCCGAGGTAGTACATAGGGCCTAAGCAAAATATTTGTATTCCAGTAGGTGTGTAGGCATCACTTTGAGCGGTCGCTACTACTGTTCACAAGCTTTCGTTTCTCCTTGATCTTCTTCATGCCACGGTGGGACATAAAGTCAACTTATCGTTGCCCATTCGGGTTCTACTGGAGGACATGCCCGGCATGTGACATCACTCTAGGGTTTTATTGGCGTATTTCCAATTGATCTCCGTTTCATTCTGTATGCTTGTTGGGCAACTGGTTCTCGGTTGATTCTCGGTAGACCTCTTGACATACGGCATTATTATTATTGTTTCCTTTAGTTCCTAGAGGAACATAGGGCTTCAGACAAACGTCTCCATTGCGTTCGGTTTTCTGCCAACGTTTTCATCACCTGGCTCCACATCTGCCCACATGCTTTCATCTCCTCTTCGCATGACCTCCTCCACGTCACTCGTGAACGACCAACTCACCGCTTCCCTTTCGGCTTCCACTCGAGGACTTGTCTAGTGATGTCACTTTATGGTTACCTCAGAGTATGGCCAGCCAATCCACCTCCATTTCTTCCTGCATATTTGTTGCACAATCGGTTCCTACTGGGTTGGTTGGTTCGTTCATTGCCAGAGATCCCTTTTGCTCATCTTTTCTGGCCGGCCATCTGATCTTGAGTAGTACTGAGCGAAGACAGCTCTCGATGAAGGTTTGCAGTTTGTACGAAGTACCCTTCGTGACGCACCAAGGCTCTGATCCGTATAGTAAATAGCACTGACTTCATATTGGAGGCGAAAATCCGGATCTTGTTTATCATGCTGAGTGCTGAGTGCTGCTGACCTCCACACAGACGTGGGAGTAATGAAAGCTTTCCTTGCTTTCCCGATCCTCGTTGCTTTGATATACTCATCAGTTTCTTCCGCCTGTAGATGAAACGATGCTTCCCAGGTCGGTAAGTGGAAGGGGTTACTTTTTTCAGATTTCTCCCGTTTTCGCTGATTGTTGTCTGTTGTTGTTGGTACTGTTGCTATTGGTCTTGGCCAGGAATCTTCACCACCTCTGTTTTTTCTATTTTCACCTGAAATACATCCTATCTTTGATGCTTCTTCTTACAACTTGTTGCTTTTCACTTGCATATCTTCCATTTTATACGAAATGAGACATATATCATCGACGGAATCCATATCCTGCAAGTTGTTTTGTGTGGGTTCATTTTATGCCTGTCTTCACGTTGCTCTCTGTCGCATTATCCAGTCTACCGCAATCAGGAAAATCATTGGAGATAGTAGGCAAACAGCAAACCTTGTCTTACTCCCGTTTTCACTTCGATGGATTTCTTGAGCTTTCCGTTGTGGATCACTTCGTATGCAACATTATCGTACAATTGTTGGATGAGGTTTGTAAGTGTTTATGGTCCTTCATATCTTTAAGCAATTACCAAGCTACTTCCCAGTCAGCGCTGCTGAAGCTGTTCTTGGAGTCAACGAAGTTAGGATACTCAGTTTATTGACTATCTAACTTCTCTTGTTGGAAACGTTATGAAAACTGTGTCATTAGAGTGTTATCTGGATTTTGAGAGTGGATTACTGACTCTCCAGTTAAAATTTTGGAGAGTCTACTTTTATTCAGTGCATCCTTACAGATTTTAGCTCTTCTATAGCGCACCTCATTTTTTCTGATATTTGAGCATTCTTACCAGTCTAAAAATATGGTCCACTTACATTAGCTTTCATCGAAAGAAGTCATACTGGTCGACTGACTTCTTGAAGGCTTTCATATACCTGCGTCATCCATCCGTCCTCGAGTTCACCAGTCTTTTCAACACCCTGTTGAGGTTATTTTCAATGCTCTGAAGTCTCCACGTGATGTGGAGACGCAAGTCTGACGAACAAGCTTCCCCATTTTCCAGTCGAAGGCTTCATTATACATACCAGTTCGTTAATTTTATTACAGTCAGTGTACTGCTAACGCTGGAGCTTCTCACAGTTTCTTAGACTTCTGCTGAGTAAATTATTCGGTTTTCATTGATATCTCAGTAGTTCTGATTCATTTCTACTGTCTTTTTCCCCATAGTCACCACGATATGGACGTTCATGGACTTTGGCAATATTCAATCTAGAAAAACAACGTTATGAAATTGAATTCAATGAAAATTGGTGGCCAGGAGGATGGCGTTTAGGTACACCTTTAAATCCATTCGATTCACAGACTAGTATGACAAGAGATCAATTATTGCGTGTATTGACCACGACAACAAGTATTGGTATTATAACAAGTAGTGGTGACAGTGAATCATTGAATGGAATGAAATTATCAGGATTATCTATACAAGTTGCTCTACCAGTTAGAACAAATGAACGTCAATCATTCGCCAGACAACAAGGTCTACCATTAGCTCCAGTCGAAGTGTGTGAATGTCCAAATCCAAGTGGTCCAGATGAACGTGAATTATCACCAAGTTGTGAAGTAAGTTAACCAGTGTGGTTAAGCTCTTTTGAAACTAAACGTTATATAATTCTAACGTTAGGCATAGATCGATTATCAAATAAATGTGAGTCAGTGTTCAGTAAAGTAGTTGAAAAATTTATCGTACATGTTCAGCTCCCCCTCGCCCAACAGGATGTTATCAATGACAGCGATAATCAGGAGGCAAAATGAAATCGGAATTGGTTAGAGGATTTCATCATGAGCTGACAGCTAGACGGCTAGTTGTTTCGTCCTAGTTTTCGACTCTTCATCAGTACCCACTCGCTACAGGAGTTCAAACCCAGGACCTTCTGGTTACAAGGTGAGCTTGCTCGTAGACCATTAGGCCACTGGGACTCGGTCCAATGACCAGCCAATGAATTCTGAATCCTGCCAACTCACGACACAGCGTGATCACTAGCCAATGTCGTCGGTGACAAGTATTTGTTATCCCACCCAACCTGCTGTACCCTGACTGTCTTATAATTAACGAAAGTAATCGCAAAGCTGATGGTTTTGTCTGCACCACATAACTTGTCTTGCATCAAGCTTCTGCAGCAGCTGATATATAATTTCGCTGAAGGTAATTCAGCTGTTAATAGAGGCTTTAAATCTTTGTAAATGTGCTGATAAGACGTTACACAGCAAGACAGTAGTACTGTTTACTGGATAACAATTCAGACACATTTTAAACCTGTTAGTCATACCACAGTAAATATACACTGACTAGACGGCGATTTCACAACCTTAACCCCACCACGTATTCTATCTTAAAATAACAATAATAATAATCACTTTATTCCAAACAACAGTAATAATTATACAGAATGGAATTTTCTGCCTTTTTATACATACTGCAACAATTTAGCTCCTTTTATAAATATGTACATACATAAAATTTAATATAGTAATAATAATAATAATATTAATAATGAAACCACCACTATAAACAGAATGTTGGTGGAGACATAATGAAGTATAAGTAGATAGTATCAGTGATAATTTGCAGTTCACTTACTGATTTAAAAAGTTCATAAGTTCTTTTCTGACATCTGACTCTTCATACAAACTCTCTTGCTAAATATGGTGATATGGTAGAACTTTTATATTTAGTAGCTGTATGAGCATAAATTCTTATGAAGTTTCTTCTGATTACATCCTCCGATGATATACAAGGCGAAAGTTGAGAATAAATAGGGAAGATATTCAGTGGTATCAGACAAGATAACTTTAGCTAACTGCTTGCAAGAATTGAAGTGCCTATTGACAATAATGTCAGTTAGCTGAGTCAAAGACATATCACTAACGCTGCTTACAATTTTCAGTGTTCTGCGTTATATGACAAAGTCTTTTTTGAGAAGTTCAGGGTAGAATAAGTGAGTGGGGGGAACAATTAAGAGGAGGAATGGGTAGAATACATGCAGTAATAAACTGTAACAAAAGGAAGAGTTTGAGCTATGTCGCCAGGGAGTCTCAACTTCTTTATGTAATAAGTCAGACGAAGTAGTTTCTTAGAAATCAGCAGGATATGAGGGGACCAACAGAGAAGATTCGAAGAGAAACTGATGCCGAGATGAGAGATATTCAATGTACTCTCTATCACAGTGCTGTCAGTATTACAGGAATCATGCAACTGGGTCACTTCACGTAATCTCTTGTTCGCATTGGAAACTGTAATCAACAATATGAAGCTTTAGATATAATAGAGAGGATTTGTAGCTCAGGTGGATGATTTTGGTGTGGTTGTGTTCTGTGAGCTGGATGGTTTGGTTGCGAAGCTTTCATTGCTCTACTGAGCAACATCTTCAGCGCATACTTCGATGTGAAGTGAGCTTTTAGAATTCTCTATGAGTTTATTAGTCATCTCTTCTAGTAACCCTGAACGTGATTGGTTGTTTTCGTGTGACATGAAGTTTGAAGTTCACACAAAAACAAAGTCAAACTTCAGGTCAAGGAAACAGTCAACACCAAAACAAGTGAACTAGAAAGTGAGAAGTCACACAAAAACAACCAATCACGTTCAAGGTTAGCAGAAGGAATGACTAACGACATTCAGACCAAAGAAGCAGCCAGCACCGAGACAAGCAAACTAGGGGGTGAAATGTCACACGAAAACAACCAATCACGTTCAGGGTTACTAGAAGAGATGACTAATAAACTACTCATAGAGAATTCTAAAATCTCACTTCACATCGAAGTATGCGCTGAAGATGTTGCTCAGTAGAGCAATGAAAGCTTCGCAACCAAACCATCCAGCTCAGAGAACACAACCACACCAAAATATGAAGCTTAGATGGATTCAATTAAAGAAGATATAGCTGAGACCATTTGTTAACCTTCGCTAAGAATCTATTCATCATATAAGAACAATCCATTGTAGAAAAAACAACTGGGATACAAATGGTTAGATCATTGGCATATTTAATGAAGTTAGCTTCGGAAGAATACAGAAGGTTGTACAAAAAGAAAGAAAAAAGAGGCACACCAGTTTCCGTTAGCAACGAAGTGGAGTGCTTTCCATTCAAAACAGTATATCGTTTTCTACCCAAAAAATAAGAAAACAGCCAGCCACCTTGTGACCCAGAACTCAGTGTTTGCTCAGGTGTTTGTACATATCTAGAAGAAGTAGACTAGAGTTGGTGATTAGGAAATTTCTGTAAGATATTGGACTAGATTTCATTAGAATCTCAAACAACAGTTCAAGTACCATTGAAGAAGAAGGTGTACAGGACAGCTTATTCATCATAGTTTTGGACTTTTCAATAGTACGCACCCATGATCCACTAGGGGCAGATCCCAGTTGCTGAAAAGTCAACCAACTGGCCTCGTAATCTGAATGCCCTTGGTACAATCCCCGTTGGAGACATAATGCACATCGCCAAACAGACTTAAACTAGGCCGAGACAGATGATATTATTAAGAAATTCACATGTGAAATAACGAATGATCAACATGGATAAGTTAGAAAGACAAGGGAATATTTAGTTTTCAAGTATTGATTTGTAGGAATTCGATTGATTGGTTATAGGATTTCATCATGAGCTGACATCAGTTAGAGAAGCATTGGAAATCCATCAGGGAGTAATGGACAGTTGTTTCGTTCTAGTTTTGGACTCTTCAAAAGTACGCACCCACCAGGGTTCGAACCCGATTTAGTCTTAATGATGTATCTCTTAGATGTAACCTTATAGTTGGGATAACAATAAAGTAACAGTAATAAAGTATTGACAATGAAGGGAAAAAATTTTAGGTAGTGGCCAGCAGTACAGTTCAGTATCGGAGTTTCATCCTTTTTGGGCCTCGTCAACCATGCGTACATGCATTCCCACTAAGTGATAATGTTTGCACTCAGACTTGACATTCTTATTCCGATAACTTCAAACCGTATATTGGTCTCTCCTACATTTCTTAAAAGACAAATTTGTAGACTTACATTATGATCATATTAGGTTAAATAGTAATCTTTATCCTTTGGTGTCAGGTAGGATGTGTCGTATGAAGTTTATTGCACAGCATACCATTGATCTATTCTTATTCACTCATTTGATCAATGAAAAAAGGTACCTCAATATCGACTAGTACATGAAATCATCTTTATTCGTTTGAGTTACGTGTATTTCTTTTCTTTTATACAGGGTTGTAAAGATCTATCAAAACAAACAATAATTCGTCTAGAACCCCTTGGTGAAGATTTAACCTGTGGAGGCTGTTCGGGTGAACAATGTGGAGAGTAAGTTATGGAAACATAAAATTCTTTGTAAATAATGTTCCCTTGGATTCCTAGTGGGAAATAGGGATTCGACAGCACATCTCCATTTTGATGTATTCTTTGAGGGCCTCTTCAGATATGTACTACTTAGCATAAGGATAAGAATACAAATTTCCAAGACTAACATCAACTCAGAGTTTAAGTAGGGTTCAGCGGCTTAATGCACTTATCACTTAAAACATTCGCAGTAGGTTGCTACAGGGTTTCTTCAACAGATACTGTCATTCAATACTCAAAATCACACAGCTGCTCAGAAAGGATTAGCAACACGGCCAGAAAATCTAATATCCGAGAAAACTAAAGGAGAAAATGGGAATGGATTAGACTAGTTTGAGAAGATGCAATGTTAACAACTGAATGACAAGGTTTCTAGCAAAATTTATTGTTCGTAATCATATCATTTTTAGTCACATGGTTTCACAATTTGTCTTACATATATTTTCTCTCTTTCTGTCCATCCAACTTCCCTTTTGTTGCCCCTTTCCATATCTCCGGTATACGCTCCGTAGCGTCATTCCGACTGCATGTGTGAGGTGTTAAATCGATAAACAAAGTTCCAGTGATTAGCCCCTCTCTGTCTCTCCGCCTAACTGTATATTACTTTTTAATACTGTCGCCTGTCCCACCCAAAGTATTTTGTGATTGCATACATACAAGTGTGAGTCGGTGGCATAGCGGTTAGGACGCTCGCCGACCATGCACATGGTCCGGGGTTCGATCCCCGGCCACTGACGCACTCCTTTACCTCGCTAAGCCAGAAATAGTGCTGGTGAAGAGGAAAGGTTGGGCATGAGGCTAGCAACCCCATCCTGTAAAATAAACACTGCTACAGAAACTTCAAGCCACTAGCTTGAAGCCCTATGTTCCTCTGGGGAACGTGAAGGAAAAAAAAATACATACAAGTGAATGCAGTGCAATAGCTGAGCTTTTTTCTAGGTTATGTAACTTAGCAGGGGGTCAATCATTCTAGGTCTATTATGGAATTATATAAACGAAGTTAGAAAGTGGTGTGAGTACCTTGATATAATTATGAGCAGTAATAAATTGTGCTCGAAACGTCATCAGTAAATATTACTGTACAATACTGTGAGACTTTATCAAAATAAATTCTACCCATAATGGAATTATGCTCTACCACAGTGCACAAATTTTATTCTTACATTCTAGGTCTAGCTAAATTTTTATGTTCCAATAATCTAGTTGACCCCAATCCACTTGCCTGACCTATGTAATTGACCTCACAGTTATTACATGGTAAGTCGATGCAAGAACTGGTGTGGCATTATGCTCCTGTCCATCCCAAGCAAAATATTAAGCCGCATCATCCTGAAGAGGATCAAACACATCGCCCTGGATGAAAAACTTCGACCGGAACAGGCTGGATTCAAATGGCAAAACTACGTGTCATCATTGAACAGAGCTTGGAATGGCAGTCACCTCTCTACCTCATTCAACTTCATCGACTTTGAAAAGACCTTCAGCAGACAGAGTCGATCGAGAGGTGATTTGGAAACTACTTCGCTACTACGCAGTGCCACCAACAATTATACAGCTCACCCAACAGTTATGCGACAATGCTGCATGCCAAGTAATCCACAACGAGAAACTCACGGAATCCATCGAAGTGAAGACGGTAGTAAGACAATCTGGCTGCCTACTATCTCCAATGACTTTCCTGATCGCGGTAGACTGGATAATACGACAGAGAGCGGCGGGAAACGAGGAGACAGGCATAAAGTGGACCTACACAAAACACTTTGGGGATCTGAACTTCGCCGATGATATATGTGACTTGCCACAAACTGGAAGATATGCAAGTGAAAAGCAACAAGCTGGCAGAGGAAGAATCGTCAAAGATAGGACTTCCTTCAGGTGAACATAGAGAAGACAGAAGCGATGATGTAGATTCCTGTCCAACAGCAACAGCAACAACAACAGCCAGCAAAAATGAGAGGGATCTGAGAGAAGTAACCTCCTTTGCCTACCTACCTACCTGGGAAGCACCGTCGTTTCAACTACAGACAGACGGGACTGAGAAGGATATCAAAGCGAGGATAGGGAAAGCAAGGCAAGCTTTCATTTCTCTCAAGTCTGTGTGGAGGTCAACACCACTCAGCACAAAAAATAAGATCCAGATTTTCAACTCCAATGTGAAGTCAGTGCTACTTACTATGCGGATCAGAGACTTGGTGCCATGTCACGAAGAACACTTCAAACAAACTACAGACCTTCATCAGTAGCTGTCTTGGCTTTATACTCAATATTGGATGGGCAGAAAAGATGAGCAACAGGCATCTCTGCCAATGAGCGAACCAACTCAGCAGAAACCAATTGTGCGACAAATATGCAGCCATACTCTGAGAAAACAAACCATCAATTGAGTGACATCACATGCCAAACTCTCTCTTGAGTGGAACCCAAATGGGAAGTGACGAGTTGGTTGTCAGTGTGAGGATGAAATGGAAGAGGTGATGTGAAGAGGAGATGAAGGCATGTGAGCAGACGTGGAGCCAGTTGATGAAAACGTTGGCAGAGAACCGAACGCAAAGGAGACGTGTGGCTGAAGCCCTATGTTCCTCTAGGAATTACAGGTAACAATAATATAATAAGATAATTATATTACATGGTACAATCGGGCCAAAAGGCCAACTAGTAAGCCAGAAGATTTAAAAATTTGAAATCAAACAAATAAAGGAAATAAACTAACCTAACATGGAATTACATTCCACCACAATGCCCAAGTTCTACATTTACATTCAGACATTCAAGTGACGACACATGCCATGTAGACGCCTATGTGGAATCTGAATAGGAAGCGATGAGATGGCTACGGTTCCAAGGGTGACAGTATGAAGATTATAACAAGAGGAAATGAAACCTTGTAAGGCAGTCCAACAGCTAGCCAAAAGTCATGAAAAAGAACCACGGGAAATGCACTCGTATGCTCCACTCGGAAGTAACAAAGTCAACCATATTTTTCACTCAGAATCATTTAACACAAACTGTATTTTATCCTTACCAAATACTTCAATATGAACACTGTCCATTAAGCAGTCGATTCTGTTTCATCTGAACAATTCATGTCAATATTTTTTTTCAAAAAACAAAATAATTAATATCTCTTTAAAAAAGGTAGAAAAGTAGCAAAGATTACTCTTCTTCACACTACCCTTGATTGGATTTACCAAATATGATAGGGATATTTTTTGAAGGTTGACAGTATCCCCGTAAAATTACAAGACTACTGTGATGATTGTGTCTACATTCTAGTTTGCGTATAATTTTTTTCCATGAATTACAAACACACATGTCATACTACTTTCAGTCATTTTGAAGTGTACATTACCTGGAGAACATTCTTCTATTTTTGCGAAAAATGCCAAATACATCATTGTTTTTAAGATAGAAATTTACATGCCTGACAAACGACATCTAGATTATTCCAAGAATGCAACACCGAATACAGGACATTAAAAGTTAACTTACACAGTTTCTGTTAAATTCTTTTAAAAGTTACACAATTAACAAAAGGAAAAAAATTTTCAAGTATTGGTTTTTGCAGGGATTTTTGTTTGTTTGATTGGATGGAGGATTTCATCATGAGCTGATATCAGTTAGAGAACCATTGGAAAATCGCCACGGAGTTCTGAACAGCTAGCTGTTTCGTCCTAGTTTTTTCATAGTTGGGTCCCTTTGAGAAGAAAGAGAAAACCGATTCACTCCTTATCTTAAAGAATAAGAAGGATATGTACAAATGATGCAATCGACGGGAAACTGGGACGACTCAGACAAGTCCTCATAGGGAATGGATATCTTCCAAGATTTACAGAGAAAAAACATGGAGTTAAAGCGAAAGCCTGAAAGAACCTAGATGGTGCCAAAGAAACTGTTATTCATGAACCCTGAATTCAAAGGTGACACTGCAGCTGATATTCTGGAGAACCGCTTATCCATATGATTGAGGAAAGCCTTGTTTTCGTCTGAGCTACGGATCAATTTCTACAGCCAACAAATGATCAGTGGATGTGTGAAGGATAAATTGCTGCTCTGGGCCACTTCATTGCGTGTTTATAAGTTCATCTGCTCGTCTGGAGCTAGTCATATTGATCGCACAAACAGCACACTTTCCAAACGCGTCTCATAGCATTATCTTGCGTGGGTAGCAAAAGGACAACGCAAGACGATGGCCAGCTCGATTCTCGGGCACTTGGTGAACTCAAACCATGTAGCTCAACCGGCGTCGTCCTTCATGCTCATCCACAAGGTGAAGCCAAATGGTACAAAGGGCGTCAGGTTTAGGCATTTGTGTCTGGTGGAGGCGTTGGCAATTCGTCAGTACAACACGAACTCTCTGTGTATACAGGAAAAGTTTGTTCAGTCTCTTATTCAACCACGGTCTTAACCTATTCATTAGTCGTTCCCTTTAATTTTACTTTTACTTTACTGTTGCTTTAATGATTAATTCACTATTATGACTCTCACAGGTTCCTTTTGTACATTTTCACACCCTCTTTACACTTGTTAAATTGACACTCAACTACCTTAATTCTCAATCAATAACTGTCTCTTCCTGTGTGTCGTTGAGTATTACGTAATTTATAACTTCTATTTTTACTTTCGAAGCCACTTTTAAGTAATCATATCAATCATGTCACCCCCCCTAGTAATACTCACTAATGGACTACCATACATTTCTGGTAAATATAAATATGACTATACAGTCTTTGAAGATGATTTCGTCGATAAAGGCAATTTCCTTTGCTGAATTGTCTTTTATTTTCTTCATGACTCAATGCGAATTTTCGGTGTTAATGCATCACGTGAATTAATATTGTTCTGACTTCGGCAAAACTTCAGCACCCTACATAATTCTTCCTCCGTTTCCTCGTTCGAAAATTCAAAGCAGTGTTCATAAAACTCTTCTTAATTCAACACGAGCATTGACAGAAAATGGTGAACTTAACTGGTTGAAGTTTTAATCAACCATGAGAAATGGAGTTGATGTTTAGCATTCTGAATCAATTAAACATGTTGGCGTATTTTCGCATTGTACATAAAATATATTGTACTAAATTGTCTTTGATTTCGGATTTCTTTTATAGATGCTCAGAAGGCGAATACAATTATGACATATATGGTGGAAAACGTTTGGATGTATGTCAGAAAGGTTAGTCCATTCTTTTCTAAACTTTTATTTTATATTATTCAGTGTTTTGAAGTAGAAAGTCTACATGTAGTAGCGTCTTTATTCATCTACATCTTGACTGAGGCGTCAGTTAGATGCATAAACTTCTCCAGACACTAACTGTCTGACAGATATATTGATTGCTTTCAGATGAAAATACTATTAATAATGAGGAATTTGAAATGTGGAAAGTATTAGCATAATTGGAAGGAACATAAGGCTTATTCAGGATTCATAAGGAGACTTGACTTAAGGTGGTGTTTAAACTAACCGACTAACTTAGAGATTAACTTTGGTGGTTTAAGGATCCAATAGGACTCAATTAGGAAAAATAACATAATATACCAAATACCATGCAATGACTGTGAGGTCAGTTACGTGGATGGGGCTAGTTACTTCTCAGTCAGACTGTAACAAAATGAATGAATTTTTATCATAAATTAGTCAGTGGTCCTTGTCATCAAATGGTATTGAGCTTAATCCCTCCAGATGTCCGCCGGGTTGTTTCACTTTCAGACGCAAGCGTAGCTTACATGAACTGGATAGTTCGCATGGTTCCACTATCATAGATGGCAGTGAAGTTGAAACCAAATCGAATGTTAAATACATACCCTGGACTGTGTACTTCTCCTGATCACCTTTCCTGGTCTTCCCACATCCTGTTACTTTCCAGAAATGTATTTCGTTTGACGTTCTATGTAAGTAATGAAGTTAAGACGATCTGGCATCATTCCGTTTCTGCTGTTACCGTTTGCGTTTGTTAATTCTTGTATTCTGCTTATACTTGTTTACTGTTCCCTCTTAACCTTTCCCTGGCTACTTAAGAAAGACTTTGTTATACTGCGTAGGGCACCAAAAGCCTTGAGTATGGCGAGTGGGGTGTTGCTAAACCAACTCGTTAATACTATTGTAGACAGATACTTGGATTGCTGCAGGAAACTAGCAAATATTATCCTGTCAGATTCTGAACAACTTCTCCATACACAACTCTGTCCTTGTATCTCAGGAGGTAGGGGAACTAGAAGCAACTATAGAAGATTGTATGCTCGAACGACTAAGTACAAAAACTCTACAACCCCTTATTTAGCACATATTTTATGTGATGAGAAAAGTGTGTAGGACAGGAAATTACCAATTTATTTTGGGAACTATAAGTAAACCGCTTGGTTTTTGTTCTTATTATAACACTGTGATTAATATTTTCACTTGATATAATTTTATATTCACTTCCTAGTGAACAATATTATCAATGCAAATGCCTTATTTTAATTATTACCTGTGTAATGAGAAAATTAGATGTAACATTGTTTTACACGCTGAAAATTCCATATCTGTACCAAAAATACTGTTTGGAATAAAGCTGGTATTATTATTATTATTAATCTGCATATCGCAACATAGGATTTATTTGGATATAGAATGATTGACCATACTAAGTTGAGCAGTCTTGAGAAAAGCTTGGCCATTACGATACACTCACTTGCGTGTTATCATACAATATGGAAAATCATATTAAAAACAGGAGGGAGTAAAGATATGTGAAGCAAGTTTTAAAGTTGTGTGAATGCATTTAGATACGTCTCTTTGAGGAGTGAGACAGCTAGTACGAATCCTAAGTCCGAAACTTCCTGTCGATTGCCTCCAGCCACCTAATAGCAACATCCAGATATGAGTTTCAGCGATGAATTGTACTCGAGACGTCATTCAGTTATTATTTCAGTATCTGCTACAGAGTTTCAAGTAGCCTGTTCGCATGCATGATGGTTATTTAAATTGTTTAACTAAGGGGTGGGAGGTGCCTCAAAACATTGAACTACTTAATATGAGATACGAATTATCTTGTAGGTTCTGTCCAACTTATAACGATATTTCAAGTTTGGTCGTGAACTGAGCTCATTTAGAAAACTACTGAGAACCAGGCAGTACTGGACGTCCATTTCATTCTTGTTTAGAACTTTCCAGGAGTACACACCTGTGACCGCACTACCAGGGATAGAACCCAAGACCTTTTGGTTGCAAGGCCAACTTATAGAATATTCAGAGGCTGGGCCATGTGTTCTAACTCCTGCCAATTCCCCATGTATAGCACGACCACCATCAAGTGTCATTGGTGGATATCCGTCGTCACGCCCAAAGTAATGAACTCCGCTAATCATGATTTCCCACTAGAAATTCAAGGGATTTTATCTTGTAGTCACAAACTGGCAGAATTTAGCATCGGTTGGCAATTGGCTGGCTTAATGGTCAACGAACTCGTCGTGTAGCCTTAAGTTGCAGGGATCGATCCCTAGTGGTGAAGTCATGTGTGCATACTACTAAAGAGTCACAAACAAGGACGAAACAGCTGTCCACTACTCCGTAACTGAAATCATTTTGTGATCCTCGAATCCAAACAACACTTGAATATAACAACATACAGGGAGAAAAAACATTCCTAACCAACCAGATGAAGGTGGGTAACAAAATTCTCATTTCCGTCAATAGTATATTTCATGTCAGAGTACATTTTGTACAGTACAGTAGGATACAAATCCATATTAGATACATTTGCCTACCAGTGCTTCCAATATAGTCATGCGGCAGGTCATTCACAGTCTTAATGGCTCCGACTATGGCCGGGAACACCAGTTTCTTCGGGGTCTAAAGATATACACCTTACAGAAGAATGCCAACAAGCATGACCCATATCCGTGGCTTCCTGTCGATTGCTTCCAAACGTCTAGTTTTTCTGTCAATGAGAGCCAAGAGGATGGATAAACAGGTACTGACTGCTATATTTCACCATGGGGAATTGAATATAATCTTCTTTCAAATCATATTTTCTTGTCAGCTCCACCCATCACCACACAAGCAACTTCACATCTGAGCATCAACCCTTCACAGTAATACTTCTTTAAAAGACTACTAGCCATACAAAATCTTATCCTAGTTTTATTTCTCAATTTCAGGTCTTACAATCGATACAAAATCCCACCAGATCATTGTAAAGTTAGGAGAACCAATTAATCTTGTCTGTAAAGCTACATCCTACCGTGGTGGTTTAGTGACACACGAGTGGATTACTCCACAAAAAGAATATGCCAGTCAACCAAGTATCACTCGAAAGTATTTGGAGAAATCTGATCAATATGAGAAAGGAAATATGACAACTTATCGTACAGAAGCATTACTAGAAATCAAGTCAGCTAAACCTGAAGATGCTGGAGAATATGTGTGTGTTGCCAAAGGAATTGGTTCACAGATGAACGAAACATTTTATGTCATAGTTCGTGATCCAAGTAAGTTGTTGATAATAATTTTCTTTTTCATTTCAGTAAGCTCATAGTTATTTGATAAAGTACCGTAAACTAAAGTTTAAATCGGTTTCCTTTCCACTCTATGCCTCAAGGGATTAGCTTCGATTTCAGACTGTTTTAGTACAAAATACTCAAACATGTAAATCAAAATTCCAGGTGGAAAAAATTTCAAATGTGTGTATTAATTTGTTTTAAGCGCACATGTAAGAATTTCTACTATTATTAAAATAGTATCATTCACTCTCAGAGTTTCGGGTGAAATATACTGCCCACGGTGACATCTGTCTGTCTGTCTGTTTTCAACAGAGAACTTCACACCGATGTGCAGCAGTTCAAATCGCCACACTCTTTCCATGTAGCACACAAAGCAAGGAAAGAAAGTTGAAGAAATGTAACATAGAAACAGCAAACAGGGATATGAGACAAAATTTTCATTGGGTGTTATAATTCACAAAGAGTGGATACATCTGCGCCAGCCATTGAGAACAATTTCGAACCATATCACTAATTGTCCCCAGCCATTGGTGTTTACCGTCCCGAAAACCCAAACCAGTCAAGAAGTCTACACCTTCCTACGTGGCTGTCTTAAACTAACTGTTGCGGAGTTCATTAACTGGTGCCACGTTTCGGTTTGACCGCCGCTAGCTCTTTTTCAGCCTGACTCTATATCAGCTAACATTGCCCGTCCAGAGAGGCGATGGCTAAATGTGCATGCATAACACACATCCCCACCATCTCAGATAATGTAGCTTCACAGCCTCGTCAACTGATTTCCCCTTGTTACCTAGCACTCGATGCTTAACTTCAATATTAGTCATCCTATTATACCACTTCACACGGGAGATAGAACGCAGGCACCTATGATCTTGCACAATGCAGGCCATCACTCGAGTAGAATCCCAATGGGAAGCGACAAGTGGGCCATCACTACGAGGGCGACATGGAGAAGGTCGTGAGAGGAGGAGGAGAAGATGGCAGATTATGGTCAATCGTGGACCCAGCTGAAGAGGACGGCAGAAAATACAGCAGAGTGGAGATATGTTGTTGAAACCCTATGTTCCGCTCGGAACCCAAGGAAATAATAATAATTGTTGAGATTTCTGACTAGCTGCTTCAATCAATACACCATTCTTGTTTACTGAAGATTGCACATAATTGAGATTTTATAGCTGTGTGAATGCACTCACCGAAACCGACTTTTCACTAAACCACTTGATCTTCTCTTTTTTAACATCCGGCCGGGTATCTTTAGTATACTTAAGTGGGAACAGCACCTCTTATACTATGGAATAAATCATTTTCCTCGTAAATACTGACGTTCTGACACTATACATCCAATTAATAGTACAGCTGGATGAAACTATTGACAACTCGCCTGAAACACTATTCTGCATATAGCTTCAGTCTAATGACATCGGTTCACTCAAAATGTCGACCAGTAGTTTATCCAACTAAATTTAGCGTGAAGATAAATAAGGAATGCTTGAAATCAACATAAAACTGCATATTTGGGCTGAGTGAAATATCAGCCAGTTAAGACTAGTGGAGTTCTGTTGAGAAGTCAGGCCCAGTGGCATCCCCACTCCTTCAGATGTGAGGATAAATACTCACTGACGACACTGGATGGTGGTCACGTTAAAATTACGAATTAGTAGAAACTGGAATTCATGAGCAGACCATTGTATCGTGTCACGGCGTCTGAATGGTCTACGAGCTTTCTTTGTAAACGCTAGGCCCTTGTTTCGAACCCTCCCAAGTGTGCACTGATGGAGAGTGCTGAACGAGGACAAAACAGCTACCCAGCACTCCTTAATTTTCAATGGTTCTCTAACTGGTACTAGCTCATGATCAAACTTAAGACTAATGTACCTATGAGAAATCAGATATCGATCTCTGAATATTTGTTCGTTTGCTGAAATTCTACACTCGTAATGAAAATTTCTAGTCAGTTTTAGATATAGACCTTAGGAAAATCAAAAGATAAAATTTAATAGACTAACCCAAACCTAGTTTTAAAGTTATACGATATGACAAATATGATCACGACTGTAAGAAATAAGTCGGCTTATATTTGGTTACAGGATATCATCATGAGCCCGGATAGCTCAGTGGTAACGTCTCTGACTGCAGTACTCATTGGGTGACACGGATTCGAATCTCAGAAGGGACATGAGTTCCTTCAAAGTTGCAGATACTTCTTGCTGACTGACTGGTGAGTGCCAACTAGCACGAAACTTAGGTGAATCCAAGGCTTCCTGCCGATTGCCTCCAACTATCTAATATCATCAAATCAATGTGCACCGTGATGGTGAACCACCTACCATGGTGGCTACATTGCAAACTTGACTGATAGAATTCATTCTGCAGTAAACAAAGCCATGGACACATGGCACTTGTTAGTGTCTAGTCAAAAGCATTGCTCATAATGAAATCCTGTAACCAATCAGTCAAATCCCTACAAACCAATACTCGGCTTATATTTGTCAGATGGTAAATAATACTATATCACCATGTTTGCAAGGTAGATTTTCTGAGAATAATCAAGACGTGTTGAATGAACAGCTATGAAACTCTTTAGAAATGCTTTTGGGGAGAAGGAAGAATTCAGATCTTTCAGACTAAGACACAACCATGTTGTAATCCAACCACTAGGATCAACTTTAGCGTTTTATGTATTTCTAGAATTTCACCTAGTCTGTCAATTTAACAAGGAATTATATTTTTTTAATCGAATCCCCAGTCTTCACATATACATCTTTGTTTTAAATATAACAAAAAAGAGTATTGAACTGATCAATGTGTCAATGTTTTTTAAGTGTTACTAAAGAAATTTGATATACATCTGTTAGGATTTCATATCTGTTGGATTAATTAGATATGTTTTTCGATAAATCTGATAAAGCTTTCAATATATAGTTACTTGGAAATGCTATTTGATTCATGGTGTCTAGCAGTAGAATCCATGACTTGCGTTTCTCCTCCTTTATGAGTTATTAGCTCAGTGTATTGCTCCCTGTTGACTTCTTAATCCTTATAATATCAAGGTGTTGCTTAATGCATCCCGAATGCTAAAATGTCGCCTATTATTTAGCTTTTGTAGATGAACAAAGAATCAGAAATATGAGTTACTGATTTCAAATCATGTCTGTCGCACAAAATGTAGCTCCTACTACCTAGGTGGTCTGGAGACTTACGCTTTGATTTGCTTAAAGCAACTGGTGTTGTATTTGAACCTTGGGGGGAACATTATTAACCACTGGGGAAAGGAGGTACTTCCAGTTGAAATATCTCAAATACGACAAAGTGTGAAACTTAGATTCTACTACTTGCCAGCATCAAACAAGTAACTTTGGCTTCTTATTGTACCTAATTCCTTTACGTTCCCAGTGGTACTTGGGGCTTCAAGCCAGAAGTTTAAAGTTTCGGTAGCAGTGGTGTTCATTTTTATGGGATGGGGTTGCTAGCCTCATGCCCAACCTTTCCTCTTTACCAGCCTTATTACTGGCTTAACGAGGTAAAGGAGTACATCTGTCGGGGGTCGAACCCCGAACCACCTGCGTAGTTGGCGAGCATTCTACCGCTGTACCACAGGAGCCTGGGTTCTTAATCTTGGTAATATCGAGGCACCAGTATGAGAAGCCTATACATCACTGTTAGGCAGATCACTACGGCGACTTTGAAGTGAATGGACATAATGCGAACGATCTAGCCTTCGGTTTTCTCTACCTAGATTAAAAACACGACTTCTAATTATACTGTTAGAAAGTCATTTGGACAAAACTACACATTATATATGCTATTTAAATGCAAGAACTCATGAGGGAACTTGAATTTGCCAAGAGACTGGTTCGCACAGATGGTGGTTTAGAATTCAAGTGGTCTCTAATGATTCTATCCTCCATGAGCTGAGTTTAACTGGGTACTCTTATGACAAGCTCTGAGAACAAACGAAATATCATTTCATTCTGGCTAGCAAGCATAACTAATCAACGTGATAGGGGTGGTACTCAACTACTCGAAATTTATCAGTAGTATGAAACATTATATCAAGTGATTGTTTCAGTGGAAAGCACCTTTTTTAAATCACTTAAATCATAAATTTATGCTTAGAAGAATTTGATTGGTTGGTTGATTTCAGGTTGAGTATGATAACAGATACTTGCCAACGACGTTGGAAAGTGATGGCGTTCGATATTTTGCAAGAATTGAGGGAAGTTAGAATCTATAAGTCATCGGCTGAAGCTTCAACGAACTAGCTTCTCAATCGTAGGTTCTAGGCTCGATCCCCGATGGGCCGTAGGTGTGGATCGTTGAGGAGTCACGAAGTCGGACGAAATAGCTCCCCGGTTTTCCCTGATTTTCAATGGTATTCAAATATAACGCGATAATTCTTCTATTTCTCCACTGAAAGTTCCAGATGCTTAAATCTGTTTAACTATTGCTCACTTTATTTTATGCATCGTTGAAGCATCATTTCATCATTATTTCTTTCTCTAGGTTCATCACCTCCTGAAGCACCTGAAGATGATGAAGTCAATCGTAAATTCCCCTTACCGACACCATCAATTTTAGATACGCCTGAAATGGCAGTTTATGAAATAAAACGAGATCCAGAAAATCCTCAAATTACATTGATTTCTGGTCAAGTGAAGGTATGTTTAATATTACAAGCTGTCGGTGTACAGTTTTTTTGTCTTTGAATGTAAAGTCGATTCACATAAACGGTTCATTTTTAAATGAGGTCAATTTAGTCTTCATAACAGGTAAAATGTTTTGTTACTTTAGCATTCGGTGATGTATAATTAAATCAGGAAATTGCATGATACAGGAGGCTTTTTCTCTGTATATATGAAGCGAATCAAGAAACCGACTAACTCACCGAGTCTGACGGACTCCAGTAAGAGTAGATTGTTCGAAAAGGTTATCTAAAATCAAAGAGAGTTAGACTTCATAGACTTCCACTTGAGCACAGGACAATATAAGGTGTTCATTACCTTCTCACTCGTACACTTTTGTTCGAAAAGTTGTAGTCTAGTAATGGGAACATTTTATGGGTTCTGTCTATATACATATCTGTCCCCGAAACTCCATATGAACCTGTTGGTTTCCAAGGTAACTTGTATTTCCTGTCGATTGATTTTATTCGACTGAAAATACTGAGTCCCCGTTGACATACTGGCCTTCCGAAAAGATGATTTTACGATCTCCGAGGAGTAACAGGATGTCATTTTGGGCTAGTGGTGACTAGTAGCGGAATCCAGGATATGAATTTCATTCTATTTGGAACTCGTCAGTTTGGTGTGCTTTCATCTCCAATGGGTGATCTTATTCCTACTGAGAGTCGTCATCTGTACAGCACGCTTCAAACATCATCTAGGCGTCTGTAATGGAGGCCAACGTGTAAAGAGAGACTTATCATTTCAGTACAACAGAATCAATAGATGGGGAATGCAAATTAAGCTAAAACGTATACTAAGTGATACCCGCTGAAGGAAGGGTGGCTCTTGTAGCCCAGTTTCTTAGTGCATCATGGTTGAATATTTGAAACAGTAGGTGTTGGGTTTGAGTCTCATTTGGAACGTCATCACTCACTGCAAATGCAACCAAATCCGGCTGAGGAACTCCAAATATGAAGAAATGAGCATCACTGAGAGGTTAATGTTGACAGAATTCGGCGTTTTCCTGCTCTGCACCCCTGTCTCTCAATGTCACACCTCTACTTAATCATTAAACATTTGATAATTGTAAATTAACGTGGTTCCAATGCGAATGTAAAGAAACTAAATGATGAAATAGTCTGATCAAAATTTGTCTTATAAACGAGACTAAGCGAGATATATTCATTTTAGCAGATTAGGAAGGTGATGAACTGCCTCAAGACTGCGATCAATGTAAGCCACAGAAAAGCACTTTTTAGACCTATGAGGTATTGTTTTCTGGGTTATCCGTTTTAATTCCTACCATCATCCTGTTTTTATTATTGATTATAATTATGACTGAATACCGATTGACCAGACCACTAAAGAGAAATAATAATAATAGTGAGAAACGTGACCAGTAGGGTGCAGCAGGTCGGATGTGAGGACAAATACTCGCCGAGGACATTGGCTAGGGGTTGCGCTATATCGTGAATTGGCAGAAGTTAGAATTCATGGGCTAGTCATAGGATCGGGTCCCAGTGGCTGAATGATCTACGAGCTAGCTCGCCTTGTAACCAGAAGGTCCTGGGTTCGAACTATGGCGGTGGGTGCATACTGATGAAGAGTCCAAAACTAGGACAAAACAGCTGTCCAGTACTTCCAGGTTTTCCAATGGTTCTCTAACTAATGTCACCTCATGGTGAATTCCTGTAACCAATCAAACCCCTACAAACCAACACTTGAATAATAATACTTCATTGTGGAGACAAGTAGCTGAGTTAAATTGGTACCCTGATATACATCAAAAAAACATTGTCACAGACTGCAACAGATGTGAGTTCACCCTTGATGACTAAAGTTACTATCGCTATTATTACATTTGAATCAAATTTGTAATCTAAAAACTAATTCGAGATTTTTAGTCCACAGAATGCGAGGTGAAAATTCCCTACAGTTTCCACTGGAAACCAAAATTAGTCAGAATACAAAATGTGTGATTGCCCTGTTAGCATAAGTGGTAATCAATAAAACACGCACAAATGTATGAGTAGTAGTCTGGATGCCACTGATGTCAACCAGTAGGGCTGTAAGTACAGAAGACAAGGCCAGCCAGGCGACATATTGTTTATTGAGAAAATCAACGGATATTTATAGATTTTTATGTACATTATTATTAGCGTTATTGTTGACAGAGAAGCAACGTCTTCTGATTGGTTGTTTTCGTGCTGAAGGTTATTCTGCCATCTCTTTGTGGCAGTTTCTTAGAAATTCAGGCCATATTTCTGCGAATCGTATTTATCCACGTTAAGTCTGCTGTGATTGGTTGATGAGTTCCCCCAGGTTAAGCTTTGTTATTTTTTTTTTCTCATGACCCCGATTCGGGACGCGAACATCGGCTTAAGTTTTTGTCTACAATTCTGGCTAATAGACAGCTCTCATCGCAGGGCTTGTTAGCGGAGTCGAATCGCTCTAAACAGAGGACAGCCATTTAGCCTGTTGGAAACAGAGCGCTGTATCCGGTTTAACTCAACGCAGTGCAAACCACCCGAATTTTGGCTAGTTACTTAGGTGAATTTGATTCACTTTACCCTAGTAACGAGACAGAATCCAGGAGGTTTCGGTTGACTCGTCTCTCTGAACTGTATCAAACCGGATTAATATGCCCCCAAAACAGCTTTCCCATATTCAAATTTCATACATTTGGTTCCCTTGATAAATTTCGATAGAGATAGATCAGATTTGCAGTATAAAATGATGTCATCATTCTATTTCACGGGTTCTCATCAGCTACCTGCAAACTACCTGAAATTACAATGGTTATAAATAATAACACTTCATACTTCAATGTTTGAAAGGTAATAAAGAAAACATTATGAGATGAATGCATCCGGAATATAAGTATTACAATTTTTAGTTTAAGTTACCATCAATTTATCTGCTATCAAGCTATGAAAAATGGGGGTTGAGAGAAGACAGGAAAATCTAATAAGCAATGTTAGCTAGTACGTCAACATGCCAGCTCTAGAAGGTTAAAGTTCATCAAATTGAAATATTGCTTGTGAGCTGAGCTCACTATGTATGACCAATCAGTGTAATAAAGGTAATGCGATTACCAAGGCAGTGAGAGATTGACTACACTGTCTTTCTGCATGTGCATAAGTTTGTTCTGAAACGCTTGATTGAAATTGCTTCAGCAGTAAATCGTAGTAAATTCGCTGTCCTTTGTATGTTTAATATTTTAAAGGATTTGGAAATCTCGACGAAATGATCCATATCCGCAGAGTAGGTGTCTGTTAATTGCACTTTGTAAATATTTACTTCCTTTTAAGCATAAGTTTTTTGGCATATGCTGTGAAAACCGGATGGAAGCCCTTCTTTCTGTCCTTCCAATGCACTTGCTGCTGTAGGTGCACATAATTTTTTAAATGCAGTTGGAGGTAACATCAGCAGAGTGACTTATCCAATTTCAATTGGCCTATAGAGCATGTAGTGCTGTATTGCGTCACCAGCTTATCTGCACCGAAGCATCTCTATATTGCTCCTTTCATCCTCTTGTCAATCTTTTGTGATACTGCTTCACCTTTGAATGGTAGATGAAGGAATACTTTCTTCTTTTCAGCTGTTGGATAATTCGCTTTCTCATCAACTTTTTTGCTGTACTTTAGGATAAATCCCTTTTGATACCCGTTTTCTTTAGGGCATTTTTCAACAAATCTTAATTCTTCTTCTACCTTGTTAGGCGAACATAATATCCTGGCTGTGTCGTGCTGTGTCCTTACTAATTCCCGCTTGTAGCTTGTAGGGGAGAAGCTGTTGTAGTGAAGATATTGCCCTGTCCAGGTTTCTTTCCTGTAGATGGACGTTTTGACAGTTCTATCGTTTCTTCTTTTTACATTTAGGTCCAGGAAATTGAACTCGTCATTGTGTTCATATTCCATGGTGAATTAAATGTTTAGGTGGATCTCATTTAGGCGGTCAAATAATACGGTTGCCTGACTCATTTCGTTACAAACAACAAACGTATCACTGACATGTCGGCGATCGTAGGCTGTTTCTTTGATAGCATCACTCAGTCGCGTCTGAAGATGTCGGCTAGAATAGGTCCTAGAGGTGAACCCATGACGACCCCATCAATTTGTCTGTAGAATTAGTTGTTGAACTTGAATTTGATGTCTTTTGTGCAAAGAATTATTAGGCGCCTCATCTCTATTTCCAGTAATGGCAATAGATCTGTTTGTTTACAAATGATATTTAAATAATTTTGAGATTTTGTCAGCAAGCACTAATAGCTGATGTGAGTGGTATCTAGCTACTTATATCATTCAATCAGTAGTATGTAAAATTATACGAATTTAAAATATGGTTGATATTTTGCATCTTGTCATACCAACTAATCCAACCTACTCATTGTCATAATTATCCTTTTTAGCCTGATATCCTAGAGGCATATCATACCGTCTGGCAGTCAGTTAATGGTACACCATTCGACACAAAAACAGAGATTACTGATACTGCTCGTGGAGCTTTTACAGTTCGTCTTCCTATACCATATGAATCAGTAAACTATGGAAATGAAACAATTATTGGTTATTTTGTCGGTAAAGATCCTATCTATACACCATATTGGACAAGAATGACAGAGCCGACTATAGTCGACACAGAAGCTGGAGAAAGTGAGTTTTGATTTTTTGCTTTTAAACAATCAGTGATTGGTGCTCTTTCGTGGTTTTCAAAAAGGAGAGATTAAAGGGGGTGAAAGTTATTTGAGTGTTTGTGATTGAGCTTCAGGCTCATTGATTTTCCCGTTGAACACAAAGAAACCTTTGTTGAGGAAGATATGTTGAAAACAAACGTCGAAACAGAGTAATTCTAGGTCTTGGAGGATGATGCTAAACTTAACACATATCTTCGTGCTAAGTAATCTACTGTATAGCAGACTATTGTATATTCCCGGATAAACCTCAGCAAGGTGATTCGTTCGGTTCTCATAAAAAAATATAAAAATAATTGAGACTTGACACATCACTTATAGTCAGAATCGGAAAGGTAAGATACTTTTCTATGGTTGGTTTGTGAGGATTAGTTTTGTTTTTACGAGTTGATCACGAATTGATATCAGTTAGAAAACCATTGTGTGAGTAGTTAGTACAGCGGTTAGGACGCTCGCCAACGACGCACATGGTCCGGGGGTCGATCCCCAGCTGACGCACTCCTACAACCTTGCTGAGCCAGTTATAAAGGACGAAAGTTCGGGCATGAGGCTAGCAACTCCATCCTGTAAAAATAAAAACACTGCCACAGAAACTTCAAGCCTCTAGCTTAAGCCCTATGTTCCACTGGGAACGTGAAGGAATAAAAGAGGAGGACAACTGTAAACCAACATCAAGTACTGGACAGCTGTTTCATCCTAGTTTGAGAATCATCGGCAGCACGCATCCACCACAGTGGGGGTCGAACCCAGGACCTTCCGGTTACAGGGAAACCTACCTTGTATCCCATTCAGCCACTGGGACCCGATTCCATGGGGTCATGAATTTTAACTTCTACCAATTCGTGATCCAGTTACTTTTGAGGTTGGATATCCCACCGACGACACTGGTTGGGGTCACGCTAGATCACGAATTGGTAGAAGTTAAAATTCATGACCCATGGAATCGGGTCCCAGTGGCTGAATGGTATACGAGGTAGCTTTCCTTGTAACCGGAAGTTCCTGGATTCGACCCACACTGTGGTGGATGCGTACTGCCGATGATTCCCATACTGGGATGAAACAGCTGTCCAGTACTTGATGCTGGTTTTCAATGGTTCTTTAATTGATATCAACCCGTGATCAACTAGTAAAAAAGATAAGATACACCTTCATCAACCTGAAATCAGTTCTGAAGTCTTCGTCAGTAACTCAGCATCAAGAACAAGATTCGAATTTTTAACACCAGTGTCAATTCAGTTCCTGTATATGGGTCAGGACCTTACAGTGCGCGTCACAAAAAGCATTTCCAACAGACCTCAGACTTTTATCAACAGCTGTCTTTTCTGGCACCATTTTGAAGATAATGTGAAAGAACTTAGCAAGAACCTATCGTTCAACAAATATATAAAAGAAAATGAAGATGGATAGGCCACATACAGAAGAGGCCGTTGAATGACATCGTGCCAAGCCATTGCTTCAGTAGAGTCCGAATGGGAAACGACAATTGGGACGTCTGAAGATGACATGGAGGAGATCGTATGGGGAGGAGATGACGGGCTATGGGCAATCATGACGCTAGCCAAAGAGAACTGCAGAGAAAAAGACAAAGTGGAGATGTGCAGCTGAAGTCCTATATTCCACTCGTAACCCAAGGAATCAATAATAACAGTACATCACCTAAATCATTTGTCATAGCTTGGGAGCATTCACCAATAGTTGCCTTCGCTCACTAGTGAAGATCATATGACCAGCCAGGAAGGTTAATCAACAAGGAACTCCGAAAGTAAGTGAACCGGTTCACTGCCTATCACCCAAAAATTATGCAGGTAAAATGGAAATGGATTAAAAGTACTCTGAGAAGATATTGTAGTGGCCCAACATTCCATACCCTTGAGTGGAACTAGAATAGGAACTGATATGTGTGGGAGGAGTGGGAATGAAAGTCTATAGATAGTCATAGAGTCATTTGGAAAAGATGACAGAGAACCAAGTGTAATGGCGACATCCAGTTCTTTATTTCACTCAGTACATAAGGAATGAAAAACCGTATTTCAGGTAGATTAGAAATATCGTCTTGCGGTTAAGTATCAGCGAGACTTTACCTCATGAGTCTGTGGGTTACGACTTTGAACCCAAGGCTATCTCTTCTGAGTTTAAAGATGACTGTGACTGTGTCGACAGTTTTCAGCTAAACCCTATGTCGAGTATTAAAAGATTATAAGCAAAGTATTTGGTCAAGTCATTATTGATAACTATGAATGTCTTTAAAGAACTACCACATACAGTAATGATATAAGGAAGTTAGTTGTCACCTAGCAACCTGATTTTATCGCAGGAATAATAATAATTAATAATAACAGCTTTATTCCAAACAGTATTTGTGGTACAGGTATGGAATTTTCAGCGTGCATTACAATATTGCATATAATTACCTCATAAATTTTTACAAGATTTTAAAAATAAAAGCAACAACAACAAAAAGAAAAAAAGATAAAAGAAATAGAAAAGAACAGCATTGTATTCACATTTTAAACAATGCACCACAGGATATGAAATATAAAATTAGTGTGTAATAGAATATGTGAGCAACAATATAATAGTAACAAAGAAAGGAGAACAAAAGCTAATGGGAACTATTTGTTAGAGTGCCGCAGTAAGTTGATCGTGTCATACCTAACGGATTTCTCATCACATAACAGCTGTGCCAGATAAGGTATTGTGGAGTTTTTGTACTTGGTAGTCCTAGCATACAGCCTCCTATAGTTGCTTCTAATTCTACCAGATGAAATGCAAGGAGAGAGCTGCGTATAGACAGGGTGTTCGGGGTCTGACAATATAGTATTCGATAGTTTCTTACATGACATTATATGTCTATCCACAATGGTGTTAACCAGCTGGTTTAACGAAATCCCACTTGCCCTACTAACAGCTGTTAGGGCCATACGCAGCAAAGCAAAGTCTTTCTTAAGTAGTCCAGGAAAGATTAATGGGGAGCAGTAAAGAGGGATGGTTAGAATACAAGAATTGACAAAGTGAGAAAGAAAAGACTGCTTTATACCAGACTGCCTTAACTTCCTAACGTAGAACGTTAAGCGAAACATCTTTCTAGTAACTAGCAAGATATGAGAGGACCAGGAAAGATCGGAGGAAATAATAAGTCCAAGGTACTTGACGTTAGATGCAATTTCAACCTCTATGCCATCAATGATAGTGGGACCATGTGAGCTAGCTAGTTGTTGTAGGTCACGTTTTCGTCTGAAAGTGAAATTTACTACCTGATATTTAGATGGATTCAGCTTAAGACTGTTTGAAGAGGACCACTGACTAATTTCCTAGAGAAAGTTATTTAATTTGGAACAATCTGACTGAGAGCTGACCACTTGAATACCACATTTTTAAATTCTTCCCCAGGTTGTTAGTTTTATTCTTTGTAATTACTTTCAAATGATGACTCATGTATCCTCTCGATTTACTTTGAAATTTTAGTCTCCCCAGATGACATTCTCAATCCTCCTGCTGAAGTAACTATTCCCTTCATGCAGCCGTATACTATCCGAGTGGGAACAAAACCAGGCAAAGAAGATATCAGCGTGATTTGGAAAAAAGTTGGACCACTTCCTGAAACAGTAGTTACAGAAAAGAAACCTGATGAAGAAGTAGAACCAAAAGAGATTGATATCAGCCTGCCTGAAGGTATTACACCAGGTAAAACAAATCTTAATATTTGGGCTGCTGTTGAACAACATGAAGGTGTTTATGAAGGTACTGTTGTCCGTGATCGTGATGGTGTAGAAGTGAAACGTGTTCAGACAATTATCCGTGTTAAACCAATGAGTCAAGGTGGTAAAACAGAATTAGGTCTTGCTGAAGCAGCTGAAACTATTGAAGATGATACTGATGGTGATGATGAAGAGGCGAAAGAACTTCAAACATGGGATTTTACAGTTAGCGGTTTCACACCTGAAGCAAGACACTGTGAACATCCTACTTGGACAGTGGTTGATTATCAAATGAATAAGACTATTGATGTAACAGATAAAGGTGAGTAATTTTCACTTCTCAGTTCAATGTTTAGCGATTCACTGACATATTTTTTTAGGCCTTTGTATAAGGACGTCAATTTAGCCTAGTGACTTGGATTTCATGGATGAATCTACGAATGAAGAGATGAAAGTGGTCACTTTACTGAGTCACATTCTCGTAGCAGTTGTTCACAAGCTGTAATAACTAGAGTAAAGCGATTATCCGGTTAGCACCTGAGTTTCGTAGCACAGTTTCCCAGAGCTCCTAGTTCGAATCTTGCCAATAACCTAATTTTACTCCTCTTAGAAATCATAACCTCTTTTGTAAATGTTTAAATAATCCTCAGTGTTTAATTATTTCTCCTTTCTCCTTCTTCTATTCAGTTGATCGTACTTCAGCTACACACTTCAAGGTGAATTATCCCCTAACAAGTGGATTATATCTTCGATTTCAATGTCAACCAATACCGAAAAGTAATCTGACTGGAGAGATCAGATTTAATGTCTGTAAGTTGTAATAAATTAAATTTTATGCAAAATCCTCATTATTATTTTAAATTGATGGTGACTAACAGTGGGAAGCATCGTTTCAACTACAGGCGGACAAAACTGACGAGGATATCAAAGCAAGGATCGGAAAAGCAAGACAAGCTTTCACTACTCTCAAGTCTGTGTGTAGGTCGACAGCTCCACTCAGCATCAAAAATAAGATTCGGATTTTCAACTCCAATGTGAAGTCAGTCAGTGCTACTATACGGTTCAGAGACATGAACTGCTCATCATAAAGAGCACCTCAAACAAACTACAAACCTTCATTAACAGTTGTCTTCGCTCAATACCACTGAAGATCAGATGGCCAGAAAAGATCATCAGCAGGGATCTCTGGCAATGAGCGAGCCAACCCAGCAGGAACCGATTGTGAAACAAATAGGTAGGAAGAAATGGAGACGGATTGGCTGGCCATACTCTTAGGAAACCATCAAGTGACATCACTAGACAAGCCATTGCTCGAGTGGAACCCGACTGAAAGGGAAGCGGCGAGTTGGTCGTCAGTGCAAGGGTGGGTGACTTGGAGGAGGTCATGTGAAGAGGAGATGAAAACGTGTGGGCAGATTGGAGCCAGGTGAAGACTCTAGGAGAGAACCGAACGCAGTGGAGACGCACGGCTGAAGCCCTATGTTCCTCTAGGAAATAAAGGAAACAATTATAATAATAACAGTGAAATATAAGAGGAGAGTTTCGTCCCTTTTTGCATGAACTTGTCAGCTGGAAGTATCCATCTTCTAATGAATGATTGTTGTCACATTGTGACTTTATTTTATCATAAAAGACATATTTGTCCATGGGCAAAGTGTATGCAATGCCTATTGCGTAACCGCTATGATCAAGAGACACCCAGAGAAAAGTTACTCATGTCATTCTCGAAATTAACAGTCGTATAAATTAAGAACACAATATTCAGTGAAGAGACTCTTTTCAACAACGAATTTATTGCATGGAGGGTTTCATCATGAGCTGACATCAGTTAGAGAACCACTGGAAAACCAGCTGGGAGTACTGGACAGCTGTTTCGTCCTATTTGCAAGTATCCCTACAAAACCAATACTTCCAAATTAATCTGATGCTCACTAGTGACTGGCCCTATTCAGGCAGTTAACCTGGGGTTCTAGTGGGAAGCCGTGACCAGTAGGGTACAGCAGGTCGAAGATGAGGACAGTTACTCATCGAAGAAGACATTGCGAAATGGTCGCGCTATGTCGTGAATTGGCAGAAGTTAGAATTCAAGGACCATTGGATCGGGTCCCAGTGGCTCAACGGTCTACGAGCTCGCCTCGTAACCAGAAGGTCCTGGGTTCGAATCCCGGTGGGCGCGTACTGCTGAGGAATCCCAAAATAGGACGAAACAGCTGTCCAGTACTCCCAGCTGGTTTTCCAGTGGTTCTCTAACTGATGTCAGCTCATGATGAAATCCTCCATGCAATCAAACCAAATCCCTACAAAACCAATACTTGCAAACGAATTTATTATCAAGCTGTACAATCGTATATGCATGTGGTTTTTAAGAAATTATATCCGGTGACGGAATCAGATCAAAGATGTGAATATATGAAATAATAATAGTAGTAGTATGAAATGCAATTAAAATATTTGTGATTATAATCATAGTTAAATGTCAAGTGGCAAAACAATTAATGTCATATATAGAGTAATACATAAGGTGTATAGATGTTAGAAAGGGGTGCATAATTATGGGATTAGTAGGCGAATATAAAATGTTACATAAAATGGTGTGAAATTTGATAAGATAGAATTCAATATTGTAAAAATAATAATTTTGGATTTTGAATGACAAGTGGGACAAGTGGAAACAATTCAAAGTGAGAATAGTAATCATAATAATAATCGTAGTAATAAGGGAAAGGTACATAGAGTAACTAAATAAACAAAATAAATAAATAAATGTCTACCCCTCTACGGCGAAGGCAGAAGTAGGGATTGTATGTACTTCTTTTTTACACAAAGATCTGTCTGGCTTAAAGTCATGAACTGCCAAGGCCTCCTCTGTCTTTAGAAGCCTGTAAAGAAGAAAACGCAACCGGCAAGTTAGCATGGATTCGGTAGATGATCTTAAAATCATGGTCAGGGTTGACAGAGAGACAGGAGTCGATCAGGTGTTCTAGAATAGAGCTTCACACACACTTCCTTCCTCCCTTGTAAAAACACGCTGGAAAGCGTCCTCTAGCTACGGCCAATATATCTAGCTCTACAAGAGCAGGTGAACTGATAGACGCACATGAAGGCGGCCCTACGAGGGATTGTATCCTTTACAGCCGTATAAATGACGCTATTTTAGCAACAAAAGGAGTATTTTTTTACAGACCTATCACTGAACTATTGACTTCTAGACAGCAATCAAGAGATCTGTACGTAGTACAGAAACATTACTCAAGCAGAAACTACAATTACATTAAGCAGGTAAATTGAGTAACGTAAAGTAATTTCCAACAGTTAGTTTGTAGGGATTAGATTTGCCTCAGGCTTGATCATGAATTGGAAGAAATTGGAATTCATAGGCTGTTGGATCAGGTCTCAATGGATGATTGTTCTATGAAGTTGCCTTGTGACTGGTTAGTCGCTGGTTCGGTTTTAGTGCATTCGATTAGGATTTTCTGACAAGGTTCGAATTCGCTCTGTGCGTCAGTAGAAGTACAAAAATGGTCACGTTGTTTGACGGCGTCAGCAATTACTATTATTGTTGTTTCACTTAGTTCCTAGAGGAACATAGGGATTCAGACGCACGTCTCCCTTGCGTTCGGTTCTCCGCCAACGTTTTCACCTGGCTCCATATCTACCCACAAGCTTTCGTCTCCTCTTAGCATCACCTTATCCATGTCACCCTCACACTGATGACCAACTCGTCGCTTCCCACTGGGGTTCCACCCGAGCGATGGCCTGGCGTGTTTGGTGTCACTTGATGGTTTGTTTTCTCAGAGTCAGTCCACCTCCATTTCTTCCTGCATATTTCTTGCGCAATTGTTTTCTGGTTGGTTCGCTCCCAGAGACCTCTGTTGCTGATCTTTTCTGACCATCTGATCCAGAGTGGAGTATTGAGCTGAGACAGCTGTTGATGAATCTCTGTAGTTTGTTCGAAGTGTCCTACGTGACACGGCGCCAAGTCTCTGATCCGTATATTAAGTAGCACTGACGTCACATTGGAGTTGAAAATCCGGATCTTATTTTTCATCCTGAGTGCTGAGTGCTGTTGATCTCCACACAGACTTGCAAGTAATGGAAGCTTTCCTTGCTTTCCCTATCCTCGCTTTGATATCCTCATCAGTTCCGTCAGCCTGTAGTTGAAACGATACTTCCCAGATAGGTAGGTAGGTGAAAGAGGTTGTTTCTTTCAGACTCCTCCCGTTTATGCTAGATGATCGTTGTGTTTTGTTGTCGCCCTTGGTGTTGGCCAGGAATCTTCATCATCACCTCTGTTTTCTCCATGCTTACCTGAAGGGAAGTCCTATCTGTGGTGCTTCATCTGCCAACAATAATTGGCAGAAATGCAAACAGTAAATTATGTAAAATAAAGAATCATTAAAATTTCAGTTTTGTTCTTTCTCTGAGAACAAAAAATGTGTAAGAATAGGAAAATAAAAGAAATGTAACTCAAATAACACATGAATTTTAATGCCAGGCTTCATACTAAGTTTTCATGGATGAGAGAATCTTGTCTCTGTCTTTAAACCATACTATTTATTTACCTCCTGTGGGATAGCGTAATATAGACATCTTTGATATTTGATGGTTGGAGGCAATCGGCCCAGGAAGCCCTGCCAGTGGCCACCCACCAGTTAGCAAGGTGTATCTGCAAGCTTGAAGGAACTCATGCCCCCCGTGAGATTCAAACCCGCGTCACTTAGTGACTGCTGCAGTCAGAGACGCTACCACTGAGAAGCCATTCGGCCTCGCGTTTGACTTCCTGTAGGACTGTATTAGATGCTTCGATGGCCTCCAAGCACCTAATATCAGCAATTCAAAGTGCACCGTGATGGCGAGCCACCTAGAATCTTGGCCATATTGCATACTTGACTGACAATAGAATTTAGTCTGCACCGAACAAAGGACTAGACACATTACACTACTTACTAACTAGTGTCCAATCAAAACAGACATCTTTCTTAAGGACAGAAGGGACTTTGGGCTTTAAATGTAACTGTTGTGTACACTTGTTCGACAACTTCAAAGAATATCTATTTTCGATAGGTGTAACTGACAAAATTTTGAAACACTTAGTTCCCTTTATGAATTAAGTTAGACAAAGCCAGAAGAAGACATAATGCGTCCGAATCGTGCATTGTATTTGCGCAATACAGACTTGTCAAAGGAATATATACATACGTGTAAAAATAATAAAGGGTTTAGGGGTGAGAAAATTTTTCTTGTCATTACCTCTCATCATATCAGCTGTACAAATAGTTTCTAGAAATATTCAATTTTTATTTTTCCTTTTGTTCTCATTTTAGCCTCTCCTGATCCACGTATTATACTAAAACCGTTTTATGATAATCCTGATTCTACATTCCCAACAAGATTAGTCTGTATGGATTTGAATCCAGAATATGATTCATCATTACGCATAACATCATCTTCAATGAGTCAAGAAAAAATTTCCGTAAGTCTATTTATTACACTGGGCTGCTTTTGGCTTCATTCGTAGGATCATTCTAAAACTTGTTACAGTATCCTTCGCTCTGACTGATTTCCAGTGACTGTAGACGATTATGAAGAATTCAAGGATTGGTTTGTAGCGATTTGATTGATTGGCTACAGGATTTCATCATGAGCTGACATCGGTTAGAAAACCAGCTGGGAGTACTGGACAGCCCTTCCATTCTAGTTTGGGACTCTGCTGTAGTAGTCATCCACCGGGGTTCGAACCCAGGACCTTCTGGTTACAAGTGGTTGCGCTATGTCATGAGTTGGCAGAAGTTGGAATTCATGGGTTGGCCATTGGATAGAGTCCTAGTGGCTGGCTGGTCTATGGTCTATGGTCGCCTTGTAATCAGAAGGTCCTGGGCTCCCCCCTGTTGGTTGGTGCGTACTGCCGAAGAGTCCCAAAATAAGACGATAAAGCTGTCCAGTACACCCAGTTGGTTTTCCAGTGGTTCTCAAACCAACGTCAGTTCATGATGAAATCCTGTAACCAATCAAATATTATTTTTTGTATTAAGACCTCAACTGTCGAAAAAATCACAGAATTTCAGTCTCCTGCTCCCCATGCATAAAATAAATAAATGAGCTTTCATCACCAATGAAATTTTTACGAAACACCTTCTCATGATCTTATGAAATCTAAATGGCAAAGTTAAACTTGAAGCACTACTAACTACCAGTCAGCGAATGACCTCGAATGCACCAGTCACGTAAAGGAGGCACTTTTGTGTATGGGACATATATATTTATGAAAAAATGCATAAAATCTGTAGGAAAGTGTTGTAGAGGATACCTTGTTCTCACGTTTGATAAAAATAGCTCTCAGTTTTAGGTTGGAGTATCAACAGAGCATAATTCCATTGTGGGTAAAATTTATTTTGATAAAGTCTCATAGTGTCATACAGCAAGCAATATTTACTGGGCAATAAATTGTACTTGAAACGTCATCAGTAAGTGTGACTGTATAACACTATGAGACTATCAGAATAAATTTTACCCATAATGGAACTATACCACAGTGCACAAGTACTATTCTTATATCAACTGAGTAATTTAACCACATTCTATGCATGTAATTATTTAGGTCTTCTAACTAACCCTAACAATAACCCTAATCTTTCCTGAATCTAACCCTTACGTGAAAATATCCCTAACCTAATTGTAATCTAACTCGAACCAACTCTAATGTTGCCTTTATTAGGTTAACCTATTTTGTCTTTGGCACAAAGAATAACATAATCTTTCCCAAACCTAAGCTGAAACTTACCAGATATCCCATTTATTAGCATAACACTTGGATGAGCGTATTTTGATTGATGATGACAACATTATTTACCAGGTTTCACTGACTCGGTCAGTGAGCGTTTCAAGGTCATTCATTAGTTTAGACGCCCTCCATTGGTAGTTGGTGGTGCTTAAAGTTAAACTTGGCCATCCAAATATTTAACTAATATGAAAAGATCGATTTATCGTAAGCTGTCATGGAATGGTCAACTTACAAATTTCTACAGCTGGGTACCTATTGGTCGAAAACGAAGCCTGGTTCGGACGCTTGCCACTCACATTCGGCGAATATGTTGCCCCGATACTGTGGATGATGAGTTATACATCTTGAGGAAAATCCTATTAGAAAATGGATTTCCACCGCGTTTTATAGATAAGAATATACATTCAAATCCTAAAAAACGTGACTTATCAACCGTACCCAAGAAGATACTTTACATGAGCTTGGAATTCAAAGGGGACTTAGCTTCCGATATCATGAACCGAAGGATATCACAGTCCTTGAGAAGAACATTTCCTGCTGCATTCCTGAGAATAGCCTTTACTAGTCGACCATTAATATCCAATAACCTGAAGGACAAGATCCCGCTGTTGCCCAACTCTATGTGTGTTTGTCAATTAACCTGTTCGTGTGGAGCTTGGTATATCGGTCGTTCTACTCGAGTTTTGTCCAAGAAGGTGCAAGAACACTATCCTGCATGGTTACGAAAAGGTGGAAGTGAGCGATAAGAAGCGCGATCATTGAACATCTGGTCGATAATGATCACCCTATCTCTATAGCCTCCGCTTTTAAAGTCATCTACAAGGCAAAGAGTAATTTACCCAAATCCCTACGTACCCGACTCTGTATTGTTGAAGTTTTGGCTATCGAAACAGAAAAGCCAGATCTCTGTGTACATAAAAAGTTCATTCAACCTCTCCAACTTTCATGGTCTTAATCCCCCTATGCTAAAGTATGGTAATCCCCAATCATATTTTAGCTCCACCAATTTTTCATTTTTTCATTTTGTCTATTCAATTTGTAGTCTCTTCCTTATTAAGTCGATTGTTACTATTACTACTCTCACTTTTAATTGTCCCCGGTATTATTTCACTTGTTCCACTTGTCATTCTAAATCAGTTCTTTTATGCAACATTAAATTCTATGCTATTAAATTTCACACAATATTACGTAACGTTTTTAATTTTTTATTCGATTTGTCTACTAATCTTATAATTGCACACCCTTTTGACATTTTCCGAACCATGAAGGAAGATGCTCAGTAATGCGTTTGTTAAGCTGTCTAATTTTTCGCCCTATATAGGTCTCTCCACAGGAGCAACTAAATTTATAGATACACATAGATGTGGCATAGCAAGGTAGCTTGTCTTTCACTTCAGCAATCATTATTGGTCGGCTGGAAAATGATAAAGAAAAGGTGGCGGCAGTATAAGTCCGTTTTATCACTCTCGATTGCATGAACAGTTGAAAAGAAACAACTGCTCATGAAATTGCAATTTAATGTGCACGTGGCTAGCGAAGTCTTACATCTGAGATTATCGAGAGTGATAAAACGGATTTATACTGCCGCCACACATAGCCGAAGCTATGGGAATTCGAGATAACAATCCTAGTCTTTGCATACAACAAAAGAAGTTTGTTCTATGTTTGTCTCTCCCTTGCTTGCCTAGGTGAATTCTATTCAAAACCCTCCCACCCTTTCTTATTTTCCATCTCCTTCGTATTTTTATGTTATTTATTTAAAGTGTGGTTCTTTTCCCCAACAATAATAATATCGAAAACTCGAGATTTCCTCAGCTTTGCAGTTAGGTGGCTTTACAGTCAAAAGAAATTCCAAATACGAAATAAATGCCGTAAAACAAGATTGACTAACCAATATTCAACTGTAAGAAGTACCTTAGAATTAAGGAGAATTTTGTCAACAAGTTGGGATAAGAACTCTGTCCTTAAGAATCACACATCAACAATTCTCATTGACAGACCAAGAACAAAATGAGCTTGATTCTGTGTAACAAAACCACATCGTAAAACAGCATAATATCACTGTATCACAGAACTACAAAGAGAAGCACCAAAATTAGGAATTAAACAGGAACAAAGAAGAATAGAAAGGATTTAGTCAACGGGTGATGTACGAATTTACGAACAGTGATATACAGTTTAGCAGGAAAGCGGATAATCATTGCAAAGTTGCCTGAAACATCCAAGTATCAGTATTATAATTAGATGGTTCAGGAGAGGTTTTTCAAATAATTATTCCTCTACAGTAATTTATACTTCAAAACGTTTCTGACTGCATAGGTTACAATTACTCCTAGACAGTCTGTTGTGTAATGAACAGTCCCTGAGTGTAGAAATCTACAACTAAGTCAGTCAGATCATTAGAAACTAAATACCTCAGTAGCAATTCGCTGCTTCTCAGTAATTAGTCTCGAGAGCAATTTTCTAAAACTCTATGCAGAAGTCAAGAGTGAGACGAAAGTTGATCAAGTGAAGTCTCAGAGCAAGAACTGATTGGTGCCGTCAAACGGTGATGGTGCGAAATCACAAATCGATGAGAGGTGGAATTCATTAGGTTATTAGATTCCAGCTTATTGGATTGATGGTAATCTTATTATTTAAATCGTAGAAAATTCCCATTGTAACATATAGAAAATCTAAACAAATGATTCAGCGAAGAGACTCTTTTCAACGAATTTATCATCAACGATTATAATCACAAACACTTTAGTTTTAATTGCATTTCATATTATTATTATTGTTTTATGCATTCACACCTATGTTTCAATTCCCTCACCGGATATAACTTCTTAAAATAACCATATAAATACGATTGTACAGCTTGATGATAAATTCGTTGAAAAGAGTCTCTTCGCTGAATCATTTGTTTTGATTTTTAATATGAAGCGAATATTGTACAATGTTCAGTGTTTAAAATAAACTTCCACAACAACAAAACAATTTACCCTGAATTTAAATTCAACTTTATTTCAGTATGCAACTGTTCCAGCTGACAAAGTGATCAAGATAAGAAAAGGTGATATACCGGCTAGTCGTCGATTAGAAATTGATTGGAGACGTATCGGTGAATTTGATCCATACAACGATGCTGGTTATTATACGTGTTTTGTAAATAACACTGAGACAAATGGATCAAGAACAATTAAAATCCCTGCTGATAAAGTTCCTATTCAGTGTAAGATAGATTTTGTCTTTTCAAGTGTGGTTTATATATTTATTTCCATTGTGGGTAAAATTTATTTTCATAAAGTCTCAGAGTGTTATACAGTAATGTTTACTGATGACGATTCGAGCACAATTTATCACTGCTCATAATCACTTCAAGGTACTACTCACACAACTTTCCAACTTCGTTTACATAATTCCATTATTTTCCATCTCTTGACTTGATTGGTAGTAGTATTTTCCATATTTGTGGTTTGAGTGATGATTCATTCCCATTGCACGTGTTGGGTGTAGACTGGACGATTTAGTAATCAACCTCTCTCTCGACCTATATTACTGCTTAGATTTTTATCCCTCTCTTACCACCCTATTGTGTCGTTGTGTGTTAATGCATGCAGTGCAATTGCTGAGTGTTTGTTTTCTAAATTACTTATCTTCATGGGATCAGTCATTCTAACTTTAGCTAAATTCTTATGTGCTGACGGGCAATCTCACAAATCCTGACTGATATACTAGTTTGACTGACCTATGTAGTTGCCTTAACTCACAGTCATTGCAAGGTATTTTGTAAATTGTATTATTTTGTGTAATTAGGTGAACCGACAAGGTCCTTTAACTTACAGAGCTTGTCCCTGCCTGAGTGAGTTTGTAGGCTTAAATACCACCCTAATTCCTGCTTTATTAAGAATCCTACGTAGGGTCTCAGAAGTCCCCTCCTTATATGGTCATACTGTAACAACAGAAGGCAAGGGTCAGGAAACAGATCGTTTATTAAGGAAATCAAAGCATATTTATATATTTTCATGTACACTATAATATATTAGTTAAGCAACCAAACACAGTCTTCTGATTGGTTGTTTCTCACTTAAAGTTAATCTTTCATCTATTTGTGACTGTTTCTTGAATGTCAAATCATCTATATGTTGACTGTATCCGCCTACGCAAGGTCTGCTGTGGTCGGTTTTGAATCAATCTTTGTTCACATTTTCTCACGACAAATCTTGGAAACGTAAATATTGACGTAAATTACTGTCTACCAATTTGGCTAGTAGACAGCTCTCACCACATCAATAGTTTATATTTAGTTGATGGGTTCGTGAAGACTTAATTAATTTAAATTGTTTGCTGCTTGTTCAATACCAGAATGCTGCATAGTCACGCGCATGATTTGGATTCATTTTCCAGCCAACTAGTTTCTAAGCTTCGTTTAGTTTGTCAGTGGGCAGTAAGCCTGGAAAAAGGGAAAGTTAGGCGTTAGAATAACACCACACTCTTATGGTGTACTTGGAATGCAAAGGGATGATATTATATGATTGCATCAATTTAGGCTCCGTCATAAAGTAGGGCAAAGCTGTTGTCTAATACATCTTGATTTCCTTTTTTTGATTCCATACTAGTCAGTAACTAGTGTAATGTGTCTAGTCCTATCTTCGGTGCAGACTGAGCTCTATCAGTCATGCTTGCAATGTGGCCACCATGCTAGGTGGCTCGCCACTACGGTGCACTGTAAAATTGTTGGCACTCGATGGCTGGAGGCAGTTGGCTACAAGAAGCCCTACCTAACCTGGGTTTCGTGCTAGATGGCACTCATCAGCAAGGCGTACCTGCCACCTTGAAGGAACTCATGTCCCTTCTGAGATTCGAACCTGCGTCACCCAGTGCTGCAGTCAGAGACGTTACCACTGAGCTATTCAGGCTCAATATGCAATACAGTCCTACAGGAGGTCAGTCGCGAGCCTGACTGTGGCCGACTGCCTCCAACCATCTAATACATCATGATTTCATTAGCACCCTAAACGGTTCCAGTATATGGAGGGAGTCATAGCGGCATTCAAAGTTTATGCTTAGTTTTGAGCTGTATTCTAAAAAAATCTGTAAAAGCAGGCATGAAAAAAATAAGGGAACATGAACGAAAAAGGTTTGTATTATACATCGACAGAGTATGCTTAATCTCCCACTCTCTGTCTGTCTGCTGTCAGTCGTGTCCAAATCAAAAATTAATATCATTAGGACAGCCTGCTGAAATGATGGAACACTGGACAGCTGTTACTTCCTAGTTTGAGACTAAGCATCAGTAGCGACTGAGACCAGGATCATAAGCTTACGGCGTAAGCCACCTGACTATTCATTCAACCGTAGGAACGTAATCTACTGGCCTATGAATTCCAAGTTTTAATAAATTGTTGCACAGGATGGATTTCCTGGAACTACAGTGAAAATTCGTGATTATTGGCTTCAACAAGTTTATCACGAGGAGGGATAATCGCCGATGACGCTGGCAAATTTGCAGAAGTTAGAATTCAAGCATCCTTGGGTTGGCCTCCTAAGATAAAGATCCTGTGTGAGTACTGCTGAAAAGTCTCGAAATGGGACAAAGCAGCTTACTCTGATTACTGCTTTATTCAGTTAATTTTTTCCAGCTTTTATCTATTTCGAACTTCTACTTATTTTTTTTCAGTAGTATAAAATATAATCGTCATCAAATATATTACATCTTAACATAATTTCTGTATTTTTGTATTGTTTTTGTTTATTCAGTACCTGAAGATCCATTTACACGACTGTATATCTATTCACCGGATACTTATGTTGTTCCTGAAGCTGATGGTACAGGAGCTAAAGTAATGATTCCAGAAGGTGAAATGCTAAGGGTAAGTTTATAAGACAGTTATTTTTTATGTTAGTGATTTGAGTGAGTTTGAAATAACAGGTTGTCACTTAATATCAAATAATAACAACTTCTGCTTTGTATGATTTGATCACAAGCTTCTCATCAAATGCCTAATTATTGGATTTTTAACTGGTTGCATTCTTATTTCTTAAAAAGAAGGTAATACAGTGTATATATATATATATATATATATATATAAGGGAAGTCATCCACTTCATTGCTTACTGTGAAGTTGGTGTCCCTCAAGACGCTTTTCTCTTTCCTTTTCTGTTTCCCTTCTTCTTGCATGACTTGCCTCACATTTTCCCAATCAAATCGGTGTCCATGGTTGTGTAGATGCATTAATATGGAGGAATACATTTCGCACCTTTTAAAAGCCAGTTTCGGTTCATTAACTCGGAGTCGAAGGGGGTACCTACTGAGACCCCTAAAGTGCATATCGCAATTCATGCAGTGTATTTTGTAGATCATATTGATTTCGCCTTCTTTTGCTGTCAGGCCCTTTGGCCTACATAATACTGAATGAAGTGACTGTGTTGGTTTTTGTGTGTAATATCTATACCAGATGATGTTAGTACTCCAGTCATTATTTCAGAAACATCTTTCTCCTATGGTAGGATGAATTTCTTTTTGGGTTTTGAGGATGGTTTCCTGCTGGTAATTTGATTCGAGTTAAGACATTTTTTAATGAAAGTGTGAGAATATCCATTTTTAACTTTTCTATCCACTAGTTAGTGACTAGTGTAATGTGTCTTATCCTTTGTTTGCTGCAGACTGAATTCTATCAATCAGTTACTGAATAGTGTCCAAACAAAAGTATCTAATACAGGCCTACAAGAGGTCAATTGCGATACTTAATAGTTTCTCAGTTGTTACATCTCTGACTGCAGTACTCACTGGGTGATGCAGGTTCGAATCTCACGGGGGGACATGAGTTCCTTTGAGGTTGCGGATGATACACCTTGCTGAGCGGTGAGCGCCAACAAGCACAAAACCTAGCTGGGAGGCTTTGTGCCGATTACCTCCGAATATCTAATTCTGACAATATCTTTTTTTCAATGAATGAAATATCCTCATATTGAGTCATATGGAAAGACGTAAATAGTGAAGAAAATTTTCTTTTTGACGATTCATTTTCATGAGCTGTACAATCGTAGTTATATTTAACAAAGAAAACATAAGGCCACTCAGATACTGGTAAACTTTGTCTTTGAAAAATGTATTCAGTAATGTATTGTGTAACCTAGAAGGGGTGGCTAATTGGAAGTTTGAAAAAGGGACAGAAGTTGACATGACGTAATAAATGTAAGATAATGGCTCACCAGTAAGCTCGTGTAGAATGGACAGGAACTAGTGGAAAGGCGATAAAGTGTTTTTATATAAAATCTGTATAACACAGGAATGTTATAAATAAACAGTAATAGAGTGGCAATAAACTACGGATGATGAGAATAATATTGATAATAAAATAATAGTAGTAATAACAATAATAATAGTGAGCTTACTTAATAAAAGGCGCTAAATTATAGTAAGAACTTTATTCTGACCACGGTAGGGCGAGGGAATGTATGTAGCGCTTTTGAATGCAGAAGTCCGGTTTCAGATCTCGGATAGCCAATGATTCAGCTATGTACAGATTGCTTAGGCGAAGTCCCTTTGCATGATGTCCGGGGATGATAAGATGTTCGAGAATGGAGCTGCTGTTACCCTTCTTTTCTCCTTTGGCTAACCAAGCTGGACAATATTCCAGAATACGTTTGTGAACTTGGCATTGAGTACGGCCGATATACGTTGCTCCGCACGAGCAAGTAAACCGATAGATGCACATTGAAGTGGCCAAAATCTGTATTTTATCCTTAACGTTAGACTGGATTAACTGTCTGCTGGGGAATGTGATACGTAAAGTGGCTGCTGGAAATGTCTTCTTCAGACATTCAGAAAGGCGGTTTCCAATAATTTCTGCTGCGATATCACCACTGAATTCCAGGTTCATGAAGAGAGTTTTCTTAGGAAAAGTCGGGGGAATTTTGGCTACGGACGCTTCGCTTTCATGTTTTCCTGAAAACAGTTAATAAATATTTCTCTTTTATTCTCCATAGAAGTGCAGTGTGCTGTAGTGAGGCTTAGCTCTTTTGAATAATGTTTGTGCACAATCTGTTTTGTATCCTGTCGTATTTCTCATTCGATTAGGAATTTTTAGCGTTCACGATTTGATCTCTGACTTTAGGAAAATAAATTTCTTGATATTTTTAAAAATCTCTTTTTGTAGATTTATTGTGTACTCGAAGCTAGACCATCCGAAGAATTTACTGGTTGGCATCATACAAATCCTGAAATTGAAGACATCTTAAAAATTGATCATAAATCGTATTCATCATTAGCTAAAACAGAGAAAGCTGATTTAATCTTAGATGGACAAAAAATTGAATGTACACTTGGTCAAAGAAGTAAAGTAGTAGAATTATCTGGTAAGTTCAGAGAAAGATTATATTTTATGCATGATTATTTATTGTTGTAATCAGGTATATCATCTTCCTTATTGTAGTGGGTTGGGTCATGCACCAGACCATGAGGAATAAGAGAATGTGAATGGGTTGATCCACAATTAAACAAAATTCACTATTGGTATTCGATTTTGTTTTATTCCTTCACGTTCTCAGTGGAACATAGGGCTTCAAGCTGGAGGCTTTTGCATGGTCGGCGAGCGTCCTAACCGCTGTGCCACCTACTCACATTGGTATTAGATGGTTGGAGGCAACTGGCCACAAGAAGCCCTACCTGACCTAGGTTTCATGATAGTTGCCACTCACCAGTCAGTAAGGCTTATCTTCAGACTTGAAGAAACTCATGTCCCCTAGAGAGATTTGAACCCGCGTCACCTAGTGACTACTGCATTCGGATATGTTACCACTGAGGAGCTATTCTGGCTGGCGATCGGCCTGCGGTAGGACTGTGTCCAAATAAAATCCAATATTATTGGGGAAATCTTATGATAGTCATTCGTTTCCTTTATTTATGCACTATCATTTCTGAGATCAGTGATGAAATCAACAATACTCAACAAAAGGAAGAAGACCTGATGCCAAGTCATTGGTCCAGTGTGGTTCAGAAAGATAGTATATGCGTAATCAAAAGAATTTCCATTAGGCTACATCAAACTTTCTCCAACATCTCTCTTCACTTGATACCGAAGACCGAATGGCCGGAGGGAAAGGATAAGTCAAAAACTTATCGTTTAACATATACGCAGAAGCAAATGAAGATATACTGGACATACACTGAGGAAACGTTCAAATGACCGACTGTACCCGCCAGATATTTAAGTGGAACCCGAATGAGGACCGGTAACAAAGGTGATGCTAAGAACATTCCGTTTGGAGGAAATGAATGCTTGTGGCACAGTTATGGAGCTAGTCGAAAATAATAATGGGAGTTTGATGCTGAGATCTTGTGTTCTACTCGGAAATCAGGCGATGAACAACAATGATAATGATAATGTAGATTGAAGGATCATTATTCACTAAGTGACGTTTATTTGTAGAAACCTTCCACTAAACTTTGACGCTATTCAATGTTGTCTTGTATACGCCTACTCAAAAACAACGATAAATTTCAATTTGTAAGCAGTCACGTCAACTGGATGCCTAACATCTAAAGGAAATTTCCCTAATTTCACATTTGTAGACAGGAAGATATGAATGTCCTTGAATTTGAAGTGAGTTAGATCCTTTAGCATACTAGTCTGACCTCTTGTTGAAGTCTGTGGGCGACTTAGTTTATTCTTTCATTGTGTATGAGCAGTCGTTCATATTACTGAAAGCAGAATGATTAAGGCAATATTTATTTTTACGAGTTTGACCGCGGATTGATATTAGAACCATTGAAAACCAGCACTGGAGTACTGGACAGCTGTCTCGTCCTAGTTTTGGTAATCATCGGCAGTACACACCCACTGCCAAGGTTCGAACCCAGAGCCTTCCGGTTACAAGGCCAGCTCGAATACCATTCAACCACTGGAATCCGATTCAGTCGTTAGCCCATGATGACTAATTTCTGCCAATTCGTGATTTAGCGTCACTGGCACCAGCCAATGTCATCGGTGGGAAATCCATCGTCCCGATAAACTGAATGGACCCCACTGCTCACAACTTCTCACTAGAACTCCAGGAAACTCCGTCCTGTAGCAAGTCACTAGCCAACAATATTTATTGTTGCTGAGTTGTCTGAGGGGGATTTAGAACCGAAGATTCTGTCCATAACGACGATAAAAATCCCGCGGAAAACAAGATAAGACACATTTAAGTTGCCGATTCTCTCCATCATTTGCCATGTATATTCTTATTAAACTTTAACACAAATAAATTTCTTCCCCTATTTGCCCTTATGCATTTTAGTCATACCAAAAGATGAACGAAGAATTCATGCAAAAATCCTGAGTGATGCATTCGTCAATGATCGTTTAATTGGTATTACGGGAGGGGATTTGAATCTGACATGTGATGTTAAACGTGAGTAATGAAAATGTGTATTGTAAAAATAACTAATTAGTAATGACTACAATTCATTAGTTTTATTCATACCTAAATAAGGCTTATAAAGCTTTCTAATGAGTAGACTGAATGGTTAATTGAGGGCAACTAATATGACTTGTCCCGTCCTGAGTGCATGGATCTATGACTCGACTCCCACCCAATGGGTGGCGTCTTCGAACTTTGCTCCATCTATTGAGGTCTTGGCAGCCAAGTAGTATTGTGACGACAGAAAACAAAGGCCAGCCAACAGATTGTTTATTCAGAAAATCAACAGATATTTACAGATTTTGTCAGCGGAGAAACAACGTCTTCGGATTGGTTGTTTTCTTGCTGAAGGTTATTCTGTACTGCTTGTGACCGTTTCGCAGAAAGTTAAGCCATATATATGCGAATCGTATTTGCACACGTTAAGTCTGGTGTGATTGGTTGTTGAGTTCCTCAGGGTTGAGCTTTAACATTGTGTTTTTTCTCATGACCCCGATTCGGGACCCGAACACTGACGTAAATTGTTATCTACAATTTTGGCTTACAGCCAGCTCTCGCCACAGTATTACTAGACCTCACACAATAGGTACAACCTATTGCCAGCTACACAGGATTGAAAGTGGTTGCCGAATACCATTCATTCAGGCTATGTATCATGATTCTTTTCGAGACACTGAAGCCTTTTGAAGCTTTCTAAAGTTTAATTTTTGTTTTATAGATCCAGTAACTAAACTCAGTTGGATGTCTTGTTGCTTAGCAACCGTAGTTGAAAAATTCACCGTAGATTGTGATGTTAATGAATACATGATAACGGGGCAATCACAAAACTGTTAATCCTGAATTCCACCGCTTATGTAATCGTAGAGAAGACGATCTGAAATGGGACTAAATATCTGTCCAGCGCCCTTTGATTCTGGATGATTTTCCTTGAAGATAATTAAGTCATAGCGAAAATCAGACGGATATGGAAATCCATAGAAGCTGTCAAGCTTCTCTGAAAGGTTTTCAGAAATTTCCCCTGCATTCTTTTTATTTCTACTGCCGATGCCTTTAGTACATGGAAGAAGGTTAATTGACTACGTACATAAGATAACCTCATTTATCTTTAACATGATATTATGCACCGCTGAATGAATAAACTGCCTTCTGTAAGTCGGTTCAAAGCAAACAACTGAAGAAAGTCAAAAAATACGAGGTATTTTTCGGTGTTTCAACCATCTCCTTGGGATTAAAACATGTTCACTATTGTGATTCAAAGAATAGCTCAAAGCATACTACTTGTCTGGTCTTTTAGACTATGCATTCAAAGGGGTGGCTTGAAACCTCTCAAGTCCAGCAATAGTCCTTCCAAGTCAGATCAAAGTGATCCAAACACCACACAATCCTTTCGCTCATTTGGCTCAGAGCTTATGCATGATTTGTCCAGTTGTATGAAGCTCAGAGAGCTGAACTATATGAAACCATTCGAATTCTGGGTGGCTGATAACAAGAACCGATAATAGATGGGATCGAAACACAAAATTCTAGGCAAAAACTCACCATTGTTTCATTTCGATACCGAGGATATTTAGATCACTTTGATGTGGCTCGCAATCTTAACTGCGTCACTGGCTTTCATACTTCTCGTTTCGTTTAGTAGCATTGCAACGACAGCAGATAAGGGCCAGGTAACAGATCGTTTATTGAGGAAATCAACACATATTTATAGATTTTTATGAACATGATTGTCAGAAGAGAAGCAAAGTCTTCTGATTGGTCATTTTCTTGATTGTGACCGTTTCTTAGAAAGTTAAGCCATATATCTGCGAATCTCATTTGCACACATTAATTCTATTGTGATTGGTTGTTGAGCCCCTCAAGGTTAAGCTTTGTTATTTTGTTTTCTTCTCATGACACCGATTCGGGACGTAAATATTGACGTCATTTGTTGTCTGCAATATTGGTTAACAGACAGCTCTCACCACAGTATATACCATCATGGATTTATGCTCGCTTTCTTGATTGCTATTGACGGTCTCAAGAAGATCGCATATTTTGAATTTTTACTTCGAAACATGTTATTTACAAATGACAAATTCACTTTGTTCATAACATCAAATTTCTCTCTCCTCTCTTTTAATTAATTAATTAGATGTTGGTCGAAAACCTGCTGCTATAGATCGAATCGATTGGTATGTCCAATATCCTAATGGAATACGACGTGAGATTAAACGAACAAAACTAGCCGAGAGTATAACAACTAGTCCACAGGGTGATTGGATTTATTTTGTTCTGCTGTCGGATAAACCACAAGGAGTCAACGTATTTTGTGTTGTCCGCCTAGAAGATATTCAAAAGGCCACCCAAGCTTATTATTCATCACCACAAGTTAGTCTTTGGATACGTGAACCAAAATTGTTAGTCTATATTGATGGGGAAGATCGACCTGGTATTGTCTCTGGTGCTGAAACACAAACGCTAAAGATTAAGTGTATTGTGAAAGGTGAGTTTTAACAGAAATACACTGATTTCTTGAATTTATTTGATTGAGTTTACTCTACGAAAATGCTGCATCACTGTCAACATGTAGGTAGCGAGTAAAGGCATGTCGACTATGCTGTGTGGTTATTCGGATGTTATTTTGTTGATGTTAGCTAAAAATGGAATTCAGGACACCTGTGCCTTTCTACTTGGGATACAGTCACGTCCAGATGAGGAATTCAAAGACGGGCAAAATGAGAAAACGCATAAATCTATTATTATAATATCAATTCACTGTAAAATGACTCACAGATAGAAATATTTATCTAATAAGAACATTACCGATCCTTCATACACTTATTCGTCTTTATGAATTTGAATTCTAATGTTAACTCTCTGTATACAAATTCACATGTATCTTCCCCAGCAGTTGCATATGATTTTGATGTAGTTGTGTTCTCTGAGCTAGCTGGATGGTTTATTTGCGAAGCTTTCACTGTCCTACTAGGCAACATCTTCAGCGCATACTTCAATTCGTTGAAGTGAGCTTTTAGATTTCTCCACGAGTTTATTAGTCATCTCTCCTGGTAGGTGACCTTGAACGTGATTGGTTGTTTTTTGTTCTACCTTAAGGAAAATTGAAGAATGATATCCCATGGATGTCTTCCAAAAGAATGGATATCCACGGAATTTCATCAAAAGACATATACCCTCAAGCCAACCTATCAAATCAAAGGTTCCAACCAAGGAAAGCACAAGGAAAATCTCTCTAACATATATTAAGGACATCTCAGAAATCACTGCAAGACTCTTCAAACCTTTAGGAATTCACATCACACACAAATCAACAAAATCATTTCACTCAGCTGGATGTATGTCAACCAAAAGACTCAGCAGTGAAAGAAGATAAAACTAACATCATCTACAAAATAGATTGTATCAACTGCGAAAAACACTACATTGGCCAAAGTGGATGTCCCTCCTCTTCGTCTTCGTATCCATGAACATAAGCTAGCCGTCAAAAGACATGACATCCACACCCTCATATCGCTGCATACAGACAACCAAGGACATCAATTCGACTGGGACAACCAACGTTGAAATATTAGACAGAGGAAACATCAAGAATGCCAGAGAATTTTTAGAAGGCTGGCTGGTATTCCAGTGAATCGTCAATCAACAGACACATCGAGATAGACAAAAGTTACCAATCGATAAGAAGGAAATCTCACACACAAAGGGTCAAACTTCAAGTCAAAGAAACAATCAGTAGGAATGCAAATAGCCTAGAGGATGTGAAAACAAACGAAAGCAACCAATCACGACGTTGAACGTTACAAGGAGAGATGACTAATAAACTCGTGGAGAAATCTTAAAACTAACTTCAAATTGAGGTATGTGCTGAAGATGTTGCCTAGTAGGGGGAAATGAAAGCTTCGCAAATAAACTATCCAGTCCAGAGAGCACAACCACATCAAAATCATCCACTTGAGCTACAAATCCTCTCTATCATATCTAGTTGCATCTGAACATGTACCGAAATGCCCACGTCTCAATGGAACAAACGCTTTTAGTAATCCCACTATCAGGCACCCCTTCGATATGGGTCATGAAATGAACATTATGAAATTCTTTAAAAAGATCAATAAGCAAGATAGTTTATCTCTTCCACGTTTTTTCGAAGCACCAGCTATCAGTTTCCTGATTCCCAAATTAGGTATTAAGAAAGAAGCAGTTATCAGTTTTTATCTGACTTGGTAACTGGATGTCTTCGGTCTCCCTAACCTATTCGATTACGTAACCTTTGTCTTTAACCTCTTTTTATTTGCTTTAATGTAATTCCACTTAATTCTCGTTTACATGATTGGAGTTGAACTCGTCACATTGTTTCTCATCGTCTTATTTACCTCTTGTCTTGATTGCGTAACTCTTTTGCCACTGTACCCAAATCTCTGTTTTCTAACTTTATGGGTATAAACTACATGAGTATAAATTTCTGAGCACTATTTATTAATTTTGGAGTTGCCTTTCATTTGATATCATGTCACATCTGCAAGAGTATGTTTAAAATTGTTCTGCGTATAAACTTAATTGATTTTCCCAGGCTTTGCGCAGGTTATGAGAAGCTGACAAAATGTTGTTTTTGCTTTATTCAGACTACCGATTCATCGGTTAGAATTTCTACGTTAACCACAGAATCCAAGCACTTCAAACTGTACCTGAAGATGCCCAGTTGTTTTCAAATTAGTGATGAAATTCAAGCTGTGGTATCTATCACCAATATGAATCGCTGTTCTGACACATTAGATCAATAGATTACATTGGGTAAATTTCATCCAAGCGACAATTAGTGTTTGGTGAGGAGATAACCGAAAGGAAATCCTTTATACAGCTGTATCGATTCCTAGTATGAACGCCTGGACGGTTTCTGAAGTTTGTCATAATGATGTTCGACTGATTGTGGTCGGCGGTGAGATCAAAGATGTGAGATCTGCCACACAGAAGGTGGCAATCATGGCCTAATGACCTAATTTATAATGTTTTGACATTTGAAAAGCATAAATGGGAAGAATCTGAAAGAAATAACCTCCTTCACCTACCCACCTGGGAAGCATCGTTTCAACTACAGGCGGACGGAACTGATGAGGATAGTATCAAAGCAAGCATCGGAAAAGCAAGACAAGCTTTCACTACTCTCAAGTCTGTGTGGAGGAGGTCAACAGCACTCATCATCGAAAATAAGATCCGGATTTTCAACTCCGATGTGAAGTCAGCGCTCCTCACTGTACGGATCAGAGACTTGCACTGAGCGTCATAAAGAGCACCTCAAACAAACTACAGACCTTCATTAACAGTTGTCTTCTCTCAATACTCAAGATCAGATGGCCATAAAAGATCAGCAACAGGGATCTCTGGGAGCGAACCAACCAGGAACCAATTGTGAAGCAAATAGGCAGGAAGAAATGGAGATGAATTGGCTGGCCATACTCTGAGGAAACCATCAAGTGACATCACTAGACAAGCCCTCGAGTGGAACCCGAAAGGGAAGCGGAGAGTTGGTCGTCAGTGCAAGGGTGACTTGGAGGAGGTCATGTGAAGAGATGAAAACATGTGGGCAGACTTGGAGCCAGGTGAAGACTCTAGCGGAGAACCGAACGCAATGGAGACGCACGGCTGAAGCCCTATGTTCCTCTAGGAATTAAAGGAAATAATAATAATAATTGGAAGAGGTGGACGTTTGGTCCGAACATTGGTGGTTAGGCTAATACTCACTGGATAGGTTGAGTGTGAATTAGGACGAAAAGCGCATTAGCCACCATCAACCATTTGACTTATTTTCTCATTCAGTACTAATGACCCAGCAGTCACACACTATATACTGCTGTAACCCAGTAACATTTATAATTCTGTCTTTTATAAGATTTAAGTCATCATCGTTACAGGGTCTCTATGCCGTTGTCTGTATAATACTCAGAAGATCCGCTTCGTAAATTAGAATGACACAGGTGTACGACAAATGTGTTCAAAAAGGCTTCTACCGCTTGTTTTTTCTTTTCCTTTTTTCATTCACGTTCCCTCAGTGGAACATAGGGGCCTTCAAGCCTCTAACTTGAAGTTTCGGTAATAGTGGTGATTATTTTTACAGCATGGCGTTGCTAGCCTCAAGCCTCACAACCTTCCCTCTTTACCAGTCTTATTACTGGCTTAGTGAAGTAAAGGAGTGCATCTGTGGTCCAAGATCGAACTCCGGACCAAATGAGGAGTAGTTGGCGAGCACTCTACCACTGTGCCACCGACGCACAATGCAATGCTGCAATCCTGCACACCAGGACTCCGATGTAACCTCCAGGTCGCGACGTCTGCTTCTACTGTAGAAACTTATAATTAAATACAACCTTTTTGTTCCAATAAGAACATCAGTTTCCTCAAAGTCCAATATTATACACTGATAATTTGTAACAATAAACAAGCAATTTGGATAAACAAGGTCTTCGTAACAGTTTATGCATAACATTCAATGCCTAACTTACACATGATGTTAGCTAAGTTTCCCCATTTTCTATTTATAGATGCTTGGCGTAATAAAACTATCGATGATGCTGAAATTGATTGGGAAACAAAGGTGACATCAATTCAAGAAGAAATGTCAGACAATAATGAACGTGCTAGACCCCAAGCATCACCAAGAGATTATCCAATGTTAGGCGCTAAAGCATTATATGATCAAATGATAATAGCTGGTATACGACGTCAACCAAATTGGGTTGCAAGATTCAGATGTAAAGGAACAGATTTAAAAACTGGTGCAAGTGAATATTCAGATTATGTGAAATTAGAAGTTTTAGCTGGTGATACATGTAAGTTTTCTTTTAATATTGGGGCTTTTGATAAGAAATAGAAAGGTGTTAATCCTTATATATATATATATATATATATATATATATATATATATATAAATATATATATGTCCAAACCAAGTTCACTTTTAACAGTTTGAAAAAATGTGGGCATTGGGTATATGATATTCATTATAATAAACGTTTTCTTGGTTTTCAATGGTTCTCTAACTGATATCAGTCCGTGATCAACTCGTAAAAGATAACTAATCCTCACAAACCAAACTACAGAAAATTATTCTGATGCTCGCTAGCGACTTGCTACAGGTTGGAGCTTCCTGCAGTTCTAGTGAGAAGTCGTGACCAGTGAGGTCCAATTAGAAGTCATGTGTGTGGATGGATGTCCCACCAACGACAATAGTTGGGGTCGCGCTAAAATCACGAATTGGTAGAAGTTAGAATTCATGAGCCATTGAATCGGGTCCCAGTGGCTGAATGGTATACGAGCAAGCTTGCCTTGTAACCGGAAGGTCCTGGGTTTGAATCCCAGTGAGTGCGTACTGCCGATGATTCCCAAACTAGGATGAAACAGCAGCTGTCCAGTACTCCCTGGTTTTCAATGGTTCTCTAACTGATATCAGTCCGTGATCAACTCGTAAAACATAACTAATCCTTACAAACCAAACTATAGAAAGTTTTCTTGTATTTCTCAATGAATGAAAAAAAAACTATATTGTTGTTGTTTTTACTGACGTTTCGCTGTTTAATGATAATAGCAGAATTTTGATAGCATTATTAGAAGACGGAGGTTATCTGAAAAATGTGATGTATTTGCGCTATACATTTCGAACAATCTGATCACACATTTACTTGTCAAGTCAATATACAGTTTACAGTTTACAACATATATGGAAAAGTTAAATTAAACAAGGTGACAAAAAAAGAATTAAGAGTAATTAACACAAACGTTTGGTAATCCAATCAAATAAGGATTACCAAGGTAGGTTAAGAGTAATAACAAACTGTTTTTGAATACACAAGGGTGAGGTGGGGTTAAGTTTATGAATGGCTATAGCCTCAGCGTATTTCAGTAAACGCCCTTGACCGTTTTTATACATGACCTTAAAGGCTGAGTTAACATTTACCTTATGGTTCATCTCTATTAGATGTTTATCTATAGACGAAGTTGGTAGTCTGACACCTGCATCTATTGGCTTGTCACAATTCATCTGTTTTTCTAACCATTTTTGGATATGCTCTCCCACCCTCACGTGCAACACGCGATTACTCCTCCCTATGTATGTATGTCCACACACACACACGAAAATTGGTAAATTGTGTGGGATGTGATATAATCACTTGTGCACTTTTGAGGTTTCCAGTGAAGCATATTTTTAGCCTTTTCGACAATTACAAGCTGGGCTGCATAGTAGGTTCTACGGATGATCGAATTCAACCTTTGTCTCAAAATCCTACTATTTATTTCCCCATTGTATGGTAATTTGATGAAAACCTTTTTCTTAGGGACGGTATGGATTGTAGGTTTAAAGACTAATTGACATCTACACCTGTTTAAAAATTTCAAGGGATATCCGTTTCAAAAAGAGTATCCATCAGTATTTAGTTTTCTTTGTCTATAAAATCAGCCGTGCAAATACGCTGAATCCTTTTAAATAGACACTTCACCAAGCCTCTGTTATATTGTAATGGACAGAAGCTGTGAAAATTAAGATATTGCCCTGTCCAAGTGGGCTTTCTGTAGATAGACCGTCTTATTGAGCCATATTCTCTTCGACTCAGAAGTATGTCTAAAAATGCAAGCTGGTTGCGACTTTCTTCCTCGCATGTAACACTAATATGATTCTGTAGAGAGTTAAGTCTGTCTAATAGACGACTCGCATCTTCATGATCGTCGCATATCAAAATGATATCGTCTACATATCTCTTATGGAAAGGCAATTTAGAAATTAAATCAGAGGATAAGTTTTCAGCAGTTTGTTATTACTCTTAACCTACCTTGGTAATCCTTATTATTTGATTGGATTACAAAACGTTTGTGTTAATTACTCTTAATTTTTTTTTGTCACCTTGTTTAATTTAACTTTTCCATATATATTGACTTGACAAGTAAATGTGTGATCAGATTGTTCGAAATGTATAGCGCTAATACATCACATTTTTCAGATAATCTCCGTCTTCTAATAATGCTATCAAAATTTATAAAAGAGACTAAATGTTTTAACTAGCAGAATTGACAAAATCTCAGCATATGTATAACAAACAGTTAAGAAGTGAGAAAATAGACAAGGGAGGTCAAGTTAAATGGATTTATTGAAGGTCAGAATAACAATGAAGATCACTAAACCAAATAACAAAAGTAATAGTACATCTGCTGTGGTATCAAAAAAAGTTTAGCAACTTGATCATCGTTCCTCAGCATTGGGTCATTTTAGCGTTGTGAAGTTGGTCAATTGGTAAAGATAACAAAACCAGGTGTAGATGACTGTTGGAATTAATAAGTGTGTAAAATTATAAAAGCAGATTATCACATTCGTGTTGATTTCGTCATTTCATGGGAGAGGGGGACGCTGTAACTAGGTCAAATTCCGTTTAATCCATCAGTCCTATTCAGACAATTTGGATTCTATTTGATATGAAATTCTTCTGATGATATTAGTGATTTCTGAAATGATTTTTCTGGATTATTTCAATATTGTCAAAGTCAATTTTGTGGCCTGATTCTATAGAGTGTAAACCACTACCTATGGCTGATGATTTTTCAAGTTTTTCTAGTTCAACTTGATTTCTCGATGGTCGAACAGATGCTCCACGGTGGTCAATTCTTCTGATTTTGATTTCTCGAGACACAATTAGATAGAGAATCTTTAGGGATTTGGTCTTTTTTATGGACAAGGTTGTTTCGCAGTGTGTTTCATGTTTTGAAGAAAACTCTGGTGTCGAGCTAATTGAGTACTCTTCTGACATCGTCTGACGTCTCCGCTCTATATGGAATGACGACTGTTGAGGACCATGTTTTCGGAATGCGCTTTCGACCATAATTAATGCCAGTGTTGATTTTGCTGATCAAGTTCGTAGTGTAGTTGTTTTGCTTGAGAGTTTCAGTAACGTTTGATATTTCTTCTTCTTTTTCTTTCTCACCCGTTATGAGAGAGTGTGCTCGTCTAAGAAGACCTGAAACAACCGATACCTTTGCGCTGATGGGGTGTGATGCTACGAAGTCTAAATATTTATTGGAGTGGGCTTTCTTCCTGAATATGAATATACTAAAATGTCCGTTTTCCATCCTCTTAACTAGGTAGTCTAGAAATGGCAGTTCACCGATGTCTGATTCTACTTTGGAAGTAAACTGAATTCTGGGAGACAGACAGTTTTTTTCTCCATGAGTGAACTGTGTAGATCTCGTTTTGGGAAGTACAAGAAAACCTTTATTATGATGAATATGTTGATCCTTTTCTAATAAGTGTATGTAGTTGTCGAATACCTTCTTGGGAATGTTAATTGAGGACAAAGATAACACTTCTTCTGGGAGTCAGTTTCAAAACTTAATGAAACAGTACCCCAGAGATATATAGTCCCCATCTCTCGGCTTTTAAACTACCCTGATATATCATCCAAAGCGTTTCAACTTGATGAAATTTAAAAGATAAGTTAGATCAAGCCTGAAGTCAAACCAAAACTTGGCTTTATCAGTCAATGAAATCCACAACAGTTAGTTTAAGATGGCCACGCAGGAAGGTGTAGACTTCCTGGTTGAGGTCCTAGGCATGGTAAAAACCAATGGCTGGAGACAATTATCGGTGATATGGCTCAAAATAGTTCTCAGTGATGGCGAAGATGTATCCACTCCTTGTGACTTATAATACCCAATAAAACTGTATTGTTCTTCGTTATTACTACTCTTGTTTCCTCATATCTCTGTTTACTGTCTCTATTTTGCATTTCTTTTTACTTTTTATTCTGGTTTCGTGTGTTGAGTGAAGTGTGGCAACTTGAACTGCTGCACATCGGTGCGAAATTCTGTGTTGAAACCAGTCAGTCAGTCAGAAGTCATTTCTTAAAACGCTGAACACTGTTAATACATCTCCTGTCTGCCTACGGTATGGAAATGAGAAGAGACTCGGATTATTAAGTCGCTCCTTGTGCGGCGTATTGTTTATGCCGGGTCTTTCTTAAAACTCTTTTGAACATATATCTCTCCTGTTTTGTGGCAGGAATGTCTGCTTGGACGCCGTTTTACATTTATGCGATGTGTATAAAGTGCAAATATTTTATTAATTACTCTGAAATTAACTTTGTCAATATATATATGCTACTTTCAGCATAAAGAACAAAATTTAAAATTTTTAACACTACTGTCAAGTCAGTTAGGACCTCTGTGTAGTTCTGAGACTTGGTGCGTAACCAAAAGCATCTCCAACAGCTTTCTGCAGACTTTCCTTGACAGGCACCTTCGTTTCATACTGAAGGTAAGATGTTCAGAAATTACGCGAAACGAGGAACTCTGGCAACAAAACAAGCCAAAACCTACTGCCCGACAAATACACTGAAGGAAAACAGAGATGGACTGGACATATGCTGAGGTAAATCTGTGAGTGTTAATACGCGTCAGGTCTCTAAGTAGAACCCGAATGATAAATTAGGATTTTAGCGTCCGAGAGTGAGATAGAGGAGGAAGTTAAGGCCTATGGGCAATAATGAAGCCAGTTTGAAGAGACTATATGGGATAGGATGGAATGGACATTTGCTGTCGAAGTCGTGTGTACCAATCGAAACCTATAGGAACAATTATCTATTAAGTTGAGCTCGTTTTACTACAATTCACTATGAAAATTATTGTGAATATAAAATCATATAAGCAAGAAATACATTTTTCACAACTCCTGAAAGTAGTGGACGAAAATCCTTTTGTATGAACTCGGTAATGTAGGAGCATGTTCACGTGAATAGTATTCTTGTTCTGCTTTCATCTACGTACATTCCACATTGCCTAAGACCCTTTTGGACGTCTCACTTTACAGACTGTTAACCAATCATTAGTGGCTTTCTTTTTCTCGACAGTGTCTACCTATTTTGAACTTTTCTCAAATAATATTGTTACACTGTGTGATACATCTAATAAACAAACTAATATGGAATTAAGAGCTACACAATTACTCATATTATTTTCTCTATTAATATTAGTGATAATAATAATAATTATTATTATTTCTTAATACTTTCCATATTTTAGTGGAACAAATCCCTAAAATTCGAATAGTATCCCATACTGATTCAAGTTCACCGTATCCAAACAAAGTTGAGTGTATTGATGACAATCAAAATCATGAATCGCAGGTCACTTGGACACGTCAAGATGAATCAATTGATCAGGTAATTTAATTGGATAAATTCTACCCCCATTACATAATCATTCCTATGTATTTTATCTTTTCTATTACTAGTTAACACTTTGATGAAGTAAAGAACATCTTGGAGAAATTAACGATGTTCATCCTGAAACAAATTTTACGATCGACAAAGAAAGAGACTCTAGTATTTCATTCCTAGACAACGTCTTTATGACTAGAAAACAGAGGACGGTACAATATATAGAAAACCTACATCAACTGGTCAGTACACTCATTTTGTCAGCTTCGTGACTTTGTAATACAAACGCAATCTGATAAAGTGCTTGGTTCATAGAGCAATAACAATATGCTCTGATGGATGTCTTAATGAAGAACTTAATATTATTAAACAGTTGCTAAGTGAAAACGGTTATCCAGAAAAATTCATCGATAAGAATGTGAATCAAAAATCAAGGCAGCCCAAGGTATCAACAGTTCCTAAAGAGACCTTATTCTTACAAATTCAGTTCCTTGAGGATAACATCAGTGAGATATCAACACAACGCCTTGGAAATGCGGTAAAAATAGCAATCCCTGCTGCTGAATTACGCTTTGTCTTCAAAACCACCCCCGTAATTTACGTTCTGGAGTAAAAGATAAACTGCCTGATTTCGCCTCTTCTATGTGTATACACCAATTTGACTGCTCCTGTGGAGCCAGTTAGGTACACTGGCCGTACAATTATGCGTGTTTCTCGTTGCATTTCCGAACACCATTCTGCATAGTGGTTAAGTAAAGGACAAACAAAATCCATTCATAGCACTATTCCATCTCAAATTGTGGATACAGAACATTGGACTGATGTTAACACAGTGGTTTTCAAAGTCATTTACCGCACACCAACTAATCTTGATTTCACCCCGAGAGTTCGTCTACGACATATGGCTGAGGCCGTTGGGATCCACATCAAGAAACTCAACTTATGTATCCAAAAGAAGAAGTTGGTGCAGACACTGTCCTTACCGCTTGGTCATTAGGGTTTCAATGATCCTCAATTTGTTGTGGAAATTTCCTTAATTTTAGTTGATATTCTATTTGCCATTATATTTTGTACGCTTATTATAATTTATGCATCTTTCATGTACTGTGGTAATTCCATTGATATTACTCAACAAATTGAGAGTATTTAAAAGACGCCAGTATTGTTAATGACGGCTATTCTAGAATATTCCATGTACATAAACATATATATATGTAAAACTGTAGAGACAGAAGAGGAAACTATCGAAAAGGACATCCTTGGATCAATTTTTTTCGTTTTTTCCCAGATGTTTGGATGAATTTATAATAGACTGTTCGCAGGTTTCAGTAATTAATCTCCCTCTTCGTCAGCACAACCATACTACCTTAAAAAAATGTCACCCTATTCCACGCCATTGTGTGATTAAAACTGGGTGAATTCACTATTATTATTATTATTCCCTTGAGTTCGGAATCGAACTTTGGGCTGACTTCAAGAAACATCTCCAGCTCGTCCTATCTTTTGCCATCCACGTCAGCTTGAACCACGGTTGCCCGCAATCTCTCATCTCTTCCTCACATGATCTCTTCCATGTCACCCTGGAACTGATGACTCACTCGTCGCTTCCCATTGGGATTGCTTAGTCCAATATAATACTACAGACGAATCTTACTTTTTCAAGTATTGATTTTGTGGGGAATTTTCGTTTGATTTGTTGGAGGATTTCATTATGAGCTGATATCAGTTAGAGAACCATTAGAAAACCCACCCTGGAGTACTGGACAGCTGTGTAGTCGTAGTTTGAGACTCCTTCTCAGTTCACACTCACAACAAGGGTTCGAACGCAAGAGCTTCTGGTTATAAGGCAAGCTAGCTGGCAGTCCATTATGCAGCGACTGGGACCTTATCCAATGGCCTGAACATGAATTATAACTTCTAACTTCGTCGCTTTTATTATCTGAAAGTATTCAATCAAGTCATATTATGTTTGACTTTATGTTTCATGTCACATAAAATCGAAGACTTACAAGCGAAAACCGACAAACTGGTTGAAGAAGCAGCAAAGACAGGACTCCTGGTGAACATAGACAAGACGGAGGTTATGAAAATAACCAACTAACAACAACAACAGCAGAAACATCCACCGTCAATCACCATCAACGGGAGGGATTTGAAAGAGGTTACTTCATTCACTCACTTATTTATTTATTTTTTTATTTTGATTTACAGCTTGATTCCACACCGTATTTTCAGTACAAGTGTGGAATTTTCAGCATGGATATCGGTAGCCCAAATTCAGGCCGACCATAGATATCGGGTGCGCGCCGGCAGGGGATCGAACCCCGGACCATGTGCATGGTCGGCGAGAGTCCTAACCACTGTGCCACCGAAGCACTTATCTAGGGAGCATTGTCTCAACTACAGGAGGAACGGACGAGGATGTCAAATCGAGAATCGGGAAGGCGAGAAACACATTCATCAACCTGAAACCAACCTGGAAATCTTCGTCACTCAGCATCAACAACAAAATTCGGATTTTCAATACAAACGTCAAGTCAGTCAGTTTTCCTATACGGATGGATCAGAATTTGGTGGGTCACAAAGAGTATTTCCAACAGCCTGTTGCAGACCTTTATCAACAACTAACTGTCTTCGCTGGCTCTATACTGAAGATCAGATGGCCGGAAAGAATCACCAACAAGAAACTATGGGAACAAAGGAGGCCGCTGGGTGACATCGCGCGTCAGGCCATAGCTCGAGTGGAACCCGAAAGGAAAACGGCTATTGGGACGTCCAAGGGCGACATGGAGGAGATCGTGTGAAGAAGAGTTGAAACAGTATGGACTAACATGGATGCAGTTGAAAAGTACAGCAGAAGACAGAAGCAAGTGGAGACGTGCAGTTGAAGCCCTATGTTCCACTAGGAACCTAAGGGAACAATAATAAAAATATTATACTTTAATAAAATTTTAATCGTATTCAACATTCTTAATTTGTCTACATCTATATATATTCAGGAACAGATAACAACCGCGCCTAATTCAGCTGTACTGAAATGGACATATAATGGTGTGGATAAATTCGATCCAAGAATTCATGCCGGCATTTATACATGTAGAGCTGTTAATCCGTATTCATCATCTGTGAAACAAGTGTACATTCCGTATGATTTAATGCCTACAGGTAAGTGTGGAATTCATTATTTTGGTTTTACTGCTTTATTCAATCAACTAAGCTAACTTGCTTCCAGTCAATTATTCATTAACTTTTTGAAAAAAGGGTTGGAAAATCTAAACTTGAAGAAGGATGGATAATTGTGTATTGAATGTTAATCTTTATAACATTGATGCCCCTCCTAAGGTATCCTTCAAGAGGTGTTTACGACGGTGGTCAACAGAAATAGGACTGGAGTTTGTATTCACATTTAACGTGGTCATCGACTGAAATACATTATCCGACCAAATGACATTCTCTTCATCTGTGAATGCTTTCAAGGAGAAATTGAGTCTGTAAGAAGATATATATCACGTAGATTAATGCAAGCTACAAAGATCTACTGCCCGATATCCCTTAGTCTGAATCTGATTTGTTAGTAGACTTTTTCATATAATCATGCATATCTTTAAAGAATATATGAATCTAAAATTGAGTATCAAATACCAAGTTGGCGTAGAACCCTTGTATTACCATAAAATAGGCCGAACCGCTTAGTAAAAGGTCTTATTTCCTAAGATTTTATGAGAAATAGCAGAAGTAAGGCGTTTTCCTGTTCCTATTATAACAACCTAAACCAACGTATTCTGGTCAGACCATAGGAAACCGATTTTTGCATTCAACTGTATAGCTGACCGAGACTTGAGCTCCTCACAGTCAAAAAATGTCCCAATGACAGCAAAAAGACAGTTATTTGTCATAGAAACTGTAGCACTATTTAACATTAATAACATATCGAATAGTCCATATTAGCTCAACAGTATGCTCACGCAGCTTTACTGATCCAGTAGTTTCTGCAGTTCATGACAAGTACTGCATAACAAAATTATTTAACCAAATCAACGGTGAGAAGTATGTGAGAATCAGTAAGATTATTCTCCAGAAGCTGGGATTACAACCCTCACAACAAGAATCAAGCACCAACAATTCCCAGAGATAGTTCAAAGTCAGAATGACCTAGACTCAACGACACAAAATTGAATCGCAATACAACACATGACCAATAAATTGACACAAACACAAAGACAATCTTCTCATTTTTTCAATAATTTAATAATTCCCATCGTAGCATTAAGGACACAAAATTCAGCGAAGAGACTCTTTTCAACAACGAATTTATTATCAAGCTGTACAATCGTATATATATATGTATATGGTTTCTTCTTAAGAAATTATATCCGGTGTGGGAATCAAATCAAAGGTGTGAATCCATATTAGTCTGTTTACTAGATATATCACACGGTGAAACAGTAAAGGTGTGAATACATGAAATAATAATAATAATAATAGTAGTAGTAGTAGTGTGAAATGCAATTAAAATATTTGTGATTATAATCATAGTTAAGTGTCAAGATGCAAAATAATTGTGATATATATAGAATAATACATAAGGTGTATAGATGTTGGAAAGGGGTGCATAATTATAAGATTAGTAGACGAATATAAAATGTTACATGGCATGGTGTGAAATTCGATAAGATAGAATTCAATATTGTAAAAATAAAAAATAAAACTTTTGGATTGTGAATGACAAGTGGGACAAGTGGAAACAATTCATAGTGAGAATAGTAATAATAATAATAATGATAATAATAATATTAATAATAATCGTAGTATGTGATGAGAAAACTGTTAGGCATGACATGATCAATTTACTGCGGCACTCTAACAAATAGTTCCCATTAGCTTTTGTTCTCCTTTCTTTGTTACTATTATATTGCTGCTCACATATTCTATTACAGACTAATTTTATATATCGTATCCTGTGGTGCACTGTTTAAATATGTGAATGTAATGCTGTTCTTTTTTATTTTATTTCTTTTATTTCTCTTTTTCTTTTTGTTGTTGTTGCTTTATATTTCTAAATCCTTATAAAATTTATGAGGTAATTAGATGCAATATTGTAATGAACGCTGAAAATTCCATACCTGTACCACAAATACTGTTTGGAATAAAGCCATTATTATTATTATTATTATTATTATTATTATTATTATTATTATTATTATTATTATTATTATTATTAATAAGGGAATAACTAAATAAACAAAATAAATAAATGTCTATCCCTCTACGGCCAAGGCAGAAGTAGGGATTGTACCTACTTCTTTTGTACACAACACTCTGGCTTAAAAGTCATGAATTGCCAAGGCATCCGTTGTCTTCAAAAGTCTGTAACGAAGAAAACGTGGCAAGTTTAAAAGTCTCTTCGCTGAATATTGTGTTCTTAATGCTACAAAGAGAATCATTAAAATTAGATATTAAACAGGAACAAAGACAAATGATAATAAGGATTAAGTCGATGGGTGATATGCTAACGTCGGAACAACGACACACAGTTTAGGAGAAAAAGCGGATAATAATTACAAAGTTGGTTGAAATATCCAAATGATTACCAATATTGCAATTCAGGAGGGATTTTCCAAACAGTTGTTCCTCTTAAGCCTATTTCTTTTTTCTTTTGGAGTATGTGGCATACAACTGATTTATTGGAAAAATTTACTGAGGTATCAGTAAGCTTAGATTGGGAAGCGTTATGCCAGCGAATACTTCGAACTTATATTTTTACTATTGTTTCCTTTAATTCCTAGATGAACATAAGGCTTCAGCCACACGTCTTCACTGTGTTCAGTTCTCTGCCCATGTTTTCACCTGTGTCCAGGTCTGCCCACATGCTTTTATCTCTTCTTCACATGACCTCCTACATGTCAACCTCAGAAGATCAACTCACCGCTTCCCATTTGGATTCCAATCGAGCTATGGCCTAGCGTGTGATGCAACTTGATGGTTTGTTTTCTCAGAGTATGGCCAGCCAACCCACCTCCATTTCTTCCTGCATATTTCTTTCACAATTGGTTCCTGGTTGATTTGCTCCCATGGATCCCTGCTGTTGATATTTTCTGGCCAGCCATCTGATCTTGAGTGGAGTATTGTGCGAAGACAGCTATTGATGAAAGTGTGTAGTTTGTTCGAAGTGCCCTTCGTGACGCGCTGGCCAAGCCTCTGATCCGTATAGTCGCACTGACTTCACATTGGAGTTGAAAAGCCGGATGTGATTTTTCATGCTGAGTGTTGTTGATCTCCACACAGACTTGAGAGTAAAGAAAGCTTGTCTTGCTTTCCCGATCCTTGCTTTGATGCTCTCCTGATCAGTTCCGTTCGCCTGTAGTTGAAACGATGCTTCCCAGGTGGGTAGGTGAAGGAGATTATTTCTTTCAGATTCTTCCCACTTATGCTGGCTGATTGTTGTCTGTTGTTGTTGCTGTTAGCCAGGAATCTTTATCACCTCTGTTTTCTCTACGTTCACCTGAAGGAAGTCCTATCTTTGATACTTATTCTATCACCAACTTGTTACTTTTCAATTGCATATCTCCAGTTTGTGGGAAATCAGACATATATCATCGGCGAAGTCCAGATCCTCCAAGTTTTTTGTGTGGGTACATTTTATGCCTGTTTCCTCGCTGCCCGCCGTGGTCTGCCTCATTATCTAGTCTAAATTATAAGTGTCTGCCCTTAGGTAAAGAAATACAACTGGAAAGTTTCCATTTACTAATTATGTGAACAGTTCTACATAACCGTCTGCCGACTTTTGATACAATTGTTTATTGTGTTTCTTTTTTTCAAGATTTTGAGACACCAATTATTCCTGAAGTACGTATCTTCTCAAATGTAAATGAAATATTCCAAGATGCTGAGGATCGATATGTTCGTGTTATTCAAGGTCAACCATTTGAAGTAAGTTATAGTGTGCATAATAGTCGTACATTACACTGATTTATTTGATTCAAGTATTCTGTATATATCTGAGGAATTAGGTACTACTGATGAATATAGTTATCTGGAAATGACTCATGTCAATCAGTGATACTTGCCGGCCGTGACCGAAGTAGTTTGAACACCACTACAGACGAATTATAAATTCACTCCCGACATCAGTGGGAATCTGAAAATTTTAAAAATGCAATCGAACTTTTCTACACTCTGAGGTATACTACATTCGTTGGTTATTGAAAAATGTTGAGTGAAAATACGAAAGACGTATTAATAATAATGGTTCTATCGATAACAAGGACGAAGAAGTGAGGCGATCTGTGATAATAAGAATAACGAAAAACAGAATGATTAAACAAACAAATGTTCAGGTAGACGTAGTAGTCAATGAAGGCTAAGAAAAGCAAATGAACCGATTAAGTAATGCTACAATGAAAGAGAAGTAAATAAAACGCGCTTTTAATGAAGATGTGATAAGATTTAGGGATGATAAGAGAGGGGTTGAAAATACAATGTAAGTAAGGGGTGGTGGAAAAGTCATCAGTTGGTTATGTCTTAATAGGCCAACAAGGGAGGGATAATGGCTGTACTAACTTCTTTTGAATGTATAGTTTAGGCTTAATAGTTTGAATGCCTATCCCCTCAGTTGTGTGCAGCAGATGAGTCCGAAGTTTATTGGAAAGATTCAGTGGGATACGATGAATTACCTTGAAAGCTCTCGTTTTCTCCACTACATGAAAACTATTAACTAAATGTGACAAATTGGAGCTACGGGTTATTTTTGTCTGCCCTTTGTCAAACCACGATGAGAGATGTTCAGGAATACGTTAGCTAAGATATCCAGTAGTAGTTTGGCAAACATCGGTATGCTGCGTAAAACGTTCTTCGTATACACTCCTGGAAAGTCTCTGGAATAAAATCCCATTTGATAAGTTACCATTAAATTGTAACTTAATAAATAGAGGTTTTCTACATGCATTCATAGTCTCAGGTTTTCCCTCCAATGTTTTAATATGTTTCTTTATGAAACCACTCGGATAGCCCATCTCCGTTAAGGAATCATGAATATATTCGAAAATACGTATCAATTCACTTCAACTGTTGTGATAACAGACGTACAGGTGTCTCGTTGACTGAGTGTTCACCGTACAACTATAAACAAAAGCACAGCAGCCTTAGTTGACACACTACATACTGTGCACAAGGGTAGGGAAAAAATTTCAAAGGAACTATAATAGAGATTAATATATCAGTAGAGTTTGATGGATCTTCGACTTCCTAAATAGCAAATTCATCTGCACCATTAAGATCAATACTGATGCCTATCGTCAGCAGTTTCAAGTCATTATTTCTTAGTGTCTCAAGGTCCCCAAACCTACGTAACAGACTAAAATCAACTGTCGAAGACTTGATGAATTGGTACTAGGTTTTGTTATGACCACTGCTAACTCTTCACCAACCTAACGATATGTCAGATAACATTTGTTGACGTGGAAGGTGATAGCCTGACTATCTTGATCAACTCAGTTTCTCAGCTTCAACTGATTTCTCCCTCTTATCTAACACCATATCATACCAATTTTCAGATGTGCTAGAACTTAAACACCTGTGGCCAGATGCAGGTGGCTTCTTGATGTCCCTACTTTGAAAGGTCACACATCACAGAGATAAAGAAGGACAAAGTGTAGTACAAACATTTAGGCATCGTGAAGGTACAAGAACAAATAATCTTTATGTACTTAATTGGTAGATATTGACTGGCAGTAGAATCTAGGACGAGCATTTCGTCCTATTTGGGACTCGTCATCTGGACATACCTGCATTCTGAAGTGAGTGATGATGTTCCCACCAAGGCTCAAACCCAATGGTGGGTGCATCCAGTTTACGAGTCCCAAATGGGACGAAATGCGTATCCTAGATTCCACTGCTAGTCACCATCTACCAGTTAACTTCTCATTATATGCCCAGACATCGTCGAAGCACTTGCACAAGAAGCCGACATGTCAACTTGAAACTGATCACTTTGATCCAACCAATCGACGGGAAAATCTAAAATTGAATTAAATAATCTTTATGTACTTTTACCGACTTTTAGTTATTTCCTTTTCTCTAATGTTAACAATCAGTGACACTAATTTATCTCATGTATTATATTTTCTCTTTTTAGCTGATTTGTACCTTTTATGGACATCCTCCACCAGAAGGTGGTCTCCAATGGTCTATTGACAGATTCAATGGTACACGTAGTTCCTTAAGTTCACATTGGTTATCAATGCAGGGCTTGACAATTCATTCTGGTCGTCATTATTGGACACAGATTGGTTCACAGCAATTTGATGCACAAGGTAGACATACAGGTGTATTTCAGTGTACAGCAATGAATGCTATCGGTCAGATGATTGAAAGAGATCAAGTCAGAGTTGAACGTAAGTTAAATTTTAAATGTTTTTTTATGTGTATTTGTCATTAAGTTAATTTTGCATTTCCCGCTGACTGATTATATTGGACCGATGTCATTCGACGGCTTCCTCGATGAATGCCCGATCCATCTCCATTTTCTGCTACATATTTGTTGAGCGATTGGCTCTTGGTTGGATAGTTCCTAGCCAACCAGAGTTTCTTGTTGCTAATTCTTTCTGGCTGGCTGGCTGGCTATTTGATCTTCAGCAAGGAGCCAGCCAGCGAACTGGCAGCTGTTGATAAAAGTCTGCCAAAGTCAGTTAGAGAAATCCTTTTCGTGACACGCCAACCAAGCTTCCGACCCATATGGAAGAAGTGACTCAGTTTCCATTAGTGTTGAAAATTCGAATCTTATTCCTTATGCTGGGCGCAGAATGACAAGTGGAGTGAGTGAAATAATACCAATGACAATTCATTGTGAAAATAATAATAATACTAACAAGTGACGCAATAAAGGAAGAGTATACAAATTGAATAAACAAAACAAAAAATTGGTAGAGCCTAAATATGATTAGGGATTATCATACTTTAGCAAATAGGGATTAAAACCATGAAAGTTGAAGGGGCTGAACGGACTTTTTTTCTGTATACAAAGATCCGGCTTCTCCATTTCGATGGCCACGGTCAGATAGACTGTCATCTACCACCTGTGCACTTTAGATATGTATTATTATATTATTGTTATTCATCCGAGTTCTAAGCAGAGCACAGGGCTTCGGCAATATGTCTGCATTTTGTCCAGTCCTCTGTAGTCCTCTTCAGGTGGTTCCGTGACTGCCAATAAGTCTTCATCCCGTCTATATTACCGTCGAATGCCCAACTCATTCTTCTCGATTCGGGTTCCGCTTGGAGGCGTGGCGAGAGATGTCGCCCAACGGTTTCCTCAGAGTGTATCCAATACGTCTCCGTTTTTTACCGGCGAATCTGTTGAGTTCTGTGTTCTGGATTGGTTCGCTCCCAGAGATTCCTTATACTAATTCCTTCTTCGGATGTGTATTTTGGCCTAAATTAAATTGTTTCACACTGAACTATCGTCCTATAAAAATCGTACATCCAGTAATTGTTACTGAATGAATATTGCTAACCAGAATAATCTTAAAGTGGAGTCCAAAACTCTGCAGAAGTAGCTGCTACAACTCATAATATCATTTAGTTGATAGTGGACAGCAGTAGAATCCATGATGTGTATTTCGTCCCAACTTGAACTCCTCAGTTGGATATATATTTGCATTCCTAGTAAATAATGACGTCTCCACTGATAGCTGAACTCATCAGTGATCGTAACAAATGTTAAAGACCTATCTACTAGGCTACTATGTCATGTTGATCTACTTTTTATTTATTTTGTTTTGTTTTTCTTTTCACAGTTCATAAAGTTTATGTACGTATTAATGAATTGAGTGAATCTGGTCTAATCGAAAACCAGAAAGGTCAAAATGGTACAATTACATGTAATGCCTATGGTAAGTACATAGTCCTTATACATTATAAATTCGAATTCTACTCATTTGTATGAACTAAATTAAGAAGAGGCAAAAACAATCTGGAATCACTCAACCTCTACTTTTACAATTAGTTAACTCATGTATTTTATCTATTGTACTTTACCGCTCCCCACCCTTAGTCTTTCCTGGGTTTTTGAAAAAGGACTATATCATATTGAGGCGAAGGGTATTAAAGATTGCCAGTATGGCAAATGGTGTGCAACTTTGGCCCAAATTAAACTTTAAGCACCACTAACACTACCAATGGAGTGCGACCACACCAATGACCTTGGATCGCTCACTGAGCAAGTTGGTAAAATTCGGCGAATAATGTTGTCATCATCAATAAAATATGCTCATCTAAGTGTAATGCTATTAAATGGGATATCTGGCAAGTTTCAGCTTAGATTTGGGAAAGATTAAGTTACGGCTTAAGCCAAGAACAATTTAGGGTTAGGTTGACCTAATAAAGGCGACATCAGGGTTGGTTCGAGTTAGATTGTAGTTAGTTTAGGGATATTTTCATGTTAGGGTTAGGTTCAGGAAAGATCAGGGTTATTATCAGAGTCAGAAAACCTAAATAATTACATGCATAGGATGTGGTTAAATTTCTCTGTTGATATAATAATAGAACCTGTGCACTGTGGTAGAGTATAATTTCATTGTGAGTAAAATTTATTTCGATAAAGCCTCTGAGTGTTAGATAGTAAGATTTACTGATGACCACGTTTCGAGCACAATTTATTTTTCAGGAAATATTACTGTCTTACACTATGAGACTTAATCAAAATAAATTTTACCCACTATGGAATTATACTCTGCTGATACTCCAACTTAAAACTGAGAACAATTTTTATCACATGTGAGGGCAAAATATCCTCTGTTGCACTTTTCTATAGTTTTTATGAATTTTTCATAAATTTATGGAATCAGCAAATGTATTCGATGCACAAAAATGTCTCCTTCGCGTGATTGGTGCGTTCATTTTCTGATTGGTAGTTAGTTAGTGGTGCTTAAAGTTTAACTTGGCCCAACTTTGTCAACTTGTTACTACGTTAGTTGATAGACGTTTAAAATCATACCAGAAATGGTATAAATCTATATTGCCTGACCTTCAACACCCACTCCATTCTCAACTCTCTCCTTGCTATATCTCATCTAGTAGAACAAGAAGTAAGTACAAAAGATTATATTGTTATACTGCCAAGTATAGGAACTGAACGATACTATATTTGGCCAGCCGGTGTTCTGTGTGATAGAGACAATGTAAACCGTGAAACTTATGAATTACTATGTTATTGGCTAAATAATTGGCCCTTTTATTATCACCTATTTGTAATCGATGGTGACAGAACCTCAATTAAATGACAATCTTAGCTACTAACCTTATTATTTACAATATATATATATATATATATATATATATATTTAACAAGGAAATCTTTACACGAATCAGATACTGGTAAACTTTGTCCTCGAAAAATGTATTCAGTAACGTAAGGTGTAACCTAGACGGGGTGACTAAATGGAAGTTGGAAAAGGCGGCAGAAGTTGACATGACGTAATAAGTGTGAGATAATGACTAATCAATATGCTCATGTATAATGGACAGGAACTGGTGAAAAGGCAATAAAGTGCTTTTATGCAAACTCTATATGAAACAGGAATGTTATTAATAAACAGTAATTGAGTGGTAATAAAATATGGATGATGGGAATAATAATGATAATAAAATAATAATAGTAGTAATAACAATAATAATAGTAATCTTACAAAATAAAAAGAAGCGAAATTATAGTAAGAACTTCACTCTGGCCACGGTAGGGCGAGTGAATGTATGTAGTGCTTTTGAATGCAGAGGTCCTGTTTCAGATCTCGAATAGCCAGTGATTCAGCTATGTACAGATGGCGTAGGTGAAGTCCCTTCGTACGACATTGAGGGGCTCTGTGTAGCACTGTAAAGCATTCATGGAAGTGGGGGTGCTCGATGTCCGGAGATGACAAGGTGTTCGAGGATGGAGCTGCTGCTATTCTTCTTTTCTTCTCTGGCTAGCTAGCCAAGCCGGACAGTGTTCCAGAATACGCCTGTGGACCACTTTTTGTTCTTGAATTTTGAATCGAAGGGGATGCCCACTTTTGTAGATGATATTGATCTTGTCTCGTTTTGTTGTTAGATCTTTGGGTCTGCACAATATTGGATGAAGGGATTGCTTTTGGTAGTGTGCTACGCCTATTTCAAATAATTTTAGTATTTTAGCCGTCATTTTAGAGATATTCTTCATATACGATGGGATGTATTTACTTGCGGCCTTTGAGGCTAGTTTCTGGCTGCTGTGAACGGCGTCTCTGAAGTCCTTTAGTGAGGTATTGAGGAAATCTTCAATTTTATGTCTATAATCTTGGTTTTATTCTAATCTAATTTAGACTGGCTCCAAGTGATCACCTTAGTTTAAATTATTGTCCTATTCAGTACCGTATTTCGCTATTTACTGTTTTATCGAGGTCGTTGTCTTTAATTATTCTTCCCAGATGGTTACCTACAATTCATTCTACCTGATGCCACCTACTCCTGGGAGGTGGAACGTATCAATGGTGAACGTGTCCATCCAAATCTAATCGCCGATCAAGTAGAAATTGACAATAATCAACTACGTTATTATGGTTTGTCGTCTGCAGCAAACAATCTACGGATACGTTGTATCTCGCTGAATGATACAGCACGTTATATATCCTCGGATTTCAGTTTTCGTGTATACGGTGAAAAAGGTGAACCGATTAAAACGTCTGATCTAGAACCTGGTGGAACACGATGGATAAGTGGAGGTTAGTTTTAAACTAAAGGCTATTTATTGATAACAAATTAGAGAGGAATGGTTATACAATTTTTTTTAAATGTTTAGTTTACTTTGTCATAATTGTAGCGAATCAAAACTGACTCGTCGCGATCTGAAGGCAGAAAGTCGGTTTCTACATCCCACTGTATAGCTGATAGAACTTCCTTGAGACACGCATAGTTACGAAATGCTCCAAAGATAGCCAAAAGACTGTTAGATCTACGTGATTCTTTTCAGCAACAATAATAATATCGAAAACTCGAGATTTCCTCAGCACTGCAGTTAGGCGGCTTTATAGACAACAGAACGTTCAAATACGAAATAAAATCCGTAGAACAAGCTTAGCTAACCAATAATCAACTGTAAGAAGTACCTTAGAAGAATTAAGGAGAATATTCCTAACAAGATGGGACCGAAATTATGTCCATAAGAATCACATATCAAGAATTCTTATTGACAGTTCAAGATCAAAATGACCTCGATTCGCTGAAACAAAATCACATCGTAAAACAGCATAGTATCACTTTATCACAGAACCACAAAGAGAAGCACTAAAATTAGAAATCAAACGGGGAGAAAGATAAGGAAAAAGGATTAAGTCAACGGATGATACTACAAACGTCAGGATAGTGATATACAGTCTAGGAGGAAAGCGGATAATCATTACAAAGTTGGCTGAAACATCCAAGTATCGGTATTATAATTAGATGGTTCAGGAGACGTTTTCAAATAATCATTCCTCTACAGTAATTTATACTTCAAGACGTTTCGTACTGCATAGGTTACAACCACTCCTAGGCAGTCTGTTGTGTAATGAACAGTCCCTGAATGTAGAAATCTACAACTAAGTCAGTCAGATCATTAGAAACTAAATACCTTAGTGGTAATTCGCTCCTTCTCATTGACTAGTCTGAAGATAAACTTTTTAAAACTCTATGCAAAAGTCAAGAGTGAGACGAAGGTTGATCAAGTCAAGTCTCAGAGCAAGTACTGATTGGTGTCGTCTAAAAGGTGATGGTACGAAATCACAAACTGATGACAGGTGGAATTCATGAGGTCAGTGAATCCCAATTCATTGGCTTGATGGTAGTCTACTCTCCTGGTATTCTGAAGCTCTTGAATTTAATCTAGGATGCAGCTGCGTCTGCGAAATGCTAAGGTGCCTCAACAACAAGAAGGAAATGACTGTACATTGTTCTCTAGATTCATTTTTCTAATATCGCCATTAAAAGTCGTTTGAAAATGCTTTTGATGTAGTTGTGTTCTTTGACCTGGATAGTTTATTTGAGAGACTTTCATTACCCCCTACTAGGCAACATCTTCAGCGCATACTTCAATTCGTTGAAGTGAGTTTTTAGATTTCTCCACGAGTTTATTAGTCATCATTCCTAGTGAGTGACCTCGAGTGTGATTGGTTGTTTTTGTGTTTCACACCCTCTACTCTACCTGTATTGGTACTGGTTGTCCCCCTGACCAGAAGTCTGATCCTTCATGCGTGAGATTTCCTTCTTATTCATTCGTAAATTTTATTTATGTCAGTGTGTCTATTAATTGATGTATCACTGGAATATCAGGCTTCTAAAAACTCTCTAGAATTCTTGGTGTTTCCTCTGTCTAATTTTTGGACGTTGGTTGTCCTAGTTGAATCGATGACCGTGATTGTCTATATGTAGTGAAATGAGGGAGTGGATGTCATGTCTTTTGACGGCTAGTCTATGTTCATGCATACGAAGACGAAGAGGAGGGACGTCCACTTTGGCCAATGTAGTGTTTTTCACAGTTGTTACAATTTATTTTGTAGATGATGTTGGTTTTATCTTCTCTTCTTTTGCAGTTGAGTCTTTTGGTTGACATAGAAATGAGTGAAGTGATTTTGTCGGTTTTTGTGCGACATCAATTCCTAAAGGTTTGAAGAGTCTTGTCGTGATTTCTGAGATGTCCTTTATATATGATAGGGCGATTTTCTTTGTGCTTTCCTTTGTTGGGGCCTTAGACTTGATAGGTTGGCTTGAGGGTATATATCTTTTGATGAAATTTCATGGATATTCATCCTTTTGGAAGACATTCATGGGATATCTTTCTTCAGTTTTCCTTAAGGTAGAAAATGCAAACCACATCAATTGGTGATTAACATAAATCACATCTGGTGGAGTAAGGTCTACTCTCAGGAACATCGTCCTGTTGATATCTTTCAGAGGTACAGTTGTCTATCATTGAAAAATATAGGGTATGACGAAAAGTGGATCCTAGATCTGTTTTTTAAATGTTATTCAAAAATGAACCTCGAAAACGAACTTGAGATGACCTACTTTGTTAGCTGAAGTCATCAATGACAAATTGTGTTTAGAATTCTAATACCAGAACTGATAAATGACACAGTTGACATTATTAGAGGTAGTGATCTGTATATTCTCTTTTGATCTTTCCCTGTTCACATCATTTCAATTTTATTCAAATTTTTAGATGGTGAAGAAAGAATCACTTTAAGAATTGGCGGTAAAAATGATCTGACCAATCATGTGACGATTAAAGAAGGTGAAAATGTTCAACTGAATTGCACTGCTCATGGTAAGTGATAACATTTCAATTGAGAAAGAAAGATTTTAAGTTAGATTTAAAGATTCATTTTTCAGAAATTAGTTTTAATTATTTTCAGAAGTTTTATTATTATTATTATCATTAATATCATAGTTTTCTATAGTTGGTTTGTAAGGATTAGATTTGCTCTTACGAGTTTGACCACGGATTGATATCAGTTATAGAATCATTGAAAACAATCCAGGGAGTACTGGACAGCTGTTTCATCCTAGTTTGGGAATCATCGGCAGTACGCACCCACCACTACAGTTCGAACCAAGGACCTCCTGGTTACAAGACAAGCTAGTTCGTATCCTATTGAGCCACTAGAACCCAATTCAATGGCCAGCCCATGAATTCTAATTTCTACCAATTCGTAATTTAGCGCGACCACCAACCAATGTCATCGGTGGGAACTCCATCTTCACACTTGGTTGGATGGACCTAACTGGTCACAACTTCTCACTAGAACTCCAGGAAACTGTGTTCTGTAGCAAGTCGCTAGCGAGCATCAGATTAATTTTCAAGAGTTGGTTAATTAGGATTAAAATTATGAGTTTTTGTAGGGATTTGGATAAATTTTACTTTAGAATTCGTCACGAACTGACATCAGATAGGGATCATTGAAATAGTTATCGATCAAGGGTTATTGAATTCCAACGCAAGGGGCCGAATAGTTGATTAGCTTGGTCTTCTAACCTGAAAGTCCTAAGTTCCATCCTTGATGAAGTCATGTGCGTACAACCGACGAGTTCTAAACTAGGACGAAACTACAGTTGCCAGTTCCGTGGTTTATACTGAACTCTAACTGATGAAGGTTCACAGGGGAATCCATATCAAAGTGGTAAAATTATTAGTAGGAGTGGTAAGGTTAGTACTGTAAAAACATTAAATGCCAGGTCAATGGAATGATTCATACCAACACAAGAATAAGAAAACTTCTAAAGATAATTAATAACAGTTAGAATCATCATGCTAGCGAGGGAATTCCAAAAGCACATCCCACATTGATGGTGTTATGAATAAGGATAATGGAAGCTTCGTAATTGAAATAATCTATTTGGAGAACAGAAATCTAAATAAAATATGGCTTCCTATCGATTGCTTCCGATCATTGGGTATCTATCACAAAGCCATATATATAAATGTAAGTATATATATCGTATGGAGTGAGAGGAACGCGCTTCAAGATTTCGTGATAGTACTTTCAATATGTCATCTAAACCAGTAGAATTTAGAGTTCATGGACTATTTCCAGTGGATGAATTTTCAATGAGCTAACCTCTGAAAGTCAATCCCTAGTGGTGTGACTGCTGCGTACTACTGAAGAGTCCCAAAGTAGGTCGAAATGGCTATTCATTCAGCCATGGTTTCCAATACTTCTCTTGATCAAAATCACTAAGGAAACTGCAGCAACTAAAACTGAATGGTAGTCTACTATTTTGTCAACCATTCTCAACCCTCTTTTGGTAAAGTTAACACCCAATAAAGAATAATTCCTTCACATTCATACTTTCTACACATATCATGCAGTGAAAAAAAGTTTAAATGAATCAAAAGCAAATAAAGAACTGGGATGACGGTTAATTAGCATGGAGTATTTCAAGACAATTCATGAAAATACCGATTTTGTCTTTGAGCTGTATCCAAGCAGTACTTCGAAGATTGAGGCTGTTTTAATAACTGTTGGGATATACAGTGATTTACATAGTTGTGACCTCAGGCAGTACAGATGAGTATTTCAAAGCCAGCTAGGGTCGGGAAACCAAGGGAGGTGTTAATTACTCTGAAATCTATATGGAGGTCAATTTTTATTTTTTAAAATTTTGATTACAGCTTGATGCCATACCGTATTTTCAGTACAGGTATGGAATTTTCAGCATGGATATCGGTAGCCCAAATTTTGCAGACCGACCATAGATATCAGGTGTGCGTCGGCAGGGGATCGAACCCCGGACCATGTGCATGGTCGGTGAGAGTCCTAACCACTGTGCCACCAACGCACTACTGAGTTTAGCGCAAAGAAATATCTGAACGTGTTTTTATATAGCTCAGGGACTTGGTGAACGTATCACCAAAAGCATTTCTGATAACATGCTACAGAGAACCTTTGAAAAATAGGGAGTAGTGGAAAGATATTTCGTCCTGGTTTTGGGTTGAACCTTCAGATCAGGAGAGTAACTCCGGTGGCTTCATGGGTACGCTCCTCCTCTCCTTCAGAGTCCAGAACTCCTGTTATTCAATGTTTTCCCAACTGATATCACTTCTTGATCTCGAAATTAGAGGTGTTCTCAGATTGACACATCATATCAGTCCTTCTGAAGATCATTTGTAAGTTCCGTGTACGATCATTATTCTTAGACGTATTCCACAATTTTTATGCTGTTCCTTACTTCTTGTTTTTACCCAGATACTGTAACCGGAAGACTTTTAACCGATGGGGATCTTCACTTCGGTTGGCGATTACTTGGTGCATATGAAGAAACTGTTCCTGAGTCTAGTTTAGCTAGACAATCAGTACAATCGTATATAACAGATAATGGCAATACTGGTGTATTTATTGTACAAGATGCTCGTCCATCGCCAAATCTACCTCAACCGACGGCACGTATCCAATGTTTGGCTACTTCCTACACAGAAGGTTTTACCTATTACAGTTCACTTGTCGACTTCATTGTTTATCCAGATGAGCTACCAGTAGATCATGTGAAAGATGTTAAAGATAGAGGTAAGTTAATCTTTCTAGTAGATCTGGAATTTTAAGAGAAAGAAAATTCTGTTTTGTCTCATATACTACTTATAAGAAACAAAAGTAGTAAAAGCAGATTTCATGCAGACTGCGATCAAATTGCAATGAACATTGACAAAATAATATTTCATACACTTATCCCCCTTTCATAACAAGATGGCACCGTTGTTTATTTCATCAGCCTCTCATCAACTGTGTACAGCCTAAAGAAACTGTTAGGTTTATGTAGACAAGAATTTTAACATATTTGAAAGTGACACGGTGTCAGTTGGCAGGAGACACCAAACTTAATAGATAGTGCTAGAAAATTAGGCTTACACAGTTTATACGTGGAAGGTTCAAGTTTCAACACAAAAACGAACGCTTAGATACAATGGCTAGGGAGTTCCGAAATAAAAAAATAAGAGGTGGATAAGATGATGAGTAACTGTGTTATGAGTCCAGCTCAAATGGTGCAAATAAAAAGATACGCAAAATTATCTTATGGAGAAAGGGGAAAAAGTTAAGGTCAAAGATTGAGTAATCAGATAAAATAAAAGATATTCATTCAGACATCTATAAAACACAAACTAATTGAGCAAAGAATATCCTTTTCAAAAGAATGGATACTGAACAAGGAATACTCTTTTCGATAACCTCTTCTTCGTCAGGCTCTACAGTTATATATACGTTATATTGAATGAATGAATTAGTGCCATGAACAACATTATTATTATTATTGTTCCCTTGGGTTCCTAGTGGAACATAGGGCTTCAACTGCACGTCTCCACTTGCTTCTGTCTTGTGCTGTACTTTTCACTTGCATCCATGTTATTCCATACTGTTTCATCTCCTCCTCACACGATCTCCTCCATGTCACCCTCGGACGTCCCAGTCGCCGCTTCCCTTTCGGGTTCCACTCGAGCGTTGGCCTGACGCGCGATGTCACCCAACGGCCTCCTCAGCGAGTGTCCAATCCATCTCCACTTCCTCCTGCATATTTGTTGAGCGATTGGTTCCTGATTTGTTTGTTCCCATAGCTTCTGGTTTGTGATTCTTTCCGGCCATCTAATCTTCAGTATGGAGCGAAGGCAGTTGTTGATAAAGGTCTGCAACAGGCTGTTTGAAATATTCTTTGTCACCCACCAAGTTTCTGATCCGTATAGCAAAACTGACTTGAAGTTTGTATTGAAAATCCGAATTTTGTTGTTGATTCTGAGTGACGGAGATTTCCGGATTGGTTTCACGTGGATGAATGTGTTTCTCGCCTTCCCGATTCTCGATTTGACATCCTCATCCGTCCCACCTGCCTGTAGTTGAGACAATGCTCCCTAGATAAGTGAGTGAATGAAGTAACCTCTTTCAAATCCCTCCCGTTGATGGTGATTGGCACTGGATGTTGCTGTGGTTGTTGGTTGGTTATTTTTATGACCTCCGTCTTGTCTATGTTCACCTGGAGTCCTTCCTGTCTTCGCTGCTTCTTCGACCAGTTTGTCGGTTTTCGCTTGTAAGTCTTCGATTTTGTGTGGCATCAAACACAAATCGTCCACACGCGAAATCCAGGTCTTCTAGGTTCTTCACGTCGGTCCAGGATATCCCTGTCTTCTCGTTTCCCACTGTCTGACGCATAATCCAGTCCACCACAATTAGGAATATCATTGGTGATAATAAGCACCCTTGTCTGACTCCTGTGTTTACTCCAAACGCCTGGCTGATTTTTCCGTTGTGGATCACTTGACATGTGCCGTTGTCGTACAGCTGTTGAATAAGGTTGATGAATATTTGGGGTAGGCCATAGTACTCGAGTAGCTTACAAATCACTTCGCGGTCAACGCTGTCGAAGGCCTTCTCAAAGTCTATAAAGTTGAGGTAGAGGTTTGATTGCCATTCCATGCTTTGTTCTGTGATGATGAAGCGTAGAGTTGCAATTTGGTCAGAACATGATTTGCCTTTCCTGAATCCAGCTTGTTCTGGTCGGAGTTCTGTATCCAGTGCGTCATTGATTCTCTCCAGGATGATGCGACTCAGGATTTTACTTGGCGTCGACAGGAGCATGATTCCTCGCCAGTTCTTGCAGAGTCCTAGGTCGCCCTTCTTTGGTAGTTTCACCAGGTAGCCTTTCCTCCAGTCGGTAGGCACCTTTCCCTCTTTCCAGATCTTTTGCAATAATGGAGTCAGCATATCTGCCGTCGTTTCTGGGTCCGCTTTCAGTGAACAACATTAATGTTGTTTAAATAATATCGAATCAATCATATCAGTGGATTACAGTTCAGTAGCATCAACATAAAATAAGCTGAATGTCAGAAGAATTGGGAAAGATAATATTACAAATTCATTAATTTATAGTCTCCCCTGAAGGCTGGCCAGGGCAGTAGTAGAGGCTGGACTTGCTTCTTTTGAACACAGAGCACAGGTTGTTTGAGGCGAATTGCAATAGCCTTTGCTGTTTGGAGCATGCGGTACTTCGATGATTTTGGCAATTTATTAGGCACCCGGTAGATGATAGAGAAGGATTCTTCAATGCTGGCTGGCTTTGTGGCCAGTTTGCAACAGATGGTCCAATATCGAACTGTTAATGGTTTTCACTGCACCATTACTTAGCCATACTGGGAGATGTTTCCGAGCACGAAGAGTCAATTTCTTATAGCAACGGCAGATATAACTCGCCCCACCACAAGCGCAGTTGAATTGGTAGATACAACTTGAAGTGACTAGTCTAGGCACTTCATCTTTCAGTTGAATTAGCGCCATCGGTCGTGTAAAGAATAATACGTGTAGTTCGCCAGCATTAGAAGTTCTTTGAACTGATTTTCTTAATTTCCTCGTAATTATCTCACTTGGCATATCGCTCAATTATTTTGTGTTTTATAAAATAAAAGAGACAATAAGGCATCTAATTACCAGGTCAAAGAAAAACTGATAGTTGTTTCTTTCTGATGAACACATAAATCAGATTTCAAGTGTTTGATAGCAATTGCTTTGACAAGGTTAGGTAAATTGAAATATTTTGTCTACTGATAATTCCAAAGGATTTCATGATGTTCACCTTATGACATATATTGAGGAGATGCATAGTAATAACACTATTCAAGGCCACTGTTCTTTTGAAACTTAGGCTTTTTGATACATGTTCAGAAGCACTTCATAATTTCAGTATTTGCCACTAGTTCTTAGAATCTCAAGCCAGGCAGTCTACACTACATTATGTGACAAACCCACCGGTCAAATACCTCATGAATTTTTGTCATATTTACGTCTAACCGCTCAGACCCCCTTTCCGACGAAATCGTATATCAGCTGACATTGATCTGTGAGGAAGGCGATGCTTTGCAGTCCATGATACACACCTAAGCCATGTGAATCAATGCAGCCTGACAACCTCATCTATTGACTTCCTCTTCTTACCTAGTAATCTGAGCCTAACTTCAATATTCCTGAGCGTGTTACACCCCAATACTAGACAGCTAATGCAGATAACCATGATAAAAGACTGCTTATTGTATGGAGAATTAATCTGTGATATAAATCAATGAGTGAATAAAGTTATGGGAAACGTACTGGACTACTATATTCCTTTTCTTCAGTTTGGTTTGTAAGGGTTAGTTTTGTTTTTACGAGTTGATCACGGATTGATATCAGTTAGAGAACCATTGAAAACCAGGGAGTACTGGACAGCTGCTGTTTCATCCTAGTTTGGGAATCATCGGCAGTACGCATCCACCGCCGGGGTTCGAACCCAAGACCTTCCGGTTACAAGGCACCTCGTATACCATTCAGCCACTGGGACACTATTCAATGGCTCACGAATCCTAACTACTATTATTATTATTCAGTGCCGGGAATATAATACCACGAAGAAACCCTTTAATACATATTAAAATTGACTGCTTCAACATAATCATTGCAGACATTTCAGCCACAACGAAAATCAACTGTCTCCTACACTCGAATCAATTTGATATTTCTGAAAGTTGTATGCGAAGTGGAATTTAGAATATTGTTAATTCTATTAAATGAGTCGAATATACTCATTCTACTGACAAACCAGTTCCGAAAAAGAATAATAGTACGTTCCAAATCGATTACTGAGATGAATAATAATAATAATTTGCTTTATTCCAAACAGTACTTGTGATACAGAATGGAATTCTCAGCATTTTTACTACATTATTACATCCACTTAGTACATTATCAATAAATAGAATTCTACATAGATTAAGGAAATCTCACATCATTATGACAGCAACATGTTGGCATGGCGGAAGCAAAGCCAAAATTGAACAGTGTTTGAAGGTGTTAGAAAAGTAGATGCTGTCATATTTACTGGCCTAAGCGGAAGAAAGAAACAAAGCAGCACATAACAGAAAAAAGAGAGAGAAAAGGAAAAGAAAGAAAGAAAATGTTGTACCTATAAGTGATATGAGTTGGAAAGACGAGGTCCAGTTCTTCCACTGACTATTTAATGAATTATAGGTGTCACGCCTAGTGCTTTCTTTATCACACAGAACACGGGCTAAGTAGGGTATGGTTGAGTTTTTGTACTTGCTGGTGCGAGCATATAGTTTCCTATATAGGCTTCTGGTTTATGGAGATAGGTATTGAAATAAAGCTTCAATCTGAAAGCAGACATTTAACAAACAGGCCTTGGACAGAATGTAGTATGTGTTCTGAATCTGCATCCCACCCACTATTTATCAGTGGTTAATTGACAGTCTATTTTCTCACCAGAGGTCGCCCACAGTACACGACAAACCGATATCTTTTCCTCAGAGACCATAGTTTTTAAATAAATTGCCTGGAATTTATTTGTGAAGCCTTATATTTTAGCGCCGACATGAATCAGTGGAGATTTTCTCTTAATACGGATTATTTTTGATTATTTCAGAAAAATTAAATCGTCTCACTGTTAATGTTATTGGTTTGGATAATCGTGGAAAACTGGCTGGAACTGAAGGTTCCTCAGTTAACTTAGAATGTATTGCTAAAGGTAAGTGTGATGTTTTGTTGTTTTTTTTTTTAAAATAAAAGTGTTCACCTGTTGACCCTGACTGTAGTAAGGGAAGACAGTTATATCATTCTTCGAGAATTTCAAAAGCACAATTTATATTGAAGTCAGCACCGATGTTGTCTAGAATGACGATGAAAGATTCACAAATAAACCATCCAGCTCAGAGAGCACAATCATACGGAAAATATCCACTTGAAAAATAGGAAAGTAGTGTCTTATTTTATCCTTAATAATTTGAGTATTTTCCGCCTGTCTAAATTCTCGAATGAATTCATAATTAAATTGAAAAGTTAAAGCCATTCAAAGGAAATCTTTAAGTTTTCAGATCACTTCAGTGGCATTATGAAACCAAAGAGTGTCTTAGTTTAAATGTTGTATGAAGCCAGAAAGATTCCAATATTCTTACGATAGCTGAAATATTCACCTTCATATCTAGTTTTCCGTGAAACTCCAGTATTCAAATTTCGTATACGCGGTTGAAGTATTGACTAGCGATGGAATCCAATTTATTCCTTATGAAACATGGGTGATTGATGTATCTGTACCTCATTCTCCGACAGTTGTTCCACTCAGACTCGAACCAGGAACGATTCAAATGCTTTAGAAGTCCAATGTACAACGATCTGATGTTTGAAGCGATCGATTCTCAGTACAAGTCTTAGTTGAAGTATCATAAGTCACTGAGGGGTAGTTGTATTCAGGAGAAATAAAGAAAGTCGAAGTATATCATTTTAACTCTACAGCTAGACGCAGTCAGCCAGAATACATGCTAAGATACAAATGGCCTTATTGAGAAGTTCGCTCTTATTATAACATCTGTAAAAAGGATGACACGAATAATAAGATTAGGAAGGAAACGAGTAGTAACTTGCAAATCGAAGGAAAAAATTCTGTAATAATGAGGAAATCCTAAGGGAAGGAGTGAAAGGCTGTGGAGTGTATATACTTAATTTAGATATGATGGAGGAGATTTATAGCTCAGGTGGATGATTTTGATGTAGTTGTGTTCTCTGAGCTGGAGAGCTCAGAGATGATTTGGTTATTCTGCTCCAACATGAAAACACATTCCCTGGACTTCATGGATTTATCTGATGGCCCGTCACCTTCTGCTGGTCTTGTCTCAATAGACCTGAGGCAACAAAGAAGGATAATTTGTCGTGTAGATTTTCTACCACCACTTAAGACGAATATCCTGATCGAGGTCGGTTCTTCTAAAATGCTACATTCAAATGTATGTTCTTTTCGAAGACCTATGACGATGGGTATGGTGAAATCCCCTAAAGTTACGCTTAGGTACTGCTAATTAACACTATTTAGCACGAAGTCAACTCCAGAGTGACCTTGTAAATGACTTCTCCCGAAATCTGAAATTCTACTCTCAAAGACTCTGCAAAGTGGATAGTTCAGTGAGCCCCTCTGGTCAAGTGAGACAGCATTGACTCGATAACCGGCAGGTTTATGGTTCAAATCATTCTTTAATTCAAACTTATATTTTAACGTTAATTATCTCTGTATTACCCTACCCTGAATTCATTCCCCATGTTATTTAACTTTATTATTAAGATCGTTCAACTAAACAGCCTACCAAAGAGTCAGTACATTATGGATGGGAATTTAGTCGATTAGACGGAACTCCAGTTGATACAACTGCATTGATTGGTTCAGGTGAAAGTAAACTAGAAATGAATGAAAATCGTTTAAAACTTCAAGGATTAAAACAAACAACATCAATTCGTGGTCGATGTCGTGTATCAATACCACCAGAAGAGGTAACCGACGAGACACAAGCGCCGTCAACTGAAGAAGTATTCTATTCACCATACTTTAGATTCGATGTAACTGATGCGACTGGAAGTGGACGTAGAGATTTTACTCCACCAGTACAGCCAAGTGAGTATACTTGTAAATTATTCTTTTTTTTTGACTGACAATGTGAATTCTAAATTGGTTAAAAAAACTGACAAACGTGAAAGATGTCAAATGAAATGTAACGTCCCAATTACTGTGTTTCCTTTAATTCCTAGAGTAACATAGGGCTTCAGTCGCACAAATTCACATAATGGTACACCTACTGACTGGGTATTGGTTTTCAGGAGAACCGAACACATTAACCTCTGAATCTTGCGAGACGGGACCGGCATACAGTATCATCCTGTGGCGCAGCCACTAGACAGCCCTCTCCTTCGGTGGACTAGTAACGCCCTAACGACATTCGTTATTTATCGTTTCCACTTTCATTTGTCATTGTCGAAAACTGTGCTCTCCTACAACTGACAAAGATGATTCTAAACAAGTAGCATAAATTTGCATCGTTAAGTTCTCGTGTAGGTTTCATTACGAGCCAAAAGCTGCTGGATAAATGCTTCACCCTACTTTGCTGCTCTTTAGCAGTATATGCGCATTATCTTACCAGAGACACAACTAAGGACCTTCAGGTCAGAAGACAAGCAGACTGACATTCAGTCACTGTGTTAGATTTTGAAGAAATATGATGATTCATGAGACTTAGATTTACCTCATGCGATTGGTTTATGACCAGATCAACACTGAAGTCCATCCAAATCGCAAAAAAACTAAAATCTTAATAATAAACTGTTTAAAATGACCACATCGCGTTAATGAACACTTGGGGAGAGTTTTCACATTGAAATAAGTAACTCCTAGAAGCCATTATATAAATTTCTGGCTAGAAGTTTTCAGTCATGTAATGAAAAAGGTGATGGAATTGAATGTAAGTAAGCACTATTTGGTGGATGGTGACTAGCAGTGGGATCCAGGACAGTGCGCGTTTCGTTCTCCTTGGAATTCGTCGTCTGGATGTGTACATGCATTCTACAGTGAGTGATAGTGTTCCCACAGGGACTTGAATCCATCATGGATTCCTCTGCTAGCTACCACCCACTCACATCGTCGAAGCATCCCTACCAGGTTAAAATAGACCAAACATCTCCATCCACTATAATCAGTCAAGGGGAAATAAAGATTAAATGAAACCAATAGTTACGATCACTATTCACACACTGAGACTGTATGAAGTAAGAGTTGGTGTAAGGAGAATTGTTTACGAAGTTACTCATCAATAGTCTTTTTGAATACGTTTTATCGGTCGCCGTGATCACGTTTTAATTCACACAACTTCTGTGAGTCCATTTAAAGTAGTAGTAAGTTTTGGAACCTTCAAAGCCAAGGTCGTATCTTACCTATTCTGTGCAGCTAATGAACATATGAACGATGTTTTGAAGTTGTTCTCAAAATTGTTCTTCATTCCTAAATATTCTGAGTGGGACATAGCGGTTCAAGAATTTTGAATTTTAATAGAGGTACTAGTGTTGCTTTACAGCGTGGATTTGAAAAACTCAGACCTTATCCTCCTTCTTTTTCTGGTTCACCATCACGTATTGAGGTTTGAGAGGTGCGTCGGCCAGGAGTAGAACCCAAACCACATGAGTAACTCATGAACGTCCTACCACCGATGTACCACTTCTCAGACACGCTTAAGAATATACGTGGTTACCGGTATTCTCTGGAAATTACATATAAACTGGTAAAATGTTGTTTCTAAGTGAGACGAAGTGAGTACTTCATTTTCTAGAAAAGTGACCTCCTTCCACATGAGAAAATGTATCGATGTGTTTTGTACAATCCCCTTCCTTGATCTTACATGCCTTTCTTAAAATTGCGCAGGAGATTATTTTTACTGGATACTTAGCTAAAATTCTATAGAGAAAAAAGAGAAATTTTAAACATTGATGGTAATAACTGGGCACTAAAAAAATACATTGCACTTATTTCTAAAACGCCAGATGATCAATCTTTATTGGCACGTGACATTTTAGTTTGAAAGCTTCGATAAAGCATTTGGTGGATGCCATGTTTGAGGTTCATTAGGAACACAAGAACTCATTGGGGGTGGTGGGCACCTACATACGGCTGGCGAGCTCAGAGTGGGATGAAATGTGAATTCGAGCCTCCACTAGCTGCTATCATCAACCAAGCAACATTTAGTAATATTCAAGTATTAGTTTGTAGGGATTTGATTGATTGGTTGCAGGATTTCATCATGAGCTAACATTGGTTGTTAGAATACCATTGGAAAACCAACTTGGAGTACAGGACAGATGTTTCGTCCTGGTGCTTGGGACTCTTCAGTAGTACGCACCCCCCGCCATAGTTCGAACCCAGGAACGTAGGCTTACAAGGCGAGACCGTAGACCATTAAGCCACTGGGACTCGATCCAGTAGCCATACCATGAATTCCAAATTCTGCCAATTCACGACATAGTGAGACCACTAGCGAATGTCATCGGTGGTAACTATTTATCCTCACACCCGACCTGCGCTACCCTACTGGTTACGGCTTTCCACTAGAACCCCAGGTAGCCACCTACCTGAACAGAGTCAGTCTCTAGTGAGCATCTCATTGTAACTCGAGTGATAGTAATATTAACAGCTAAAAATGCATTTAATATTTCTACACTTGGCCTTAATCACACACTGTCTCATAGTTTGTGACACCAAAAGATAGTAAAGCCTAACTATTTTGCTTCATAATGAAGACTAGACGGCTAGAAAGGAATAGCAACAATGAACTAGTTAACAGCCTACCTCTAAGAAACATGCAGAAGGAAATAGGGATAGACTGGTCATACACTAAGGAGACCATTGACTGACATCGTGCATCAGGCCCTCGAGTGGAATTCGAATGGAAAGCAACCAGTTGGGCGTCCGAAAGTGACATGGAGGAGACCCTTTAAGGAAAAATTGAGCACTTATGGAAAATCGTGAAGCCAGTTGAAAGACTGTAGGGAACAGCGTATTACTGAAGCCCTGTGTTCCACTCAGAACTCAAGGACACAATGATAATAAAAGTAATAATCCTCTTTCTCCACCAACATTTTCTGAACACGATCACCAGTGACTCATTGTAGGTATCGTGTTCAAATAAGTTAGCCTCGTCATCCCAGTGTTGTCAATAAGGTAATATCTTGAAATTTAATGCCATATATTTCCTAACTCTTGCTTACTAACTATCATGGCGTCTTCCTAACTGAAGTAAAATTTGACTTTGATATCGTTAGTATTTAAGTGTTCATATATAATTTGACTAATGGTGGCTTATTGTCCTTGAATTCACCTCTAAAAGCTTTGATGTTGTTAAGTGAATATTATTGCTGTCACTACTCATAAAATCTTATTTTGCATAATGCATGTTTTCATTCAATTATGCAATTTTATTCTTACACAGTTATTACCACAAAGGACAGTGACATATTTGTAAAAGTTGAAGGATTGGATGAGAATGGAGCTCTGACTGCTGATAAAGGAGAAGATGTTGAATTGAAATGCGTTGCAATCAGTAAGTGATTTCGTTATTATGTCGTAATATGTTTATATTTATTTATATATAGGATCTCAGACGCTAGCTAATTTAACGATTCTCGTTTTACGTGTTGATAACGACTGGGAAAAACATTCGTATGTAAACAGTTTACAGTGTTTTGTCAACTGGATGGTATTTAGTAATCTGTATAATTCAGTGGTAAACGTTTGTCATCTAGTAACTGAATGATGGTGGGTTTCCTTTTACGGTTCCTGATAAAATGCACTGTTGGCGGCTGGAGCTGTGGCTTGTTGGCTACAGCACTAAATTTTCAGTTAAAGTGTCTTGGGTTCGAATATCACTCTACCTGATTCAGCCTGGGAAACTAGTAGGTGTCTAAATGAGTAGCTTTTTATAATAAATCAATCAGTAGTCCCTCCAAATTTCAGCCTGTTAATTTTACTTTCATACACAAACATGATTACCATGAACTAGTTCGTCTTCATGATTCTTATACTGTAGATGACACTGATTTTGAAACTTAATCGAATGTTAAATATATACCTTGGACTGTATATTTCCCCTGATCTTTTCTAGTCTTCCTAAAGGATGTCAGTTTACTGTTTCAATTAGTTATTTCTTGTATCCTTCCTGTTCTTCTTTATTGCTCCCCTCTGCTTGATCTTTCCCGGTCTACTTAAGAAAGACTGTGTTACATTGTGAAAGGCACTAAAAGCTGTTCGTGGGGTAAATGGGGTGTTGCTAAACCAACTTGTTGATACTATTTTAGACAGACACTTGAACTCATGCAAAGAATTAAAGAATATTATCTTGTCGAACTGTGAGAATATTTTCTCCTTGTATCTTATCAGGTGGAACTAGAAGCAATTACAGAGGAATTTATACTAGGACGACTAAATATAAAATGTAAGATGATGCTAAAGGATTGGACTTCATTAACTCCTAGCTTAGAAATAGGGAGTGAAGTGGTGTTGACCACTTTCATAATTGGGGAAGTTGCATCACCCCAGATGGGTTGATCGCTGACAAAATCTCAGCACAGATACAGAAGGTTCGTTTCGTAAATGCCAGTTTACGCCGTCTCTGGAGTAGACGTGATATACGGCTATCAACCAAAGGGCGTGTGTACTGCTCATCAGTCCTCACAATCCTCCTTTATGGCTGTGAGACCTGGCCATTGAGAGTGGAGGACATGAAAAGGCTAGCTAGTTGTCTTTGATCATAGGTACGTGCGTTCTATCTACCGTGTGAAATGGTATAATAGAGTGAGCAATATTGGGGTTAGGCATGAGTCGAGTGCTAGGTAAGGAGGGGAAATCAATAGACGAGGTTTTGAAGTTACATCGATTGAGATGGTTAGGAAATGTGTTACGCATGCACGCATGACCATCGCCTTCTTCAACGGGCAATGTTAGCTGACATAGGATGGATCAGGTTGGAAAAGAGCTAGTGGTGGTCAAACCAAAACATGGCTTGATCAGTCAATGAAATCCACAACACTTAGTTTAAGCCACGTAGGAAGGTATAGACTTCCTGACTGACTGGGGTCCTCAGGAAGGTAGAATCCAATGAAGACTTGAGACAATAGGTGATATGGCTCAAAATCGTTCTCGATGATGTCACAGATGCATTCACTCCTTGTGACATATAATATCCAATAAAACTACATTCTTCCATATTACTATTCTTTTTGCCTCATATCTCGGTTTACTGTTTCTATTTTGCGTTTCTTTTTTTACTTTCTTGTCTGGCTTTGTGTGCTGAGTGAAGTGTGGCCACTCGAACTAGTGCACATCTGTGCAAAGTTCTATGTTGTAACCAGTCAGTCAGTCAGTCAAATATAAAAACTCTACACTACTGACTTACAGCAAAACACTAAGTAGACGGCCTTTTTTAATCTTTCTTTCATTAACACATTGTTGTTAACATTTCCACTTAGATTTTAATTTTATATTCATATTCTTATTGAACGATATTATCATTGTAAATGCTCTGTTAATTGTTTTACCCTCTGTACTGTGTAATGTAAAGGGAAAATCAGATGTAATATTGTACTACAAGTTGAGAATTCCACAGTGTACCGAGTAGACTGCTCAGAATAAAGCCATTATCTATTATCGCGAGGCAGCGTGTACATTTGAGTTGTGGCTATGAATAAAAAGGGATACTTGATGAAATCTGCTGGTCTAAAAGCATATAAAGCAAATGAAATTACCTGGATACAATGATATGATTAAGAAAAATAAACTGTATACAGAACGTCACCCACTTATAAATACTGTATCATCCTATTTTATCAAATGAGCCTATATAGTATGGAAAAAGTAGAATCAACTGGAAAATAATAAGTCAGAGATCAGTTCAACAAAATTATCTCCACTCCTCTTATAGAAAGAAAGCAGTAAAAACTCAACAATCCAACCAGCTGATGCCTAAAGCAGCATTGGGAATTTAATGAAGGTGCGTGTTAGTTTTGAGTTACTATGAGATGGGGATGTAGCTTGTAATTCCCTCATCAACAAGATTGGAATCTAACCCTTGGGAAGTATTTAAATTAGTACGAAGATATTTCGATGGATGATGATTAGCAAATGAATCAAGGAAAATGCGCATTTCGTCCTATTTGGGACTCGTCATTTGGATGTGCATGCATTCCTCAGTGAGTAGTAGTGTTCCCACTGAGGCTCGAACCCAAAAGTAAAAGCGTTATCCATTAAACTACTTAATTCACGAGGGCCACCAGTCGTACAGCGGGTCTTAGATATTCTTTAATTCAATTTGGACTTTCCCGTTGATATTGATTGGACCGAAGTCTTCGCGGTCTGTTGACATATCGGATCCTTGTGCGGATGCTTCGATGATGTCTGAGGGTTTAACTCGAAGTATTTTGGTGAATGGCAGTTAGCAGTGGTGAAATCCATCGTGAGCGTATCATCCTAATGTGTTTATTGTGGAATGATGCAAAGTCTGTATGACACACTTCAGAGTTCTGAACATATCTTGTTCAATTATAGTTTTTCTAAAAAAATCTAAAAATATGTACTTTTTGTTTTCTAAATATTTAGATCAAACTACGAATGAACCGATAACTGAAGATGCTTCACAAAATCTTGATGTAAACTATGGATTGGAAGTGATACGTCTCAGTGGATTACCAGCTGCGTATTCAGAACTCGCTCAGTCAATCAGTGTACAACCTGACAGCGGTGAATTCAAACTAAGCGGACTACGTAGTCAGTCAGATATTAAAGATATTAGAAAGCGTATACAAGGCAGATGTATAGCTGAAATCATACAGAAGTCAGATGAATATTCTGACCAGCCTATAAAACGTTATGCCAGCCCATATTTCTTAGTCAATGTTCCAAAAGATTTGGAGGCATTACCAGATTATGTGGATGGTAAGTTTTCAAAATCTTTAAAACGATGAAATAATAAGGCGGTTAACAGTTGATTTTTGTAGATTTCAGATACGAGAACCTCGGACTAGTAATACGGTGATTTTCGATGATTGGAAGCAATCGGCAGGAAGCCCTACTTGACCTAGGTTCCGTGCTGGTTGGCACCCACCAGTCAGCGACGCGTATCTGCAGCCTTGAAGGAACTCATGTCCCTTATGGGATTCGAATCCGCGCCACCCAATGAGTGCTGAAGTCAGAGGCGTCACCAATGAGCTATTCGGGCTCGCGACTGACCTCCCGTAGGACTGTACTGGATACTTTGATTGGACACCAGTAAATGGCGTGATGTTCTAGTCCTTTCTGATTGCCTCCAACTACCGAATATCATCAAATCAGCGTGCACCATGATGGGGAGCTACCTAGAAAGGTGCCCACATTACAAACCTGGCTGATAGAATTCAGTCAGCACCAAACACCAAGGACTGGACACATCACACTAGTTACTAGTGTCCAATCAAAATATGGTGATTGTTTATCCAAATCGTTATGCGATCTAGGTCTTTCCCCCATGGTTTACTGGCTTAAATGTTATCTAAATAAGGCATTTAGAAGACAAATATTGGGGGATGAGATCATATCATAGTTTCTCTATAGTCGTATTGCAACTAGCCTAGGTGATTTTTGTGAAGTTTTGACAACAAATCAGTTATATAAAACAAAAGTCGTTATTAATAGCCAGTCGTATTTTAATAGTTGAAGAAGTTCATACCGCGGCAAAGATTGAAGACTTTCGTTTTCAGTACGTATAATATGGAGTGCATCTAAGTGATAAAAAATGCCTCCTTTCATCACCTTTAATAGGATTAAAATAAAGTATGATGCTGGATTCCTTTTCTGATTAAGTGCAATTGGATTTTTTACGTGGTAATGTGTTTTTTCCAACTATATTAGTTCTACTGTGACGACAAAAGACAAGGGCCGGGCAAAAGATCGCTTATTCAGAAAATCAAGAGATATTTATAGATTTTTGTGTACATTATTGTCAGTGGAGAAGCAACTTCTTCTGATTGGTTGTTTTTTCACTAAAAGTTGAGCTGTCATCTCTTGTGACCATTTCTGAGAAAGTTAATCCATATATCTGCGAATCGTATTTGCACAGGTTCCGTCTGCTGTGATTGGTTGCTGAGTTCCTCAAGGTTAAGCTTTGTTATTGTTTTTCTCATGAACCTGATTCGGGGTGTAAATATTGACGTAAACTGCTGTCTACGATGTTGGCTTGCAGAAAGCTCTCACCACACTACTTATATATGTCACACTTAAAATGCAGGTGGACTTGTAGAAACAGTATAAAGTGTTATCCATGGAATTTTAAGGTTGGAAAGTCGCTGTCACCATCGAGGCACAGACGTATGTTGTCCCCTTTAAGTGATGGAATAGCTATTAAAGATGTAAGTGACAGTGATACGTCTTCTCAACGGACTCAAATCTGCTGAAAATGGACTAGCGTCAAAGACTTTCAACCCACTGATCTTGAAGCTGCTGTTGTTACCGGAAGACCGACAGAGGCAACTCAGAATACTATGAATTGCAACCAACTCGAAAAATATCAGAAGACAAATCGATAATGCGGAGATTGTTTATTGTACCGCTGACAACAAACCAACACGACAAAGCAATTACAGCACAAATGGTTACAGTTCCCAAAAGTTACCGCTTCAAAGTCTATAAATAAACATCAGTATTATTCACAATGATACTTCTGACCATTTAGTTCCAGTCTTCTTCTGAACACAGTAGAGATAGTAACCTCCAACGGAAACAAAACCAGATTGAATGTACTGGGTGATAGGGCATTCAGTCGATATTAACAACGTTAACAGCATCATGGAAACATCTACTCAATGCTTTCTGTGATCATTTTGCTGGGTCAGTCTATGGTGGGGTTTATCTTCATGAAAGCTACCTAAGGGAATGCTTGACCTTAGGATGAATTCTTTAAGGTTCTGACAGGAACTCAAGATGTATAAGGTGAATAAGGGAACAAATACTGGTAAGTTCTCGTGGAAATCATGCAACTCTACCATCTGAGTAGTTCCTTTGTTTAGCTGGCTGAATTTTAACACGCTTATCTGTTCACTTGGACACCATGAAATAATACTTTATATGAATGCTAAGTTGATTACTGGTAAGGATACTAAAAGCAGGGCAAATTACCTATTTGGTCATTCGTGTCAAACTTTATTACTTCTTGACATGAACACTTTTTTTTTTCTTCTCAAATTGTCGGATCGATACTAAACCTAATCAGTTCAGAGAATTAAATCTCTTGAAACCAGACGAATTCTCACCTTCTATTTCATAATTCATTTGTTCTAAGATAATGCGTGGACTTAACTAACCGGGCATACTGTTTTCTTTTCTTTCCGTTCACATTTAAAGTATCACGTTCAAGGTATGAAGTAACTGTTGGCGGATTGAATGAATATGGTGTCTTGAAAGTACAACCAGGACAAAATATTCAACTGAAGTGCATTATTCGAGGTAAGAATATTTAATAATTATCACAGTATTATTCATTCCTTGGGTTCCAAATGGAACATAGCGCTTCAGCAGCATACCTCCAGTTTATTCTGTTCTCAACAGTCTTTTGCTAGTTGACTCCACATCCGCTAACGTGATCTCCTCCATGTCACACTCGGACTCCCAACATGTTGCTTCTTATTAGGGTTCGATCTGATGAGATTATCATTCATTGTTCTCCATAGCGTATGTCCAGTCAATATCCATCTCCTTTAGCATATTTATTGGGCAATAAGTTCTTGGTTAATTGGTTGCCGAAGTTCTTTAGAGTCTATCATTTCTAGAATATTTGATTAAGAACATTTAATTACTCAAACGACTTGTTAGATTGCCTCTAAAGCTTCAATAATTTCCAAGTTTTAATCAGTTTCATAGGCTGTAAAAATAAGCTCTCTCTTTCGAATAGGTAATTGTGAGGATTAATTGACTTGCCCGACTCAACACAAGTGGAAATATGTATTAAGATAATAGCATATGCAGTCTAGACTGTGACTCTGAATATTATTACATGGCATAAGCCGTCTTGACGCTTTAACGTGGCTTCACTGATGAATGCTATCAAACACACATAGTCACTAGAAGTAAACATTGTCCCCTTCGAGACTCGACACTCACTTATTTAGTGTTCAAGACATAGACTCTAACATTGAGCTAATTGAACAACAAATGACTTCTTGTTAGATCCTAATGGATACCTGGATACATCTAGTCCACGATGAGGACGGAATTCTACTAGGCAAGAAAGCAAGAACCTTCATCTTGATACTTCTTTTGAAAATTGCTCTGTTAAACGAAGAAATGTTTTCCTTAAATCGCAATGATTTCTGTAGATGAATAAGTTTCAGTGTTAGACAGTTCATGTTAGCCAGAAGAAAACGTTAAACCTCATGTGAATTGAGATTTATTTGTCTTATTTTTATTATCATTCGTTCCTGGGCTTTCACTTTACTTTCATGTTTTTCTCGATAAATCTTGAAGGATATCCATTCTCTTTGAGGACTTGTCCGAGTCTCTCTAGTTTCCTATTGATTGTATCACTGGAACACATCCTTCTTATTCTTGAGGATAAGGAGTGGACCAGATTTCTCTTTCTTCTCAATTCATGTACTGCCCATTCCATGTTGGTTTCCTGTAGATCGATCTTTGAAGAGAACCATCAGATCTCCTTTTTAGAAAAACATCCCAAAAATGAAATTCCGAGTTCATCTCTGATTCCAATGTGAATTGGATGCCATGATGACAGCTGCTGAACACTTTAGTTATCAATTCGATGTCGGTATTGTCGTCACATATGTATCTTTGGTACAAATGGAACTACCGACAGTAGGTCGTAATATACTATCCTCTAGACTTGCCAAGAAGCAGTCTGCAAGTAAAGGACCCAATGGTGAACCCATTGCCATTCCATCTCTTTGTCTATAAAGCGTGTTGTTGAACTTGAATTGGACATTTAAAGTGCACCTCAGTAGTAGTTCCTTTAAGTAGTGGATCGGAACACACACGTCTACATTATTATCCTCAGTTATGTCACCTCCTATTACTCAATAATAGACTACTATACACTTTTGGTAAGTATAAATACAACTGTACAGTCTCTGAAGATTATTTCATCGATAAAGAAAATTTTCTTTGCTGAATTTGTCTTTTATTATTTTCTTCATGACTCAGTGAGTATTTCCGGTGATTATTTATTGTCCTTCAGTATCCTTTATTATTTGTAACTGTCAGTATTCTGTTATAATCTTCGGCTTCACTAAGATTCATCAGGTGGATTCAGATGACGAGTCCCGACACCATTACTAAGTACAATTTAAAAAATACACACTAACTGACATTTCCTTTTTATTCTTTCCTTCCACTTTTTTTGCAGACAAAGAAACTGATACTCTAATGGATAATTTAACACCAAATCAATTCATTGGTTGGCAATTCCCTGCCTTACCAAGTGGTTATCAAGTAAATATGGGAGATTTTGCTAGACGTTCAAAAGTCGAGGGAAATGAGCTCCACTTAGAAGATATACGCAGTGATTTTGCTGATAATCTACAAGGTCGATGTTGGTTTGACGATGGTTTCATGTATTACTATTCATCTTTCTTCCCAGTGATTTCACCGAAATCTAGTGAGTAATTTATATTTCTAAGATTTCATTTTTTTTGTATTCCTTTGCGCTCCCAATGGGACATAGGTCCTCAAGCTTGAGTTTTCAAGTTTCATTAGCAATGTGTTTTGTTTTTGCATTCGCCTTTCCTCTTTAACGAGCAGTACTACGAGCTAAGCAACGTTTAGGAGTGAAATGCCTGGGAAACAAACCCATAACACATGCGTAGTTGGCCAGCAATCGACTATTGAACCACCGATACACTCCAATGTATCAAACAGTACACAATTCAGAACGTCTTAGCATCTGACAGCTGTTTCTTACTATCTTAGCACTGCATAGAAACGGTCATCTATAAGCCCTCCAGAGGTCGGATGCCAGGCTACTTTGGTTACGAGAAGACTTTATCGACCTTCCAGCCACTGGATCGCAATCCAATTACTAATTTCTATCAATTTAGGATACCACAACTCAGACAACTAATATCATTCCTGAGCATATGATTCCTCCTTAGCCCAGTGGACTCTGCCATATATATATATATATATATATATATATATAGACTTAATCATTCATATTCTTGTTCTATTTCTGAGCATCAGTATTATTTGATTGTAAAGGTCTAGCAAGACACATTATGGTACAATAGTATCTTAAGGGGATGAGAGTCATCATAACATTTTCCAGTATAGTTCAAATGAATGACACTGCTGGTCACGACAGCCACCTCTTGTGCCAGTATGTCAGTAGAAGGCAAATATACCGGTCCAAGCAATCAACGGAAAAATCGAAATTGAGTTAAAGACAAGTAGCAACCTGATCACACATTTGCTTGTCAAATTGATCTACATAAAAAAATATAAAGCCAATCAAAACACATAAAATAAAAGCGAATGTTAGAATCACAAGAGTAATAATTAACACTATATTTGGTAATATGATGAGATAAGGATTTCCAAGGTAGATTAAGAAACTATACTTCAGGAATAAACTAGATAACAATCTTATTCTTCGCTGGAATCGGAGAGGTAAAATGACACCGCGGGCTGGTGAAAGCCTTCAGGCAGCCAGTCAGCCGATGTGTCTTCTCTCACTGTAAGCAAGAATAAGAATGGGGATGTCGAATGTTCGTATAATGTACGAGGCTAATTGGGAAGGTTGACCAGGTAGCCAATGAAATGCGGAGATATGGCATGGAAGTGCTAGGTATCTGCGAGAGCAGATGGAATGGATTTAAACCAGTATTCTACTCCGGTCTGGTTACCCAGACGACAACCACGAGCACACTGAGACAGTGAGTGACTATCATGATATTACCTATATCAGCCAAATCCCTAATCCAGTGGGGACCAATTTCACCCAGGATCATGACAGCTAGATTCAACCCGAAACGAAGAAAGGTCACAATTATCCAATCCTACGCACCTACAAACAACGCGGAACAAGATAAGAAGGAAGAGTTTTACAGACAACTACAAAGAGTAATGGACAACACCCCAAATAGTGACATCAAAATCCTCATGGGCGATATGAATGTCAGTCAAACTGGGAACAGATATTATAGGAAAAGAATTCATTATGGGTCGATGGGCTGTCACTCCGAGAAATGAATGAGAACAGAGAATTATTCACAGACTTTCGAGCACAAGGATATACACAAAGCAAAATGGATCTCGCCTGATGGACACGCCACAAACCAGACAGACTTCATCTCAATGCTACTCAAGGAAGTGGAGACGCAACCAGCCTGCTGGTTGTGGGCTCAAACCAACATCCAGTTCAAGAAACCATCTAGGTGAAACTGAAATCCCTCAAAACCCCTGGAGACAGGCCACTGTAATTCAAGTTCAACATTCAGAAATTAAAGGATAAAACTGAAAGGGACACCTTCACTACAGATCGGATCAGAGCAAAGTGAAACACACTACCTGGTATCAGCGAGGGAACCTGCGTGGAAGAACATTAGAACTAACACTCTGAAGGTGATGATTAAGGAAACGTGTGAAGAGGAGATGAGAGATTATAGGCAGCTGAAAAGGATGGCAGAAAATAGAAGAAAGTGGAGATGTATTGTGGAAGTCAGTCCTTTGTTCCACATGGAACCCAAGAGAATAATAACAAATGTATATAAATAAATTAGATGACCTCAAAGGACAAGCAGCAAATCGTTTTGATAGCCCATGTTGAATGTTTACAGTGAATTCTATTCAATCCGGTTATAAAATTTATATGATTGGATGATAGATCATATCGGACACAGGGGGGGAAATAGGGTAGAAATTGTGTCCGTTTGTGAGTTAGCTTATCAGAATTCTCACTTTAGTAGGTAACCATCAAATTACCTCTACGACTTCTAATCTATGCCACTCATTTGAATCTGCCTTGATAATCTAGTTTTACTCCCTGATTTGCCAATGGTGCTCTAGCTGGTGTGAGATCGCGATCAAACCTGTAACCAATCAAATCCCAGAATTGCTTAAAAATTATTTTCATCCATTCGCGCATTTTTCTTATCTCATTTTTCTACCCCATATCTGTGACCCTGACCAGTAAACATTTTGTTCTATTTGCTTAAAATTGTCATGCAATGTTTGGAACACTGATTCGGACAAACATTTAGATTGATTTAAATAATTTATAATGAATCAATCTGACTCGGCGCTCAAATTATTCCAGGAAGTTCGTAATACCTACGGTCTGGAAACCTATAAACATTTAGACAGTTTGTGATGTATCATCAAAGGAACTTATAACCTAATTGGCTTTAATGAATTAAAAGTCAATCTGAACGAAGAATATTCTCTTCCATAATTTCTCCTCTTCAGGTTCTTACAATTATAAAGTATAATATTTATTGTCGTTACAATAATGACCAGTTAGTTATGCAGCGGATACATTTTTTAACGTAGAATAGCAGATTAGTTATGGGGTGTCAAAATAAATAGTCGTATTTGTGTGAAATGGGAGATAGTGGTGGTGAGTAGTCATAACAGATTTGTAGAGTGTGGGATAGGAAAATTGACAAGTCAGTTCAAGGTTATAAAAGGTGTCAGGTGAGTGGCTAGTACAAAGCAGTATGTATTGAAGAGGAGATAGTAAGACTGCAATGAGATGTTCATAATGAAATAAAGAATGTGTGAACTTAAACAGATAGAGGTATATATTGAGAAAAGAGATAATATCACTAATAGTAATAAGTCCGGATAGTATAAATGGAAAATTCGATAGTACTGAGAAAATGTCTGAATGAAGGGTGTCAATTATAACGAATGATAATAATTGTAACGAATGAGCAAAGCAAAAGAAAAAAACACCCAAAAGGGATGAGGGGAAGAAGCACTCTTGAACAGAAGAAGGAGCCTTAATCCAAGTTTGACGACGGTAGGAACAGCGTCTGAATGTGTACATTTTGTATACAATGTTATAGTTCAGTCAATCTTATTGCAACAGTTTCAGCTATGTATGTAGGAGACGTTAGCGAACTGTATGTGATAACAACTTCAGAATTCTGTATATAACCCTGAAATCTGTGTCTGTGTGGATGCGGTGCCCATTATCGACCAAGTATGACAGAATCGAGCTTTTTATGCAGTTAATTTCCCCCCTGCTGAACCAAGCTGGTAAATGATGCGCACTACTTTGTACTAGCCACTCACCTGACACCTTCTATGACCTTGAACTGTCTTGTCAATATTCGTATCCCACACTCTACAAATCTATTATGACTACTCACCACCAGTGTCTCCCATTTTACAATATTTTGTAATTGGATTTAGCCCAGAGCACGTTTGTCACACAAATACGACCATTTATTTTCACACCCCATAACTACTAATCTGTTATTCTACGTTAGAAAATGTAACCGCCGCATAACTGGCTATCATTATTGTAACGACAATAAATATTATACTTTATAATTGTAAGAACCTGAAGAGGAGAAATTATTGAAAAGAATATTCTTCGTTCAGATTGACTTTTAATTCATTAAAGCCTATTAAGTTATAAGTTCCAGTGAAGATACATAAGAAACTGTCTAAATCAGGGAGTATTGGACAGCTGTTTCGTCCTAGTTTGGGACTCATCAGTAGCTCTTAAAAGTTCAATTTTAGTGCTTATTGTTTTACAAAATACATGCTGATATCAAATAGACACTGGTGGAGTCTCCCTAGTTGACTGGTGAGACAGATACCCCACCCCCAACGATATCTGGCATTAATAATAGTATATTTCAGGCTGACAAAAGTTAGGATTTACGAAAGATTGAGCTTTGTCACAGGGCTCTTATAACAGTCTGAAGGTCTTGAACCTGATTCACAGTATGATTGCAGCTTTTACGATTATGAAGGGTTCCAAATAGAGACAATATAACTATCCATTTATTCTGTAATTTATTATTTCACTTCATGAAGAAACCTACATTGGAATATTCAGTATAAATGACTGAAGCATGCATCTACTCATCACCTGGAATTGGTAACATGGTAGTTGGTGATTGGTTAGACTCTCTTTGTGACCCAAGGTTTTTTTTATTATTCAAGTCTTGGTTTGCATGGATTTGATTGATTGGTTACAGGAACCAATGGGAAAACCAGCAGGGAGTACTGGACAGCTGTTTCGCCCTAATGTGCGACTCTTCATCAGTACGCACCCGCACCCACTGGAGTTCGAATCCAGAACCTTCCGGTTACAAGGCGATCTCGTAGACCATTAAGCTACTGGAACTCGATCCAATGGCTCACGAATTTAAATTTACTCCCAATGTAATATTAATATTCGATGCAGTTCAATTTCTCAAATAATCGATATCAAAATATTTTTTTAATGTATTTATTTATCCTTTTCAGCTACTGATGGTCGTGTTCGAGTGGAAGTCAGTCAAATTGGAACGATGGATGATAGACAATATATATGTACAGCATATGGTAAGCTACTGAATACTGTAGAGCGTAATTTACCTTCTAACTGACAGTCTGAGTTTCAACGTAGTACTTTGTTGCATTGCAAACTGTCACACCCAATATAACACACAAAGGTAGGGGAGAAAATCTCAGAAGAACCATGAGCATTAGAAATGTAAGGGAGCAAGAATAGTGTAAGATGAAAAACCATGAAATTTAATGGATTTGGGTGAATGTCTCTGCTCCAGTGAGAACAGTTTTGAGCTATATCATCAACAGTGTTAAGTCGGGGCTTTTTAGCATCTGGAGTACTCCAGTGAGGTAGTCTAAGCCTCCATACATGTCTCAAGCCAACCGTCAAAGACTTTACAGGTTTATTTCAGGTTTTGGTTCAACGACCCCTAAGTATTTCTCCACGAAGAAGGTAATGGTTTGGCATGAATAACATCTGTCCTACCCATTTCTATCGATGTAGCTTCACAACCTCGTCGATTGACTTGCTCTCCTCATATAACACTCTATGTCTAACCTCAGGATTACTCATCACACAGAAGACAAAACACAAACGTCTGTGATAGAAGACAGTTAACCACTTTTAGTCTTCCAATTTCAATGATCATGTTTCACAACCATGAATAAGGACAGTGAGAAATTTCCCTTCACGTGTTTCCTAGTCAGTATTGCACAACACAGAGTCTGAGCATAGTTAAGGGTTGAAAACATACACGCGATTTGTCTTAAAGCTGTTTTCATAAACAAACATATTAAAACATTGGAGGAAAAACCTGAAACTATGACTGCACATAAAAATACCTCTATTTATTAAGTTACAATTTAATGGTAACTTGTCAGGTGAGATTTTATTCCAGAGACTTTCTAGGAGTATACGAAGAACGTTTTATGCAGCATACCTATGTTTGTCATTCTCTAACCGACGAATGATTGGGACGCACTACTAGACAGCTTAGCCAACGTGTTAGTTAGTGGTTTGGCAAAGGGCAGACAAAAATAATCCGTAGCTCAATTTTTTCACATTTAGTTGATAGTGGTCATGTAGTAGAGAAAATGAGAGCTTTCAAGGTAATTCATCGTATCCCACTGAATATTTCCAATAGACTTCGTATTCGTTTACTGCACACAGCTGAGGCGATAGGCATTCGAACTATTAAACCTAAACTATGCTCATTCAAAAGAAGTACGTACACAGCCATTATCCTTCCCTTGTTGGCCTATTAAGACATAACCCGCTGATGACTTCTCCACCACCCCTTACTTGTATTTTCAACACCTCTCTTATCACCCCTCAATTCTATCACATCTTCATTAAAAACGTGTTTCATTTCCTTCCCTTACAATCTAACATTACTTAATCGGTTCATTTGTTTTTACTAGCCTTTATCGACTACTTCCACCTGAACAGTTGTTTGTTTAATCATACTGTTTTTCGTTATTCTTGTCATCACAGATAGCCTCACTTTTTCATCCTTATTATTGATAGAACCATTATTACTATTATTATTATTATTATCATTACTACTATTATGACTAATTGCACAATTTATATTCACCATCTTATTATCCTATAGACAAAACACCGCGACTGGTTTATGTTTGAATATTTATTTGTAAAGTTACATAGGTATATTAGAGTTAAGCCTGATGAGATCTAATTGAAAACACAATATTGTTCGCTTTAAGGAGAGAGGATTATAATCAAGCAATGATCAAATTCCTTATTGCATCATAAATAACTCCTAATCTCTTTCCCTCCCCCCCCCGCTCCTTTCTTTTTTGTCATTAAAGATTCAAGAAGTGGTCAACGTTTACAAAATGTTATTTATGATTGGAAGTTTACAACACCGAATGGTGATGTGATTCCACCAGTTTATTATTTCAATTCACTTGAAAGTCAAGGGAATAAACTTATTCTAGGCAGTGTAAACACTCATCGAAAGTTGCCGGAACATTTAAGTCATGCTCAACGTATTGAAGGACGTTGCGTTGTTTTAGCCTATGAATATGTATCTGATGATATGAAAAAACCGGGTAGAATGAATACTTACCAATCAAGACCATTTATTGTTATCAATCCGTCAGCTGTTGATCCCAATGAACTTTTAACATCACCGGATCAATACATTGAAGGTGAGTTTGTTACTGTTATCATTATTATTATTATTCTCTTGGGTTCCCAGTGGAATAGAGAACTTTAGCAGCACCTTTCTATCTCACTGTTTTCTCTATAGTCTTTATTAGGTGGGATAGGCTGAGCATAGGCTGTCATCACCCCACACGATTTCCTCCAAGTCGCCGTCGGATCGTTCACCGTTTGGGTTTCACTCCATGGTCTGGTGTATGATGGCACTCAACGGTCTCCTAAGCGCCTGTCTAATCTGTCTCCGTTTTCTTCTGCATATTTTCTAGGCTATAGGTCACCATAATCCCTCCCTGGCTGTCTGACATTCACTTCAGAGCGAAGGCAGGTGATGATAAGAGATTGAAGTTTGTTGGAAAGGCTTTCGGTGACATTCAATTCTCTCTGAATTTGGTTAAGACATAGTACCATTCCTTATTTGACTCTTTTTGATGTTACTCGGTGATGAAAACTGTTTAAAAATCGACTAATTCCTGAGAAATTTCCAAATACATTTAGGGACAGAAATTATAGAACACGCCTTCAGTTGGATAAAACTGTTAGCGTTAAGTAGCAAAGCCTTCTAGAAACCACTCAGTCAATGTCTTCTTTCGGTGAAAGCCAAAGTAGGGATGAGGATATGTGACGTCCTGTGTTTGAGGTTTGGAAAACTGCTTCAACTGTCGAAATAATGGAAAGATATGACATAGAGTTGTAAAGAATCTACGAGAGCAGATAGAATGGGAGTGACCTGTCCAAGTTGTTAACTGGAGAGTCAGTAATCTTCTCTGGTCATTCAAGCAACAACCATGAGCTTACTGAAGGTTATAGAAGGTTTCCATAACTTCAAATGTCGAAAGTATATGCTAAGCATCGTCATTATATAAGAAAAAAAGTGCTTATTAACTAGATAATATTTCAATACACTTGTTTCTTTTTTTATTACAATTTCACAGATCAACGTCTATATGTTACTGTCGACGGATTGACGAATGGTGGTGTTATTGGCCCAGCGGGTTCAACTGTCACTCTGACATGTAACGCTTATGGTAAGTAATATATACATATATATATATATCACATTTTGTAATCTAAATAATTTCCGTTTCCGAGGAAAACTGTGGCAAAATTTCTCCTCCAGCTGTGTTCAACTTGAAAGTTTGCTTCAGTCTGTTACCAACTCGCTGGAGCAGATAGCTACAAGTATAGTGATTTCAACTGATTTCGTTCCCTGGATTGAGCCAAGCCACCTGCATTGCTGATTAACTTGGTGCCAAATCAAAGAAAGGTCTGTCCGGTGTTTAGATTACTTCAATCTAGCTAACAAGAACCACTGGTTGATATGAGTGGTGCCATAGTACTCACATCAGTCAACCAGTAGTATATAGCACTATGTATTATACCTTGTTGGGATTCAAATTCTCAACGTGATTTTCAATATCACCTTACTTGGGGTTATTGTAAAATTAAACTGCGTAAAAAGATCCACTAACTGAGATTCAATAAGCGTCGGTGGCATAGCGGTTAGGACGCTCGCCGACCATGCACATGGTCCGGGGTTCGAGCCCCGGCCGACGCACTCCTTTACCTCGCTAAGCCAGAAATAATACTGGTGAAGAGGAAAGGTTGGGCATGAGGCTAGCAACCCCATCCTGTAAAATAAACACTGCTACAGAAACTTCAAGCCACTAGCTTGAAGCCCTATGTTCCACTGGGGAACGTGAAAGGATAAAAAAAAAAAAACTGAGATTCAAAAGTGTCCTACAATTATTCCTAGTGAGGCGGTTGAGCAAAGCCAGGTTAATATACATTGCTGGAAAATATGAGCTCAATTTTTTTTCCATTATTTCTTTAATTCTTCTCAACTACCAACAAACTAAGCAATAGAATAATGCATAGAATATCCACATATGAGCTGGACGACTAATGGATTACTGCCGGTTTTTCTGGTATTAAACGAACATTCATTTAAGAGAAGCAGGAGGAGGAGTCAATAGATTCCCAGTTCACTTTACATCCGATTTTATCTACCAGTTTATACATACGTTCTAAAGCACACAGAGAGAAAGGCTGTGGGTTATATTCCCAATAATATACCAAAATTTAAAACGATTAGTTCCCTTTATGAATTTAGACTAAGTAATAAGAAGATGTAATTTGCCACAAATGATAACGAATTGTTGCTTTGAACGCAAAAACGTGGTTTAGACTTTCTAATTGCCAGCTAGGGATTCCACAAACTTTAGGATACGCCCCAAACACTTTTTTGTAGATAGGTTTAAAAGAAGCGTGCAAACATCAATTTTATGTCCTGTCTCTATAATATGTTTGAATAAGGCATTAAGAAGACAAATTTCGCGACATTATAACATTTCGTAGTTTCTTTACAACCGCTTTACAACTAATATGGTTAACAATAATAAAATAAAGATCATGACAATTACTCAGTTAAATAAAACAAAAGTACATACTAATGACCAATCATATTTAGATAGGTCAAGTAGTCCAGGGTAGGCGAAGATTGAAGTCTATTGATTTTTGTACACATGCTGGTTGTAAAGCGGTTGTAAAGAAACTACGAAATGATATCATGTCGCGAAATTTGTCTTCTTAGTGCCTTATTCAAATTTATCAAAGGGACTAATTGTTTTAATTTTCTATAATATGTTTCGCAACAGACGAGTTAGGTCTACTGTTCTTACCATTAATTGGTTCTGAGGATTCCTAAATGCCTCCAGAAGCAAATAGAATCTTCAGAACCCATTTAATGGTGAAAAAAGGAGACCTATCTCCTCTTTTGCGAAACATATTATAGAGACAGGACATAAAATTTATGTTTGCACGCATCTTTTAAACCTATCTATAAAACGTGTTTGGGTGAGTGCGTGTCCTAAAGTTTGTGGAAGCCCTAGCTGGCAGTTAGAAAGTTTGAACCACCTTTATACGATCAAAGCAACAATTCGTCATTACACTAAATCTTGCTTGGTAAACTTTGTTTTGATACCAAAGCGGATGTACTATTACTTCTGCGATTTGGTTTAGTGGTCTTCATTGTTATTTGTAACCTTCCATATGTTCTTTTAACTTGACCTAAATTTATTTTCGCACCCCTTAACTCTTTATTAATTTCATATATATTCCAATGACAAATCCGAGTGTGATCAGACTGTTCGAGATGTGTTACACGATAATACATTACGCGATTCAAACATGTTGCATCTACTTATTGCTTTGTTTATGTACCAAAATACCTAGAACTAAATGGTTCACAGGCGCTAAACATTGTAATCGCTCACCGTCCACTGGATACTGATCATACTGAGGCATTCAAAATAATAAACAACCTAAAGATACCTGCAATTACCACCTATTGTACACGTAGAAGGAGATAATGGTCAACTTAGAATAGCCCTGTTGATTACATTCACAAAAGAAAGATATTTAACTTTTATTACGCCATACATTCCTTCATGTCTTTTGTTGTGGTTTAGAACGCCTCACTTTTCATCCGAATGCCACTCGCCTCATTCCTCCCGCTAGTGTATGTCTATTATGCCAACATACTCTTTACAGTTAAAATTTGTGGCAAAGTTAAACTTTAAGCACCACTAACTACCAATCAGCGAATAAACTTGAAAGCACCAATCACATGAAGGAGGCATTTTTAGTAGTGGAAAACATGCATTTATGAAAAAAAAGCTTAATAACTGCATAAAACTTTTACATAGGATACCTTTCACTGACATGTGATAACAACATCTCCCAGTTTTCAGTGTAGGAGTATCAATTAAAAAGTTACACAACATTCTGTACATATATCCGTCAAAATGACTACAAATGACATTGCTCTGAGATCCATTAATGGCCCTAATCCTATTTTCTAACCTTCCCTAAAAGCCTTCGATAGAACTGGTGTGTGCACCTGTAATGGGATCCACAAAATCATTAGAACGGTTCACTCTGTGATGAATATACCCAAGGGATGACAGGGAGTTGTAACCTTTGCACTCATCGGTGTGAATTATAGATCCCTGTTTCACAAGTCAAGTGATAATAAGTATTAAGGCAGTTGATTTTCTGTCTGCTATTCTCCGGACGAATCCTCTCTGTAGAGAGGTGTCATATAAGTCGATCACCCAAACATTGTTGACTAGCTTACGATCACGGTTGTATTTTTTCTTCAATAAGACAGTTTCATCCACGTGTAGGATGACACCTTCTACTCCTAATAACGAAGTAATTCTCTCCATTTTCCATGACGCGATATCCCTGCAGTGCTGATACCACTGAAGTTTTGAAACGAGGCTATTTTCGGTTTCAGCAGCTAATTATAAACAGACAAAATATGGGTTAAGGACAAAAAAGTTCCTCTAAAATATTAGAATCATCACCTTACCTTCTATGACACTAACTCGTTTGAAACAAATTGCACAACGATGGACATATCCATCAATCAACTCATGAAACCTCCACATGAACACATCCGTTCCTTCCTAAGCAACCCTACATCCGCAAGCTCAGCTGCGCTACAGCAGGCATTTGGCTCGAATCAAGCGGAATAGAACCTTCAACTCACGTGGACTAAAACTCACTTGACCATTCAAGATCATTCGCTGATTGGTAGTTAGTGGCGCTTAAATTTTAACTTGGCCAAATTTAATTTCTAACCAAAGTTTTGAACTTTGGGCCTTTCTTTCCGAAAGTACTCGTTTAATTTTCTCACAAATAGTCAGTTTTTTAAACTTAAGTATTTAAATACTTGCATCCTTCCAGACACATATTTCACCTATAGTTCCTATCAACACCTCATTGTCAACCTGATAAAAGTATGTCCAATTGTTCATTTTATTAATTTATACATTTTGATATTGTTTAAGTTATAAGTAGTCAAAAAGAGTCAGCGAAATAACAAAAAAAAATGAGCTCATATCATCCAGTACATTTGTGGTTTAGTGATGCAATGCCCTCCGGCCACATGGGAGGTCCGAACTCCATTCCTGACCAATGCACTGCTAAACCCGAAAAAGGAATAAAGTTGAGTATGATGCTAGTGAATCTACCCCGCATAAAACAACAGCACCATCGCTGAAACTCCAACAATCTTGAAGATCTGTATTCCACTCGGAACGCAGGGAACCAAAAAGAATAATATTCTTCTTCTATATTTGTTGTTCTTGCTTTCTTCATCAGGATTATTCAATGACAGAAATGTCTGATAACGTTTTCATTTTCATTTCCTCTCCAGATTCTTCAGATCATTCACCAGTGGAAGGTTTGAAATACTATTGGGAAATCAAACGACGTGATGGTACCCCGGTTGACACAGCCATTCTGGCTAGAGATTATGTCAATATCAACGGTCCAGGTGGAAATACCTTGATTCTAGGAAATCTACGTTCACTGTCATCAGGTGTTACAGGAAGATGTATTGTTGTGAATGAAACTACTCCAGATCCAGCTATATCTGATGCTGGACTATTACGTTCCGGGGAGAGGATTTTCTCACCAACTTTTGATTTTATTATTACGGGTGAAGCACCATCTTCTGCAACTGATGATGTTCTCTATGGTGGAAATAAAGATTATGAGATAGGTAGGTTGTTGTTCAATGTTGGACGTTTTATTCTGTGTTCATAAGGCGTATTTTAATTGAGTTATCATTAAATTTCTTTTTTTTATTCCTTCACGTTCCCAGTGGAACATAGGGCTTCAAGCTAGAGGCTTGAAGTTTCTGTAGCAGTGTTTATTTTTACAGGATGGGATTGCTAGCCAGCTTCATGCCCAACCTTTCCTCTTCGCCAGCTTTTTAGTTCTGGCTTAGCGAGGTAAAAGGGTGCGCTGGCCGGGGATCGAATCCCGGACCATGTGCATGGTCGGCGAGCGTCCTAACCGCTATGCCACCGACGCGCTGGTAGCAGAGCGTGGAATACAAACCATGCATCCTGGTAATTACTGTGATATCATATTTGACACCATTACCGATGATTTGCTTTCACTTTGGTCAATCAAAACCTCAGCTTAGAACACAGTGTGTTCAGAAGTAGGGCGAAACAAGGGATCTTAACGGTTCGTCGTAGATAATGAGTATTTAGATGGAGTTGAAGGGTTAATTAACTCTGACATTTCATTAGGAAAGATAACACCTAAGTACGAGTGAAAGTAGGTTTAATAAGTAGAACCGAAGTGAATTAATCAAACTTCATTCTAGGGAAAAGAACAAGAAGTTCAGCAGCAAAGATATCTGTCTTTTCGGCGATTTCATTCTCAAAAGCAGCTGTACAATCGCATTTACAAACATTAGTTTGCATGGATGCAATTATTATCTATTTAATTCCACATAGTAACGAAGGAGATAATAGTTTTCAACTTGATATGAAAGTTTGAAGGTATGAATATAGATTACAAGGGGCTTAGAGTCAAGATTACGTATGCAAAATTAATATTTGATAACTGCAGAAATAACTTTAAAGGCGAATAAAAGGTGATAATTATTTTCAGTTTGATATGAATTACAAGAAGCTTAGAGACAAAAGTTGCGCAGGGATGGAATGAATTACAGGTGTGAACAAAATGAGCAAGGAAACAAAGTGAAGTCAAAACTTTCAACTTGAAATGTAAGCTGGGAGGTGTGAATATAGATTACAAGAGGCATAGAAACAAAAAATTACACAGGATTAGAATATAATTGTAAAATAGTTATTCTAAACGGATTACAAATGTATTTGTTATTGATTCGTCATCTGGATGTACCTGCAATTCTCAGTGAGTGATAATGTTCCCACCGACGAGACAAATGTGATCAGGAGGAGCATGGAAACAAACTTAAAATAACTGATTTTATAACTGAAAAAAATGGGATGAATTGAATGAAGACAAAGAGAGAAAATTACACACAGAGAGAACAAAACAAAAAAGCTGAAGGATAAAGGAACATACCGAACTAGGTCCACGGTAGTTGTAAAGGCTGGACTAGTTTCTTTTGAACACATAGCTCCAGCTTTTCGATGCATATGGCGAGAGCTTCCGCAGTACAAAGAAGTCGGAAACACACTGCCTTTGGTAGATTTTTGTTTACTTTGTAAATGACTCTGAATGATGAGTCAGTTGAGATTCTGTGACAGGTAATGACGAGGTGTTCAGTGATTGCGCTTCTGATTGAACCAATGCAGCCATGCTGGATGATGCTTTCTAACACTTTTTGATAAGACCCGCATAGAACGACCTGTGTACCTAGCTCCGCAAGAGCAGGTGAACTGATATATGCACACTGAACTGGTCATATGCGGAAGTCTGTCCTTCCGATTGCTCCGAAGTAGTGGGCGGCTAGAGAATATCACTCTTAGAGTTGCTGCCGGAAAAGTCTTCTGTTTTAATTACAACCGATATTCGTCGATGGTTCATCGGTATGACGCCAGACAACCAAGGAAGTTTTCTGGGGTTTAATCCCCAGCCGACGTGCTCCTTTATCTCGTTTAGCTGATAGTTAAGCTTGGTTAAGAGGGAAGGTTGGGTGTGAGGGTAACAACTCAATCCCGTAAACAAGACCACTGCTACTGAACTTAGAGTGATGCTTGTTTTCCACTCGGAATGCAAACGATAGTAAGATGAACAGACAATGAGTCAATTTATACTTTATAAACCTCCACCTTGTCTGACCAGTAGTATGTACTACATTTATTTCGTATTTTGTATTTCAAGTATATGCGTCCGGGACTTCTGTTTAAATAGAGATTCTACATGTCGCAGAGTCTATTCTCCACTAATTAGTCATGTATCAACTAGGAAGTTGTATAATGTCGATAATTTACAGTAAATATTCGTTTATACGTTAGTGGCTACAAAAAATCAGAGTTTCGGATCCTTCATCAGTAAGTAGCCACCATAGGGGTTTGAACCCAGGAGCTTCCGTTTACAAGGTGAGCCGGTAGACCATTCAGCCACTGGGACCAAATCCAGTGGTCAGCCCATGAATCTCAACTTCTGCCAGTTCACGATAAAGCGCAGCCGCCAACTAGTTCTATCATTAGCGAGTAATTGTTCTCACACCCGACCTGCTGTACCCTACTGGTCAGTGTTTTCCCAAACTGCCTACAAATAATAATAACAATTAATTAGAACTCTGATGTTAGGTAATTAGTGGCAGTTGTGAAGAAGTTCTTGACTTAGGTTATGGCCCTGTTAGTACTCATCAACAAGGAATCTCTACATCGTCGATGAGACTGATGTCCCTCGAGGATCCGAACCAGAGTTACCAAGCATTGTGGTAAGAGATGTCATCACGTAATCATCCTGACTCAGTGGATTGATCGGTCACTATGGAGTAATCACTGTCATTTGTTTAGTTCTTATTATGAGTTCTTGCCGAAGCATTCTTCCTGCATTAGGAAGAATAATACCTCCTCGCCTGATATGATAAGTAGTAGCTTGAAAATATAACTAGTGATACTGCGTTACATTTTTTCCACATTGTTTTTAGCCACTGTTAGAAATTACTTGCCTGGGACAGACTTTGTATGTGATGAGACATGAGCCATACGTTATTCATGCGTTAGTGATACTGTAACGACAGAAGACAAGGGCAAGGCAACAAATCGTTTATTCAGAAAATCAACAGATATTTATAGATTTTAATGTATATTATTATTAGCGTTATTGTTAGCAGAGAAGCAACGTCTTCTGTTTGGTTGTTTTCTCGCTGAAAGTTGATCTGTCATCTTTTTGTGGCCGTTTCTTAGAAAGTTAAGCCATATGTCTGCGAATCGTATTTGCACACGTTAAGTCTGCTGTGATTGGTTGTTGATTTCCTCAAGGTTAAGCTTTGTTATTGTGTTTTTTCTCTTGACCCCGATTCTAGACGTAACATTGACGTCAATTGTTGTCTACAATTTTGGCTTGCAGACAGCTCTCACCACAATACTACTTAAGGCGATGAAGAATGTAGACGTTACGCGAGATACACTAAGTACTAACGCAAGCATTTATCCTGTAACACTCAAAGTATTTATTCTACTGAGATCAGATCAGGGCACCAAATTGATCATCGAAAATATGATATCTATTGCAGTATCAGAAACGTAGAGCAGTGAAGATTGGTTAATTAGCTAGTGTTCTTACACGAACGACAGAACATAACACGACAGCATGTCAAATAACATGGGTGCTTGACTTCCTACCTTAAGGATAACAAGTCGACTTAAACAGTGAAGGACAGTATCCAGCGTTGAGTGAATAATGGTGTAGGCAAATACTTTTGAGGAATTCTTTACCTCTACACTCGGATGCTTAGGGAATAATAATATACACTACCTAGTTGCCTTGAGAGAAGAAGGTGGAGAGTCCTTCGACCCGGAAACGCACTAACAACTGGAAGTTCAGTATTTAAACTAATGGGAACAATATCGCCACATTTTCCCCCCTCCCAAGATGTAGATGCTGACACAACAGCTCAATCTGTTGACAAAATATTCATATTATTATTGTTCCCTTGGGTTCCTAGTGGAACATAGGGTTTCAAATACACGTCTCCACTTACTTCAGTCTTCTGCTCTACTTTTCACTTGCATCCATGTTAGTCCATACTGTTTCAACTACTATTCACACGATCTCCTCCATGTCACCCTTGAACGTCCCACTCGCCGCTTCCCTTTCGGGTTCCACTCGAGCACTGGCCTGACGTGCGATGTCACCCATCGGCTTCCTCAGCCAGTGAGTGTCCAATCCATCTCCACTTTCTCCTGCATATTTGTTGAGCGATTGGTTCTTGTTTTGTTTGTTCCCATAGTTTCTTGTTGGTAGTTCTTTCCGGCCATCTGATCTTCAGTATAGAGCGAAGACAGTTGTTGATATTGGTCTGCAACCTGTTGGAAATATTCTTTGTGACCCGCCAAGTTTCTGATCCGTATAGAAGAAGTGACTTGACATTTGTATTGAAAATCCGAATTTTGTTGTTGATGGTGAGCGACGAATATTTCCAGATTGGTTTCAGGTTGAAAATATTCATTTACGCATACTAAAATAAATTTTAAAAAATAACTCAATTTCAATTTCTGCCTTTTATTTCTTTTAGATGGAAAAGATTATGAAGTTGTAATAGATGGTTTAGATGAAGATGGACGATTGAAAGTGGCCAAGGGTGATAATAAAACGTTCACTGTTTTCCTACGTCGTAAGTACAATGAGTTATTCCATTTGATAAAAGCATACAATGATACTGTGTTCATTTACTGTTGGAGTTTCCGCCACAATTTATTACTCATAAGCATATCGAGATGATAATATGATTTTCGAATTTCGTTTATAGAGTTTTGTGACATCCCCTTTGATTTTATTGGTAATACTATTTAGCTTTGATATAAGTATAAAACTTGGGCATTTTTGTAGAGTAAAACTCCATTATGGATAAAATTTTATTTTGATAAATCACACAGTGTTACCCAGTAATATTAAATGATGACCACGTTTCGAGCACAAACTATTGCCACTCATAATCATATCAAGTTACTCACACAACTTTTTCCTTCATTTATATATATGTATGGAATTGACTAGATATTTGAATAAAAATCAGTATGAGATAATGCACATTCAGAAATAATAATACATACGAATCTAGCTAAGGTAAGAATGGTTGACCCCGAGAAGATGAGTAATTTAGAAAAAAGCTCAGCAATTGTACTACATGCGTTAACACACAACCACCTAATAGGGTGGGAGAGGGTTAGGATTCTAAGAAGTGATCTGTATAGGTGGAGAGAGAGAGATTACTGAGCCCTGGTTCATTGAGTCTACACCCAATACATGCAACAGAAATGACTCAATGCAAATACCAGAAATATGCATGGAAGATATTATTACCACCAGTCAGTCAAATCAGAAGAGGATAATAAATAATCTTAAAATTCTATTTCAATTCAAGCACATCACAACATTCTAACAAGTTACTTATTATGACTATAAAAACACTCGTCGTATTTCCCATCTAATTGTAATGGATTAATAACACTCGTACTATTATTTCTGAATGTGCATTATCTCATACTGATTTTTATTCAAATATCTAGTCAATTCCATACATATATATAAATGAAGGAAAAAGTTGTGTGAGTAACTTGATATGATTATGAGTGGCAATAGTTTGTGCTCGAAACGTGGTCATCATTTAATATTACTGGGTAACACTGTGTGATTTATCAAAATAAAATCTTATCCATAATGGACTATTTATCTTTCCATGGTATTTGTGCTGTGTTATTTCTTTTGCACTCGTGTTAGGTGTAGATTCAATGATCAACCTCTCCCTTCTGTTACGTGTATAGATTTTCTCCCGCAGTATTGTGTCACGGTGTGTTATGCTTGCATTGCTATTGCTGACTTTCTTCTGAACCGTTCATCTTCTTGGTGGCAGTTATTTTACACTTAGCTGAATTCTTATGCTCCAGTCATCTAACTACCGCCCCACCCTCTACTAGTGTCACCCAAGCAGTTGGCCTGGCAGTCACTGTAGAGTATTCCAATGATTAACTTTTTATATTCATTGGGGTTAATAAGGTCGTTTAGTCTACAGAATTTGTCCCTGAGTGGGTTTATTGATCTGAATGACACTCAGCGCTCTTGATGCTTCAAAATTCCTTATAATTTCCAGTGTTGCCAGTAGTTTCGTTAATATTTCCAATTTTATTGAGGGCTTAGTTGAACTTGATAATTAATTTTATTGGATATGTACAGAAGGAGCATATGAGAGTGATAACAGTGAATTAATTACTAAAGCAAAAGCAAACTAAAAGTAAAATTAAAAATTAAAAAAGAAAAAATCAATTTTTTTTACATGGAACGACTTGTGAAGAGGTCAAGACCAAGGTAGAATAAGAGACTGGACAAACTTTTTCTGAACATCATCCGGCATGGTTAGCAAAGGGATAATACAAAACAATTACTAGCTCAATTCTCGAGCATTTGGTGAACTCAGGCCATGTGGCTCCACCAGAGTCATCTTTCAAGATCATTTACAAAGTGAAGCCAAATGATACAAAGGCCGTTAGGTTTCGGCTTTTATGTATGGCGGAGGCTCTGGCAATTCATCAATACAACCCTGAACTCTGTATACAGAAAACGTTTGTCCAGTCTCTCATTCTACATTGGTCTTAGCCTCTTGACTAGTGGTTCCATGTAAAATATTTTGATTTTTTCTTTTCTTTTTTAATTTTTAATTTCACTTTCAGTTTGCTTTTGCTTTAGTAATTAATTCACTGTTATCACTCTCACATTTCACACCCTCTTCACGCTTGTTAAATTGACACTCAAATACCTTCATTCTCACTCAACAGCAATTTTAACCTTATCAAATTTTTATGGGATAGTTTTTAGCACCAATGATTCTCTTATCTGTTTCATTTCACTGTGCCACTTAGAATTTTTACCGGTTGGTTAGTCACTTAGCTAAACTTGCCTCTTCTCTCCTTGCATAGCTAATTCGCCTTGTTCATTTTATGATTGAAATATAAAATTTTATTCCCTGTATTAGGGAGTTTATGGGTGTAAAGAAATTAGTGATGCGTTCTGTTGTTAGCATAATGAAAGCGACAGTCACACATTTCTACAATGTCTTTGCGGTAAGATTCAATATTTTAAGAACCTTATTTATCTAACTACCCACAAAGATTCCTGCTACGACTTGGGATATTGGTAACTCCACTGCTAACCTTGTATCTGTCTACACATGTCAATCATTGTACTAGTTGATTGGTTATTTTGGTTTTTTAGTGATACCAGTGATAATACTATTGTCTAGTTGACGGTGGCTAGCAGTGGAATCCAGGGTACACAATCGTCCGCCATGAGACTCATTAGCTTGCTATGCCCCCATCCTTGGTGGGTGTATATTATCCAGCAACAAGACTTTAGCTAACTGCTTACAGGAATAAAAGTGCCTGTCAATAAACAATGTGAGTCGGATATTTTTCGTCGGATTTCTGAACATCATCTTGCATAATGGTTAAGTAAAGGACATCCATTCATAGCTCTGTTCTATCTCGTCTTGTGGATACAGAACACAAGAATGGTGTTAAAGAGGCGGCTTTCAAAGTCATCTACCGTATACCAAATAATCTTAACTTCACCTGAAGAGTTCGTCTACTACATATTGCTGGGGCTGGCTGTTGAGATCAACATTAAGAAGCCTAACTTATGTATCCAAAAGAAGCTGGTTCAGACAATGTCCTTCCTTACTTTGGCCATCAAGGATCTAATGATCCTAAATCGGTTGTGGAAATTTCCTTAATTTTTTAAATATTCTATTTGCTATTACACTTTTATGATTATTATAATTTATGAATCTTTCTTGAACTGTGGTGATTCCATTGGTCTTACTTAACAAATCGATATTATTTAAAAAACACTAATATTTTCAATGACTACTAATTTAGAATATTCTATGTATATAAACATATATGTATAATTGTAGAGCCAGAAGAGGAAGTTATCGGAAAGTCTTTGTTTTTCTCAATGTCAGGTAGTTACGTCTAAAGCCGCCGACCAATCCTTCACCCAGCCTTCAAAATTCTATTAAATTTAAGATAGTCTTTTTAAAGAGGCCCAAGAAAGAATAGGGGGAAACAATAAAGAACGATGGGTAGAATGTATGAATTAATAAATTGTAAGAGAAGAGGTTAAATTATTCCTGAAATTCTCAACTTCCTTACGGAATAAATCGAAATAAAGGTGTTTTTAGAAATCGACAAGACATGTCACGACTAACAAAGATCTGAAGAGAAAGTGACACTAAGATGGGTAATATCCGTCTTATTTCCTGTCACACTGCCGTCGATACTAGAAGAACCATGAGACTGAATTATTTCACGCAAGTATTGTTCATGCTTGAAGCAGTCTGACATTCAGTGGGGTTCAGTTTAACACCATTTGAATAAGACCACTGGTTAACCTAAGACAGGAAGCTATTTATCTCATGACAATCTAATACAGAAACGACTTGGACAGAAAATGTCAGGTCATCAGCATATTTAATGAAACAGACTTTAAAAGAATACCGTAAGTCATTTCAAAAGAAAGGGATGCAGAAGTGGAGAGAGTACAGCATCTTGAGGCACATCAGCTTCAATAAGCAAACAATTGGAGCACTTCGCTTTAGAAAACAGTGTGAATTCTCCCATCTGAAAAATAGGAAGACCCGGGGTGGTTCAGTTATAATCCTAGATACTATTTTCAATGCTGACATCAGTACTGTAATTTCTTCTTTCCTTTTCTCTTTATGAAAGCAATATGAAGTCATGAGTGCTATTCATAAGTATCCATGACTGTTTTCATGGTCCTATTCCTCAATTATTTTGTACGGCGCTTGTCTTCATATTCCTAATTATGGTAATCAATTATATTCCCCGTCATGATTGTCAATCCTTTATCATTAATGTTTCTCCTTCTTCGTTTGTTCTATAACAGATAAAGAAACTGGTGAAGAGATCTATCCAGGTCCACCGAATACCTATGCTGGGATTGAAACACGTTATATCAACGGGTATCCATCTTCTCTGTCAATGCTAGCCAATGCAATTGAATTCCAATCAGATAGTGGGAAGTTTAATTTATACAATATGAAAGAACCGAGTACTTCACCGCCAGTACAAATGCGTTTTGTTATTGAACGTAAAGAATTAGATGAAGATGGTAAACCAAAAGATATTATACGTTATGCATCACAGTATATTGATTTAATTCCAGCAGAAGGAGATGTAATAGCCGGCGGACAATTAGGTATGTTATTTATTATGAAGTCTAGTATATACTTGGACTAAGTTTTCGATTTATAATTGACTGAATGAATAATGATAGGCTGAGATGATCGGTATTCAACAAATGGGAAGTGATGAGCAGGCTGTGAATCCTAAGGCAGTTATGCAGTCGGTTGGAAGGGATAGCAGAGAACTGAGTGCAACAGAGATGTGTGGCTGGACTCCGTAGTTAATAATATCACAAATAGTGATAAAAATATAAAACGATCTTGACTTGATTTCTGCAACAGATTATAAAATATTCACAAGCAAACATCAGGGTTTGGAAACTCATTACTCAAGTTACATAATCAGCTGAAATCAGTTAGAGAACCACTGAAAAACATGGACTACTGAGCAGCAGTTTCGTCCTGGCAAGGCCCATCCATAGCCCTATCAGGAATCAAACTCAGGATCTTCAGCTTATGAGGCAAGTCGACTGATCACTCATCTACTGAGGCAAAATTTTAAGTTTTGCTAATTCGCGAAATACTTATAGCGCCACCACAAGTCAATGTCATTGCAGAACATCTTTCTTCAAACCTGATTCAGTGAAGCCCACGTGTCACAACTCGCATACTCTTGGAAATTTTAGTGTTATGTAAAGTGGGCATTCATTTGAGTCAATTTTCGACTTTCATCACCTTGTTTATGCGTAAATGTAGTCCAAAAATAAATTTACGCTAACTGAAGTGAATAATTAAATTACCTAGGAGTTTTAATTTACTTTGTTATAATACAGCGTCGTCAATATTAATAAGTCTGATTTGTGGGTCAGTTAGCTCGAATAAATCACACATGAAATGGCTTTCAACTGGAAAACTGACGAGAACAGCAGTTGTTCCAGCAGTTGTGATGAAGCGGAGCAGTCTGGAAATGGTTCCGTTCTTGTCATGAAACTTGGCGGTCCTAGAGTGGATCACTCTTGACGTGAATGTGTATCACAGTGAAAAGTAGGAGGTGATGGAAGGCTGTTTCACCCTACTTTGCAACTATTTAGGAGTACTCACCCATGACTCTATCACCAGGGATCGAACCTAGGAATTTCAAGTTTCAAGGTGACCTGACTGGTCATTCAGCCACTGGAACGAAGTCCGATGTTTTATGAATTCTAACTTCTGCCTGTTCGCGATATATGTAGCACGGCTACCGGCCAATATCATCAGTGAGTGTTTGTCCTCATAGCCGACCTGGTGGATTGTACTGGTCACCATATCTCTCTCCCTAGGACTTCAGACAATTTCATCTCGTATTATTATTATTGTTCCCTTGGGTTCCTAGTGGAACATAGGGCTTCAACTGCACGTCTCCACATGCTTCTGTTTTCTGCCGTACTTTTCACTTGCATCCATGTTAATCCATACTGTTTCAACTCCTCTTCACACGATCTCCTCCATGCCACCTTTGCACTGACGTCTCACTCGCCGATTCCCTTTCGGGTCCCCCTCGAGCGTTGGCCTGACTCGCGATGTCACCCAGCGAGTGGCCTCCTCAGCGAGTGTCCAATACATCTCCACTTCCTGCCGATTGCATCCAACCATCTAATACCAACAATTCACAGTGCACCGTAATGGCGAGCCACCTAGCATGGTGGCCACATTGCAAACATGACTGATAGAATTCAGTCTGCACCGAAGATAGGACTAGACACATTACACTAGTTACTGACTAGTGTGCAATCAAAAATACATCTCCACTTTCTCCTGCATATTTGTTGGGCGATTGCTTCTTGTTTCGTTTGTTCCCATAGTTTCTTGTTGGTGATTCTTTCCGGCGGCCATCTGATCTTTAGTATAGAGCGAAGACAGCTGTTGATAAAGGTCTGCAACAGGCTATTGAAAATATTCTTTGGGACCCGCCGCTAAGTTTCTGATCCGTATAGAAGAACTGACTTGACGTTTGTATTGAAAATTCGAATTTTGTTGTTGACGTTGAGTGAGGAAGATTTCCAGATTGGTTTCAGGTTGATGAATGTGTTTCTTGCCTTCTCGATTCTCGATTCGACATCCTCGTCCGTTCCTCGTGTAGTTGAGACAATGCTCGCTAGATAAGTGAATGAAGTAACCTCTTTCAAATCCCTCCCGTTGATGGTAATTGGCGTTGGATGTTGCTGCTGTTGATGTTGTTGTTGTTGGTTGGTTATTTTCATAACCTCCGTCTTGTCTATGTTCACCTGCAGTCCTGTCTTCTCCGGCTGCTTCTTCGACTAGTTTTTCGGTTTTCGCTTGTAAGTCTTCGATTTTGTGTGACATCAAACATAAATCATCCACGCGCGAAATTCAGGTCTTCTCGTATTGTCGACTTATTTTGGAAGTCACGATTCACTTTTTTCTTTCGTCTTATAACATTATATTGCTGTCATACTATTAAGATTACTATTCTTCCTATTTTAACCAGTTGAAAAGATTCACCCGATTATTGATGGTCTGAACAGTTGTGGTCGACTGCCATTAGTCGTTGGAAATAATGTTACTCTGATTTGTCGTCCAAACGGTAAGTGGAAATTCTTTTTATTCGAATTTATGAATATATACATATTTAATGTTAGATGGTCGGAAGATGATATGACCGATAATATGACCTAGTAGATCAGGAGCAATACAAACCTAATGTGCTAACGAAAACTATTCTCCAATCGTTAATCACAGTATCGACCATAACAAGAAAAACAGTACCACTGGCATACAAAAACAAGAAGAGGGGAGCAGAGCATTTATTGTCACAAATCAGAGTCGACAGAATTGACATCAATGCTGAATATGTGGGTTTCAAATCACCATAGCAGACAAAAAACTTATTGATGAGTTTAGAGTTAGCAACTCTTGAAAGTTCAAGTTCCGCAAAGAGTAAGAAATACAAAAGGCCCCATTATTACCTCAAAGCTTGAGAACACAGTGTGATCCTATGTACTCCTAAACCTCGCTTATCTCGTAGTAAGCCGGTAAATAGGGAAGACTACTGTAAGCTACTGGAAGTACAAAAGTTTGAAGTCCTACGGAAAAAGAAGGCATATATATGCGTCTGACTGCAATGTTTGGTGACACGGCTTCCAGTGTCTACGGGGGATGACACTCTTCCTTTCAAGATTGCAGATAAATCTTGATGATCGGCAATAAGCATGAAAACTGAATCAATGACTTCATAACAGCTACCTTCAACCGTCTAACATGGATCAATAGCATGCCACTAGGTCATGAGATTTTAACAAGGTTATCTCTTATCTATCACTTCGTCCTAGCTTAACTATTAGAACAAATAGATTATAAGATTCTTTGAATAACGATCCATTTAATGGGAGGTGCAACCTTTATACTTCAGCTGTGTATTCATCATGGTTACTCATTAGTCTATATACACATATATATATATATATATATATAGCTTATGAAGAAATTGCAGCCCGGATAAAACAATTTTATTTGGTATTTGTCAACTTACCTCATTTTTCTGTTTTATACATGGTGACTAGCACTAGAGTGCAGTATGTGCATTTCATTCTACTTGGGGCTCGTCATCTGGTTGTACCTGCATTCTTAGTGAATGATGATGTTCTCACCGAAACTCACCCATCGTTCCAAACGCCAAAGCGTTATCCATTAGGTCACTCAGGCCACGTGGGCCACCACTTGTGCAGGAGGGGTGAGTGGAAACATCATCACGCACTAGAGAGTGCAGACACATCCAACTGATGAATGTGAGATAGGATGAGACGCGCATAATGGATTCCACTGCTAGTTACCCCCTACCAAATAATACACTGGTAATTCTAAGACATCATCGGAGCGTCCGCACTAGGAGCTTACTTATCAACAAACGCCGAACATTTCGGCTGAATTAATCAATGAGAAAAACAAAATTTTTTATAAATAAAAATAATGACCTCATTTTCAGGAGAAAGAAGGTTTGATATATTGTGCTGTACAGCATTTCGTACCATCCTCTACATAAGTCCACAAGAGATGAGTATTGAAAATAGAAGATATGAAGAAGTCAGTCATTTATGGCCATAGGTGTTTGAATCCAATTTCTCTTAACAGGTGGAACACTATGACCAGTTACAATGACGTTAGGCATAAAGCGTGTTAAGTGAGGGGGTTAAATCATCCGATGAGATTGTAAGATCACATTGTTCAGACAATCATTACATGTGTTACGTATACCAGTCTATAGCCTTGAACGACCAGACATTCTATCTAATATAAGATTAGGTTTGGGAGAATTTATAAGTGGTCAAGTCAAAATATGGTGTCATAGCATAAAGTCTTTGGTTGTTGGTTTAAGCCAAGTAAGACGGTGTAAACTGTCTCGTTGGGATCCTTCGGATGCTAATAGCCAATGGCTGGAGAAAGATGGTGACATGGCTGAAAATCACTCTCAGTCACCCAGGTACATTGTGATAGCCGAGATTCATTAGGTCACGATTATTCCGTATGTTAGTATTCTTTTCCCCGTAAGTTCGGTTTCATTAAAGTCCCTTTGTATGTGTGCTGCAATGAAAATTGAGCTCAGATCAGGGTTTGTTCACTTTCTATGATTTCTACGGCTCATATCATTTCATGAAGTAATCTACTTACTAGTCAAAGTAGTCTGTTATTACTCGTCTATTTTGTGCACGTTTGTTTTTTCTCATTCAGACACTCGTCTACTATCCGAATCGTTAATATATGATTGGGAAATAAGAGATTTATATGGACAAATATTACCACGTACAAATTTACTAGCGAAATCAATTAAACAGGAGAATAATCGTTTAATTCTAATTGATATGATTGAGCCAAATATTCGGTCGTTTGGTCGATGTATCATAATGCGTACATCAGGTGTACAAGATAGGCATAATTCAGAATTCTTTGAATTTGGAGAACATGGAGAAGGTTGTGCACCAAGTAAGTAATTTGAATATATATTTAAACGGAATTATGCTTATTTTTTTATAGCAGACAGTTTTGCTTTAAGCTCATACAAGACTGACTGCCTAAAGTTATTTTGTATTTAAAGTGGTTCGCTGGTATTTATAAGTAAAATTTTTTCCTTATTTTCAAGTGTTGGTTTGCAGGGATTTGATTGGTTTCAGGATTTCATCATGAACTGACATCAGTGTGAGGACAAATACTCGCCGGTGACTTTCGTTAGTAGTCGTGCCATATCATGAATTGGCAGAAGTTGGAATTCATGAGCCGGCGGCCATTGGATTGGGTCCCAGTGGCTGCTTAGTGGACTACAAGCTCACCTTGTAAGCAGAAGGTCCTGGGTTCGAACCCTGTCGGTGGGTTCGTACTGCTGAAGAGTCCTAAACGAGGACTACACAGCTGTCCTATACTCCCTGGTGGTTTTCCAATGGTCCTCTAACCGATGTCAGTTCATGATGAAATCCTTCCTTTATTTACTGTTATTCTCTTTGGTTCCGAGTGGAAAGTAGAGATTCAGCAGGATGGCTCTACTTCATTCTGTTCTCTGCAGTCTATCTTAGCTGGCTCCGTGATTGTCTATAAACTTCCATTTCCTCCTCAGACAATTTCCTCCACATCACCCTCGGACACACGGTTAACTTGTCATTTTCCATTCGGCTTCCACTCAACGGTCTCCTAAATGTATATCCAATCCATCTTCATTTTTTGGCATAATTGTTGGGCTACTGGATTCTTGGTTACTTGATTGCCAGGATTCCTTGTTGCCTGTCATTTCTGGTCAAAGATCAAACCCAAAATTTGGATACGTTACATAGACGACACATTCGTAATAATCAAAAGAAATGAGTTGGATAAAACTCACAACTTCATAAACAACGTCTTCAAAGACATCAAATTCACAAGAGAAGAAGAATCCGAGAATAAAAAACCCACTTTTGGACGTCTTAGTCAAGCGAACAACCACAAGGGAATTAGAAACTCAAGTTCATAGAAAATCAACTCACACAGACCAAATACTGAATTACAACAGCAACAATCCAATAATACACAAAAGAAATTATATACAAACACTATTCAAGAGAGCCAGGACTCATTGCAGCACTCCAACCTTAAGGAAAATTGAAGAAAGATATCTCATGGACGTCTTCCTAAAGAATGGATGCCAATGGAATTTCATCAAAGACATCTACACCCAAGCCAACCTACCAAATCAAAGGCCCCAACCAAGGAAAGCACAAAGAAAATCGCCCTATCATAAATAAAGGACATCTCAGAAATCACTACAAGACTCTTCAAACCTTTAAGAATTGACGGTACACCCAAATAAACAAAATCACTTCACTCAGCTGGCTCTATGTCAACCAAAAGGCTCAACAACGAAAGAAGATAAAACCAACATCATCTACAAAATAAGCTGCAACGACTGTGAAAAGCACCACATTGTCCAAGGTGGATGTCCCCTTCGTCTTCGTATCCATGAACATAAACTAGCCGTCAAAAGACATGACATCCACTCCCTAATATCTATTCCGATGTAGTATCCACTATCCACTAGATGAGATAAAATGGCGACATTTACTGATTTGCTTACTCCTTATCCAAGTCAAGTAGGTATTGGTAAATTCTTGTAACTACGGCCTATATCACTGGCTTCATAGGATCACTTAAGATACAAACTTCTATATACGTCGATTTAGAAATCACTGGTAACTTATCTTGGATTCTCTGTCAGTCCTTTTTCAAAGAAAGTTTTGTTTAACAATGATGAACAAGGTTCGTAGCTTCGGTGAATGGTTTTTTTATTCCTTCACGTTCCCCCAGTGGAACATAGACCTTCAAGCTAGAGGCTTGAAGTTTCTGTAGCAGTGTTGATTTTTACAGGATGAGGTTGCTAGCCTCATGCCCAACCTTTCCTCTTTACCGACATTTTTATTACTGGTTTGGCGAGGTAAAGGAGTGCGTCAGTGGCCGGGGATCGAATCCCGGGCCATGTGCATGGTCGGTGAGCGTCGTAACCGCTCTACCACCAACGCACCGGTGAATGGTTTCGATGCCGGAGAATTCTAAACAAACCTCCCTTCATCTTGTATGTTACTGAGGAGGAATAAGGGAAGGCACCATTACACCAAACTTTTTATTTTCCTTATTCATGAATAATGGGCATATGTACTGATATCTACAGAATCATACCAGTCTATCAACAGTGAGGAAACATAACTATCTGCTTTCTTTTGTAATTTTGTCAGGTTTGTGGACACTATATAATATATATAATGCACTTAATTTTGTAATAACATTCATCTCTCTCATCGCTCTCTCACTTTTAAGGTGAAGCACAAGTTGTTACTGATATACCTGGATATGTCCCGAAACCAGATGAACGTTATGATGTTCTGATTCAAATTCAAGGCTTAAATAAAATGGGTGAAGTTGTCGCTAAACCTGGTGATGATATATCACTTAAATGTTTAGCATTAAGTAAGTTTCTGAAGGCTTCTTTCTTTCATAAAAATAAATTGGAATGATTTTCAACTGTTGTTTTTTTACTGATGATATTTCGAGAACAGTTTATTCCTTATCATTATTATTATCCCGTTGCATTCCGAGTGGAACATAGAGCTGGCTTCAACAACACATCTCCACTTTATTCTGTTTTCTGCCATCCTCTTCATCTGGGTCCACGATTGACCGAACTCTAATCTCTTCCTCACACGATCTCATCCATGTCATCCTAGCACCGACGACCCACTCGCCACTTCTCTTTGGGATTCCACTCAACGGCCTGGTGTGCAATGTCATTCGATGGCTTCCTCAACGTATGCCCGATCCATCTTCATTTTCGCCAACATATTTGTTGAGCGATCGGCTCTCGCCTGTTGGTTTGTTCCCAGCCAGCCAGAGTTTCTTGTTGCTTATTCTTTCTGGCCATTTGATCTTCAGTATGGGACGAAGGCAGCTGTTGATGAAAGTTTACAACAACCTGCTGGAAATGCTTTTCGTGACACGCAGTGTAAGTTTCTGACCCGTGTAGAAGGACAGACTTGACAATGGTGTTGAAAATGCGAATCTTGTTCTTTATGCTAAGTGACAGCAGAAGATTTCCAAACTGGTTTCAGGTTGATGAAGGTGTATCTTGCCTTTCCGATTCTGACTTTGACATCTTCATCCGTTCCACCTGTAGTTGAAACTGTGCTTCCTGGCTAGATAAGTGAAGGAAATAGCCTGTGTTAAATCTTTCCCATCGGTGGTGATTGGTGCTGGTTATTATTGCTGTTGATTGGTTATCTTCATCACCTCCGTCTTCTCTGTGTCAGATTTTGTCTATATAGTGTGAGAGCGGAATTTGTGCATTGTGGTCGAATGTAATTCCATATTAGATAAGTTTATTTAGTTTAACATACAGTGATACAATATTAATACGTGGATGATGTTTCAAGCACAATTTATTGTCGCTCATAGTGATAATTATTATTCCATTGGTTTCCGAGTGGAACATAGGGTTGGCTTCAACAACACATCTCCACTCTCTTCTATACAGTGCTGTCCTCTTCAGCTGGCTAGCTCCACGATTGACTATAAAAGCTCATCTCCTCCTCCAACTCGCACGATTTCCTCCATGTCACCCTCGCACCGACGCCCCACTCGTCGCTTCCCATTGGGATTCCAGTCGAGCCATGGCGTGCATTGAGAGTGATATAATTCTGTGGTCTCCTCAGCATGTGCCCGATTCATCTCCATTTTCTACTACATATTTTTCGAGCAATTGGCTCTTGGTTGGTTCGTTCCCAGCCAGGGTTTCTTGTAGCTAATTATTTCTGACCGGCCGGCCGGCCAGCTGGCCATTTGATCTTCAGTATGCAGCCAGCCAGTAAAGGTGGCAGCTGTTGATAAAAGTCTGTAACTTGTTGGAAATCTTCTCCTTGACGCGCGGTGTAAGTTTCTTACCCGTATAGGAGAACTGGCTGACTTCACATTTATGTTGACAATCCGAATCTTGTCCTTTATACTGAGTTATTGCAGAGGATTTCCAAACTGGTTTCAGAGTGATGAAGGTGTATCTTACCTTTCCGATTTTGGCTGGCCAGCTTTGACATCTTCATCCGTTCCGCCTGTGGCTGAAACAATGTCTCCTAGATAAATGAAGGAAGTAACTTCTGCCAAATCTCTCCTGTTGATGGTGATTGGTACTGATTGTTGTTTTGTTGGTTAGTTATCTTCATCACCTCTATTTTCTCTATATTCAACTGAATTCCTATCTTTGCTCTCTGCTTCTTCTGCCAACTTGTCGGTTTTCACCTGTAAGTCTTCAAGTTTGTGTGACATTAAACAAAGGTCATCTGCGAAATCCAGATCTCCTAGAGTCTTCGGATTCCTTTCTTCTCCCTTCTCACGCAGAGTCTTCCACATAAACCAGTCCACCACAATTAAGAATATCATCAGTGATCATGAGCAGCTAGCCTTCTCTTAATCCTGTGCTCACTTCGAACACCTTACTGAAGCCTACTTACTAGCTGTTTCCTTTTTATGACGTAATCTAATACTGGAAGCTCTCTTTCGTGATTTTTCAACTCACAAATGAATTGAATTGCATCTACCATCGAATTTTTGTTGTGAAAAGTTCTTATTTTAACCTTGTGATTTGAAGTGTTTTGAATGTGCCTTCTACACACCTCCAAGATACTTTGGGAGCGTGATGGGAGTGGACACTTCAGCTGCTAACTCTTCCCATATATATTCATAAATATATTTGCCTCAGTGGGTAATATCAGTGACCCCACAGCAATCCCCTGGAAATTTAAATCCTATAGAATTCTGATAGCTGCACTCTTAACACAATGTCATCTAGTGGTACTGTAACAACAGAAGTCAAGGGCCAGGCAACAGAACGTTTATTACGGAAAATGAACACATATTTATAGATTTTGATGTACATTATTGTAGATTAATGTTAGTAGAAAATACAGTCTGTTGATTCGTTGTTTCTCACACAAAGTTAACCTTGCATCTCTTGTGGCTGTGTCAATTCATCTATATGTTAACTGTATCCACCTGTCCATCTTGACCTTTGACCTCAATTACTGTCAACCAATTTGGCTAGCAACCGTCTCTCACCACAGTACTAAAGCTTCCACGTCCAAGTTCTTGATCAGAAATGAGTTCATTTTTGATCGCTACTGTAATCATGATTTTGACATTTCTGTATACAGTCTGATGATGTTACAACTAATCGACTTTTTTTCTTCATTATGCTTTCATTCTCTTTTTTGTTTTCTTTAATCGAAAATGCAGATACTACTACCAAAGAAGAAATACCGAATATTTCTACTGGTTGGAGTTTTATAAATGATTATGGTGAAGTATTACCGATTGGTAAATTAGCTGCTAATGTTAAACTGAGTCAAGATGATGAATTACAATTGAAAAATTTATATGAAAATCCTAATTCCCGTGGTCGTTGTATGATTACAATAGATCAAAAGGTCACTCTAAGTTCATTGTATTTTAAATTCCATGTACCCGGAGAAACTGAAACACGTAAGTAATCAAGTCATTTAAGATGTTGTTTAATGAAGCAAAATGTAGGAATTCCAGTATTTTTTAAGAAACTTATCAGCTGAATATAAACATATCCCAGTGAGTAATGAATGCGCTGGTGGCATAGCGGTTAGGACGCTCGCCGACCATACATATGTTCCGGGGTTCGATTCCCGGCCGACGCACTCCTGTACCTCTCCAAGCCAGAAATAATGCTGATGAAGAGAAAAGGTTAGGCATGGGGCTAGCAACCCCACCCGGTAAAATAAACACTGCTACAGAAACTTCAAGCGTCTAGCTTGAAGCCCTATGTTCCACTGGGGAATGTGAAGGGAAAAAAGTGAGTAATGAGGTTCCCAGTGATACTCTGTGCACAAAAGATGGCTTTTATACGCCAAAGAAACGATGAGAATTGAGTTTGAGCCACCCTGGGAAGCTAAGTACTTATTGGGATAGAGCTTTGTCCTGTTATCTAGTTCCAAATAGGACGAAATTCTCTTCCTGAGTTCCAATAGTAGTCCTCATCAGCCACTGCCGCTCTGAAGTTGCTCCTGTTGTAACGACGGAAGACAAGAGCCAGGCAATAGATCGTTTATTGAGAAAATCAAGAAATATTTATAGATTTTTATGTACATTATTGTTGTTTTCTTGTTCAAGGTTATTCTGTACTGCTTGTGTCCGATTCTTATAAAGTTAAGCCATGTATCTGCGAATTGTATTTGCACACGTTAAGTCTGCTGGGATTTGTTTTTGAGTTCCTCAAGGTTAGGCTTTGTAATTGTTTTTTTCTCATGACCCCGATTCGGGACGTAAACATTGACATAAATTGTTGCCTGCAATCTTGGCTAGCAGACAGCTCTCACCACACTATGACTACCATAATATTCAATAATTATACTTCATCATATAAATCTCCATAGGTGATTCGATACTATACCTTAATCAGTAGAATAATTCTATAAGGATTTAGGTTATGTGACAGTTTAATTTAGGATCATTTCTTGAACGAATAAGTTTCTTTGAAAATTAAGTTGTGTTGAGCAGAGAGAAGATGCTTCCATATTTTTTGTTTATTACAGTTTTAATGAAAACAAAACACGTAGTTCAGAGAAGAGTCTCTTTTCTGTGGCGAATTCATTTTCTTAGCTGTACAATCGCAAATATACATGGGTTACTCTGCATGCATGTGTAAATTAAGTTTGTCAAACAAAAATACAATTGGTTATGGTTATTTTAACTAAAGGGGTGAGAATTAGTAAGTTTTAGGTGGAGTTACGTAATACAAAAACGGTCAAGAAAATTGGGTGTTAATGAAACTAGGGTAGTAACAAAAGTGATGAGTTGTCACAAACTACTGCTGAAAAGGAGTCACGTAATAATATGAACAGTTTGATGATCGAATTGTACTCAGAATACACATAGGAACAAAGTAGAGAATACGATGAAAAAAAGGCACATTCATGAGGAAATGTTTACAGATGAGCGAAACAAATATTCAGGATACTTTCTGTGAAATGTTTGAAGAATAAAACTCCGTTTTTTTTCCTTATAGGAATATCGCTACTCGTGAAAATGACTGCCGTTTAGGGCTAGTACACGGGAGAAAGAATAACTCAAGTTGAGAATGATGAAAGTTTAATCTACCTAGGAGTTCACAAAGAGTGAATGCATCTAGATCATCGAGAATGACTTTGAGCCATGTTACCAACAATCTTCAATCATTGGCTCTTAGCATCCCAAATACCCCAGCTGTCCATTGTTCACCCTCCTACTTGACTCAGACCAATAGTCAAACACTTCAGGAATTGATTTGGCTGCTACTTATTCTCCTCCTGTGTGGTGGTGGCACAGTGATAGATCGCTTGCCAATCACGCATGTGGTTCGGGGTTCGATCCTCGACCGATGCACCCCTTTACCTCGTTAAGTCGGAAATAAGACTGGTAAAGAGGGAAGGTTGGGTATGAGGCTAGCAACCCCATTCCGTAAAAATAAATACCACTACTACCGAAACTTCAAGGTTCTATCTTGAAGCCCTATGTTCCACTGGGAACGTAAAGGAATGAAAACAAGCTCTTTCCCTGCCTAATCCTATCAGCTGATGTTCCTCAACGAGGGAAAGAATGGCTCAGGATACGTCTAAGACTAGGAACCAGAACTGGGGATTAGAATCAGGTTAAAAGCATTCGTTTGGGATTAAATCTATCCCTTATGTTCTGAACAGAATTTTTGTAATGATAGTGAAGTTGGTTTCCATAATTTAAGTATCTTATCATTAACGGAAACTCTGACTTACTGCCACCGAAGCACTTGGGTACTCCTCCGAATTTTTCGTTTTGTGTACACATTGTCAGTTGTTGAAACAATGCATATTTGAATACTATTCGCTTACTTGCTTACTAAATTCCATCCTTTTATTTTTTAAAATTTTTTCAGCTCATGTACCAATCAGTCCATCCTATTCAGACAGACGAGTTCGTGTTGAAATCAGTGGATTGAATAAACAAAATCAGATAAGTGTAACACGTGTTGGCGATGATGCAACATTACGCTGTCAGGCAATTGTAGTCGACACCAGTTCACCGTTATATCCTGCTAATGGTGTACGTTACGGTTGGGAATGGCGATATACTGATGAAGATCCCGTACCAACGAGTAATATAGCAGTTAATTTGGAAGCGAATGGAGAACGTTTAGGCTTGCGGGGTATTCGGCCACCACCTGGTACTAAAGGTAGAAATATTAAAGGCAGGTGTATAGTACATGTACCAGGACAACAAGTTGACTCGTCGCTATCACCTGATGATGTATTAGTTTATGGATCAGATTACTTTACAATAGATGTTGCAAGGAAACCGACTACAATTGATCCACAGTTAATTCCAATTCCAGGAAAAGAATCAGGTGAGTAAATTAATCAGAATCCTTGCATAATCCATATTCCAAAATGTCAATCTCTAGTTGATAAGTGGCTACTAGATGAATGTCACGCAGTTCTAATGAGAAGTCACGGTTGTTGAGACACACGATATCTGGATAAAGGGAATGCTCATGGATTGCACGCGTTGGCGGGAGCGTTGTATCACAAAGTGACATAAGTAAGAATTTACGGGTCAGTGAATTTTGATCCAAGCAAGGCAAGCTTTCATTACTCTGAAGTCTGTGTGGAGATCAACCCTCAGCACTCAGCATGAGAAATAAGATCCGGATTTTCAACTTCAGTGTGAAGTCAGTGTTACTTACTGCACGGATCAGAGGATTGGCGCGTCACGAAAGGCACTTCGAACAAAGTACACACCTTCATCAACAGCTATCTTCGCTCAAGATCATATGGTCAGAAAAGATCGGCAACAGGGATCTCTGGGAGCGAACCAACCAGGAACCGATTGTGCAACAAATATGCAGGAAGAAATGGAGGTGGATTGGCTGGCCATACTCTGAGAAAACAAACCATCAGGTGACATCACACGACAGGCCATCGCTCGAGTGGAACCCGAATGGGAAGCGGCGAGTTGGTCGTCAGTGTGAGGGTGACATGGAGGAGGTTATGTGAAGTGGAGATGAAAGCATGTGGGCAGACGTAGAGCCAAGTGAAAACGTTGGCGGAGAACCGAACGCAATGGAGACGTGCTGCTGAAGCCCTATGTTCCTCTAGGAATTAAAGGAAACAATAGTAATAATAATAATTCCGATCCAGTGGTTCAGTAGTTTACGCGTTAGTCTTGTAACCTGAAGCTTCTGGATTCGCTGAGCAGTGCGGCCATAGAGGCTCACTGCTGACGGTTCCCAAACTGGGACAAAACTGCTGTCACGTGCTTCCTGATTTGCATTGACTTTCTAACCGGTTTTGGTTGGTAACGAGATCTACGAGATCAAAATCCCCAAGAAATGAATAACAGACGACCGGATACAACAGAGTTTTACTGTAGAAATAGAGAATTAAGCTGGGGAACCACTAAATGTACACTCTGTAATGTCTAAAAGTGACAGTATTTAGAAAAACAACTCACTCAACAGGATTTCTTAATTTCTATTGGGTTCACATGCCTGCTGTAAAAAAGAGGGCTAATATAAGGTCTTTCAAATAGAATATATGAAGTCAAAATGTAGCGAATAACGAAATGAGGTTACGCAACGAAAATAACGACCTTGTGCATAAAAATAATTTGACTGCATTCCGTATACAATAGACCTCTGGAATACTGTCAGCTATACACCTTTACAAGTGCTGGACTGAAGAGATGTGAATGCTTTCGTCACGAATCGACAATATTTAGTGAGTCATTGAGAGCCACAGAGCACTATGCAGCTGTTTTGTCCTGCTTTGGAGCTCTTCATTAGTGATCAGTCACTATCCTATGAAGACCTTCAGCTTACAGTGCCAGCCCGCTAACCATCCAGAAACCCAATTAGTGAAATTTAGTGCCCTCTTCCGCAGCCTTCATAGCTCAGTGGTAGAGCACTGGTCTCGTAAACCAGGGGTCGGGAGTTCGAACCTCCCTGGAGGCACTGGATTTTGGTGAGGGATAATGATGAATACTTATGGGTAAACTGTGAGATAATAAATAATGGCTTCATCTGAGGCTCATTACACTTAGCGTAGCCTGAATAAAGTTATACAGTTTGAACCCATTCAACACGATACGATTAAGTTTATGTGTCACATTTGCTACTGACAGGATTTATCAGTAGTATATAGACTCAGATTGACAAAAATTAGCCGAAATTGAAAAAAGAACACATTCTAAGTCAATGCCTACAGAAGTAGGGGCGTTTATTCCTCACATCTGGATTTAGTTTACGTTGTGGACAGGAAATAATTTCAAGGTTTGGAAACCTTTGGAAAATCAACAACCAATCAGAACAGTAAATTACCCTCTGACCTAGCCGACCTTAAATGTGGCTAAAAATGTATAAGTAAGGTGCATTTTTCCTTAATAAAAAAGTCTGGAAAGTGGAAGCCTGAATACGCATTTCAACCTCTTCGAAACTTGTCAACTGAGTGTACCTAGATTCAAATGACACTTGAATTTCTCCAAGCTGCTATGAATTGCCCAGTAAGGAAATAGACATGAGTAAAGCAGAGAAAACCTAGGGAAAATGAACAAATTTGATAGGGTTAGACATGGGCAACGTAAAATATACAGTTGCCTCAATTTCTCCCGTTTCATTCACGTTTTTACCAATTATTTTTGAACTCTAATGATATTCACTGTATCAGTGATAGATCGTGTTCTAAAACGTTTATTTTCTCAATTTTTTTTCTATATTTATCTTATTTTCAATAGATAATATTGAAATTGTAGTCGATGGATTGGACAATGAAGGTTATCTTGTTGCAAATGAAAAAGACAGCGCCAGCGTATTCTGTGAAGCTAGAAGTAAGTTGAAAAAGAAACTATTTCCAGTTTTATCTGTTTCATCTAGACATGACCTCTTTTTTTAATTCAATTCGGACTTTTCTGTTGATTGATTGGACCGAAGTGCTTGGCCTCAGGTTGACATGTGCAGATGCTTCGACGATGTCTGATTCGTCTGTCTGTTTTCAACATAGAACTTTGCAATGATATGCAGCAATTCAAGCTGCCACATTCCATGTAGCATACAAAGAAAGAGAAGAAAGTAGAAGAAATGCAAAATGGAGACAGTAGACAGGGATATGAGACGAAAGGAATAATAATAACGAAGAACAATATAGTTTCATTGGGTATTATAACTCACATGGAGTGGATGCATCTGCGCCATTGAGAACAATTTTGACCCATATCACTAGTTGTCTCCAGCCTTCAATAGTTTCTACCCTCACGAGGACCCCAACCAGGAAGTCTGCACCTTCCTACGTGGCTTAAACTGACTGCTGTGGATTTTATTGACTGGTTCCATTTTTTGGTTTAACCACCGCTAGCTCTTTTCCAACCTAAACCTATCAGCTAACACTGCAGGAACAATAGTTCCAGCCAGTGTAACTTGTTGGGTCACTGCGATATGCAAGCCCGGCGACCACTACGTTAAGGTGGCAGCTATCGGTCGGAAGTCAGTGCTGTGGTCAGAAACGTTACCAATGGGGGCTAACTAGTGTCCAGTCAAAATGGTGTTTATATATCTTATACACGGAAGGTTTAGTTTAGATGATAATATTTTAATACTTTGGGAAAAAAATTAGATAATGAAGAAAAATGGTTAGTTTTGACATCGTCAGTTTATATACATGTATACTAATAAATATAGCTATAGAGGCAGTCAGAAACGAACTCATTTCTGACCAAGAACTCGAACTTACAACGAAAGTGTCGCTTGAGGACATAATGCTGGGAGTACAGCTATGCCTGACTTCCACAGTATTTAAATTCCAAGGGAAAATATACAAACAGATATATTCATGGATAAGTGGGAAAACATAGCGATTGAAACGTTCAGACCCACCCCAAAATTAAGGTGGAGGTATGTGGATGACACATTCACTGTACTTAGAACACAGGATATAGATAGATTTTTCGAACACATTAACTCAAAGATGGAGGAAATTCAATTCACTTATGAATTGGAAAGTCAGTAAGGGGGACTGCCAATGTTAGATTGCAGTGTAAAAAGGAAAGAAGATGGGAAGTTAAACACTAGTGTTTACAGGAAACCCACACATTCAAACAGATATTTGGAATTCCCATCATCCCATCCTATGTCAGTAAAAATAGGATTGGTGAAATGTTTAAGTGACAGAGCACAAAAACTAAGTAGTAACAAGGAAAATCTAAGACAGGAAGTGAGGCATATAAGAGAAGCTTTGAAACTTAATAATTACCCTGATAAATTAGTCAGAAAGTATGTAGGGAAATGTAAAAATAAATGAAATAAATAATGATAGTAGTGATAATGATACGAATAATAATAATGACGACATGCATGTCAAACACGCGCAGGATATTGACAACACCGACAATAAGGAATCTAAATCATCATTAGTAATTCCATACAAGGAAGGAACCTCAGAAACCTTACGCAGAATTCCTAACAAGGCATGAATAAAAGTGGCTGGCATTCAAACCCACAAACTCAATTAGAAACAAGCTTTGTCGGTTAAAGGGTCAGTTCTGTAGAGCCTTTAAAACAAAACAATTTAGTTTATCTAATACCCTGCCTGCAATGATTGTCAGGTCAAATACGTGGGTCAAAGTAGTAGAACAAGTGCAGTCAGACTAGCGGAGCATGAAAACCTAGCAAAATCTAGATTAGTTGACCCGAATAAGATAAGAAATCTGGAGAATAGTTCAGTCATAGATAGCACTACATGGAATTACACAACCATACAACAGGATGGGATAAGATGACAGCTTGTTTTAAAATCTAATGTCACAGGGTGGAGCGAGGGAGAGATTGATAACAGAAGCTTTGTTTATCGAATCACCTGAGAGAGAATATGTGTAACAGGAATGATGCAACACCTATCCAGTCGGACATCTGGAAAATTCTACTACCCGTACGACAAATAGGAGAGAATAGAGAAAACTATAAAACTCAAGTTTTGAAGTCGTGTGATTATAATTGATATCATTATGACCAATTACTTACTACTACGGTGGCCAAGTTTTACACGTACATTACTTTAGGAAAATCATCGGGGAGTTCGACCTTACTAATAGAATCAGTAAAAGATTATGCAACCGATTGAAATGAAGAGCCAAGAGTTTGTGTTACTAGGGCATAAGAAGACTAACCACTGCCTATTTATGACCACATAAATCCGGTTTCAAACGTTTGACGGTGTCACCTTCAATAAAAGCTTTTAAAATGTCTTCCCCATGGCATAAGGCAGAGAGATGCCTGGTGATAGCGCCATCGAAACCATGTGTTCCTTTGGAAGGTATGCTTTTTGATATATGTTCAGAGAATCTAAAGTGTGACTGATGAATTTTCTCGAAAAGGATGCTGTTACTTCAGTTGTCAATAGAAATGATGTTTCACAGTGAATTATTACTAAATATTCTTACTTCTTTCTTTAGATCGTACCACAAAACAAAGACTGTCTACAGAAGGTTTAAGAGCTGAATATGATGTTATGTATGGATGGGAATTTGCTGATGCTACTGGCCGATCAATTGACTCTAGTTTATTCGCTGATAGTGTATCCATCGATTCAACTGGCAGTCTACGTTTAAGAGATTTAGTAGCACCGAATCGTGGAAATTTACCCTATAAAATACGTTGTGTTGCTGTAGTCAGTAAACGTCCAAGTACACCGGAAGAGAAACCTGGTCCATCAAAATCATATAAATCTGATTACTTTGGATTAGATATTAAACGGCCGGATGGTACATCGACGAGAATTATTGGTGGTAAAGTTGACAGTAAGTTCATTGTGAAAGCTTGTTTTATTTAATTTTCATTAAAGTTCTCGATATCTAAATATTCACTAGGTTTATGAATCCTAGACTGCAAGAAATAAAGGTTCTTAATTGATGTTGTCTCGCGCTCCAGGTTCTCTGGTGGAATCCCAATGGGAAACGATGAGTGGGTCATCGGTGCGAGGGTGACATGGAGGAGACCGTGTGGTGAGGAGGAGATGAGAGATTACGGTCAATCATGGACCTAACTGAGGAGCACAGCAGAAAATAGAGCAAAGTGGAAATGTGTTGTTGAAGCCAACCCTATGTTCCACTCGGAACCTAAGGGAATAATAATTATTGTCATTATATTGTGATTATTAGGTCGGGCAATTAGTTCTGGTGTGACCACTTAGAATTCATTCTGTAAAATAGTATTTCAATAGAAATTTCTTGAAGAATCAACTTCTGTTTCTTCCTGGTTTGTGACAGTTCAACAGTGCTTACACACCACTCTTACAAGTATTAAACTCAATACCTTTACGTTACGATGCTAAAGTCATTGATAATTCAGACAACTGGGCTGGACACAAGAACTTTAGCTTCAAATCACCGAAAATCCCCATTGAGTCATGAAGAAAATAAAAGACAAATTCAGCTAAGAAAATTTTCTTTATCGAAGAAATCATCTTCACAGGCTGTACAGTCGTATTTATACTTACAAAAAATATTTAGTGGTCCATTATTGAGTAATAGGGGGGGGGGGGTGACATAATTAATATAATTACTCAGAAGTGGCTTTAGAAGTGAAAATTAAAAGTTGTAAATTACGTGGTACTTTCTGTGTGCCAACAAAAGCATCTCCGACGGCCTGCTGCAGACTTTTATCAAGAGCTGCCTTCTCAAGAAACTGATGGTCAGATGGCCGGCCAGAAAAGATAAGTAATAAGAAACTCCGGCAGTAGACCAGCCAACAACCTAATGCTGAACAGATATGCAGAAGGAATCAGAGATGGATTAGACATAGGCTGAAGTGGACATCAGTTTCATCGTGGTTTCAGATACGCGTTGCTGAAAAGTTCAACAGGCAGAAAATCTAGATTCAAGGCTTCCTACCAACTGGCTCCTATCACTTAGTATTAATTTAAAGTGTACCACGATTACAAGTTACACATACTGGTGACAATAATCCTGAATTCACTGACTGACAGAATTCAGTCAGTATCCAGTCTAAAGATTGGATACATGGTTTAGATTGCACCCGAGTAAATAATCAATGTATATCACACGTCTAATTTACATAAATTGCATCTCTCATCCTTTCCTTTAATGTTTTGCATTTTTTTCTCTTCATATTTTAGTTGCTGGAAACTTAGTCAAAGTGAAGATTGAAGGTTTAAAACCCGATGGGACATTTACAACACAACTTGGTGGAAATGCTACTATTAAATGTCTTGCTATTGGTATGTTAGATGTCTTTCCGTTGCTGTTGTTGTTGTTGTTAGTTTTTCTGAACATTTCATGCACTTAAGAAGTACAAGTACTGAAGGTTGTACCAGTGACAACTGTTTCTGCCTTTACTAACTCTTTTTTCAGCTTTAATTATTGATACTTTATTCGTTTTCAGGTCATCCAATCAAATTTTGTTAATCTCAGCTACGAGTCACTTTCATAATCTATAGATTTGAAAATAATTACAAGTATATAGTAAATTCCCAGACAGTGTGTCGGATGGTTCAATGGTAGGGTGCTTACCAGACAAACAGGAGGGTATGGTTTAATCCCCAGCCGATGTATTCCTAAGTCTCAACCATTTTACTAGCCAGGAAAAGAGAGAAGTTTGAAGGTTTGGCTGGCAACCCCATCCCATAAATTCCATAACATTACTGTAAGCGCAAAATCACTTCAAACTAAGTCACGCGTAGATAAAGGCTATCCCGGTCCAGAACAAACAAGAAGCCGGTCACAGTTTCTGCGGTACTATTAATAAACAAATCAATAATTATATATACAACAAACCTTAACGGTTTCAAGAGTACAAAGCACAACGCTTAACAGAAAGCAAGGTACCGCTATCAGAGCGGAATAACGTTAAAGTTAAAATTACGAACTAGCCGGAATCAGACACGACCGTTCAGGTAAGCAGTCAGTAGAAGAATGAACCCAAGTAAGAGATAGACAGAGCATATATGCACAAAGATAGAATTTAATTGGCTACTTAACCAATCAATAAATAAGATAAACTCGACAGAATAGTACAAAGTAAGACATGGGTCAGCAAAATAACAGTTGACGAAAATACTCTGATTGGGTCATGAGTTCAACTGTCTGACTAAAAGGATCGATGTAAAAACACACATACACAGTTCATTAAACGAGGTGGGATAGACACGTTAGGCATGGATAATTGTGTTGCAACAATGCTAGGCTGATCCGGGACAGGCTGACTTGATTCAAGGATGGGAATTGAATTGATATTACAATTACCGTTATCTGAATTTCAAGGCTTAAAACCCTATATTCCACTTAGAAGGCAGATGAATTAAAATGAAATAAATTTTATACTACTATGTTATACTACTTACTCTCTTCACTGACATATGTAGCATCAAGAAGATTGCATGCACCGTGATGTAAATCATTTTGATTTCCAAGGGAGACCTTGAACTATTTCTAGCTCCAAATGTACATAAATTGTGAATATGATTCCACGCCTTACTACTTTACCCCCAAGTAAATAGTCAGAATTTGTGTGGTTATTATTGATTCGGTCTCCTGTAGTGAGTCACTTCAGATGAACTACTGATGATTTGAGCTCTAAGTGTTTAGCTCGCTTCCATCTAGCTAGGAAGCGCTATTGTTTGATGTGAGCGGTCTCTAATTACTAACACGTAAATCGGTAGTATGTTATGTGACTCAAAGAGAGCTGTGCTTCGACCGACGCACTTTTAAACCTCACCCACTTCTCGAGTCGGTAGTAATCCTTTAAAAAAGAAGTTTGGGCGTGAGGCTAGCAACCTGATATCGTGCAAACAGCACAAGTGTTGCTAAAAATGAGAAACTGGAAGTCCTATGTTCCACTCACAATGCAATAGAATGAAAAATAACTTAAAGAGCGATAATTCCGTATCATCTGATCACTTGGATTACCTTCCCAACATCCTCCAAACGGATTACTGAGAGAGAAGTGTAACTAACTGCAATATCCACACAAAACAGAAACGAGTCATTCAGCAAAGGCGTCCGATGGCTGAGTAGTTCTTATGTCAATGTTGTACACAACTGTGTGGTCGAGATTCCATAATCAGTCATTTTCAACTATTTTCTGTGACTGTCATGGTCAATATTCATGCTAATAATCGTATAAATTCATGGTGAAACAATACTTTTAGCGCATATTTTTATAAACATCACATTTTGTTGTAAGATGGTTAGTAGTTGGGACATCTTCAGTTTCTAAATACTGCATAGCGTTTACAACTTTATGTAGATCCATTAAGACCGAAAGTTAAGATGGCAACCAACCGTAAACAAAATCGTTTGAAGAGAACGAATTAGTTACTAGACCAATGAAGTTAATGAATTGTGATCCCAGAGGGTAAACGCATGAATGACGCTGGAGCGTCCAGTCAGAGTTTATCAAAGTAGTTTGAGCTAAAACACAGCTGTCTACATATACTTCCATTATTTCTTATCCCTTCATTTGATTAGTGTCAATATCTTCCATATCTCTGACTTTGTGCGTCGTGGCACAGCGGTAGAATGCTCGCCAACCACGCCTCATGTGGTCCGGGGTTCAATTCCCGACCGACTCACTCCTAAACCTTGCTAAACCAGTAATAAGACTGATAAAGAGGGAAGGTTGGGCATGAGGTTATCAATCCCATCCCGTAAAAATAAACACCACTGCTACCGAAACTTCAAGCCTTCAACTTGAAGCCGCCCTATGTTCCACTGGGAACATAAAGGAATAAAAAAATCTCTGATTTTGGTGTTGAGTTATTCCGACTACACATCTTACGTGTAGATTTGTTGAGAAAGGAAGGATTTAATAGTCGATTCCCCCAGCATCTGCCAATATACCTTCTTGAATTGTAGTTGCATCCTAGTGTATTGTGTGACTGTATGCTGACGCATGAATTGCGAGTTTTCCTCTAAATTATTCGTCTTCATGGAGTCAGTCATCCCACACTTAACTGAGTCCTTATGTTCCGATAATCTGAGGACTCCCAATCTACCGGTGTGAACCATACAGCCGACCTCACAGTCATTGCAAGGCATTTTATGGATTAAACTATCTTGTCTAGTTGAGTTAGTAGGGTCGTCTAGACAACAGACTTTGTCCCTAATTCCTGATTTGTTAAGAATCCTGTGTAGGGCCACAGATGACAAGCAATCAGAATTACAAGTTCTATAAACAAACCAAAGTATGTCATGTGTTCTGCGCTTGCTTAACAAGTTACTGGAACATCTACCGTTTGATTATTGCGTGAATAACGGATACATTGGAGTTACTAAAACATGTCTATGTTGTCAAACCTTGACAGGGTAATTGATCTTTTGGGGATAGGTTGAAGGGGGGGGGGAATCAAAAGTGAAAACGGACCTCAGAATACCATGATCTAAGGCTATCTCTTTCAACAGCTTTGTCACTTTTATTTCTCCCTAACTCTGGTTATTGCTCCAAGTCAATGGTAAGATCTACTGGGATGGTTACTGTAGTGTAACTGGTCAGGCTGAAGTATAGCGACCCAGGTGGATAACCTCGCAGAAATATTCACAACACTAAGCCATTCTTTTGATTTTGTCAGTCTTCTGGATGGGTTACGCATCCGGATTCCACAGAATGATCATGAGAACACTTGAGAAATACTGTCGCAGTGATGAATAGGTCACCAAATGAAATAACATTCCATCACTTCGATGGTTTTATCCGCGAAAATTTGTTTGGGTTGACTCTAAGAACTCCGATGACAAACCAGTAAAGGTAACAACAACAGGCATTTGCTTTATTCCAGAAAAACGGTACTTATGATACATTGTGGAATTTTCAGCATTTTATACAGTATTGCACCTAATTTACTCGACGACAACAACAGCAAAAATACATTACTGGGTACACTTAACCAAAATCGATAACATCCAACAACTTGAGGCATTAGCAGAAACGGTACGGCAAAAATGATGTACAAATGTGAAATGATAAGAACAACAATAATAATATTAGTATTAGTAACACAAAATTATAAGATAATGGGGATACTGAGTGTCACCATCAAATTACAAATATGGGGGAATAACTGAGCCATCTTTTATGCTGAATACACAATGAGTCGTAAGTTTTACGTGGGCCAAATAGGATATCGTTGGGTTTTGATACTTGTGCGATTATTGTTTCCTTTAATTCCTAAAGGAACAGAGGGCTTCAGCCGTGCGTCTCCATTGCGTTAGGTTCTCTGCTAGAGTCTTCACCTGGCTCCATGTCTGCCCACACTTTTTCATCTCCTCTTGACATGACCTCCTCCAAGTCAACCTTGGACGACCAACTCGCCGCTTCCCTTGTACGAGAGAGCATTTAATCTTTTTGTATTGACTTCTAATCCTGCTGGATGAGATGCAAGGAGATAGTCAAGAATAGAGAGGGTGCTGAGGGTGCCATCCTGAAAAATTATTTTGTCTTACGTAATTTGTATTCTATAAAATTTTTTATTCTTGGCTGCTCAAGTTTATCCGGTTGGTTGTTAACTTGGGTAGCCGTGCCTTAGTCTAGGCGTTTCACTTATTCTTAAATTCTTTTTAAAAGGTGAATTTCTCTTATCCACATCAATTCCTTAGTACACAGATGAAAATTCCCTGACTCTTTGATGCTTAATATTTTGATTTATTTTGTTTCGTATTTCAAGATTCAGAAACCAATGAACCAATTGAAGATGTAGCTGTTGGCTGGGATATTCGACGATCGAATGGAGCTATTGTGAATATGGGTATTTTAGCAGATCAAGTTATACAAGAGATGAATAAACTTGATTTCTATTCAATGAAACCGTTGAATTCATTCACTGATGATATACAAGGAAGATGTTTAGTTTATCGAGGGAATCAGATATATCGATCGGATTATTTTAAAGTTAAAGTTTCTACTACACCTAAAGAGACAGAGATTGAAGGTAAGTGTCTTGAAGTTCTATTCTAATCAGTTATTCGTTCGATTCTACGGTACCTATCTACCGTAATTAGATGTTGACTTATTTGAGTGGCAGTGTTTAAATATTCTATTATCTGTTGAATGAGTTCTAAGAGGAACATAGAGCCTGAACAAGTCGTCTTCTCTCTAGGCGGTTCTCTGATACCACCTTCATTTGGCTCTGCAATTGCCCACTGTTATGTATGTGAATATGAGGACCTTGTAGACTATAAGCGAATCTAATTTATGCGCTGGCTAATCTGTCCTAATCGCACGTCAACAACAACAACAACAATAATACCGCCGGGCACGCAAGACAAATAAAAGAGAAGACTGGACGTTGATATGAGAGCTTTTACTGTCTCAAACAACAGTCGAAAATGTTAAACAACAACTCCGTATTTATACAATTAGAAAAATCAATGTCACATTTTAAAAATATTAACGACCTTGGGAATTCAGTAATTTAAATCAATAATCACGCAAATGCGTGAAATCAATGATTATGCTAGTGTGTGAAATAAATAATGAATATTAATGATTCACCTGCGTATATATTACCTCCCCCTTTTAAAAAGAATCTTGCAATCAGTTTAGTATCTTTTTTCCTTGGGGTCGATTTGGAAATGAACTGTTTGTGTTCGTTTGCGCTGGGATCGTCGGCTGGGTAGCATCTCTTGTTTTGCTTCTGGTTTGACTGGTGGTATTTTGAAGGTTTCCAGTAGTAAATCCAGTGGCAGTTTAGGTTCTTGGGATGTAGTATATCGACGTCGTATCTGATTTTTATGTCTAATCCACCATTCATCCCCAACTTTAACCTTGTACATTAGAGTTCCATGTCGACATTCTATAAAGCCTTCGGCCCATTTTCTGTTCCTCGGTCGATCATCGCGCACATATACGGCATCACCCTTGCGGTAATACGTCACACTATTTCTTCGTTGATGTGACGAAGATGGTAACATGGAGTGGTGATGAGTTCGTAGCATTCGACCCATTAGAAGTTCTGCAGGGCTTTTCTTCTGTTCTGCCAGTGGTGTAGTTCGGTATAGAAAAAGAAAGTTTTGTATTGCTTCCGGTTTCGCCCCTCCCCCTGCTTTCAACAACGCTCGTTTGAAAGTGCCGACAAATCTTTCTGCCTGACCGTTGGATTGAGGGTGATAAGGTGGCGTCCGCACGTGTTGTATACCGTTTCTCTTGCAAAATTCCTGGAACGCTTGTGAGGTGAACTGACTGCCATTGTCAGACACGATGATTTCTGGTATACCGTGACATGCGAAGATCTTTTCCAGGACTGATACTGTTCTGCTGCTAGAAGGTGGTGTCACTTGTACTACCTCCGGCCACTTTGAGTAAGAGTCCACGAGAACCAAGTAGTATATACCTTCTATCGGCCCAGCAAAATTCACATGTACGCGGGACCATGGTTTTGTCGTGGGCCATGCTCTCGGTGGCGGATCTTTGGCTGCCATGACAGACATCACTTTCAGTTTTTGAGCAGAGCCTCTCTTATTGGAGCTAACAGTTGCTACTTTGTTGCTACCAGACATCGAAGCACTTTTGGCGCAGCCATACTCACTGTGACGATTCGAAGTTGGTTTTTCATTAATCTCGTCATTCTTTCTAATGGGCTTAGGTTTAATATATCTGTCTCTGATTTCTGGCTTTCTTGTTGAGGGTTCAATACTTTCTATCTTATGGCATACACTGCTTAACGGAATCTCTGACAGGTGCAGCTTCTCGAACCAGTCTAAACCCAAGACGTCAAGGTTTGAATTGTTGATGTAGCATGTGCCAACGAAATGACTATCGCGAAAACTAACGCTGCATTTAATTTCTCCATTCAATCGAAGTCTTCCACCACATGCACTAATTGCTATCTGATTTGTCTTCTCTATGGCAGGGCATCCCAACTTCTGCCATAATTTCTTTGATATTATTGTAATATCGGATGCTGTGTCGATTTGTAGGCGTGCCGGCCGTGTATTAATCGTCAGATCGATATATGTGCGAGGTGCTGGAGTACTAATATGATATGCGGCAGTAACACCCAAAGACTTGAGCTTGTTGCGCCGTCTGGGTCGACTACGAGATCTGGGTCGGTTGTTGCGTTTGCAGTAGCCATCTTTGTGACCAACAGTATGGTATCGACGGCATTTATGCTGTTTGAATGGGCACAAGTTTGCAAAATGCCAGGAACCACAGTGCCAGCAGGCTGATGGTGGTTTATGCTGAGGATGAAGCGGTGCGGTTGATGTCGACGGTACTGGATGCACCGCATGCACTTCTGCTGCATTTTGGCTGCCAGACTGCACCAAGACGGTATCGTTGTGAATGTTGATTAAACGCTGATATTCTTCACCGACGTCTTTCAAAGTCATTCGTGGATCTTGTTCCAGACGATTTAATAGACGTGTGCGTATATCAGCAAATTTGGGAGACTGCAAACCACAGATGAAAATCAATACCTTGAACTGGTCTTCTGAGAGTGATTTTAATTTAAAACGTTCACACGTGCGATTGACTATACCCAACTGAGTATGGATATCATCATTTTCGTTCAGAGATAGTTTCATGCAATGATATCGAATGTTGAATAAAGATCTCTGATCACCGAACTGATGACGAAGGGTATGGACAGTTTCATCGAATGACCTTTCGCTGGGCTTCTGTGGGAGAATTAAGTTGCAATATTTATCTAGCTCATCTGCTTCCAATTTACGAAGTAGAAGCCGTACTTTCCAGGCATCATCTTTATCCGCAAAGTCTACTCGAAATAGGTCTTCATATCTGCGAAACCAGGTATCAAATGTTACGTTCGCATCTGGATCATAAACGAATTCTGAGATGCTACTACCAATGCTGTCGTTGGCTGTAGATGAATCAGCAGAGCGTGATATTTGTAGACCAGCAAGCATTTCCATCAATTTTAGCTGCTGTTCCATTAGTTTCTCTAAACGCAGTGGGTCCATCTTCAGCAAACCCGTCGCCAAATTTGTTATGTATGTGAATATGAGGACCTTGTAGACTATAAGCGAATCTAATTTATGCGCTGGCTAATCTGTCCTAATCGCACGTCAACAACAACAACAACAACAACAATAATACCGCCGGGCACGCAAGACAAATAAAAGAGAAGACTGGACGTTGATATGAGAGCTTTTACTGTCTCAAACAACAGTCGAAAATGTTAAACAACAACTCCGTATTTATACAATTAGAAAAATCAATGTCACATTTTAAAAATATTAACGACCTTGGGAATTCAGTAATTTAAATCAATAATCACGCAAATGCGTGAAATCAATGATTATGCTAGTGTGTGAAATAAATAATGAATATTAATGCTTCACCTGCGTATATATTACCCACAAGCTTAAGTTTCCTCCTCAGATGATCTCCATCGTACCCTTGAATGTTCAACTCATTGCTGGAGGGTCTAGCATGTTAAAAGGTCTGAATGTCTCCTTATGAAATTTAAGGAGCACCATAAATTCTGAGTCAAACTACTGACCATAGTTAGGATTATAATCCAGAGAGATTATGTTTTTCAAATATTGGCTTTCAGGGATTCGACTAATTGGTTACAAGATTTCATTATGAGTTGACATCGCTTAGAGAACCATTGAAAAACCACCTGAGAGCACTGAACAGCCAATCATTTTGTCCTAGTTTGGGGCTCTTCATCAGTACGCACGCACCAAAGAAGTTCAAACCCAAGGCCTCCTGTATTATTGATATAAGTATAAAACTTGGGCACTGTGGTAGAGTATAATTCCATAATGGATAAGAATTTTTTTTTGATAAATCACACAGTGTAGTACAGTTATATTAACTGATGACGTTTCGAGCACAAACTATTGCTCATAATCATATCAAGTTGATATGATTATGAGCAATAGTTTGTGCTCGAAACGTCATCAGTTAATATAACTGTACTACACTGTGTGATTTATCAAAAAAAAATTCTTATCCATTATGGAATCCAAGGCCTCCTGGTTACAAGGCGAGCTCATAGATCATTAAGCCACTGAGACTGTATCCAATAGCCATCCCATGAGTTCCAAATTCTGCCAATTCACGACATAGTGTGACTACCAGTGAGTGTCATCTGTGGCGAGTATTCCTCCTCCCACCCGACCTGCTGTACCCCACTGGTTGCGACTTTCCACTAGAACCCCAGGTAACTACCCACCTGATTACGTTCTATGTAGGGAGGATGAGCATAGCTAAATACTGAGGTTATTGAAAAAATGTGTAGCCTGAGTTATATTATTTGTATCATTGCCTTAGCCTTTCTAAACTGGCCTCCTTTAACTGATACGTTTTTACTATCTTCCTAGACAACTTACTCAGTGCTACCTTCAAAATGAAGTGAACTTTTGAATAAATAAATTATGCTGCTCCTCCTGACAGTCATTAGTGTGACTGATTGTTTTCGTAATTTTTGTTATTCTTTTGTCCATCTGTATTAATACTGATCGTTTCATTGAGCTGGGGGTTGACCTTTTGACTTTATGACCTATTCTCTTTTGCTTAATGGGATTGTTCTTTATCAACATGCCCCTCAACTGCTAATTGATCTGAGTACAAGCATTCTAGAAATTCTCTGTTACGAAAGGTTACATATCATGCCTACTGACAAATAATTTATGTTCGTGTCTACAAGGATGAAACGGAAGTCCAATTTTACTACAATACTGTTTACCACGTTTAAAAAGTCAAAGCAATGTCCATTAGAAACAGCATCTCTTACTGAGATTACAGTACATCCAGTTGACGAGTCTCTGTTGAAGTGATATGCACATTCTGGATTCCACCGTAAGCCATCAACAATTAGGTAATATTATATCATTCGCAAGATATCGTAGAAGCTCTCGTACTAGGAGTTGACATGTCACCAAAGACGGAACATTTTGATCTGTTATGATCAATTCGCGGGTAGAAGAGGAACATTCAAAGTAACTTCAACATTTTCAAAGATGTTAATTACATTAATACCAATAAACTTCTCTGTTATTTGTTGGGAGAATTTTTACTGACCATATATTTTTTTGAAGGCAGTTTTATTTTTCCTATATTTCAAATATTACTACTTATTGAGGTTATAAGTAATATGATAACTTGTTTCCTATAAAATTTATTACAGGTGATGGTCGAATTGTCGTACGTTTAGTCAATATCCCGCTTACAGATCGCAGAATTATTTTGGAACCAGGTGAAATAGAGTCAATCCAATGTGTTGGAACAGGTAAGCGTGCAACTAACCTCATATAGTGGTATTTTCTATTTTTTAACATGAATTTCATCTGAGAGGTATTCAGAAAAACCACCAATTTCTAAGGTGGATGAAAGTTTTAGATGCTTTGGAGCAGTTGGCAGGAAGATCTGCCTGACTTGAGTTTCATAGTCTTAGTGAACTCCAATAGCTTCAGTTGTATGTAGAAGGCAAAAGTGTAAAGCAAAATTGAGATTGCGATAAATAACTTTAAGTCCTGTACTAATATCAGATTTATGCTCACTGTCTATAACGTGTGCTAAAACAGAGCTACGAATATACCTTGTTTATCCCTTGCTTAACCGTGCGAGATGATGTTAGGAAATACGATGATGAACCTACCTAACTGTACGCCCAATGTCACTGGCTCGACAGGAGCAGTCAAACTGGTAGATACACATAGAGGTAGTTTATCCTTATTTCTAAGAAGCAAAATCGGGGAAGGGGTTGTGGAGAAACAAAGTACGTCTTCTGATTTGAAAGCTCTTTTAACTGTATTCTTCAGGCGCTGCGTTAATATTTCGCTGGTGTTATCAGTGAGGAATTACAGTTTTATGAACAGTGGTTTTTCCGAAGATGCTGACATGCTGGCTTGCTTTGGTGCTATATTTTACTGAGTAATTCTCTGATAATCTTAAGCTCCTCATTGAGATAGTCGTTTGAGCACATTATCCTAGCTCTATGAACCGGACACTTTACTAAGTTCCGTTTATTTCTCAAAGAAGCGAAACTCAAAAAGCGAGTGTACTGACCTGTCGTTGTAGGTTTCCCATAAACACTCCTTCTTAGTGTACCATCCTCTTTCCTGGTTAGGAAGATGTCTAGGAATGATGTACTGTCATTACTTTCCTTGTCTGTTGTGAAGTTTACTGATGAATATATATCACGGAACTTGTCGAGGATGTTTGTTGCTTCGTTCCCGTTTTTCATAATCAGAAATGTATAAACAATATATCTACAGTAGATTTTCAATTCACTAATTATTCCTTTCGGTGGTTCATTCTCTAACTTAGAGAGATTGTAATGACCATACTGAGCGGTGGTCACTGGTGAATAACCAGTATCGTGTGTCTAGTCCTTAGTGTTGGCGCTAATCTAGGAAAGTCACCTCTGATCTAAGTTTTTCACTCGTATCTCCAACCATGTATGAGTGTTTCTGATATTCTATGAGCCGAATGACTTAAACCTCTAGGTGCCTGTTATCTTTCTACAGGTGATAACATTTTATCAGTATAGAGAAAGTGACTACATGCATTAACTGCAGTTCTATTTAGATCCTTTCTAAAAATATACTTTAGTAGATGAAGGTACAACAGTTCGCCTACTTTATCCTTCAACTCCTAATGTATTTATTCAACGTGAGGCAGAGAACAGTTAGTAGGCGAGGATGGCATAAACATTAAATTGCCTGAAAATAAATATATTTCTTGATTGTTACTGCTGAGAACCGAGGAGTTCCTGACTAAACACAGATCGTGGGTCAACAACCGGACTTTCAAACAACAGTGTGGCGAATTACGTGGACGTTTGACCTTCATTTTGATCAGTTGAGTTAGACAGTGAAAGTCGCCATTCATTGTAGAATGATAACGAAAGCTATAGACTTATCAGGTTAGGCATTTATTCACCGGTATAATAGGAGGTTTATGTCCACACTAAATAGACTCATTATAAGAAACTCATCTGTCGCATTTAACTACAGATTTAATATTATAATAACGGCTATATTCTGAACAATATTTATAAAATGTAGAGAATTTTCAGTGGAAATCATAATACTAATAACTGACAGTAAGTTGCATGATACATTACTGTATCTGACCTGAAGCTAAACTAATCCCTTGTTATATTTCTTCTTTGCCATCTTCGAGAAATGCACAGCATTTACTTGAAAGCCAATCAAAAAAGGTGTAGGGGGTACACTTTTTCACCCAATGACATAATAATAATGAAAGCTGAACTCCTGAGGACTATAGGTAATTAGGTTTATTTCTCAGGCAGTGGTAATTTGTACTACTAAAAATCTCAGGAATAGTTATCTCATGTTTGGAGGATTTCATCATGAGTTGATATCAGTTAGATAACCATTGGGAAACCAACTTTGGCGAACTGGACAGCTTGAGAATTGATCTGATGCCCACTAGCGACTGACCATATTCAGGCAGTCAACCTGGGGTTCTAGTGGTAAGGTGTGACCAGTAGCGTGCAGCAGGTTGAAGGTGAGGCTCATCGGAGAAGACATTGCGAAGTGGCCACGCTATGTCATGAACTGGGAGAAGTTGGAATTCTTGAGATGGCCATTGGATGGGGTTCCAGAGACTGCTGAATGGTCTACGAGCTAGCTAGCCTTGTAACCGGAAGACCCTGGGTTCGAACTAGGGCGGTGGGTGAGCACTGATGAAGAGTCCCAAACTAGGTTGACAAAGCCACTGTCCTGTGCTCCCTGATGATTTTCCAATGGTTCTCTCACGATAAAGTCCTCCAACCAATCAAACAAAATCCCTACAAAAACCGATACTTGAAAAGTTATCTCACGTATTGAGATACATTGCCACTCGAGATTTCGCTTTTTCTCAAGCCTGGTAGAAACTTACGAATCCGAAGGTTGTAGCCATTTTAAATACTCGCTGGAGTAGAAAACACCATTAGAGATCGTATTTTAATACGTTAAAACGAACTTAATAAGAAAAGTTACACGCAAATTGATAGTGAATGGGGTATTTTGGTAGCCCAGATTTTAAATAGGCCATCTGTTCACCATATTTATCATAAGATTCAACAATTTTCAGCGAATTATCTCCATCTGCTACCGTCTTTCATTCCTTTGCCTTCTGAGTGGTACTCATGGTTTCACTATTGAGCCTTTATGTTTCAATAGCAGCGTTGTTTTCAAGGGATACGGTTGTTAACCTCACACCCAACCTTCCTTATTTACTGGACTTACTATCTACTAGAAGAGGTTTAAAAGTGGTATAGGGCATCATGACAAAAAGTGGAATGCAAATGTAGATCACGACAGAAAGTGAGCTACAATAGTTCATGCATTTGATGTCGTTAAATTATCCATCGTCTTTTCTATTAATCTTTTTCTCAATCAAATCAATAAATATAGATGCTCAAACTGGTGAGGAATTAACTTATCTAACCTATGGTTGGGATTATTACTATACCATGCCTGAAAGCTCACTGCCTATTCAAGGTTCCCTCGGTCCTATGGTGAAGAGAGTTGAAGAATCCCCATCAGGTTATTTGTATATTACACCAAGTAGTGAATTAAATGACAAAGGCGAAGCTTATCTACGATGTCGTCTATCGAATGGAACAGCTGTCTACTCATCACCATACTATCGATTGGTTTCAGAAGCTGATGCTGAAGCAGGCGAAGTTATTCCAGGTAGGTTATTCATTCCTTTGAGATCTTTTTTGTTGTTGTATGAAATCACTTACTGTATCGTAAAATATCCTGGATTATTTACAAATTTTACAAAACAGAAAAACTCTGGGGAACAAACCAACAAGCAAGAGCTGATTGCTCAACAAATATGTAGGAGAAAATTGAGATGGATCAAGCATACGTTGGGAGGGTGAGCCGTCGAATGACATCGCACGCCAGGAATTCGAGTGGAATCCAAGTGGGAAGCGACGAGTGGGTTGTCGGTATGAGGGCGATATGAAGGGGACCGTGTGAGAAAGAGATAAGAAAGTTTGGGAAGTCGTGGAGCTGTCCAGATGAAGAGGATGGCAGAAAATAGAAGAAAGTGGAGATGTGTTGTTGAAGCCAACCGTATGTTCCACTTGGAGCTAAAGAGAACAATGGTAATAATAATAATAATCCATCCCTAATTGTCCTAAAATCAGGCAGCATGGAGGGCCATCCAGACATTTACACTTCTCCATAACTATGAGATATTCATTATTGATGTCAGAATTGCCCGATAAATCGGACTGATAAGCAGTTGTCTGTTAATATTATGGTTTGGTAATTTATTCTGTAACTCCTTTAGGAAAATGTCAGCTTATGAATCGTCTTCTATGGTCATCCATGAAATTATCAGTCGAATTGCAGCTATGTCATCTAGTTTTCTGGATTGACGATAGAAGAAGCTGAGTTTAATGTGCATTGTACTGACTAAAGAAAGAAGTGAAAGAAGAGTGCTAGGAAAGGCAAAAGAAAATTTTCTATAGTTTTGGTTTGTAAGGATTAGTTATGTTTTACGAGTTGATCACGGACTGATATCAGTTAGAGAACCATTGAAAACCAGGGAGTACTGGACAGCTGCTGTTTCATCCTAGTTTGGGAATCATCGGCAGTACGCACCCACTGGGATTCGAACCCAGGACCTTCCGGTTACAAGGCAAGCTCGTATACCATTTAGCCACTGGAACCCGATTCAATTGCTCATTAATTCTAACTTCTACCAATTCGTGATTTTAGCGCGATCCCAACTATTGTCGTTGGTGGGACATCCATCCACACACGTGACTTCTAATTGGACCTCACTGGTCACGACTTCTCACTAGAACTCCAGGAAGCTCCAACCTGTAGCAAGTCACTAGCGAGCATCAGAATAATTTTCTATAGTTTTGGTTTGTAAGGATTAGTTATGTTTTACGAGTTGATCTACGGTACAGTGAAAACTGAAGGAGAATAGAGCATAGGCGAAAAAAATCTGAGGAAATTATATCACATAACCAGGTCTCAGTCCAGAAAGAGATCAACACGGATGAAACGAATAGAAGATAGTTAGTGGGAACCTAACTATATCAAGGAAGATAAATAAAGAAAACCGTGGGCTGATCACTTCAAAAGGACTGTTGAATCGATCATATTCGACAGCTATGTGACAACGACACATGCAAAATGATCCACAACAGAAAACGCAGTGAATGCAGGAGTAAGAGAAGGCTGCCTATTACCATCGATAATATTTCTAACTGTGGTGGACACGATTACGCGGAAGACTGTGTGAAGCAAGAAGACAAGAATACATTGAACCCACAAGTAGAATCTAGAAGATCTGGATTTCGCCGATGATTTATGTCAAATGTCACACAAACTCGAAGACCTACAGGCAAAAACCAACAAGTTGACAGGAAAGGCAGATAGCAAAGAGTGGAATTCAAGTGAGCATAGAGAAGATGGGGATGATGAAGATAACCAACCAATAACAACAACAAAAGCACCAACCACCATCAATGGAAGAAATTTGAAGAAAGCCGCTTCCTTCGCTCACTTAGGCAGCATCGCCTCAACTACAGGCGATGGAATAAATGTGCTTGTCTAAGCCAGTCAGGACAGACCTTTTTCACTCTAAAATCATTTTGGAAATCTCCTGCACTCGGCATAAAGAACATTGTCAATGTTAGGTGAGTCATTTCTTCTATATGGGTCAGAAACTTAGCGAGCGAGTCACAAAAAGCATTTCCAGCAAGCTAGTGCGGACTTTTATCAGCGCCCGCCTTCGCTGCATACTGAAGATGAGGTGGCTGACCAGAAAAAAACAGCAAAAGCCAACCAAGAAGCTATTGCCTGAGAAATATTCCTAAGAAAATGGTGATAGATTGGTCACACATTCTAAAAAGAATGTTGGATGATATCGCACGCCAGGCCCTCATGTGAAGCCTCAACGGGAAATGACGAGTTGGGCCTGTGTCGGAGGTTGACATGGAGGTGATCAAGTGAGGAATAGGTGAAAGCTTATGGGCCACTATGGAGCCAGCCAAAGAGGACTGCGTGGAACTGGATGAAATGAGGATTCTGTGTTGAAACCTTCTATTCCATTTGGAACCAATAGGAATAATAATAATATATTTTCGATAATGGGAATTTAGATTTCCTCAGAATTGTCCTTTTTTAATGTAACTCAATGAGATGCTAAAATGCACGTGAAAGTGTGAATTAGAAGGGGGAGGAGATGACCCTAAAATGTCTGGAATTTAATTAGAGATCCATGGAAGATACTTAGTTACTGATATCTTAGAATTTTCTTTATCTAACCTATTACAACGTCCACTATTCCATATACTGCTATCAGTATGAATTAGTTTTGAACATTCACTGAAGTTTGGAATTTTTTAACGGTCATGTATGGAGCATAAGTGTAGGGCAAAGATCACATATGGAGGAAAATCTAAGCAATGAGTGCTGTAAATTAGAAAACTGAGTTCCCAATCATCGATTTCTAAGAATTTGAGTGGTCTCAAATTACATTTCACAATGAAATGACACCAGTTAGAAAAATATAGAATATAAGTTAGTACTGGGAAATAGTATTTATCTCGATCGCACTACTATCAGCTGGATCCTGCTCGTCAAGACTTCCTAGTTTCTGAGCAGTTCTTTTCTCACAAGATGACTATTATTATTGTGATAATTTTTATTAATATTATTGTTATTTTCACTGACAGTTAAACTGCTGATGAGGACGTACTATGTCAGAAATTTCAACAACTTAGAGACTATTCATTTTAGTTAGACATCACATTAAGAGATGGAAAAGCATAGAAATGTACTTATCCAGACTGCGATAATTAACAGTCTCATACAACAAATAAAGTAGAATACGCGTGAAAATATCATGGCTCCTTCAACATAATCGTCCTCGCCTAACTCTTCGAGTTACGTGTAGTCAAGCGGTAAATGATGCCGGTCTAAATTATGAAAGAGGGTGTGGAATGCCTAGCTAGGTACTTTAGAACGTCAGTAAGCAGCGACTCTTGGTGATCTCGTTCAAAGTCATCCTAGATTGCCTTAAATGTTAATGGTACGTTAACAGTTTCAGAAATGAAAACAGTCAACACACTGGAACCAATTCGATTCATCTTGAACTATATTACCTAGAGTACTTAACCGTCAAGTGTTCATGTATGAGTTCTCTGGATGAGTTAACTGATGAGTTTGGGCGGTGATTTTTCAGAGACAATATCAATGCTGTCAGTACAGAATTTTGATTTCCATGTCAAATTCAACTAAAATAGGTAGCTAATCATTCTCAAGACCGTAAAACAATTGCAATATTGTTCATAATCTTTACATATCCTTCTAAATGACTGTTTAAAATATGATTTTGGCCGATTTGAACTAATTCAGCTTCTTGATCTGGATCTAATCTGAATACATCGCTGATAGGCTCAGCTCTAAACGAGCGAATTGACCGTCTGGCGTTTAGATTACTTTGATCTGACCGTGGGGGGGGGAACAACAGTGGGTGGCATGGATCACTTCCAACTACTCATATCAACTTATCAGTAGTATATATCATCATGTTATTTCACTTATTTTGTTTAAAAATATCATTCATTTATATATATATCTAACAGGTTGCTTGCATATTTTGATCTGAATTCTTCTTTTGGTTTTTGAGCTGTTCAGTGGAACGTTTAGTGAGCTTTCATCTCGAACTGTGTAATTTGCAAAGTGTCAACTTGGTTCCCTCCAGTAACTTTATCTAACAGTAAAAATGACAAGATAGTAATAATAATAATAAACTTAACTAAAAGTACTAAAAATTATAAGATTTTTTCTTATCTAGTAACTCCTGCTGCAAGATATCTTATCACTGTGCACGGTTTGAATGATGATGGAAACCTGTTGATCAAGCCAGAGGATAAGGTTTCCTTAGAATGCAGTGCTATTGGTATGTGCTTGTTTTTCATTCATTCATGCATAATGCTATTTTAGTATGTATTTTTTGAAGAATTTTAAGTATTACGACTACCTTTTAGTTGGTGATGGGGTGTACACCTTTGAAGTTGACTGGAAGTGGTTCGAATCTGTTGGCTGGAACAGGAGTTATTCTGCCGATTTCCCTCTCTCCCTGTTTCTCAGGAGGCTATTTAAAATGTCGGCGATCCACTGTATACGGAAGGGGTTATTACGTAATTTAATGATTACATTTCTTACTTGGTCAACAGATTCAGCTTATGTGACAAAAACAGAAGCTGTAGGCGGACTTCTGTTAGTTGTCTAGAGGCAGACGACGGGATATTCAGGCATAAGTTTCTTACTTATTGAGACCAGTCAGCAACCTGCCTCTGTAACTGTGAAGAGATTAATGCTATCTTATGAATTGTGACACAAAATCGTCACCTTTTTAATGCAGGAAACATGAATTTTCAGTTAGTGTCTTAAACAAAGTGACAAAAAGTTAAGAAAAGGCATCTCATAAGGTTTGTAGGTGTTGGTCAGCAAACAGTTTCAAGAAAATTAGAAACCTTTTTTGTTTTCTTAACAATGTACTTACAACTTCCAGTAGATGATGGGTTTGCATCCATTTGTTCCTGGAGTTGAGGTAGTTTGAGTATAAGTGAATGAGTCGTTGACTGAGCACACACCAGAAGATGTGTACAACGCCAAAAATGAGGAATTTAAAACATCAATAATGCTTTCATTCAACGAAAGAACTGTAACGATTAAAACCTACTTGTTGTGATTTTAATGGGAGAGACTGATCTTTGAGTTCTACTGTAGAGCTCTCGTGAAGTTTCTGGAGACACTCACAGTCACAAAACACTCCAAAGACAGTAAAACGACGATTGTTTGTGATTGGAATCTATGGATGGTTCCATTCAGCAATAATAACATCGAAAACTCAAAATTACCTCAATAGCACCGCTAGCCAGCCATGCAGATCAGACAAGTCAGGTCAAATTCAACTGTGAGAAGTAACTTAGAATCAGGTAGAACATTCCCAACTAGGTGAGATCGAAACCTCCTTCCACAAAAATCACACACACCAACGTTTACGGCAAACAGTCCGAGGTCAAAATGACCTTCGTTCACCCAAACGAAATCATTTTGTAAGACGGCACATTATCAACATCACCACAGATCCACGAATTGAGGCACTGAAATTCGAGATTAAATTGGGAATGGACAAATACAAACGCCGAAATAAGTACAAATATTTTGATTAGGTAGTTCAGAAGGGGTTTTTCCAAACAGTCATTCCTTTTAACAGGAATCTCTTAAACTTGGCATGGAATTCTTAGAAAAATATGGAGTAAAAGTGACATTCAATCAGTCATAAACTCGGCTAGAAACACAATATGTCTGACGAAGCTTATTAAACAAAATAATTTAGTTTATCTATTATCCTGTCAGTGGTTATCAGGTCGAATACATAGGCCAGTTTAGTAGAACGGAGTCAGTCAGACTAGCGGAGCATAAAAGCCTAGCAAAATCTAGATTAGTTGACCCTAATAATAAGATAAGCAATCTGGAGAATATGAGATAGTTGCAGGTAATCGGTAGGAAGCCTTGGACCTAGGTTTCGTGCTAGTTGGCACTCACCAATCAGTCAGCAAGGCATATCTGCAACCTTGAAAGAACTCATGTCCCTCCTTCTGAGATTCGAACCCGCGTCACCCAGTGCTGCAGTCAGAGACGTTACCACTGAGCTATTCGGGCTCGCGATTGACCTCCTGTAGGACTGTAGTGGGTATTTTGATTGGACACTAGTAACTAGTGTGACTGATAGAATTCAGTCTGCACCAAAGAAGGACTAGATACGTCACACTAGTTACTAGTGTCCAATCAAAATCTGGAGAATATTTCGGTTATGGCACTACATGCAATCGCACACAACCATACAATAGGCTGGATGCGATAAGATGATAGTTCTAAAGTCTGATATAACAGAGTGGAAAGAGAGACTGGTAACGGAAGCTCTATTTATCTAATCCAACTGGAAATACCTCTAATAGAAATGATGCAATACCTGTCCAGTCGGACATTTGGAAAATTTCGCAACCCCTAGGTCGAATCAGAAGGAATGATGAGAATTATAAAATTAGAGTTTTAAAAGTTGTGTAGCATAACAATTGTGATGGGATTATGGACAGTAAATTGTATTGTTTGAAATGTCATCCAGTAAATAATACTGTTTCCCTGCGTGTGATATATCTAATAATTAAATTCACATGAAACTGCACTCTACCACAGTGCCCAGATTTTACACAGATATTGAGGAAAGGATTGGGGTGTTAACTGATAGTGAGATTATCTGAGTGGGATGAACTTAGGTGATTGTTGAAGGAATTACCGATCAAAAACCCATACATATATACATATAAGAATATTATATCTCATCTTTCTAATCATTTTATACGTATATATATCTATAGATACAACAACACGTCAGCCAGCTGAGAATGTTTTATACGTCTGGGAATTCCAAGCAGCTAATGGTCATCCACCGAAAGGTGATTTCCAATTCTCTGAGAATCAAGTTTCAATCGATAATTTGGACACGACAAGTGGGACTATTAAAGGTCGATGTAAAGTCTCCTACAGAGGATCAAATAAATGGGATAGTTCACCTGATTTCATTATCCACTTGGAAAGACATCCTGATGAAGCAGAAATTATTCCACCAATAATCGATAAAGATGTTGATGACGAAAAGCGAAAAGAGTATGAAGAAGCTGTCAGACAAAAAGGAGTTAAAGAAGCTGATGGTTAGTATTTAGAAGGGAATTTTTTTCTCAGTCGTTGAATTCCATGTGGAACATACAGCTATAGGTTTGAAGGCTTTAAGTTTCAGTTGCCATGGTATTTTTTTAAATGGTGTGGATTGCTAAACCCATGCAAACCTTCCTTCCTTACTGGACTTACTACCGCCCAGTGGACTGAACGAGTTTAAGGAGAGATTCTTATGGGAGTCGAACCCTGGTCCACCTATGTAGTTGCCAAGCAATCTATCACTGAACCTGCGAAGTGTGGTATACATATAAGTAGTATGTATAGCTAAGTGTTCCCTCATCCTATGCAAGATATTTTCTTATCATTTGTACTATCACTTCATGTGGATTTTTCAACCACATTCATCACTTGCAAAATTACACAGTTCGAGGTTAATCTCCACAACGGTTCCCTTTATAAGCTCAAAGTGTTCAGATCATTAATATGTGATCTATCTGATATCTCAGATTAGAGCCAACAACAACAACAACAAAGCCAGTGAAATAACATAATGCTTTAGACTACTGATTGTTATGTATGCCTGAAAACCATTCATTTGATGAAGTGAATTCCCCTGTCAGTGGTTTACCTGTCCGTGAGGCATACTCAACTCTCTACAGGTATATTTATAAATAGTTAGGGTTTTAAGGAATAACGACTGATATTTGTTGTACTATCTAGTGACTCACTCACCTTTGTTTTTTATTCCTTTACGTTGCCAGTGGAGCATAAGGCTTCAAGCTAGAAGCTTGAAGTTTCGACAGCAGTGGGATGGGGCTGCTAGCCTCATGCCAACCTTCCCACTTTACCGAGTGTGTTGGTGGCCGGGGATCGAACCCCGGACCATATGAGGCGTGGTCGGCAAGCATTCTACCTCTGTGCCACCGACGCACACGACTCACTCATCTAGTGGACAATAATCGGTGCTGGGTTCCATTCTCAATAGGGACACCGACAGTCACTTGGATACAGGTACATCTAGTTGATAAGTCTGGGGAAGGACTAAAAACACGCTTTCTGAATTCTGCTACCGGTCATCATTAAATAAGTAACACCTAAATGATAGGCAATCTATAGAATTATCTCATAAGCTGTGTCTTTTTAAACCCTTTTGTTTATTGTTTAAGAATTTCACAATAGTTAAAATTAACAAATATTAATTATTGTATTGCTTACTTTATTTTCTGATACTTTTATGATGAAAAGATGATCGCGTTGTTGTCACTGTGGACGGATTGAACGATGCGGGGCATCTGGTTGAAGCTGGTGGTGCTGAAAAGACACTAGATTGTAATGCGGAAGGTAAGACGTTTTTTCCTCTGTTTTATCCTGTTTGACTAATAAATATAGCATAATCGAGCGTTGTTTTTCTGGGATTTGATTGGTTCCAGGATTTCATCAAGAGCTTGGAGTGCTGGACAGCTGTTTCATCCTAGTTAGGGACTCTTTAGAAACACTCACTGATCACTGGCCTTCAAATCCTGGACCTCCCGGTTACCAGGCGAGCTGGTAGACCATTCATCCACTGGGGCCCGACCTAACTGTCCATAGATTCCAGCTTCTGCCAGTTTGTGATATACCTATATATATGTTTGTTTATATTTAAGGAAACCACCAGCCAGTTCCATAGGCGAGTAGCAGTCCTGTTGCTTGACTTGGTAGACCCCTCTGTTTACAACCTCTCACTAGAAATGTAGCACTGTCATTAGATGAGGTTTATTCGAATAAAACGTTACACATTTGCGTGATTCATTTTTGTTTTGGTCAAGTCTAGTGACATATCTACCTCTCCATTCAACTTATACGGAAAATGGAAAGAAAGAAATGATCGGATAAAATAAAACAATAAGAATTGTAAGATCAAGGGGAACACTAGATTTAATAACTTCCTGTCAGTTAGAGACGTATGTCTGGTTGAAATTGTCTTTTTTCACTTATTCAAACTAATACCTACTGAGAATGGTTATTGTTATTATCACTAATATTATGTTGCCATTATACACTTTTAGACATAGGGATCCAGCAGCATATTAACGTTTCATTCTCTTCTCCGAAGTCTTTACTAACATGCTCCACAATCGCCCAGAAGCTTGTAATTCCTGCATACACGATCTCTTTTTTTAATCTTACCATCTAACGTTATTATTATTGTTTCCTTTAGTTCCTAGAGGAACATAGGGCTTCAGACGAACGTCTCTATTGCTTTTGGTTCTCTGCCAATATTTTCACCTGTATTCACGTCTGCACACATGCTTTTATCTCCTCTTCGCATCACCTCCTCCATGTCACCCTCACACTCGCGACCAACTTACTCAATACTTCCCATTTGGGTTCCACTCGAGCAATGGCTTGTCTAGTGATGTCACTTGATGCATTGTTTTCTCAGAGTATGGCCAATCCATCTCCATTTCTTCCTGCCTATTTGTTGCACAATCGGTTCCTGATTGATTCTCTCCCAGAGATCCCTGTCGCTGATCTTTTCTGACCATCTGATCTTGAGCGAATTATTGGGCGAAGACAGATATTGATGAAAGCCTGTAGTTTGTCTGAGGTGCTTTTCATGACGCACCAAGTCTTTGATACATATATTAGCACTGACTTCACGTTGGAGTTGAAAATCCGTATATTATTTTCATTTTCATGCTGAGCTCAGTGTTGACCTCTTCACAGACTTGAGAGTAATGAAAGCTTGCCTTGCTTTTCCGATCTTCGCTTCGATATCCTCGTCATTTCCGCCTGTAGTTGAAACGATGGTTCCCAGGTCGGTAGGTGAATGAGGTTGATTCTTTAAGATTTTTCCCATTCATGCTGATTGTTGTCTGTTGTTGTTGTTGCTGTTACTGTTGGCCGGGAATCGTCATCATTTTTGTCTTCCCTGTGTTCACCTGAAGTGAAGTCCTGTGTTTGATGCTTCCTCTGTCAATTTGTTGCTTTTTACTTGCATATGTTGGGAATCAGATATATATCCAGACCCTTCAGGTTCTTTGTATGAATCCATTTTATGCCTGTCTCCTCTTTGCCCACCGTCTGTCTCAGTATCCAGTTTACCACAGTCAGGAAAATCATTGGAGATAGTAGTCAGTAGAACTTGTCATTCCCTATTCGGCTTCCACTCTTAGGTCTGGTGTGTGGTTATTTTTAATCCACATCCATTTCTTTACTGGATGAAAAATTATGAATAAGTTTGTTGTCAGAATTTCGTGTCGATTATCCTTTCTGGTCAGTTGGTCATCTGATCCTCAATACAGAAGAAAATCAGCTGTTTATAAAAGTCTGGGGTCTGTCCTTGACCCAAAAAGAAGTACTGACTACTGTGATATTAGTGTCGAAGATCCAATTCTTTTTCCTCATTCTGTATGCAGCGGATTTCCACACTGATTTCAAATTAACAAATGCCTGTTTCACTTCTCCAACCCCATCTATGACATCCTCATCAGTTCCTTCTGTTGTCAGTGATTGGTGTTTTTTATTGTTGGTTAAGTATCTTCGTGACATCCAGTATTCCTTAAGTCCAGTTGAAGTCCTATCTTCACTGTCTCCAGTGTTAACTCGTTTGTTTTCTCCCGCAGATCCTTCAGTTTGATCTGTGTAGTGATTTTGTTTATCCTACACATACCCATCCTCTCTTTCGCCAAAGTCTCTTACATGTCCATCCGTAATCGCCAAACGAACAATGATTTCGTTTTGATATTCATTTCAATAAAGCATTTCATTTATTTATCTTCCTTTCTTTTTCTAGTTCAAGAAGGCGTAAATTCTGAAATACTCGCTTATAGTTGGGAATTAATGGATGCCTATGGAAATCCTGTTTCCCTAAGTATTTTAGCCGATAATGTCGTGATAACAAGCAGCGATGGAGTATTAAAGCTAAACGGATTACGTGTTAGTGAGTTATCTCAACGTGGTGACTTGAAAGGACGATGTACTGTTAAAGTGAAGATAACAAAATCAATTGAAATGCCAGATGGTACACAGAAAGAGAAAACTGAACAACTGATTTATAAGTCAAATATGTTTGGTGTAGCAATTACAGAAAGTGGTGATTATACTGGAACTATCGGTGGACAAGACAGTAAGTTTTACTAATTAAGATACAATCTCTCTTAATCATGTAAATTTAACAGGAATTTGAAAGCTTTTATTGGTGAAATTCATCTAGGTCGACTTCTAGCTATAATATTCATAATTGGATCATAACTGCAGGTTTAACACATTTTGACTGTAGCACTTAGGTGAGGTGGGTTGAAATCTTTGAGAAAGTCTTAGTGAAGAATGTTAATAACTACGAAATCTAAGTTCACTTCTTGTCACCATTTGTTGCCAATCCTCTAATATGAAAGAAAAGTGTGTCATCTGGATTACTACAGTATGTAGCCAAGTAATCAACTGCATCTGTAGCCCTGACACTATGGAAGAGGAGCTGAACACTATGAAAAGAATCCTCCTTGAAAATGAGTACCCAGGACCTTTCATCATAGAATCCGTGAAGCATAGACCACTAAAACTAACCATAGTTTCAGCCCCCAAAAAAAGTTTCTACTTGGATGTAAAATCCAGTGGGGACTTGTCGGCAGGAACACTGAAAAATCACTTGTGCTGCTCACTGAAGGAGCCTTCTCCTCTTCCGAACTTCGACTAACATTCTCCACGAAACCAGTGATTCACTTGAACGCGAAATATAAGCTGCCACTGTTGGACTCATCACTGTGCATCTACCAATTCACCTGCTCTTGTGGAGCTACGTAATTCAGTCAATCTCAGAGTTTGCTATCCAAACGTATTATCGAACACTTACCATCATGGTTCTATAAAGAAGAAAAAACATTCCCCTCACTCGTAGCTCTATCCTGGAACATTTCATAGAATCCACACACCAAGCTAACCCATGAATCAACTTCACAGTCATCTACAGAATACATAGGAATCTTGCTAGAACAGTACGAATTAAACTTCTTTAAACAGTAGAAGCAATGGCAATTCATGTATTAAATCCCTAACTCTGCATACAGAAGAAGTTTCTTCAGCCATTAAATCTACAATGGGCGTGATTTATCTTAATACTGTATAGGTAATTTTTTGGTGGCACTTCTTAATTGTATCACTTTCTTCCCTCGCCCGCAATTAAATTTCTACTCCTTATTACCACTGCTGTTAATCTGAATTTCTTTAAATCAATTTTGAATTCTCCTCAACTCCATCACTTATACGTCATTCACTTCACGTAATTAATTCTTATTTTAGTTTCTGCCCGATTAACACTTTCCACATTATGTAATTTATCTAAAATCTGCAATTCTGCTGACATATCTGTAGAAGTATCCCTTTTTGATGCTAAGAGAATTTATTATGTATAAGCGATTGTGCAGCTTGAGAGTGATATCACCAGAAAGAGTAACTCTTGACAGAACACCTTTATCTTTTATATAACTTAATGGAGATTTTTAAGTTGCTTTGACCAGGTTAACAACGTTAAACTCCGAAATGTAAGTATAACTTATACCGATTTATGTAAAGGTGGCTATCATATCTCAGTCTTCCAAGTTAACAACTCTGTAACATTCTGCTACAATATGGATACCAAGAGATATGCCGCAAAATTTCAACTGAATTTTGTTGAATGATTTGTAAAGCAACCGAAACCGACTTGGTTGTAGTCTAAACTCACAGGAGTAATCCTTGAGTCCTACCGTATAGCTATCAGAAACCTGTTTGGAAAACGCACGGTCGTGAAATACTCCAAAAGCAGTAAATAGACAACTGTTTGTGGTTGGAATCTATGTGTGGCTTTGTCCAACATTAGTAAAATCAAAAGCTCAAAATCACCTCAGAAGTTCCTCTTGCCAGCTTTACAAATCAGATAAGTTTCCAGTACAAAAGAAGTAATGTAGAATAAAATTAGTTAGCCGAGCTCAATTTCAACCATGGGAAGTAAAATTAGAATCAGGTAGAATATTCCCAACAAGGTGAGATCAAAACCTCCTTCCACAAGAAACACACATCAACGCTTCGTGTACATAGTCCGAGGTCATAATCACCTTCATTCACCCAAACGAAATCATATTGTAAAACAACACATTATCAATATCACCGCACATCCACGAAGTGAGGCAGGGAAACTAGAGATTAAACAGAAAGGTAGATGTGGTATGCAAATGTGGAAAATATGATGTGGAGTCGAGCATAAAAAGGGATAATGACTACAAAGTTAATGGAAACACCGAAATAAGCATAAATTTTTGATTAGACAGTTTAGGACGGGTTCTGTGAACAATTTTTCATAAACTTATTCCCCTTGATGAATTTGAACAAAGCAAGAACTACAGTTTTAGCAGAATAAAATGGTACCATCTTTTATTTCGTTGCCCTCTCGTCAGCTGCTTACAGGGCAAAGACATTATTAAATGTATCTACAAGAACAATTTTAACATACTTGCACAGAGTTCATTTTAAACAAAAATCAATCGATCAATGTACGCATACACTAATAATATACACATATATATATGCAGTAATAAACATCTGAATGCGAGATGCTGAAAAGTTTTCATTGTGTAGGGTTACTATTGTTCGGAATAGTGTTTAATATTGCAAATATATATGTATATATTATTAGTGTATGCGTATATTGATCGATTGATTTTTGTTTAAAATGAACTCTGTGCAAGTATGTTAAAATTGTTTTTGTAGATACATTTAATAATGTCTTTGCCCTGTAAGCAGCTGACGAGAGGGCAACGAAATGAAAGATGGTACCATTTTATTCTGCTAAAACTGTAGATTTTGCTTTGTTCGAACAATTTTTCGTTACAATATGAGCGAGGGAGAAGATACTATCGGGTTGGCTATTTCAAAGCAGGTGGTCGTCCTAAAACACTATTCACTTTGAGTTTCAAGAGAAGTATGGCCCACTAAGGAGCAAAGCAGCTCTAAGAGCTCCATTCCCACAATTGTCCATGACCATTCCTTTATCTCGAATTCTGGAGTAAGTGTGTACGATAGGCGTAGAAAGAGTGTTTTAAAAACAAAGAATTCAGCGAAGAAAATTCGCTTTTCGACGATTTTAATTTCATAGCTGTACAATTGTATATATATATTTATATATGAAGAGAGAATTTTCTTCGCTGAATTCTTTGTTTTTGTGTCTCACTGGGGTCTACCTAAAGTTCAGTAGACATGTATGAAATAGATCATCGCAATACAAAGTACATTCAAAAATGGGAATATATGAATATAATATGATGGAAACATAGGATGAGTGAAATGTTGTCAACTAGATAAAATGTTAGAATATGATAACATAAAGTGAAATAAAATAAAACAAAAATAGGACAAGGAATAAAGAAGGATAACAAAGTTTGTAATTTGAATTACATAGTTGAATCAAGACCATGGTAACGAAAGAGATCACACATAAATTGCTTTTATACTCAAAGTTCTGGCTTAGTCTTATATATTGTCGAAGCCTCTGCTATACAATTCAAATACGCTCTTGTCCTATTTGGCAAACTTTGTCAAACTTTGTCGACTATATAGAACAATGTTTCAGATGCTGAGTGGTCAATATCTACAGTGTGTTGTAATATCGACGAATTAATATCTCTACATTCTTCTTCGCTCAGTCAAACTGGGAGGTGCTCTCGAAGCTACATATTCGTCGTTTCACTTTTGCAAGAGCATCAACAGCCAACTGACAGGGGTGTAGATGACTTAAACAGCAAGAACTATGAATACCCCGTCGTATTCTCTATAATGAACGCTGACTTTTAATATCTACGGATACATATCAAGAATTCAAAGATGAAGGTATCTATGTACCTGATAATTTTCTACAAATACGAAACCAGTATTGAATTAAATCTTTACATCTTTTTCCATTCATCTCTACTATTTTTTTCTTTTGCATTTTAGTTAAAGGAAGTTCTGTCTACGTTAAGGTGATTGGTTTAAGTCCGCAACATAGTTTAGTTGCAGAGTCTGGAGATAAAATCAATCTTCAATGTTTTGCACTAGGTAAGCAACAAAACGTAGTGGTGCACACCATTATTATTATTTATTACTACTGTTTCCTTTAGTTCCTAGAGGAACATATGGCTCCAGCCACACGTCTGCATTGCATTCGGTACTCCGTCAACGTTTTCACCTGGCTCCACGTCTGCCAACATGCTTTCATCACCTCTTCGCATAACCTCATCCATGTCAACCTCACACTGATGACCAACTGCCTCATCGCTTCCCATTCGGGTTCCACTCAAGCGATAACCCGGCGTGTGGTGTCACTTGACTTGTTCTCAGAGTATGGCCTCCAATCCACCTCCATTTCTTTCTGCATATTTTTTGCACGATTGCTTCCTGCCGGGTTGGTTCGTTCATTGCCAGAGATCCCTACTGCAGATCTTTTCCGACTATCTCATCTTGAGTACTGAGCGAAGACAGCAAAGACAACAATAATACTAATATCTTTATTCTGGACAGTAATTTATAAAATGTACAGAGTTTTCGGAAGAGTTTACTGCTTGGTATTTTCCCTTCTTACAATATCTTCAAAAAAAATAAATTGGTTTGGTGATTTCATCATGAGCTGACATCGGTAAGAAAACCATTGCAAAAACACCACGGAGTACTGGGCAGGTGTTTCGTCCTATTTTGAGACTCTTCACAGGACGAATCCACCACCAAGTTTCGAACGCAGGACCTTCTGGTTAAAAGGCTAGTTCGTAGATCTTTAAGCAGCCGCTGTACAGGATCCAATGGCAATTGCATGAGTTTCGGCTTCTGCAAATTCGCGATATGGCGCGACCACTTCGCAATGTCTTCTTCAATGAGTTACTGCCTCACCTTCAACCTGGTGTACCCTACTGGTCACGGCTTCCCATTAGAGCCGCAGGTAACTGCCTGAATAGGGGCATTCACTAATGAGCATTAGGTCGAACTGTGTAAACCGTAAATTGCGAATTCATTTGCAAATTTTGAATTTGATTTAAGGATGAAAATACTGTTTGCAAGAACAAAGACAATAAACGTTTCAAGCAGGTGACTACGGATCAAACTTAGGTTGAGTTGAATGATTTCTGATAAGCAGAAAAACAGTGCCTTACTGTCAACAGTTACCCTTGATGAATTTGAATAAAGCAAGAACAACAGGGGTTTGTGCAGAGTGATATGGTACCATCATTTATTTATTTGGCTTCTCATTGGCTGCTTGCAGCCTAAATAAATTATTATTAAGTTTATGTACAGGAAACTTTTAACATACTTGCAAATTTTTCATGATGTCAGTTGACGGAAGGTTCCACAGTTAGTGAACAGTGCTCAGAAAATTGCGCTTATACAGTTTTTACACAGATAGTTCAAGTTTAAACAAAACAGATGTACGCATACAATAGTAAAGTAGTTGCGTAATAAGGACGAGAGATGCGTAAGATGCTGAGTGACTAATAAATTAGGTAACAATGTACTGAGCTCAAATGAAATCATAGAAACAAGAGACAAGCAACATTACACTACATGGAAGGGTGAACGGTGAGATTAAATTCGAAGATTACGTAATCAAATGAGAGAATAAAGACATCCAGTTACCAGGATGGGCAAGGAAAGACTGATAACTGCTTCTTTCTGAACACACGACGAGGTGGGTATAGTTCTAAAGGTGAAATGGAGGTGATCGTGTGAGGTGTAAACAGCTAAAGTGCACTGTAGAAAACAGGATGTAACGGAGATGTGCTATCGAGTCCCTCTTATGTTTCACTTGGAATTAAGGGAATAATAATAAGTATAACATCCTACCACTAAAATCTGACTGGTATAATCAGCCTCAGAAGACATCTGTTCATCTAAGCAAGAAACTTTCTCCATCATTTTTTTCCGAAATAATAAATATATTACTGAAATTCATTCGCTTTATTTTGTAAATTTCAGATGAAATGAGTAAAGAACCAATATCAGATGCAGTCTACGCTTGGGAGATACGTGATCGTAATGGTCATTTAGTGATGACCGAGAGTGTGGCTAAAACTGTTCTCCGTTCAGACAATGTCATCAGCTTTATTCATCTTCGTCCAACTAATGATTTGAGCTGGAGTCGAAATATATTTGGACGTTGTTCAGCTTTTATTCCAAAAACTAAACATATCTATTATTCACACTACTTCCATATTGATGTCCGTCAACCGTTAATTAATGGAAAAACTGGACGTAAGTAAAATTTTATTTGATAAAAACGTCTTTTTAGTCCATGACGTTGATGCTAACTGGATTCTGTCAGTCCGTTTTTTGGAACTTCGTCACTGAGCTAAGTGACTGGTTATTTGATTCCACTCTCAAGTGATGTCAGAGGGTTGAAAGCAATCGGTAAGAAGCCACGACATGAGGTTTCATGTTTGTGGGAAATCGTCAGCAACGCGTATTTAAAACCTTGATGGAGCTGATTTTCTGTCTGAGATTTATATCCCACGTCAGCCGGTACTACAGTTACAGGCTTTATCATCGAGATTTCTGGTTTTATGAGTGAATTTGTAGACGACTGTGGTCGATACACCGATTGGATGACATTTCTAATGCAATTTACTGTTTGTAATGAATATGAAACGTAACTGAACAATAACTTTGGATAAGGCATTTATAAGACAAATTTCGCTAGATGATATCATCATTTCGTAGTTTCTTTACAACTGCTTTACAACTAACGTGGTCAACAATAATAAAATAAAGTTCATGACAATTACTCAGTTATATAAAAAACAAAAGTACATACTAATGACGAGTAGTTAGTTCATGGTAGGCGAAGGTTGAAGTCTACTGCTTTTTGTAAACATAGTTTAAGATGTATGTGATTAATCCCCAAAGTGCCTCCATCATCTTTAATTACCAACCTTGAATTAGAGTAATGTGGTCAGATAATTGTGAAGGAGTCATTAATATTGATTTTGTGACCTGACAATAATAAGTTCTTTGCAATGGATGATGATGGATTTTCTATTCAGATTAATTGCATTTGGAGTGGACAATATCTTCATTTCACTAGTTTTGTTCCCATCCAGTATAAACGTTCCCTAGTGAGATATGCACGAGTGACATATTGATGGATGAGCGTCAACATATACATTCAGTTTTATTAGCTAATGGTTATCCAGAGAACTTCATCACTTGTCACAGTAAGGATAGATCACATCTCGAAAAGACAGTTTCTGTACCAAAGAAAGCTATCTTTATTAACCTACCATTCAAGGGTGACCAGATTATGCAGTTGACAGCTAGCTCAAAGACTTCGGTCAACCATCATACGCACATTCTACGCTGCATCTCTTTCCCAAACATGCCGAACATTTTCGACCCCTGTACCTACGATTAAAGGAAGAAATCCTGTGGACTCTACTTCAAACTGTATCTACAAGTTCACCTGCAGTTGCGGTGACATCTATATAGTTAGAACTAATAGAATGTTCCAATGTCGTCGAAAAGAACATGTTCCAAAATGGTTATTAAAACATATAGAAAATCCAAATGAAAATTCAAATTTATCAAAGGGACCAATTGTTTTAATAACTTTGAAATTAAAATCACATAAAAACAACGATTTGAGTACCATAAGATTTTTTCCTTATTTATTCCTCTGCATTCCCGAGTGGAAGATAGGGCTTCATGCCTGAGCTCCGAAGTTCCAGTACCAGTGGTGATTTTTTAAGGGGTGGAGCTGCAAGCCTCCCATCCAACCAGCTTTCTTTACCGGGCTTATCATTGGCTCATCTAGGGTTTTCGAGTGCATCAGCCCGAGACCAAACCCCGAACCATGTGAAACGTGGTTGGTGAGTATTGTATCACTGAAACACTGATTTTGATCAGGGGTCACTGGACAACTATTTCGTCCCAGTTTGTGACTTTCAAGCAGTGCGCACCAACTAATTTTCGAGTCCAGAACCTTCCCGTTTAAAAGGTGAGCTCTTAGACCATTCAGCCATTGGGAACTAAATCGTCATGAACCGCCTGTGTGAAAGCCAAGAATCCTGATCGTAAAAATAAGATCGTATCATTTTATTTCATTAGTTTCTTGTCGTCCACAGGGAAATTTTATAAAGTATACTGAAAGGTAACGTGATGTCAGTTCATAGCAAACTTCAAAAATGATAAAAAATAAATGATAAGGTCCAAGTTAGTTGAAAAAAGCTTGGATACATAGGAAAAGGAGTCACCCAACAAAATGATAAGAGGTGGATACGTCAACGATAAGTAACTGATAAGCTGAGTGGTAATTTGGAGAGTTCCACTCAGCAATCTTTTATTAAACCATAGGGGAAGAAGTTAGTGCAAAGATTATGTAATCAAATAAAAGGAAGAGTTACGAAGTCTAAGACATATGAATGAGCGACATTCATTCTTTCACTCCCCCCGCCATTCAAGGCGCAATTATTCCTCCCTACGTATGTGACCACACAAACACGCATGTTAGTTGATATAGAATATGGGTTGTATCAAAAGAAATTGACGTAAACAACGGAGAATACTTTCTTCTCGACGATTAATCCTCAAAAGCGGTACAATCGTATTTATATTTACTACAGAATTCATAAAACCAATTAGATACTGGTGAATTTGCCCTAAAAATGTATCACATAATGTAACGTGTAATCTAGAATGGGATAATAAATTGGAGATCGGAAAAGGGGGGGCAGAAGTAATGCTTTTGAACGCAGATATCCTGTTTCAGATCCCGAATAGCCAATGATTCAGCTGCTTACAGACCGTGTATTCGAAGTCTTTTCGTGAGATACTGAGCAGCTTTGTTTAGCACTGTCAGGCAGTCATGTGGAGGTATCCAGTATCCAATATCTCCTCTGGCTGCCCATTCTCAATAGTGTTCCAGGACACGTTCGCAGACTTGACGTTGTGTAAGACCAATATACTTTGCTCCATACAAATACATAGAGGTGGCTAAAAGCGGTATCTTTTCCTTAACGCTTGACTGGATTGTGATACGTAAGGTAGCTGCTTGAAATATCTAATTCAGACATTTAGAAAGTCAGTTTCTAAGAATTTCCACTTCAATGGAATCTTTGAATTCTTGGTTCATGAAGGGGATTTTATTAGAAACAGTTGCTGTTTTTGTTGAAGGAAGTTTTTCTTTCATGTTTTCGTCCATAAATCTGGGTAGATACCCGTTCTCTGCTAGGGTTTCACGTAATGATTCTAATTCATTCTCTATCGTACCTTCTTAAAAGATTTTTCGAATCCTTGAGATTCCGGAATGTATTAGGTTTTGCTCTCGGATCAGTGGGACAAAGCTCTAGAAGTGAATAAACTGTCTAGTCCATGTTGCATGGTATATTGATCTTTGGGTAGAGTTTTTAGTAATGCATCTGGTAGTGGAAACGCCATGTTTGATTCACGTTCTTGTGTGAATTTTATTGTTGGGTGTGTCGCGCTTAAAAGTTAAATTTCGTCCCTCCAGTTAACTAGCTGCAGCTTCAAATTTCATCTAAATTCAAAGAAGAATATACAAGCGCCTCACTGATAATTTTGGAGGTTAATTATTTTAACATAGCTAATCTATTGTATGAGAAAGACGTTCAGGAGTCGACAGCACGAAGCAACTATGATACTGTAATACACATGTACTTAACTCTATCCGAAATGTACCTATTTGACATCAAACAAAAACAGGTAGGAAGTCAAGTAAGAATAATAACTGAATCATCTAAAATACGAGATATATGGGATGTCAGCTTAACTAATTAGAGATTGTGACACAACAGTGTAACGAGTGGCTTGGTTGCCTGACTGCATAACTCATTCTTAACAGGTTCACTTAGCGAGTGAAGTCAGACTTACAACATAAAAATATGATGAAGCTGTAGGATTATCCGCCGCTACAGTCACATGGCTATATGTGTAATTTGATGATTGTAACTATCAAGAGTTGGTATGCAGGGATTTTATTGGTTACAGGCTTGGTCACGAGGTGACAGTTAGAAAAACTGCTGAAGACCCAGGCAGTACTGGACGGTCATTTCGTCCTAGTTTGGCTCTCTTCGGCAATACCCACCCACTAGGCTTCAAACCCAGGACCTACTGGTCACAAGGCGAACTCGTAGACAATTCAACCAACGGGATTTGACCCAATAGCCCATGAATTCCAACTTCTGCCACTTCACGACCAATGTCATGAGTGAATAACTTGGTGGACCCTGTTGGTTACTAGAACAGGACGATCCTGCGTCGAATGATCCTCTAACTGCTGTCAGCTCATGACCAAACCCTGCAGTTGTGAATACAACTTGTTTGTTTTTAAAATTTGCCTAATGCTTGTAATTATTTGGCTTTAAATCACAGGATATACACATTTGATCATAGGGAATAATAAAAAGACAGTTGCAGTGAAGAAAATTTTCTTTTCGGCGAAATCATCAACTAGGCTGTACATTCGTGTATTTATGATAAATGGGTGAGAAAATTCCAGAATAATTTCCGGTCAAGGGTCAAATTAATAAAATCACAATTAGGAATTAAAGTGCCATAATAAACGAGGGGATGGATAAAACTCAAACAAAGTAGCATCATAATTACTGAGTAGATTGACATATTGTGCAATTAGGGGTTAGAAATGTAGAAATAACAACAATAGACAGGATGTTTGGATAAAAAATCTAGTGGGATCATAACTAATGTGACGAATAATTGTTTATACAATCAGGGATTAAATATGTAGAAATAGTAAAACGACAAATTAGACAGGAAGTTCAGATATGAAAATATCGTAGTTTAAATAAGGATTAAGAAAAACTTAAAAATAACATGAATAAACAGGAAGTTTGGATAAGAAAGGCAGTGGGATGGTCATTACTAAAAGTATTACCTGTTTATGATGGCCACGGCAGGGAAAACGGTTGGACGTATTTCTGTTGGATACATAGCGTGGGTTTGAGCTTTTGGATGGCTAATACCTCGGCTATGCCCAGATGTCTTAATTTTACTCCCTTTGATAGGTTTGATCGAATCTTGTATATTATTTTGAGTTGTATATTTGACTTTACATAAATCTACTATATGGTGTAGTTCTGATCAAATTCTAAACGTTCAAAATTGAAATTAGTTGCGCCTACAGTTAAGTGTTTGACTGAGTAATAGGCCAGTATGAATGTAATGCTCATAATGATTATGAGCAATAAATTGTGCTCGAAACGTCATCAGTAAACATTACTGCATAACACTGTGAGACTTTATCAAAGCAAAATTTACCCATAATGGAATTACACTCTACCACAGTGCACAAGTTTTATTCTTATATCAGTATGAATGTACATCTAATCATTAGATTACTTTTGAGCTCATTTTCTGATTGGACCAGTTATACGACTTAGAAAACGACGGGAGATACGCGTCTAACCCACTAATGAATACAACGTGAATCTCAACAGTAATAACAGTACCATTTATACATGAAAATAAGAGAAAACCTTTACTATTGTTAACATCATCATTATTGAATATTTAGATATTAAAACAATTTAACAAATAGTAATTTCATTGATAAGTTTATAAATTTAGCAATAGACAATGTGGCTTGTGCTACTGACAAGATTTATAAGTAGTATACAGATGCAGACTGACGATGATATCAAAGCAAGAATCCGAAAAGCAAGACAAGCTTTCACTACTCTCAAGTCTGTGTGGAGGTCAACAGCACTCAGCATCAAAACGAAGATAAGATCCGGATTTTCAACTCCAATGTGAAGTCAGTCAGTGCTACTCACCATACGGATCAGAGACTTGGCGCGTCATAAACAGCATCTCAAACAAACTACAGACCTTCATTAACAGTTGTCTTCGCTCAATACCACTCAAGATCAGATGGCCGGCCAGAAAAGATCAGCAACAGGGATCTTTGGGAACGAACTAACCAGGAACCGATTGTGAAATAAATAGGTAGGAAGAAATGGGGATGGATTGGCCATACTCTTAGGAAACCATCAAGTGACATCACTAGACAAGCCATTGCTCGAGTGAAACCCGGCCGAAAGGGAAGCGGCGGGTTGGTCGTCCAAAGGTGACTTGGAGGAGGTCATGTGAGGAGGAGATGAAAACGTGTGGGCAGACTTGGAGCCAGGTGAAGACTCTAGCAGAGAACCGAACGCAATGGAGACGCACGGCTGAAGCCCTATGTCCCTCTAGGAATTAAAGGAAACAATAACAATATAATAATAATAATGGAGGCCTAACATAACACAATACAGAAGAAACGTGCAAATTGCCATTCTAATATATATCTGTACACCGTATTGTCAATGAATAATTACGTTACCAAGTGCCATTGTGTTCTGCCTACACAACGACAGTTCAGCCTTTCCAAAGAGTGTCAAATACAAAAGGCTTCATAACTGCAAGACGCAATTATATAAAGGTTATAGGCAAAAGTAGGTTTCACTGTCACATGTCGTCTGGGTTGACACTAGAACGACCACCAGTTGTATATTTACCTTTTCTTATGATACATTTTCAACCTTATCACATTATTAATCGGAATAAATTGAAGTCCAGACTCTGATAAACACTAATTACATCTTATTGATTTATTTTTTCTTCAGCGGATGACGAAATTCAAGTTGAAGTCAAAGGAGTTCCACCAAATGGTGTATTGGAGGGTGAAGAAGGCGATACAGTTGATTTAGAGTGCCGTGCCGTTAGTAAGTTTTGGTTTTGGTTTCGGTTTAATCGTTTTCCTTATAACAAAAATTACGAATTCAATCTGGAAACGTGAAACACAGAAAGGATTATTTATTTTTATTTCATTTTATTATAGCTTGATTTCACACAGTATTTCAGTACAAGTATGGAATTTTCAGCGCGTGAAATCGGTAGCCCAAATTTACCAGGCCAGCCATTGATATCAGGTACGCGTCGGCCGGGGATCGAACCCTGGACTATGTGCATGGTCGACGAGCGTCCTTACCGCTGTGCCACATTATGGAAACTGATTGTCGTTATACAATTGGTGTCTTTTGTGGGTCAGTAGAATGGTGGATAATGATTTGGCGTTTATAGCGAGTGCCATTAAGTTCAAGCCTCAGAAATGAATACTCTCACTCATTGGGATTAGGTACATCCAAAATGGAAAGTACGTTCAGCAAAGAGTTACTCTCTTCAAAAGTATCCTTCTCAAGCTGTACCATGGCATATCTATAGTCTTAGCAACAAAAGGGATATTTCCGAAGATGTTTCATTTTTTCCTTTATGTTCCCAGTGGAACATAGGGCCCTTCAAGCTAGACGCTTGAAGTTTTGGTAGTAGTGGTGTTTAATTTTACGGGATGGAGTTGCTAGCCTCATGCCCTCATACCTTCCCTCTTCACCAGTCATTACTGGCTTTGCGAGGTAAAGTAATGCCCCTGCCGGGGATCGAACCCCGGACCGCATGGGTGGTCGGGGAACATCATACTGCTGTGCCACCGATATAAGAAGATGTTTCATTAGAACTGGAAATTTCAGATAACAAATTACGTAATGTAGAAAGCGTTAATCGGGTAGAAACTAAAGTAAAATTAAGTAAGTAAGTTGAGTGACGTAATATAATTGATGGAGTTGAGTAGAATTCAACTAATATTGATTGATGGAGAGTCAAGTTAACAAGAGTGGTAATAAGTCGCGGAAAGTCAAAAGTGTTTGAGGGAAGGAAATGATACAGTTAAGGGACAACAAACAGAGAATTACATATCCAGTGTTAAGACTGATCAGGCCCATTGTAGATTTAATGTCTGAACAAACGTCTTTTGTATGCAGAGTTTGGGACTTAATGTGTAAACTGCCATTGCTTCTGTGGTTTGAGAAAGTTTGATTCGTAATCTTCTAGCAAGATTCCCACGTATCTTAGTGACTTGAAGTTGGTTTATGGGTTAGCTTAGTGTCCAGATTCTATCAGGTGTCTCAAGATACAGCTGTGGAGGGGAGATCCTTTTTTAAATTGAGTTATATCCTCCCCCCACCTCCTATTAAATTTCTACTCTCATTCAACTAAATTGAGAAGGATCATATAATACCAGCACATTATTACGTCAGATCTTGTTAGGTCAAAAGCCAAAATATTTGTATATTTGAATGATAATGGGGAAGATTTTTAGCTCAAGTGGATGATTTCGGGGTAGTTGTGTTCTCTAAGCTGAATGGCTTAGTTGAAAAACTTTCATTAACTTACTAGGCAACAAATATCCTCAGTGCATACCTCAATTTAATGCTAATTAAATTATGTACCTGAAGATTAGAATGCAAATTATAAAGGATGTGTTAGTAAGTGTTTTGGTGATTACGCTGAACATCTATTTTCAGAGTTAATTAAATTAAGCTATTTTGAGACTAGCAAGAACAAAAGTTTTCAAAGAATAAAATGGCACCATCATTGTTTATTTCGTTGGCTTCTCATCAACTGGCTGCTTACAGGCCAAAGTCATTATTAAGCGTATCCACAGAATCATTTCTAACATACTTGCACAGAGTTCATTTTTAAACAAAAATCAATCAATCAGTATATGCATACAGTAATAATGTACAATATCAAACACTATTCCGAACAATGATGATCATAGACAATGGAAATTTCCGACCTTACTTAATCCTACGAAAGAGAGGTGAAAATATCCACTCACCAGACAGGACAAAGAAAGATTGATAACTGCTTCTTTCTGAACGCATAAATCAGGTATCAGGCGCTTGATGTAGATGGTTTCAGTAAACTTGGGGAGAATTGAACTCTTTTGCCTATTGATAATTTCGATGAACGATCTTGCGACGTCCACCTCATGACCCGTGTTAAGGAGATTCCCGACAATGGCACTGTTTAGAGCATTTGTTCTCTTTAGACATCAGCTTTTTGGTACACGTTCAGAAAATCGTAGATATGACCTTCTTCTTTCTGTTCTTCCAATGTAACTGCTCCCGCAGATACATGTAAATTTGTATATACAATTGGAGTTAACATGAGAAGGATATCTATCGATTTTTGATTGCACCAAAGAGCAAGTTGTTGGATAGACGGGAACGAACTAAGCTGTAGGATAGGCTCTGGCTAGTAACGTACTCAATCTTCTGTTGATGGGAAGCGAACGAAATAACCAATGATGGTACCATTTTATCCTGCAAAAACTGTTGTTCTTGCTTTATTCAAATTCATTAAGGGGAATAAATGTATGAAACTAGGCTATTTGATTTATTCTTGAAGCCATTCAGGAATAAACTATGTAGCGTTGATCTGCAGAGGTTTTTGTATATCCTTCCCATGTATATTGGTAAATATAGTGAGATTCGACATTTTTTCTTTCAAATTCTATGAGGGTTTGTAAGGTAACATAAATTTCATTCCTTTTATAATAATGAGCTTGATTACAGAGTAAGTTCTACTGAGTATCACTTTGGGTCTTTGTTTAGTAACCAGACTCTATTAATCACCCTTGGATGGTAGTCATATAAATATCCCTTTTTGGGACTCATTTGACTAGTGAAACCCTTTTTTGACGCTTTCGTAACGTTAGCTAAACTTCACAGAATTACCACGATTATTGTTTTCACGGGTTCTGAGTGTAACATAGGGTTTCAACAGCGCACCTCTACTTAGTCCTATTCTCTGCAGTCCTCTTTGGCTGGCCGAACGGCTACTCGTAGTCTTTCAACTCCCCCTCACACGATCTTCTCAATGACATCCTCAGGCCACAGCCCAAATAATTGTTCCCCATTCGGGTAACACTCTATCAACATCCTGGCGTGCCATGTTATTCGGCAGTTTCCTCAGCGTGTGTCCGATCCATTTCCATTTTCTTCTACGTATTTTTTGAGGAATGGGTTTTTGTTTGGTTCGTTCCCAGAAATTCTTGTCGTTACTTCTTTCTGGCGATTCGATCTTCAATATGGAGTCAGAGAAGGCAGTTGTTGATAAAAGTGTGAAGTAGCCTTTTGGAAATGCTTCTTGTGACGCACTTGTCAAGTTCCTAACCCATTCAGAATCACTGACGGGCTTAAGCTTGGCGTTGATTATCTGCATTTTGTTGTTTATGTTGAGTGCAGAAGATTTCCAAACTGATTTCAGATTGACGAAGGTGTATTTTGCCTTTCCGATTTCTGGATGGCTTTGATATCTTCATCCGTGCCACCCACCTGTGGTTGAAACGATGCTTCCTAGATAATTGAAGGAATTGACCTCCTTCAAATTACTTCTACTGAAAGTGAATAGTGCTTGTTGTTGCTGCTGCCGGTTGGTTATCTTCATCACTTCTGTCTTCTCTATGTTCACCTGAAGTCTACAAGTCTTCGACTTTGTGTGACATTTGACATAAGTCATCCACGCGCGAAATCCAGATCTTCTAGAGTCCTCTTATCAGTCCAACGAATTCCTGTCTTCTCACTCCCCACAGTTTGACGCATAATCCATTCCACCACAAATAGGAATATCTTCTATAACGTTTACTGAATTTCAGAGAATATATAGTGAGAGTTCGCACCTACGCTTCAATGGTATCCTCAGAAGATATACGCTGAATACATCTGAACAAACACGTAATTAAAGTCTTTTTAAATTGAAGTAGATAGTAACTATGATTGTCTGGACACTGTATATAAGGGAGCTTCGTGCAGACGTGTTGTCTTACTGACGCATCATTGTTAACAAATTATAAGTACATCCAATGTGTCAATTATCTTCAGCAATGCTTTTTTCATTCCTGTGAGTCCCGATATGAAATTAGGGTAACAAACTTTGATAATAGGTGCGGTTGTCAGCCTCATGGTCACCCTTGCCTCTTTTCCAGGCTTTCGACTAGCTTGTAAACTAAATGAGAATTAGGAGTCTGTCGATCGGGAATCGAACGCATATTTCTTGAGTAGCCAGTAAGAAGTCTACCATTGGGTCACTGATGTACAATTGTACATTGCATTAATCGTATAGTGACATTTAGTTCAATCAAAAGAAAAATTCGGGTTGATCAATACGCCAAGTGCATTGGCATTAAAATCTTGCTTTATATACTTATGATGATTTCCCAAACAATTTTTCTTAAATGAAATGAAATTTAGTTATCACACTCTCACACCCTGTGTATTACTGACTTCTGAATAACTTCAATTTTCAAAGAAAATTGTAATGAATTCCTATCTTGAACTGTATAGCTTTTGCATCTTGAGAATTTCATTCATTGTACCACAAGAACCTAAAAGACCTGGATTTCGCGCGTGGATGATTTATGTCTGATGTCACACAAAATCGAAGACTTACAAGCGAAAACCGCCTAACTGGTCGAAGAAGCAGAAAAGACAGAACTGCAGGTGAACATAGACAAGACGGAGGTTATGAAAATAACCAACCAACAACAACAATAGCAGCAACATCCAGCGCCAATCACCATCAACGGGAGGGATTTGAAAGAGGTTAATTCATCCACTTATCTAGGGAGCATTGTATCAACTACAGGAGGAACGGACGAGGATGTCAAATCGAGAATCGGGAAGGCGAGAAACACATTCATCAACCTGAAAACCAATCTGGAAATCTTCGTCACTCCTCAACATCAACAACAAAATTCGGATTTTCAATACAAACGTCAAGTCAGTCAGTTCTTCTATACGGATGGATCAGAAACTTGGCGGGTCACAAAGAATATTTCCAACAGCCTGTTGCAGACCTTTATCAACAAATAACTGTCTTCTGGCTCTATACTGAAGATCAGATGGCCGGAAAGAATCACCAACAAGAAACAAACTATGGGAACAAACAAAACAAGAACCAATCGCTCAACAAATATGCAGGAGAAAGTGGAGATGGATTGGACACTCACTCGCTGAGGAGGCCGTTGGGTGACATCGCTTGTCAGGCCAATGCTCGAGTGGAACCCGAAAGGGAAGCGGCGAGTGGGTGACATGGAGGAGATCGTGTGAAGAGGAGTTGAAACAGTATGGACTAACATGGATGCAGGTGAAAAGTACAGCAGAAGACAGAAGCAAGTGGAGACGTGCAGTTGAAGCCCTATGTTCCACTAGGAACCCAAGGGAACAACAATAATAATAATAACCACAAGTTTGTCTGTGTAGTTAGTCATAATTCGGTTGGTTTGAAGTGATTCAGTCCTCTAAGCTGAGTTCAACTGGGTGCATTGCTAATGTGCTTAAACCCAAATGAGAAGAAACGGCCTCACTTTGTTTACATCACTTTGATATGGCTAACAAGCACTCCTATTTAAAGTGGGTAGTGGTTTCAAACTACTGATACTGACCAGTTAGTAGTATATGTCGTCATTCTAATCTTCATTTTCTTATTTTGCTTCTTTACAAAAGATACAAGTGATAACCAACCAATCTCTTCAAAAGAAGCCATTTATCACTTCCAATTCGATGAAGCAGCACCAGACCGTGATGACACCTACGGTGGATATTTAGCTGATGAAGTGATACAAGAAAAGCTGCCCGAAGACGATGGAATCAAGTTATCATTGAATGGTTTAAAGGCGAATAAATGGCATAGAGGTCGATGTGTTATCACTCTGCTACCAAAAGATGATGTTAATAAGACGATGAAAGAAGCAACTAAACGTTATACATCAAAGTATTTCTGGTCAGATATTAGACATAAAGGTGAAGTAAAAATTGAAGGATTCGATCCAAAGAAACAGATAGTAACGATTTCTGGTATTACCTACGGTAAGTTATTGTTTTTCGCAACTTTTATGATGTATCTGTGTAATTTAGAAGTTATTAGGAAGAGATATAGGGAAAATGAAAGCTGGGCAGTTTGATCTCAGTAGATTGTTCTTCGTTTCAACTATAGGCGACATATATATATATCCAAACCAAGTCAACTTTTAACAGTTTGAAAAAATTTGGGCATTGGGTATATGATATTCATTATAATAAAGGTTTTGTATTTCCCAATGAATGAAAGACAAAACGATATTATTGCTTTTACTAACGTTTCACTATTTAATGCCACTAATAGCTTTATCAAAGTATTATTAAACCGGAATTTAAAAAATCTCAGCATATATATATAACAATTTAATCATCTTTCCTCAGTATAGGGGCATTTTTCGTTTTCAGATTGGCCAATTGGAGAAGATATTGAAACCAGGTGTAGACTGTTGGGTTTGATAGGTGTGTAAAATTTTAAAAATAGCGTGTGTTTACATAATGAAACTGCTGATTTTGTCACTTCATGGGGGACGGGGGTGTCGTAACCAGGTCAGATTCTGTTTTAGTCCATGATTCCTATTCAGACAATTTGGATTCCACTTGATATGAAGTGCTTCTGATGATATCAGACGTTTTTTGTGATTTCTGAAATTTTTCTGGATTATTTCGATATTGTCAAAATCAATTTTGTGGCCTGATTCTATAGCGTGTAGACCGCTACCTATAACTGATGATTTTTCAAGCTTTTCTAGTTCAACTGGATTTCTCGGTGGTCTGACATGCTCTACAGTGTTCGCTTCTGATTTTGATTTCTCTCTGGCGATGCTTGTCCGAATATGATGTGACATACGTCGGACAGACATCTCGAGAAATCAAAATAAGAAAAAATGAGCACTGTAGGGCCATCTCTATTTGACCACCGAGAAATCCAGTTGAACTAGAAAAGCTTGAAAAATCATCAGTTATAGGTAGCGGTCTACACGCTATAGAATCAGGCCACAAAATTGATTTTGACAATATCGAAATAATCCAGAAAAATTTCAGAAATCACAAAAAACGTCTGATATCATCAGAAGCACTTCATATCAAGTGGAATCCAAATTGTCTGAATAGGAATCATGGACTAAAACAGAATCTGATCTGGTTACGACACCCCCTCCCCCATGAAGTGACAAAATCAACACGAATGTGATATGCAAGTTCACTATGTAAACACACAATGCTTTTATAATTTTACACACTGATCCAATTCAACAATCTACACTTGGTTTTGTTATCTTTACCAACTGGCCAACGTGACAACGAAAAATGACCCCATACTGGCGAACGATGATCAAGTTAGTAAACTTTGTTTTGATACCATAACAGATGTACTATTACCTTTGTTATTTGGTTTAGTGATCTTCATGGTTATTTTGACTTTCAATATGTCCTTTTAACTTGACCTTACTTGTCTATTTTCTCACCCATTAACTCTTTTTAAATTCCGGTTTAATAATACTTTGATAAAGCTATTAGTGGCATTAAATAGCGAAACGTCAGTAAAAACGACAAAATCGTTTTGTCTTTCATTCATTGAGAAATACAAAAACCTTTATTATAATGTATAGGCGACACAGGTGAGGATTTTACAGCCAAGTAAGGTCGGGAAAGCAAATCAGGCGTTCATCACTGTGGAATTGCTGTGAATCTGCACACAGTGGAGGAACAAGAGTAAAATTCTCAGTTTTAATGTGAAGTTAATGCTCCCATATGGAACAGGGAGTCGATGCGGTCATCACCAGAACCACTTCCAACAGGTTATTGAAACTCTAATCAACACAAGCCTTCCCTCAGTAGTCCAGGTCAAATGGCCAATTAGAAGGAAAATGAGACAGGCAACTGTGGCGGCAAACCAGCTGACTAGTTTCTTTCTAAAGCTTTCATCATCCTTCTCTAGACAACATCTTCAGCGCTAACTTCAGTGTGAAGTGGGCCCTTCGAAATATCCTATGGATATAATACTCCTCTTTTCTGAACATCTTGACTGCAGCTAACTGTATTTTGAGATATAACGTGGTAAAGCAGGCAGCCATATCATCGTCAGTACTTTAGAATCCTTATCAGTTAATGTAAGAAACATCTTTCAAATTGCTAATGCTTCTGAATCTCTGCTATTCGGTACTTAGTCAATAACCAACCTTCATGAACCCGGAAGATTTTAATTGGCTAACGATTAACGGTGAGTGGAATTCACAGTGTAATAATTAGTTATTAGGTTACAATTTAAACAGTTCGAAGAGGTGAAATTTCCTTTGGAAACCAAATTACAATAGGAGGTGACTTTGACCTGGCTAGCAAGCACTACTAGCTGATGTAAATGGTACACAATCAGTCATCCCACCCATTTTGAAAGAGGGTGGATTTGTATGGAAGTTAGGACGTTGTATTTGCTTATCTAACTCTCACGGTAAATTACCACTGCCTATGATAGAGAAGAGACCTCGAAGTGTGTACAAAATAGACTTGAGTCATGTGGAACTGAATAATATCGGCATCTAAGGTTTTTATAACTTAAGATACTGTTTAAAATGAGTAGTCTTTAGCTACCTTTATCGATTAGTTGACTGTTTGGCAGATAATATTTAGGAATACTGACTGTTTGGTTTCCAAAAAGTAATCAACTAGAACCACTCAAATGCCATTGAAGTTAACTGTCATTTTCATCAAACATTGAGAATTTAGGAAAATAGTTGTATTCATTTGTATACGTAAATTACAACGTAGAACAGAAGTGCAGCATGTCAAGTTACCACACTTCTTGTAGCACGGAAGTGTTATAATGAACAGAAATGTACGGAAGAAGGGATAATTAGATGGGAAAAATACTCGCCGAAGACATTGGCTAGTGGTCACGCCGTATCACGAATTGGCAGAAGTTGGAATCCATGGGTTGGCCATTAGGTCGGATCCCAATGGCTTAACGGTCTACGAGCTCGCCTTGTAATTGAAAGGTCCTTGGTTCGAGCCCTGTTGGTGGGTACGTACTGATGAAGAGTCCCAAGCTCTAGGATGAAACAGCTGTCCAGTACTCCCAGCTGGTTTTCCAACGGTTCTCCAACCGATGTCAGCTCATCATGAAATCCCCTAAACAAATGGGAGAAACATGAGGAATTAGTAGATCTGAGAGATTAGATAAAAGGGTGAATGCATCTACACTACTGAGAACGATTTTGAGCCATATCACCGATGATACCTGAGTTAACTTTTCACCTGTGTTCATACAAAGTGAAACTTTGCTTAGCCTACATTAATTTATCAGTGTACCTTACAAGTACACGTAAGCAATGCTCTGTTTTACATTTTATCCGTAAACATGTTTGATATCGAACTGCGGAATATGGAGAATTGTTTCGTAAACTGTTGAAAGAAACGAAACATTTACAATCCTTTTTACACTTACCAAACTTCACACAAAACTACACAAAAAAGAATTAGTGTAGGGCTAAGCACCTTCCCAGAAAACTTAAATCTTACTGTGTACATTAAGAGAAGAAGCTTCCGCTTCAAAATTAATTTCCTGACTGTTAACCCATTCATTTCTTTATTAACTGTATTCAGAAATATATGGAGAACTATAGAAAAACTAAGAGTAGCAATAAAAGTTACGAAAATAACGAAAATTACATAGAATTCAAAGCCTCTGTAGCACTGCCATATAAAGAAGGGACGTCAGAGGTCTTACGTAGAATTCTCAATGAGACTGGAATTAGAGTGGTATTTAAACCAACCAACCAACCAACTCTTTCTCTCACAGATAAACTTTGTCGGCCTAAGGACCCATGTAATGACTGCGAGGTCAGTTATATAGATCAGTCAAACTAGTAGATCGGGGTCAACTAGATCATTGGAAAATAAACATTTAGCTAGACCTAGAATAATTGACCTCCAGGTAAGTTAAATAACCTAGAAAAATGCTCAGCCATTGCATTACATTCACTTGCATGTAATCACAAAACAGGGTGGATGGGACGGTGTGAGGGTATTAAAAAGTAATATAGTTAGGTAGGGCGAGGGACAGGGAGGTTAACCACTGGAGCTTTGTTTATCGACTCAACACTGCTGCACTTGTGCAATCGGAATGATGCAACGCCGCCTATACCGGTGTTATGGAAAGCGGCAAAAAAGGGAAGTTGGATAGACAGAAAGAGAGAAAATATATACAAGACAGTTTATGAAACTGTGTGACTAAATTGATATGGTTATGAGCAGCAATAATTTATGCTCGAAACCTTGTCATCCAGTTATTAATACTGCATCGTCACTGTGTGATTATTAAAATAAACTTATCTAAAATGGAATTACATCCTACCACCACAGTGCCCAAGTTCTACGCTTACATTAATTCACTAACTTTTATTTGAATATATGTATATATATCTGTTTGCAGATCCTAATGTTCTTGTCAAAGTTCATGGGACAAATCCAAACGATACTATAACATTGAAACCTGGAGCTAATGTCGAACTGAATTGTTTTGCACTTGGTAAGATCAAAATTTTATTCATCATATAATTAATGATTACTTTTAATAATAATATTTTAATAAATATAATTCAATGATCATGACATGTAGTCTGGAATAGCATACTGCTTGTACCAAAGAGATGTTACCTGATGCTGGAGACCAGCTACTCTCACATTGCTTGAGAGATTTTAAACTTATTTACCTTTTAACCTGAGATAAAAATCACATGGACTCCTGTTGGATGACCGTCCATTACTCGGTCTCACCCGCCTTAATTTGATGGCCAGACTGCTCCGAATGCCGCCCACCTAACAAAGGAAGAATATATGATATGACCCTGTTCTATTGAGAATTCGTGACCATTGGGGTTCATCCAGTCGGGAGTGAAGATGGAGTTCCCACCGACGACATTGGTTGGTGGTCGCACTAATTGCATCACGAATTGGTAGAAGTTAGAATTCATGGGCTAGCCAATGAATTGGGTCCTAGTGGCTAAATGGTATACGAGCTTGCCTAGTATCCGGAAGGCCCTGGGTTCGAAACCCAGTGGGTCTGTACTGCTGATGAATCACAAACTAGGATGAAACAGCTTTCAATACTCACTAATCGGTTTTCCAGTGGTTCTCTAACTGATTTCAATCCGTGGTCTAACCTGAAGGAAACAAGATAATTAGAAATTGTAAGAATGTACACCTTCAGCAAAGTACAACCCTCATACTTCCGTTTGTTCAAGCACCAATTTTCTTCTGACCTCTGCTTTGAACTCAAGAATTAAAACAAAAAACCGAAGCGTCATCGATTCCAAATATTTCTTTGATTTCATGCAGTAATAATACATGAACTCAATATAAACAACTTTCCGTACACTTAATATGATGTCTGATTTTGTGTAGGTAGTGTACAAGTTAAACTTTAAGCGCCACAGACTACCAATGGAGTGCGACCCCACCAACGACCTTGAAACACTCACTGAGCGAGTCAGTGAAACCTGGAAAATAATGTTGTCATCATCAGTAAAATACGCCAATCGAAGTGGTATGTTACTAAATGGGATATCTGTCAAGTTTTTAGATTAGGTTTGAGAAAGATTAAATTACTGTTTAAGCCAAGGACAAGTTAGGGTAAGGTTAACCTAATAAAGGCGACATTAGTGTTGGTTCTAGTAAGATTACAGTTAGTTTAGGGATATTTTCACGTTAGGGTTAGGTTCAGGAACGATTAGGATTATTGTTAGGATTAGAACACCTAAATAATTACATGCATAGAATGTGGTCAAATCACTCTGTCGATATAAGAATAGAACTTGTGCACTGTGGTAGAGTATTATTCCATTGTGGATAACATTTATTTTGATAAAGTCTCACAGTGTTATACAATAATATTTACTGATGACCACGTTTTGAGCACAATTTATTGCTCAGGAAATATTTCTTTATTACAATATGAGACTTTATCAAAATAAATTTTACCCATAATGGAATTATACTCTGTTGATACTCCAACCTAAGACTGACAGCCAACGACTAGCATGCGTTCAAGGTCACTGGAGCGTTCGCACTCCTGGGACGCTGTTGTTGAACTTCACCCTATTTTTATCACATGTGAGAGCAAGGTATCCACTGTAACATTTTTCAAAAATGTATGTATTCCATACATGAAAATGTCTCCTTCATGTGATTGATGCGTTCCAGGTCATTCGCTGATTGGTAGTTACTGGTGCTTAAAGTTTAACTTTGCCCCGGAACGATAACTAGGCCGGATGTTCAAGATAATAAGGTTAAGACTACTTGACAGGGATAAGAGCAATAATCGATTAACGATTAATGATCCTGACTTAGTTCACACATTATACTCGTATCAGGACATTATTGGATTTCGTGTTCATCTGGCCTTATTATGAGATAATGTATTCAATCAGAGTAGCCAATATGGCCCTACAGGAGGTCAACCACGAGCTGGAATAGCTCAATGATAACTTCTTTGACTACAACAATGTGTGATTCAGGTTGGAATCTCAGAGTGGAGATGAGTTCCTTCAAAAATGAGGATAAGTCTTGCAGACTGGTGACTGCTGACAAGGCCCAAGGTCTCCTGCTGATTGCCTCCAAATATCTAACAACAATTCAGAGTGTACAGTGATGGCGAGCCATCTAGTGTGGTGACCATATTGCAGACTTGACTGATAGAATTCGGTCTACACCAAACATAAGGTTGGGCTCAGAAACTAGTTAGTATCCACTTAGTCACTGGAGTCATTAAGAGAAACCAAGATTCACCGTCGTTCTCAGATCCAGTAGTAACCAAGGTTAGTCAGAAAGTAATCTAATCAGCTACCTTTGACTGCTGAGTCGGGGCATTTGTATGTCAGAAGGAATGAACGTCCCACCTGGTAAAGGCTGTAACTTTCTGAAGTTTGGAAAAGCGGATACTGTGTTGAAGTCCCTCTGTGGGACCACCAGTGCTCATTGGGGATGCAGGTGCGTCTGTTGTATGAAACCAGATAAACAGATATCTACTGTGAGACATCTTTAGGTCTAGACTGACGATGAACAGAAGTGTTAATTCCTTTTCCGAGGCATAAACACTTTTTTCCCTTATTACATTTTAACACGTTAAACAAGTCATATTGTTCACAAATTTTTCCTTTTTTAGAAACTACAACTGGTGAACCAATTAAAGGAATGAATTATGCCTGGGAATTCCGCACCTATGATAATCAACCAATCCATACAAATAGATTAGCTGATCAAATATTATCTGGTACAGATGTATCAGAGAATGGACAAAAGATTCATGTCGAAGGTTACCGGTCAACTGGTGAAGGCATACGAATAAGGTGTTTAGCTAAAGGAACTGATAAAGTTGTGAATACTATTCGTAAAGGTCAGGTGTATGCTTCACCAATTTATACATTTGAAACAATTAAGGGAGTGGATGAAGTTAAAACAGACTTGGAAGGTGAAAGAAGACGTTATGGTAAGTTATTTATTTTCTTGCATCATATATGTCTACTGTTTAACATATGTTTTCTTTCCTACGGGTTCCAGGTGGAATACAAGACACTGGTGTTGTTCTTACGTGGTGGAGCTGCTACTCTGCTTTCCAATCAGCCGTTTGTTATACTGGGCTTACTAGAGGATAAGCGCGATTTAGGAGTATGCCGATCGAGTATCGAACAGTATTTTACGTCAGAAAGTTGACAAGTGTTGCCTAGCAACCGGTAATCTTTAGTACTTAATTTTATTACGAAGACAAACATCAAGCCCCATCAGGTAACACTACGAAAACATCTACTATGCCTCATGTTAGACTCAATAAGATAGCCGGGAGATGCATATAGATGGGAAGAGAGCTGGCTGAATTAGGGTTGGTGTTTTCTGAGTACCCAGTAATCTAAGGGATTGAGTTTGTGGGTTTAAATGCCAGCCACTTTTATTCCTGCATTGTTAAGAATTCTGCGTGAGGTTTCTGAGGTTCCTTCCTTGCATGGAAGTACTACTGATGATTTAGATTCCTTAATGTTGGTGTTGTCAGTATCCTGAGCATGTTTGATGTTCATGTCGTCATTAATATTTCTGTTATTATTATCACTATCTCTACTATCATTATTTATTTTATTTTTACATTTCCCTGCATACTTTCTGATTAATTTATCAGGGTAATTATTAAGTTTCGAAGCTTTTCTTATATGCCTCATTTCCTATCTTAGATTTTCCTTGATACTACTTAGTTTTTGTGCTCTATCACTTAAACATTTCACCAATCCTATTTTTACTGACATAGGATGGGATGATTGGAAGTCCAAATATCTGTTTGAGTGTGTGGGTTTCCTGTAAACACTAGTGTTTAACTTCCCATCTTCTTTCCTTTTTACGCTATAGTCTAACATTGGAAGCTCCCCTTCCTGACTTTCCAATTCATAAGTGAATTGATGAATTGCCTCCACCTTCGAGTTAATGTGTCCGAAAAATCTATCTATATATCCTGTGTTCTAAGTACAGTGAGTATGTCATCTTTATACCTCCATTATACATTTGGTTGTGGGGCCGAACGTTTCAGTCGCTATGTTTTCCCATCTATCCATGAATATATCTGCCACAATCGGGGATATTGGTGACTCCATGGCAACTCCCTCAGGTGCAAATCAGCTTCAATGCTGACTCTCTAGTACGTCGTAAAGAATCAGAACGTTCCATCTCTAAGTACCTAAATCCCCATGAAATGGGATTCTCAAAAGAGTAATGTATTTATATATATATATGTATATACGTACACCACTGTACAGCTAGATAATAAATTTGTTGAAGGTAGTCTCTTTGCTCAGTACTGTCTTCTTAAAGTAATAATAACCGAAATAAGATTGTACACACTGTCGTCTAATAGCAATGAGATAATAAATTGTAAAGTTAAAAATGAGATTTGCAATTATATCACAAAGATAAGTGTACAGTGAAAGGTTTTTCGGTTCTCCTAACACCCAAAATTACCCTCGTTGTAAATGAGTCGAAGTCGGAGGCTATGAGAGGAGAGAGAGGCTTAATAGATGTATTTCGAATACGACTACTTATACCATTGAGTTGGTGGCACAGCGGTAGAATGCTTGCCAACCACGCCTCATGTGGTTCGGGGTTCGATCTCCGGCCACCAACGCACTCCTTTACCTCGCATACCCAGTAATAAGACTGATAAAGAGGGAAGATTGGGCATGAGGCTAGCAAACCCATCTCGTGAAAAATAAAAAACCAATGCTACTGAAACTTCAAGCCTCCAGCTTGAAGGTGCCCTATGTTCCACTGGGGACGTAAAGGAATAAAATAAAAAATGGAACAATAACTTCTACCACACATACCAGTCATGGGCTTATAAACTTGAGAAAGTGGGCAGACACCTTGTGTAGAATGATGAAGGTCCAGTTTTTCTCAGTCTGCTGGTCCATTTCAACTAGGTATGTCATTGTATTGATCCTGATAGATCTCACTTAACCTTTTCATAACCAAGTTGAATAATACTCAAAAACGCGAAGGTTGACTTGGCCAGGTGTTTTTCTACGCATCCAACTATTTCCAGAGTAGTATTTTAATTTTTTACTTTACATTGGAATAACCAAAATTGTTATCGGATCCTTCACAAGGGATAGTGAATTGTGTACACAGCGTTGTAGTGAAATAGACTTTAGTTTAAATTTTCCTCGGTTTCGATGCCAATGGTTTAACGGCAACATCTTCTTTGAACATGAAGCTAAGATGATTATTTTACGCCATCAACAAGCCCGCCTTTCTAAGTGCTTTGATTATCATTCGCGATAACCCATTCTCGTCTAATGACGAATTCTGAACCATCCTGATTTCATCATTCATATTATCGACTGTATAGACTTTCATGGTGGAAAACATCAGAAAGTTGATGGAATCCCATTTATGTGACAGAGGAATAACTGATTTGACGTTTTTGTGTGTATTGAACAACCTATGGTATCTGATAAAATATTTCCTGCACAGGAGATTTAGAGACACAAGTATATAGAAAATCAACGCATACAGATCAAATACTCAACTATACTAGCAATAATCCAGTTACTCACAAACGAAATTGTGTGCAGACATTGTTTAAAAGAGTTCAGACACATTGTAGCACTCCAGAGTTGAAAAGAATGGAAGAAAAATACCTACTAATGGTCTTCAAAAAGAATGGTTATCCACAAAATTTCATCAAAAAGTGTTTAAAGTCGAATCAAAACACCAACAAGGAACCATCATCAAAGACTACAAGAAAATTTATCCTACCATACATAAGAAATATCTCTGAAATAGCAGCTAGAATACTGAAACCGTTTGATATAGATATAACACACAAACCAGTCAAATCGCTTAATTTGATATTATGCAAACCAAAAGATCCAACAGAAAAAGAGGATAAAATTAATACCATTTACAAAAATAAATTGTATGAACTGCAACAAGCATTACATCGGACAAAGTGGGCGTCCCTTTCGAATTAGAATCCAAGAACACAAATCAGCCGTGAAAAGACACGATTTGTATTCTTTAGTATCAATGCATATAGACAATTATGGTCATCAATTTGATTGGGATAATGTCGAAATCTTAGACAGAGTAAACACCATAAGTGCAGTCAAGGAATTCCTAGAAGCCTCGTACTCAAACGAAAATGCAATTGACAAACACGTTAATATAAACGAAATATACCAGCTAATAAAAAGTAAATCGTCTGACCAGAAAGTTTAAAATCCAAGCCAATAGAAAATGATCAATACATATGTAAAGATGGCTCCCAGGAGACGCAATTATATCACTCATGAAGAAATTTAAATCATTTCACTTTGTGCTAAATATGGAGCTGAAGATGTTGTCCAGAAGGACGACGAAAGCTTTGTAACTAAACCAACCAGCTCAGAGAACACTATTAATTGCAACACTTTGGTCTTTCTGATACACAAACATTAAGATATGATAAACAGTTGCCTTTCTCTTTTTCGCAGGTGAATGTGGTGAGTGAATGAACTGTATTCAATGCTTCAAAAAGAACCTCAGCATTGGTGTTATTGTTATATTTTTCTCTCATTGAGCTGCATTCCAAGTAGAGCGTAGGAGCTCATGCTTGAGCTCTGAGTTATCAGTAGTGATAATGATATTGTGGGATTGTTAGCTTCACGCCATTTATTGGGTTTACTGTCGCCATAATAAGTTTGAGAGAGATTTGTCAGGGAATAGAATCACGACGGCGTCCATGATTGGTGAGCAGTCTAATAGTGAACTATGAACTCACGTTTCTGTTATTTACAGAAAATGCTTTTTATTCCTTCACGTTCCCAGTGGAACATAGGGTGCCTTCAAGCTGAAGGATCGAACCCCGGACCACATGAGGCGTGGCTGGCGAGCATTCTACCGCTGTGCCACCAACGCACTACAACAGAAATAGAGTTTGTTAATTTCACTTTTCAGTTACACATTTTCGAGTTTTGCCATTACCATATTGGCTCAAAGAGTACCCAAGAGGGGGAATGTATTGATATACCCACTACTTGACAGCGCATTCCGCTAAAATTGTTTTCCACAATTACTGTAATGAAGATATTCACATTGCATAACTAACTTGAAAGTGAAGAATTTGTTCTTTTCATTTTGAAATGCGAAAATAATCCCAACAAAAATTTTATTCTCATTTGGAAATTTTTTATTCTTTCAGAACCCAGTGATCTACATCCTGAAGTAATTGGCTTAAATGCAGACGGTACATTGACGGCTAAGGAAGGTGAAGACGTTAAACTTCAATGCCAAGTTATTGGTAAGTTTCTGTACTAAACTTTAAGGGGTTAATTACATCACCCCCCCCATTATTTCTGATTTACCTATTGAATTTTATGATGAGAATAATAATAAAAAGCTAGGCATAAGAAAGTTCAAAGTATAAGCGTTACACACCAGGCTGCTGAGTTGAATTGATATAAGGATAACACTTGGGTACTGTGGTGGTAGAGTATAATTCCATTATGGATAAGATTTTATTTTGATTAAATCACACAGTGTTGTTATACAGTAATATTTACTGATGACCAAGTTTCGAGCACAATTTATTAATGCTCATAATCATATCAATTCACTCACACAACTTCCTTGCTTCATTTATATACATGAGTAAAAAGTGATGATTAGACGTTTGAATAAAATCAGTATAAGATAAAGTACATTCAGAAATAATAATATTAGTGTTATCATCCACTGGGACCTGATTCAATAGCAAGCCCATAAATTCTAACTTCTACCAATTTGTGATTTAGCGCAACCAGCAACCATTGTCATCAGGGGGGACTCCATCCTCACCCCTGACTGGATGGACCTCACTGTTCCCGACTTCTCACTAGAACTCCAGGAAACTCTGTCCTGTAGTACGTCTAAGTGATATCAATCCGTGGTCGAACTCGTATAAACAAATCTAATCCTTACAAACCAAACTCTTGAAAAACTGATCTGATGTTCGCTAATGACTTGCTACAGGATGGAGTTTCCTGGAGTTCTAGTGTGAATTCATGACCAGTGAGGTCCATCCAGTCACGTGTGTGGATGGATGCCCCACCAACGACATTGGTTGGTGGTCGCGCTAAATCACAAATTGGTAGAAGTTAGAATTCATGGGACATTGAATCGGGTCCCAGTGGTTGAATGGTATACGAGCTTGCCGTGAAACCGGAAGGTCCTGGGTTCAGATCCCAGTGGGTGCGTACTGCTGATGATTCCCATACTAGGATTAAACAACTGTCCAGTGCTCCCTGCCTGTTTTCAATGGTTCTGTAACTGATATCAATCCGTGATCAACTCTAAAATCTGACAACAGTTTACCTGTACACACATACACATACCACTGTAAACCGCACACACACATATTTTCCATGACCATGAACTTTTAGACACGAAAATCACAAAAATTCTCATGAAAAATACATTCTTTATAAATTATTTAAATTAATCCCAACGTGTTAAGAAAATCAAAACAAGATTTTTCTGAACGTTTCGCTGTGTAAGCCACAGCTTCTTCAGCAGATTCATTCGGATTTTTATTAATCATCAAAATATATAGTCAAAAAATTTTTTTTACATAAACTGAAGTCAGTTTATTTGAAGGTCATTTGTCCATGGACATTTTTACCAATAGAAAATATATAAGCAGTCATCAGTATATTTGTAATGACTAATGTCAAATTGTTGTTGTGTTCACTCTTCTATAGTTGATTTGTATAGATTAGTTTTGTATGAGTGTGTGTGTGTGTATGTATGTTATTTGTCATGTGGAAAATACGTGAATTCATATATGATAAACATGATCCTATATGTTTTAAAAGGTCATGGAGGCTCATAGAGTGCTGATTGATTTTTTCATTTGTCTTGCTTCATAAGAGTTTGCCATATAGGTGATAAGTCTATCCCATCTTTCGTATTCACCGCATTCGATGTGATTAAAATGTTCAAGTCTTCAGAGGTCAACCTTACTTTATGTGTTGAATGAAATCCTCTTTCAAGAATTTCGACATTGTCGAAATCAATCTTATGTCCGCTGTCTAGCATGCATTGCTATAGCCGATCTTTTTTCTAGACTTTTTAGTTCTACTTCATTTCTAGGTGGACGTTTCGTGCATAGTCTATGTTCATTCACTCTGATCTTCATCTGCCTACTGCTCTCCTCTATATCGCATGCATCACATTCTGAACACATTCGTAACACCTACGGCCTGGAAACCTATAAAAACACATTCTGTTTAAAGTGCTTAACAAAAGTAGACTAATTCATATGAACTGTGATCAAGATTTGACCGGATAGTTGCAAAATAATTGAGCGTTGAGTGAGAAGTAGACATTTTTAAATTTATATTTGTAATGTCTCAGCGAAATTGAAATGATTAAATATATATAAACATACTATTTTATTTATTATACATGCTGATGACTGTTGCATGACTCATGATTGGACAAAGTTTAAAAACATGAGTTGTTCCTTTTATATATAAACCTCTTATTTTAATTCGACTAATTTCCCTGAAGAAGTTCGGACCAGATTGCCGAACGAAACGTTGGAATTAATCATTTCAATTTCGCTGAGATATTACAAATATAAATTTAAAAAAGTATGTGTTGAATGAAATCCTCTTTCAAGAATTTCGACATTGTCGAAATCAATCTTATGTCCGCTGTCTAGCATGCATTGCTATAGCCGATCTTTTTTCTAGACTTTTTAGTTCTACTTCATTTCTAGGTGGACGTTTCGTGCATAGTCTATGTTCATTCACTCTGATCTTCATCTGCCTACTGCTCTCCTCTATATCGCATGCATCACATTCTGAACACATTCGTAACACCTACGGCCTGGAAACCTATAAAAACACATTCTGTTTAAAGTGCTTAACAAAAGTAGACTAATTCATATGAACTGTGATCAAGATTTGACCGGATAGTTGCAAAATAATTGAGCGTTGAGTGAGAAGTAGACATTTTTAAATTTATATTTGTAATGTCTCAGCGAAATTGAAATGATTAAATATATATAAACATACTATTTTATTTATTATACATGCTGATGACTGTTGCATGACTCATGATTGGACAAAGTTTAAAAACATGAGTTGTTCCTTTTATATATAAACCTCTTATTTTAATTCGACTAATTTCCCTGAAGAAGTTCGGACCAGATTGCCGAACGAAACGTTGGAATTAATCATTTCAATTTCGCTGAGATATTACAAATATAAATTTAAAAAAGTAGACTAATATTTGTATGTCTGAGGTCAAATTTTGATCACAGCTCATACAATTTGTTTATTATACATGTTGATGTCTGTTTCATGACTTATATGATTGGATAAATTTTTAAAAAAAAACAAGAGATGCCCCCCTTTTTGTATACAAACCTCTGTTATGCTAATTTTGATTAAATTCCTTGAGAAAGTTCGGACCAGTTTGCCGAACGTAGGAAACGGTGGGATTATTCATTTCAAATTCGCTGAAATTTTACAAATATAATTTTTACAAATTACAAAGATAGTTGAGAAATCCAAGTAGGTATCAATACTCTGATCAGATTGTTCAAGAGGGATTTTTCAACCAGATATTCCGTTGCAGCTACATGTCAACGTCCCTTCCATATTAACAACTTTGCATTGAAATATTAAAATGAGAATGTCCGAATTAATTTGTGCTAAATAGTTTTCGAAAGAAAAATAAATTTATTTAATTCACTTTTGGATTTTCCGATTGATTGATTCGACCGAAGCGCTCGATCTCAGGTTGACATATCAGTTACATCCACTGACGAGTCCGAGAAAGGACGAAATGTGCATCCTGGATTCCACCATCATCCACCAATTAACTTCTAGAAATAAATTTACCCGGAATCTTTATTGAATGTCTTTTATGAAACCAATTCATTCAGAGAAAATAGGTCAATACTTTCCATGAGCACTATAAGTTCATATTTTTGTGTTGAATACTATCATGATGTTTGTTGTTAAGTCTTGCAAGTTGACTGTTTCGAAAGTACATCCGATGTTTACTGGGATATCATGTTTAAACTCTTTGCTGTTTTTATAAAATTATATTTGTAAAATCTCAGCGAAATTGAAATGATTAATTCCAACGTTTCGTTCGGCAATCTGGTCCGAACTTCTTCAGGGAAATTAATCGAAATTGACATAGCAGAGGTTTCAAATGAACTGTCGTCAAGATGTGAAAGAATAGTTCTAAAATATTTGGGGGCCGAGTGAGAAGTAGACATTTGTAAAAAATTATATTTGTAATATATCAGCGATATTGAAATGAGTAATTCCAACGTTTCGTTCGGCAACAAAAGATGTGCCTTTTATATATAAAACCTCTGTTATGTTAATTTTGATTAATTTCCCTGAAGAAGTTCGGACCAGATTGCCGAACGAAACGTTGGAATTAATCATTTCAATTTCGCTGAGATTTTACAAATATAATTTTTTACAAATAACAGAGGTTTATATATAAAAAGAACAACTCATGTTTTTTAAACTTTGTCCAATCATGAGTCATGCAACAGTCATCAACATGTATAATAAATAAATAAATAAAATAGTATGTTTATAGATAAAAGTACATCTCTTGTTTTAAATTGTTTGTCCTGTCAGGACAAGAGTTGTTCCTTATATGTATAAACCTCTGTTATGTTAATTTCGATTAATTTCCCTGAAGAAGTTCGGACTAGATTGCCGAACGAAACGTTGGAATTACTCATTTCAATCTCGCTGAGATTATACAAATATAATTTTTCAAAAATGTCTACTTCTCACTCAGCGCTCAATTATTTTGCAACTATCCGGTCAAATCTTGATCATAGTTCATATCAATCTTTCCTGTTTTCTTACTAATGAAGTCTTCAACTTGTCAAGTCTGGGTTAAATTAAAAAGAAACATAAATCAAAATTCAATACAGATTTCTTCATGAATGTACATCGGTTAGATAATATTCGAAAAGCAAGAGGTGCTGGATAGCTAGTTCATTCTAGTTTTGTACTCATCATTAGTGTCCAACCATGACCGCACTAGGGATCAAATCCAGAGATCAATAAATTTCAACCAAGTATCTGAATGGAATACAGGATGGTACTGTCACATGAATATCCAGGGTTCTACCCAAGCTGACATCTTGGCTACGCATTGCTGAAGAGTCCGGAAATGGGACGAAACCACTGTCCAATATTCCATAGTTTTCAGTGATCATTTGCTTAGTGTTGAATCCAATCAGGTGTATTGATTTGGAATATTATACACCCAGAAATATTTTATTGTCTGTTCTGAGTTAATTCTTACTATGTTCACCATTTTTCTTTTATCAACAGATTCATCAACTGGTGTTCCAATAGAAGATGAAAAATTCAATGTTGGTTGGACAATAGCCTCTGGACCAGATGGACAACCGATCCAGTTGAAAGATTTAGCTGAAACAGTCACATTTAATCATGGTGAAATGACATTGAAGGGTTTGAATCCAACTAAGCCGAAATCTGGTGGTTTAAGAGGTTATTGTACCCTCTACTTAGATGAACAAAATCTTTTAACACCAAGCAAGTATGAAAATCAAACAGTTGTATTGAATTCTAATGTATTTGTTATACATGTGGATGCAAAACACCCGGAGAGTCAAATTCAACCGGATAAAGCTGAAGAACAGACACCATTCACACAATGGATACCAGGAAAAGGTGGGTTATGTTTAATGCACTGAGTTACATATGTATATGTGACAAACTGACTCGGCGATGTTGAACAGAATTAACAATAGTCATCAAACTGTACATCTCAATTTTAATATTTAACTATTCTTTACAGTATAGGCTTGAAAACTCAGTCTAGTCGTTCATATTCTGATTGTTTATAAAAGCGTTTTATTACATAACCAGATGGATTTTGTCAGGAAGTGATATCACTGTGAGAACCACTGAAAAGCAGAGATCAATAAATATCCGTTTATTCCAGCATTGGTTACAGGATTCATCATGAGCTGAGATCTGTTACAGAACCATTAGAAAACTTGTGAGTACTGGACACCTGTTTCGTGCTAGTTTGGGTGGGTGCTTACTGATGGAGAGTCCCTAACTAGGACGAAATAGCTGTCCAGTACTCCCAGCTGGTTTTCCAATGGTTCTCTAACCGATGTCAGCTCATGATGAAATCCTGTAACCAGTCAGTCAAATCTCTACAAACCAATACTTGAATATCAATGAGATGCTCACCAACGACTGGTCGTAATCAGGTAGGTAGTTACCTTGGGTTCTAGTGGGAAGTCGTGCCCGGCAGTGAGGTACTGCAGGTCAGATGTGAGGACAAATACTCGCCAAAGATATTGGTTAGTGGTCACGCAATGTTTAGAAGTGGGTCGGCAGGGGATCACACCTTAGACAATTTGCGTGTTTGGCGAGCGTTCTATTGATGCAACCACTGGCTGGGCATTTATACATGAATAGAACATCGGGCGGTGCAACCACTCGACAGCTTCCTCCCTCTAATGACCAAAACTGAACCTTTACCAGATAGAAGACTGACTATTTATCTCTAACTCATCTTCCATAAACACAGCAAGTTATAGGTTAAACACGTCATGAAACAGTCGTGGTTATGCACCACTAGTTATGTTCTAGAAGTGATTCGTTAAGTGATACTGTAACATTGAGAGTTGTGTAGCGTGGCGCAATGCACTGTAGTCTCAGTTAGAACACCATTATTTACTGCGAATGTATGTACATCCAGCCGAGGAATCCCCAACAGGAAGCAGTTCGCAATCTTGAGCCCACTGCCAGTCAGCATCGGCCAATAGAAAATAATCAGGACAATGAGATAGAAGAGGCCTACACAGTTGTTCAGCAATATTTCTTGAAGAATAAAACTTATCCATTCCACTGATGAATAAAAGAGAACAAGGAGTTTTCTCAGTCTGAAGAAATATTTCCTTTCAAAGACTTCATTCTGAAGAAACTGTAGAGTCGTACTTAGATTACGTAAGAAAGCATCAAGTGGCGCAAAAAATTACCTAGTCAATATACTTATGATAAGAATGACTAACATGATGTTTAATGGCGTAGAGCCGAAGTGAATGAATCACAGAATTACAAAGGATTATTAAGGAAAGGAATCGGTTTAAAGTGGATCATTTGCAGCAAAAATAAAGTAAAGTGGAATAATCATCGGCAGTACGCCTCCACTGGAGTCCGAACCCAGGACCTTCTCGTAAAAACAAAACTAACCCTTAAAAACCAACTAAAGAAAATTAATCTGATGCTCGCTAGGGACTTGCTACAGGATGGAGATCCCTGGAGTTCTAGTGAGAAGTTGTGACCAGGGAGGTTCATCCAGTCAAGTCTGATGATGGATGTCCCACCGACGACATTGGTTGGGGTCGCGCTAAAATCTCGAATCGGCAGAAGTCAGAATTCATGCACTAGCCATTGAATCGGGTCCCAGTGGCTGAATAGTATACCAGGTGCCTTGTAACCGGAAGGTCTCGAGTTCGAGCCATGTTGGTGGGTGCGTACTGCCGATGATTCTCAAACTAGGATGAAACAGCTGACTATCCGTTACTCCCTGGTTTTCAATGTTTCCCTAACTGATATCAATCCATGCTCAACTCGTCAAAAACAAAACTAATCCTTACAAACCAACTATAGAAAAGTGGAATAAAACTGACAACGAGAAAAAACTTTGGTGTGACCATTGGAAAGGGAGGTGTTTAGCAAAATTTTTTTGAATACATAGTTTGTATTTTCATTCACGGATGCCTAGCACTTAGATTAAATATAAGTGATGCGAGCATAACATTTCAAAGTGGCTAAACTTACTCTTGTACATAGAAGATAAATCAAGTAGAGTTTACTAACCCTAACTTAAAAAGGTGTTCACACTGTGTTCACCTTTCATCGACCAAACTAGATATTGGCTAGAGGACGAAACAACTGTCCAGTACTCCGTGGTGGTTTTCCAATGGTTCTCTAACCGATATCAGCTCATGATGAAATCCTCCAACCAATCAAACAATAATCTCTACAAAACCAATACCAAAATTAATCTGATGCTCACTAGCGACTGGCCATATTCAGGCAGTTAACCTGGAGTTCTAGTGCGAAGCCGTGACCAGTAAGGTACAGCAGCTTAAGGGTGAGACAGTAACTTATCGAAGAAGACATTGGCTAGTGGCCGCGTTATGTTGTGAATTGGCAGAAGTTAGAATTCATGGGATGACCACTGGATCCGGTCCTAGTGGCTTAACTGTGTACAAGCTCGCCTTGTAACTGGAAGGTCCTGGGTTCGAACCCTGGGGGCATGTGCCTACCATTGAAGGGTCTCAAACTATGACGAAACAGCTAGTTGGTCTTCCAATGGTTCTCTAACTGATGTCAGCTCATGATGAAATGCTCCAACCAATCAAACAAATAATCCCTACAAAACCAAACTGGATATTCTTGGGCTACACATTTCTGGAGAACTCCTTTACATCATCCAATGTAATCAGCCAGCTCTAAATGACCATGTAAAAGAGTATATGCACCATTATTTTCCGTTTTTGTCTATTATCTATGGGTCACTAACTTCATTTTCTAATTGTTTCAGATCCCAGAGATGCCGTAATCGTAAAAGTAAGCGAACTACAACCTGATGGAACTGTCAGTGTGCCTCCAGGTGGCAATCTCAAACTCAACTGTATTGCTTTAGGTAAGTTGAATAACCAAAATAACCAAAAGCGCTTCTATTATTACAATAATTTACATTGTCAGTGTAGCTTTTAATGTTTTTTAAGCATAATTGTCATTAATAAGCGTTAGAATTGAAAACATTTATTTCCCGATACGAATTCGAAACAAGCAATAAAGGTTAATAAAGCAGGATTTAATGAATACATCAAATTTCGGTAGAACTCGTCAGCTGAATACAGCTGCAAAACAATCCAAACAGTTCCGAAGAAATCTGTATATATCAGCTTGCCGTTCAAAGGAGATAATGTACAGGAAGTAGTCAAACGAAGACTCGACAAATCCATCAAGAGAACTTATTATGCTGCAATACTTTTTTCCCTTAACTCCACTAAGCGAGTGCTTCAACAATCTGGGAAAGACCAGTCGCCAATCGTCGACACTTCAAACTGCGTATATCAATTTAAGTGTGTTTGTGGAAGCAAATACATAGGTCGTACGGAAAGGAGATTGTCTACTCGCATGATGGAGCATTTGCAAAAATGGTTGAAAACAGCTGAGTTCAAAGTGCCAAAATCCTCAATAACAAAGCATCTTGTGGATTACGGGCATGATATCGACGCAGTCAAGTCATTCACCATTGTCAGCAGACAAAGAAACAAGAAGATGCTTGCAATTGCAGAGGCTTGTGCAATTCGAGTTTATAAACCAGGTCTCTATGTACAATAGGAGATGGTTGTGACTCTGAATCTACCATGGTAATAAGTTTTACTTATTATTCTACCTCTTATTATTATTATAACTATTATTATTCTTGATTAATTTAAAACTATCCTTTATCAGTAGGATTATCTTAACTCACTTCAACACTATTATTATTGTTTTTCAAAGCTATTACTATTGATATTACTCTGTTTGCAATTCTTGATACATTCTCTAATGACTAACTGCTTATCTAATTGATGTAATTGAAGCGTAATGCAATTTATCTTAATTTTGGTCTCTCATACTCTCTCTCCCCTTATCTATTTAAACATGACCTGGAAAAACATTCGCACCTGTCTTTATGCATGACTAATTCAATGTAGTTTGTTTACTTATCAGTCCTATATCTCCCAATGTAATTTCAAAAGTATATATTTCCGTGCATGTAGAGTATTCAGCAGTTGACGAGTTCTACCGAAATTTGATGAATTCATTCAATCTTGCTTTATTAACCTTTATTGCTTGTTTTAAATAAGCTTTAGATTTTATCTCACTGAATGCCTCTTTATTAATAACATGCACGTGGACAGTATAAATAATGGTGTGTTCCTATTTTTATTTCATAGATGCTGTTAGTCTAAGACGTCTCACGCCGACTGATCGTCAACCGCCACTTTTCACATGGGAGTTGCGACCAACTATGGGTGGACAACTTTTACCTTATACTGAACAATCCAATGGGCCAATCATAATTAAACAACCAACCAGGGATCCTCAAACAGCTGAAGATGCCGGTGTTAGTACACTGGAGTTGCAGACAATTCGACTTCCTCCTGATGCACCATCTGGTGCATGGGGTCGATGTGTTGTAAATCTAGGCCATCAAGTATTCACTTCACCATATTTCCATATACAAATACAAAAAGAGACAACAATGGAAACGTATTCACCCCTACCAAAATCACATTGGAGTAAGTACTTAAAATTACTTTTTTTTAATAATAATAATTTGCTTTATTCCAAAAACAGTACTAATGATACAGCAAGGAATTTTCAGCATTCAGTACAATATTGCATCTAATTTACTCAAAAACGACAACAACAAAAAATAAATAAACGAAATAATCATTATATAATAGTGATAACAAAACGTTTTTATAGGAGCTATGTAGCAATTACAGTATACGATAAGGAGAAAAATACGCATAAAGTATAAAATTATAGTAATAATAGTAATAACAACTAAAATAAAAATAGCAAAGTTATAATTAAACGATAGAAAGGGTGACACCATAAAATTACAGAAAGATGAACAATGAAAGGGTCGATTCACTATGCTAATTACATAGTAACTTATATGTTTCACGTCTAACAGAGTCTTCATCACATAAAATACGGGCTAAATACGGTATTGTAGAATTTTTATACTTAGTGGTACGAGCATATAATTTCTTATATTGACTTCTCGTTCTACCTGATGAGATACAAGGGGATAATTGTGAATAAAGAGGGTGCAGAGGGTCTGACAGTACGGCCTTTGCCCACTTTGTACAGGAATTTACGTGTCTCTCGACTATAGTATTGGCGAGCTCACACAGTGGCAAACCACAAGCCCTACTCACAGCATTTAATACCCTTCGTAATATGACATAGTCTTTTTTTAAGAAGCCCAGGAAATATTAATGGAGAGAAATAGAGTACAATAGGTAAAATACAGGAGTTTAGAAATTGCAGAACTAAAGGTTGGTTGATACCTGATTGTCTTAACTTTTTAATGTAGAAGGTAAGACGAAACATTTTCCTAGAGATCAATAAGATGTGGGATGACCATGAAAGGTCCGAGGAAAGAACTAATCCAAGGTATTTAATGCTTGACTTGGTTTCAATTTCTGTGCCATCTATGTTACAGGCATTATGGGAACTAACTAGTTCATGTATGTCACGTCGATGCTTGAAAGTAAAGTTAACTATCTGACATTTGGAAGGATTTAACACAAGACCATTTGACTTAGACCACTTGCTGATGTCCAACAGGAAGCTACTAAGTTTGGAGCAGTCAGACTCGGAAGTGATAGGCAGTGATACAGTCAGATCATCAACATATTTGACAAAATTAGTTTCGTTTAAATGTGGCAGGTCGTGTAGGAAGAAAGAAATAAGAAAAGGAGAGAGGACGGCACCTTGAGGAACACTGGCTTTTGTAAGCGAGGTAGAATAAGATTTGCCATTATATGCAGTATACTGCATTCTATCAGAAAAATATAATAGAGAAGATTTGTAGCTCAGGTGGATGATTTTGGTGTGGTTGTGTTCTCTGAGCTGGATGGTTTGGTTGCGAAGCTTTCATTGCTCTACTGAGCACCATCTTCAGTGCATACTTCGATGTGAAGTGAGCTTTTAGAATTCTCTATGAGTTTATTAGTCATCTCTTCTAGTAACCTTGAACGTGATTGGTTGTTTTCGTGTGACATTTCATCCCCTAGTTTGCTTGTCTCGGTGCTGGCTGCTTCTTTGGTCTGAATGTCGTTAGTCATTCCTTCTGCTAACCTGAACGAAAGAAATTCACACGAAAACAAAGTCAAACTTCAGGTCAAGGAAACAGTCAACACCAAAACAAGTGAACTAGAAAGTGAGAAGTCACACAAAAACAACCAATCACGTTCAAGGTTAGCAGAAGAGATGACTAATAAACTCATAGAGAATTCTAAAAGCTTACTTCACATCGAAGTATGCACTGAAGATGTTGCTCAGTAGAGCAATGAAAGCTTCGCAACCAAACCATCCAGCTCAGAGAACACAATCACACCAAAATCAGAAAAATAAGAATGCAACCAACTCTTAGCCCAGGATGCTGTGTGCGTCAAGGAGAGCTTATTTAATAAAAGGCCCCTAGGTACAGAATCAAAAGCAGATGTGTAGTCTAGGAAGGCACCACGAACATATTTGGCATCCAAGGTACTTCTACCATGTTTATATGCAAATTGCTTAGGATCATTAAAAGCTTTCAATGAAGGTTCAAGACGAAGTAAAAGTAGTTTTTCCATTAATTTCAAAAAGGAGAAGTAATTCCAATAGGCCTAAATTTAATATCGGTACCAGAAGATTGTTTTGGTATAGGGATAATTTTTATGTTTTTCCATGCAGGAGGTAGAACATTACTGGAAAAGGAAGCATTAGAAATATTAGTAAGAGGGTAACACAAAATATCAGCACAGTTCCTGAGGACAATGGCAGGTACGCCATCAGGACCAAGGCTTTGGGAAGGCTTAAGAGACCGGAGACATTTAAGCACATCAAGGGTATTAAAACCACTAAAATTATTGTCTATGTGATTTCTATCATTAGGAAAGATATCGACAGAGGCGCGTATGAAAGACTTATTAAGATTATCAACATTAAGAGATTGGACAGAAGTACACCGCTTACCGCTAGTTATTTCTTTAAAAAGTTTCCACAAACTAGAAGGGGTTTTACATGACAAGAATCTTTGGTTGTATAAAACATTTAGTCTGTGCATTTCGAGTTTTATCAGAGTATTTAACTTTTTTACACCTGACTTATCATTTGTTTTGAACAACAGTTCTTTATCTCTACGTAGCTTTTTGAGATATGGAGAAGAGAAACGGTCAAATCGAGTGAATAATGTTTCTTTAGGACAACATATTTCCAAACAGAATTTAAGATAATGACATGACTGTTATTCACTGCTTGCCTTCTGAATAGAACATATGGTTTCATTGGCAAGATCATCGGTATTATGATAGTCGCCATCTGGGTGTAAAGAGGAGATAAGTGATCCCCCCTCGCGCAATTAGTAATTTGGAGGGACCACTTCTACTTCCTCTTCTCTAACAGATTTCTAACACTCCTCTATCATATCTGCACATTTCTTCTGCAATCTGAGCAGCTTTCCCAGCCTCAAACATAGTGCAGACAATTGAATTTTGCTTTTGCACTATTCGAAAGAAGATATGTCATGCGACTGGCTTCCCGATGACTTTTACTTACCAGTGTTATCCTTTCTTAAAATCAAGAAGTCTTCCCGAATCCGTCAAAAAAAGCGTTTGTCTTTTTTATGGTTTCTGATGTTTCAGTAGCAACTTGGGTGTCTTTCCATGGGATAGAGTTGCTAACTCTACTTCCAGCCTTCCTTCTTTTCTGGGCTTAGAAAGGGCTAACGGAACAGGCAAGGTTTTAAAAATATATAATTCTTTAGGTGGTTAGAGGTAATCGGCACCCAAAAAGGGACTACACGCAAGATACTGGTTCAGTATAGTCCTACAGGTAGTAAACCGAGAGCCTGAATAGCTCAGTGGTAACGTCTTTGACTGCAGCAATGGGTGACAAGTGATCGAATCTCGGAAATGAGTTCCTTTACGATTGAAGACACTCCTTGTCAACTGATGGGTGCTAACAAACACGAAACCTAGGTTCCAGACTTCCTGTTGATTGTCTCAAACCATCTAATAACACCGATTCAGACTGCCCTATGATGGTGAGTCACCTAGTATGGGGACCAAATTGCAAATTTCACTAATAGAATTCAGTCTGCATCAAATAATTGTATTGCATAAAAACAGGGAGTATTCAGCGAAGAATCATCAAAATTATGAGTGACTTCATACATCTTTTCCCCTTTATGAATTTGAGCAGAGCAGAAAAAATGATGGTCACTAACGACTGGTCCTATTCAGGTAGGTAGTCACCTGGGGTTCTAGTGGGAAGTCGTGACCGGCAGTGAGGTACAGCAGGTCGGGTGTGAGCACAAATACTCGCCACCAGTGACATTGGCTGGTGGTCGCGTTATATCCTGAATTGCCAACTTCTGTTGGAATTCATGGGCTGGTCATTGGATCGGGTCCCAGTAGCTTGATGGTCTACAAGCTCACCTGGTAACTGAAAGGTCCTGGTTTCAAACCCTGGCGGTGGGTGCGTACTGTGAAGAGTCCCTAGCCAGGGTGAAATGCTTGTCCAGTACTCCTTACTGGTTTTCCAATGGTTCTTGCACCAATGTCAACTCGTGATGAGAACCCTGAAAACCAATACTTGAATTGTAACATAGTTACAAAATCTGCATAATGTTAGTAGAAAGGAGACTTCCGACTTAATAAACAGTACTCAGCAATCACACTTGTATAGCTTCTATGCAGAAGGCCCAAGTTTAGGCAAGAAGCAATTGTCTGGATACAGTAGCAGAGAAGTTGTGTAATAAAACCAAGAGGTGTGAAAGATGATGAGTAACCGGGATAGTGCATTGAACTCAAATCATAGAAACGAAAGGCAAGCAAAATTAAATTATAGTGAAGGTGAACTGGTTAAAGCCAAAGTCTATAGCCTCCTGCCAACTGATATCATGCTACATTTTGCAAGTATATTAAATTTATTCTGTCCATAAACTTCACTTCATCATCGAACAAAGCATGGAATGGCAATCAAACATCTACCTCAACTTCCTTCATAGACTTTGAGAAGGCCTTCGACAGCGTTAACCACGAAGTAATTTGGAAACTACTCGAGTACTACGGTGTACCCGAAATATTCATCAACCTTATTCAACAGCTGTACGACAACGGCACATGTCAAGTGATCCACAACGGAAAACTCAGCGAAGCGTTTGGAGTAAACACAGGAGTCAGACAAGGGTGCTTATTATCACCAATGATATTCCTAATTGTGGTGGACTGGATTATGCGTCAGACAGTGGGAAACGAGAAGACAGGGATATCCTGGACCGACGTGAAGAACCTAGAAGACCTGGATTTCGCGTGTGGATGATTTATGTTTGATGTCACACAAAATTGAAAACTTACAAACGAAAACAGACAAACTCGTCGGTCGAAGAAGCAGCCAGAGAAGGCACGACTCCAGGTGAACCTAGACAAGACGGAGGTTATGAAAATAACCAACCAACCAACAACAACAGCAACATCCACTGCCAATCACCATCAACGGGAGGGATTTGAAAGAGGTTACTTCATTCACTTATCTAACGAGCATTCATTGTCTCAACTACAGGCAGGTGGAATGGACGAGGATGTCAAATCGAGAATCGGAAAGGGGAGAAACACATTCATCAACCTGAAACCAATCTGGAAACCTTCCACTGTCACTCCTCAACATCAACAACAAAATTCGGATTTTCAATACAAACGTCAAGTCAGTTCTCCTATACGAATGGATCAGAAACTTGGCAGGTCACAAAGAATATTTCCAACAGCCTGTTGCAGACCTTTATCAACAACTGTCTTCGTTCTATACTGAAGATTAGATGGCCGGAAAGAATCACAAACAAGAAGCTATGGGAAGAAACAAAACAAGAAACAACCGCCCAACAAATATGCAGGAGAAAGTGGAGATGGATTGGACACTCACTCGCTGAGGAGGCCACTCGCTGGGTGACATCGCGCGTCAGGCCAACGCTCGAGTGGAACCCGAAAGGGAAGCGGTGAGTGGGACGTCCGAGGGTGACATGGAGGAGATCGTGTAAGCAGGAATTGAAACAGTAAGGATTAACATGGATGCAAGTGAAAAATACAGCAGAAAACAGAAGCAAGTGGAGGCGTGCAGTTGAAGCCTTATGTTCCACTAGGAACCCAAGGGAACAATAATAAATAATAATAATAAACTTCACAATTTCCTTCGACCGTACACAGGTGACGGGAAGCTGATGCAATAAACGACAGCACAAACTGTCGTTTTTGATTTATTCAAAATTCTGAGCCTTAAGTAACAATCCAAAGATTTTAAGGAAATCGTGTAATACAAAGGACGTTAAAGAAATGCAGACTAAAGCAAAATTAAGTAAGTTGGGTGACATATATACGCAAGTGGACAGGATTAGATGCAGTTCAATCAAAGTAGGCAGGGAAAAGGAATGAATAAGTCGTTCAGATTGGCTTATAATTCTCATTCCTATATTCTCTTAAAGACGGCGAAAATTCACTCCAATTATGTAATATCTGTAGGTCGATTTGAGTGATTTCTAAATGCTTATGTTATTCAGTGTAAAATCCGTATAAGATCCGGATTTTTAACTCTAATGTGAAGTCAGTGCTACTATACGGATCAGAGACTTGCACTGCGTGTCATAAAGAGCATCTCAAACAAACTACAGACCTTCATTAACAGTTGTCTTCGCTCAATACTCAAGATCAGATGGCCAGAAAAGATCAGCAACAGAGATCTCTGGCGATGAGCGAACCAACTCAGCAGGAACCGATTGTGAAACAAATAGGCAGGAAGAAATGGAGGTGGATTGGCTGGCCATACTCTGAGGAAACAAACCATCAAGTGACATCACTAGACAAGCCATCGCTCGATTAGAACCCGAAAGGGAAACGGCGAGTTGGTCGTCAGTGCAAGGGTGACTTGGAGGAGGTCATGTGAAGAGGAGATGAAAACGTGTGGGCAGACATGGAGCCAGATGAAGACTCTAGCAGAGAACCGAACGTAATGGAGACGAACGGCTGAAGCCCAATGTTCCTCTAGGAATCAAAGGATACAATAATAATAATAATGTTATTCAGTACTAAATATCTCTAGTACTTTGGATAAAATAAATCAACTGAAAGATCCCATAAAAATGATGGATGAAAGCAGTTTGATTTACAAAATATCTTATGCTGACTGTCCGACTAAATATGTGGGGCAAACGGCTAAATCACTCAAAATAAGAGTGAATGAACATAAACGCCTGCCTAAATAAAGGTCAACCCCAACAGGAACACAAGCTTACAAGAATCTCGAAAAAAATTCATCATTTATAGCTGCACATGCATGGGACAAAAACCACAATATCGAATAGAACAATGTTTGTATTCTAAAAACTAATATGAACAAATGGAAAGAGAGACTGCTTATAACAGAATCTATATTCATTAAGATCACACCGGATACATGTAACAAGGGTGACTCAGCAGCACAACTGTCAACAATCTGGAATGTAATTCTGAATACAAAAACATGAATGAACAAAAAATGAACTATATATATATATATATATATATATATATATGAGTACAAATCATAAATGTGTGAACAAAACAATTCCAACAGTGGTGTGAACATGGGCAGTAGTAATTTTGCTCGAAATATTACCAAGCAAAAAACTTATCATTGTGTGTAAACTATTGAAATATAATTATACTTTATTTGATCTAATCCACAATGCTCAAACTTTTTACTGATATTACTTTGGATTAGTAGTATAGGGAAATAAATCTTTGCAGTTCTTTATCAGTTGTTAACAGTATTCATGATAAAGATCATAATTTGTGTTCTTGGTTGTTGATATTGTAGATAGTTACGGTTTAAAACAAAATAACTTGCTGAACAGTTCCGAGTGAAATAAATGGCATCAAGTCTCGAAGTCTTAGTAGCGGCAGTTTTGTTCCTAAAGGATGGCAATACTAGTCCAACCTTCCTTCTTTCTAAGGCATACTATCCTTCAGTAAACTAGGCAAGGTGTAAGAGTGCATGGCCTAGGAGTCAAACCCAGACATCCTGCACGGTTGGAGAGTATTCTACAATTGAACCGCAGACCGAAATGCCCCGTCTCTGTTGATACGTTGGCTCCTATTATGAACACTTCGTTTGCGATCACCAGTAGTGAAATCTAAGATGCTCCCTTAGTCTTATTTGGGATCGGTCAGCTGAATGTACGTGTACCCTGGCTTTCGGAATGATGGATGTGTGGTACGAGCCTCAGTAGTAAAACCACCGCTAATTGGGTATACAGGCATACGCAGATGACTAGTCTCAAATGGGATAAAATGCACTTCCCGGACTTCACTGCCACCCAGTATCTAGCGTTTAGCCATCTACTATTCCTCTTACTCTAATCTAGTCAACCAAATCTTGTAATCGGTGGGAGTGGTCTCTAAGATTAAATTTCTACTCTGTCATTCATTATATTACCCAAGACAAGAATAATTTGTATATTAAATATGTTTTTTGCATTGCTCCTCTTCTTGTTTTACTTCCACAGGTGATGACAAGAAGATAGAATTGATCGTTAAGGGTCTAGATCCAGACGGAAATAAAATAGTTCAAGAAGGTTCAGATATTGAATTGACATGTGAAGCAAGAAGTAAGTATCATGCATGTAGTAATTACTTCATGACATTTTTTGTATAAGATGGCGTTTTATCTCAAATTTTCGCTCAGAATTACTGTCAGAAGTGCTATATATGTCCAAACCAAGTTCACTTTTAACAGTTTGAAAAAATTTGGGCATTGGGTATATGATATTCATTATAATAAAGGTTTTTTGTATTTCCCAATGAATGAAAAACAAAACGATATTATTGTTTTTACTGACGTTTCGCTATTTAATGCTCCTGCTAATAGCTTTATCAAAGTATTATCAAATCAAGATTTACAAAATCTCAGCTTATGTATAACAACTTAATCATCCTTCATCAGCAAGGGGTAGTTTTCACCTTGTCAAGTTGGCCAATTGGTAAAGATAACAAAACCAGGTGTAGATTGTGGTATTTGATAAGCGCATATAATTATAAAAGCAGCGTGTGTTTACATAATGAAATTGCTTATCACATTCGTGTTGATTTTGTCATTTCATGGAGGAAGAAATGTTACATCAGGTCGAATTCTGTTTTAGTCCATCATTCATATTCAGACAATTCTCTATCTAATTATGTCTATAAAATAAAATGCTTGGAATGTGATGCGATATACATCGGACAAACAACGCTAGAAATCAAAATCAGAAGAAATGAACACCGTAGAGGCCTCTGTTCGACCACCGAGAAATCCAGTTGAACTAGAAAAGCTTGAAAAATCATCAGTTATAGGTGCGGTCTACACGCTATAGAATCAGGCCACAAAATTGATTTTGACAATATTGAAATAATCCAGAAAAAGCATTTCAGAAATCACAAAGAACGTCTAATATCATCAGAAGCACTTCATATCAAATGGAATCCAAATTGTCTGAATAGGAATGATGGACTAAAACAGAATTTGACCTGGTTACAACACCCCCTCCCCCATGAAATGACAAAATCAACACGAATATGTGATAAGCAATTACATTATGTAAACACACGCTGCTTTTATAATTTTACACACTTATCAAATGCAACAATGTACACCTGGTTTTGTTATCTTTACCAATTGGCCAATTCGACAGCGAAAAATGACCCCATGCTGAAGAACAATGATCAGATTACTTTATATATGCAGAGATTTTGTAAATTCTTTAGTAGTATTAATAATACTATTTTGATAAAGCTATTAGCAGCATTAAATAGCGAAACGTCAGTAAAAACAACAACAGTATCGTTTTGTTTTTCATTCATTGGGAAATACAATAAATCTTATATATTATAATGAATTTCAGAAGTGCTGTTGAAAAGCTTTAATCGTAAATATACGCAATAGTTGATGAGCATTGTAAATCGAAATGAGATTGAAGATCGCTTCTGGTTCATAGAACATCAGATAAACACTCAGTTTGACTTCATCAACAGTAATATCATAAAAGCTAATAGTTTTTATGTTCAATGGTTTATACTACTCACTAATATAAGTAGTTAGGAACCACTGACATCAACCAATAGTACTTGTTTGCTAGATCGGATTGATCTAAGCACCCAATGAGCATTTCACTCGTTTTAGGGTAGGGCTCATCAACGCTTTACATAGTCCGACTCAGCTCAGACGTCCAATTAAGCTGAAGCCACCCGAATTCTGTCTAGCTACTGTCGAGAAATTGTGATACACAGAATCAAATTCGCAATCTACAGAGTTTGAGGTAAGAATTCACCGAGGCTTCTTTTAGAAACCTAAATTTTTCGAATAGAAATTTATGGTCTGCCTGATACCATGCATGGCAGTCACAAAAGCAGGCAGGATGGTATAAATTACTGATAAGTATTGTCACTTGACCTCTTGTGACTCTTATCCTCAAATTTAGATAGTACTCCAAAGCTATAACTTTTACGAGCAATTCTGAAAGTCAAAATAAATCGTGTGGCCCAGATGTTTAGAGAAATTTCTAGAATTCATGAGGCAGCCTGAAGTTAATAAAGTCTTCAAGTAGAGAAGCATCCACTGAGTTAGTCATCCTTGTATTTAGTGACAAGAGCTGTTTGAACATTCATCAATATGTTTGTTTTTCCAGGGATGCTATTCCACGAGTTTACCGTCATCTTAAAGGCGTTACAGTTACAACTCCACCACCATCAATCTGGCATCGGAAGATGTGCTATTATCGACTAGGAGGGACTCTCGACTAAGTTAAAACATAATATGTAGAGTTCCTGCACTTATAGGCAATGTATATAGGTATTAGTACTTTTTCTAACTATCATATTGTTTGATTTTTTTCTCCGCATAATTAGATACAAAAACTCAAGAAATTTTGAAAGACGATAAAATCCTACTTGGTTGGCAATTCCTTGATCCTGAAAAACATGCCTATTTAACACCATGGGTGAGTAATGGTCAATTTAGTGGGAACAGCTTGAAACTAAAAGAAATTGAACTACCTGGTGAACAAGATAATCGTTGGGATGTTTGGGGTTATTGTGTTGGTGATGTTAGAGATGGAGATCGTATAAAACACTATCAGTCGGATCCATTCAATTTAGTTGTGACAGCTGGAGAACCAGTTAGTGAACCTAAAGAAATACCATCAGCAGTCAAAGATGGTAAGTTACTTTGCAGTCGTATTTTTTTATACACAATTCGTCGATTTTTTTCCTTCTCATTCCAAGTTAAACATATGGCAGAGGTAAAGTTGTTCGGGATCGAACCCGGAATACGTCAAGAGGCGGCGAAAGTCAGTAAAAGGAGAGAGTGTTACATTATGAGAGGTTGACTAGACGCACCAATGGGCTGCTGCAGCTCCTGACACTACAATCCGCATTAACTTACATGGCTGACTAGTTGATTCGTATTAGAAACTTTAAGAAAAACCGCAAAGTTTTGAAAGAATTACATCCTAAAATTGGGTTTCTTCATCTCTGAAACATTTAAGTTCGACAAAACAGACAATGCATGGAAAATATTCATTCAGACATTGAGAAAAACGAAAACTGAGCAAAGAATATCCTTTCCCATAATTTCCTCTTCTGGCTCTACAATTATATTTATATATATGTGCTTATATACACAGAATATTCTAGGATAGTAGTCAATAACAATATTAGTGTTTTTTTTAATAATATCAATTTGTAAAGTAAGATCAATGGAATTACAGTTTATTAAAGATGCTTAAATTATAATAATAAGCATAAAAATGTAAAAGCAAATAGAATATAAACTAAAATTAAGGAAATTTCTACAGAAAATTGAGAATCATTCGAACCTAGATGGCCAAGGTAAGAACAGTGTCTGAACTAGCTTCTTTCGGACGCATAAATTAGGCTTATTAATGTGGATCCCAACAGCCAGCCTCAGCAGTATTTAATAATCCAGCTCTTAAGGAGAAGTTAAGATTTGTTGGTATGCAGTAAATGACTTTGAAAGCCACCAAGTTGACATCAATCTTGTGTTCTGTATCCACAAGATGGGATAGAATAGCGCTATGAATGGATTTTGTTTGTCCTTTACTTAACCACTATGCAGGATGATGTTCGGAAATCTGACGAGAAACACACCCAATTGTACGTCTTATGTAACTAACTGGCTCCACAGGAGCAGTCAAACTGGTAGATACATATAGAAGAGGCGAAATTAGGTAGTTAGCTTATCTTTAACTCCCGAACGCAAAATAGGAGTGGTTCTGAAGACGCAGCATAATTCAGCAGTAGGGAATGCTCTTTTTACCGCATTTCCTAGGCGCTGTGTTAATAACGACTATTCCAGAATATTCTACGTATATCATATATATATATATATATATATATACAGTTATAGAGCCAGAAGAGGAAGTTATCGAGAAGGATATTCTTTACTCAATTTTTTTTCCAAAATAGACAATGCTGTATAGAAACAAATCACAAACATAACGACCTTCAGGTAGATTTCACTGCCTTATTAAACAACGAATATTCAACTCAAATTTCATATTTTTCATCAAGCTGTTTAAACATTATGGTGGCAAAGCAAACACCAAAAAGAGTTGATCAATATAATATGATTTATATAATTTTTTCAAAACGTGTGGCAGTCGTCACAGACCAGTAATGTCAGTGTCAACAAAATGTGTAAATAAGGTGACTACATACGACAATCATCTTGACTATTTCGCTTTTCACAACTGGCCGTGAATGTTTCCAGTTATCAATATCCTCTAAGAGGTTTGACAGTTAATACAAAGTATCACTAAATGACTGAGAATGTGTGGCATGTTACTAAGCTATTCAAATACACTGGAGTAAATGTGTTCAAATTCTAGTCCAGTCAATATCTATTTTGTGATAGATATATAGCCTACCACGCACCAGTATTATTAGTGAGTATCTGTTCTCACATCCTCTTTGGTGGACTGCAAAAATCATGACTTCTCACCAGAACTACACAAAGTCGATCCCTTATTCAGTCACTTTTGAGCAGTGGATTAATTTTCAACTGTTGCTTTGTAGGAATTCAACTGTCTTCAAGTTAGATTTCATCATGAGCAGGCGTCATTTTAAAAAAATAACACTGAAAACCAGGAGGTACGGGAGAGTTATTTTCTCCTAGTTCAGGACCGTTCAGCATTGTGCATCTTGCAATAGAGGTGGTGGTTATATTATCTGGAGTCGGAAAAAATTTAGAATTCATGGGCCAGTAGCTTCCATATCGGTGGCTGAATTATAATATGCACGCCTCATAAGTTAAAAGTCGTTGATTGGATCCTCAATGGAGCCATGGATATGAGTTACTAAAGACTCTCAAAGTAGGGCAAAATAGCTAATGTTAGTTCATGATGACATTGAATTTAAAAGAAATCATACCTCCAGAAATGAAAACTTAAAACCACGGTTGTGTATGTTCAAATAGCGTAGCATACAGAATCACTAAATATCTGTTAATATTGGTAGGATCAAGTTGACCGCTTGAAAATAAAGTGAGACAGATCCTTACTAACGATCTTTTGGTTGCTCTTTTGAAAGCGTAGTAATTCAATCGTTATTAAATAGGTTTAAATGATAATTCATTCTTTCTTAGTGCTGTGTGATGTGAATTAATAAGTGATTAGGGTTGAGACAAAGAGAGGGAGACAGACACAGAGTAGTTTTCCCTTTAAGTGGACAGTTATTGTCAGTAAAATATCAGAATTAATATCAGCTAAGTTTACTACCCACTGTAAATTGCAATCCACAATAAAGAACCTGGAGGATCTGGATTTCGCCGATGATATATGTCTGATTTCCCACAAACTGGAAGATATGCAAGTGAAAAGCAAAAAGTTGGCAGAAGAGGCATCCAGGGAAGATAGGACTTCAGGTGAACATAGGAAAAACAGAGGTGATGACGATTCGGACAGCAGTCAGCATAAATGGGAGGAATCTAAAAGAAACAACTTCCTTTACACCTACCTGGGAAGCATCGTCGTTTCAACTGCAGGCGGAAGAAACTGATGAGGATATCAGAGCGAGGATTGGGAAAGCAAGTTAAGCTTTCATTTCCTTCAAGTCTCTGTGGAGATCAACAGAACTCAGCATGAAAACTGAGATCCGGATTTTCAACTCCAATGTGAAGTCAGTGCTACTTACCACACGGATCAGAGACTTGACGCGTCATGAAGAGCACTTTGAATAAACCACAGACCTTCATCAATAGTTGTCTTCGCTCAATAATTCGCTCCAGATGAGATGGCCGGCCAGGGATCTCTGGGAGCGAAGCAATCAGGAACCGACTGTGCAACAAATATGTAGGAAGAAATAGAGTTGGACTGTCCATACTCTGGGAAAATAAACCATCAAGTGAGTGATATCACACGTCAGGCCATTGCTCGAGTAGAAACCGAATGGGAAGCGGCGAGTTAGTTGGTCGTCGGTGTGAGGGTGATATGGATGAGGCGGTGATGTGAAGAGGAGATGAAAGCATGCGGGTAGACGTGGAGCCAGATGAAAACGTTGGCAGAGAACCGAACGGAATGGAGACGTGCGGTTGAAGCCTTATGTTCCTTCAGAAACTAAAGGAGACAATAATAATAATACTAGAGAACGAAAATCAATCCAAATTTCCAAATTCTAAATTTTTTAGAATTTAACTTTGATAATCATGTTGATTATATGTGAATTTAACTTGTATTCACCTGCCTTACACTTTACTTTTTAATTTCTCACTTCCTACCATAAAGGTGTCTTTGTTAAAGTTCAAGGAATTACAGACGATAGATTATTTGTTGCAACAGAAGGTAGTGATTCAGAGTTAACGTGTCATGCTATTGGTAAGTTTTATTAGTTTTTCATTTCTTCACCTTCTAACTGGACAGTTGGGCTTTAAGCTATGATCTGTAAAGTTCCAGGGATGCTAACCTAATGCATAACCTTCCATCATTACCGTGCCTACTGACGACTGAGGTATAGGAGTGCTTTTACTGGCGGCCGATTCCCAGACCACATGAATGACAGGCGAGCATTCTACCGCTCAACCGTTTAGTTTGCATAAATTTAGTCGACTTTAGAAATGATTTTGTCACAAAAGGACATCAGTTTGCGAACCACTGGAATCTAGAAAGTGGTGGAGATGTGTTTCGTCCTAGTCCAAGATCTTCAAGGTTGCAAAAACACCACATCACTATTCAGACATTGGGTCACTTTGAGTCCAATAGCCTATGAATTCAAGCTTTCATCAGCTCAAGATTTAGCCCTACCATCAACATCTAGTATCACTGGTCTGCATTTGTCCTTACAGCAGATTTGATCGGCCTAATCAGTCACAACCATCTACTTGTATTCACTGGTTCTGTAACTGATAGCCTAGTGACAAAATCTATCCTGATATGTAAATTGATTAAAACAACCAATTGGAAAGTAAGTATAAATGAGAATCAGATGTACACAAATTGAGAAATATATTGAAAAAGTAAGTAAATGGCAGCTGATATTATACTACTTTAGTGGGATTTTGTTACTTGATTGATGGGAGCTATCAGTAGAATCCAGGATACGAGTTTAATCCTACTTCGGACTAGATAACTGGACGTGCCTACATCCACAGTGAGTGACTCGAACTCACCACCTATAACTTCAAACTTCAAGGGGTAATCCATTATGCCACTGGACTACTGGAGACACCTTTTGTGCAAACTTATTTTATATCTCACATTGACTGATTCTGTTGGACAGAAATATGCGGACTCCGTTGACATGACAAATACGTCAGTGGGAATTGAACTCTGTAGTAGTCAAATGCAATTTCATATTAGTCCACGTAATATATATATATATATTATTAACTGGGTGATATTTCGAAAACGGCTATAGTCATATCTAATGTAATTCCCCTAGTCATGAAACTTGGCTTTCATGGTTCTAATTCCTTCTTCTCGGTTAAAATGGATGCATTCATTGGAAGAATTCAAAGTTTTCAATTAATTTTTAATGTGTGAATGTGGCGATCGTGGCGGCCGCGTTGTCTAGCGTTCCAGACTGAACAGTAATCTGGTCCATGATGTGAACGTAAGTTCGTATCCCACCTCTGACAAACTCTTTGAGCATCAATAGTCTAATGGTGAGTATTTGTCGTTCAGTGATAGGATGTTAACCAACCGCGATCGTGGCCCAGGTTAGATCTCCAGCCCATGCAGTCCTAAACCTGAATCAAACGGTAATTAGCCCAGTTAAGAGGGAAGATAAGGCATGAGGCTACTAAATCCACTCCGTTAAAAAAGATACCAGCGCTAGTGAAACTTCAAACCTCAAGCTTGAAGCCTTCTGATATACCTGGAGGTTATAGGAATAAAATTTATGAATACGATATATACAAAGTCTTGTCTCTGAGTTGTTTGATAATACCGTTGTATAGGCTACACTTAGTACATAAGATGGACAATATGATGGAGAAGATTTGTAGCTCAGGTGGGTTATTTTGATGTAGTTTTGCTCTCTGAGATGGATGGTTTATTTGCGAAGCTTTCATCGCCCTACTAGGCAACATCTTCAGCGCATACATCAATTGATTGAAGTGAGCTTTTAGATTTCTCCACGAGTTTATTTGTAATCTCTCCCTCTGACCTTGAACGTGGTTGGCTGTTTTCGTGTGTTTTCACACCCTCTAGTCTACTTGTATTCCTATTGATTGTTTTTTTTGACGTCTAGTTTATGTTCATGGATACGAATTTGAAGGCGACGTCCACTTTGGCCAGTGTAGTGTTTTTCACAGTCGTTGCAGCTTATTTTGTAGATGATGTTGGTTCTACCTTCTCTTCTTTTACTATCTTTTGGTTGACATACATCTAGCTGAGTGAAATGATTTTGCTGGTTTGTGTGCAATGTCAATTTCCAAAGGTTTGAAGCGTCTTGCAGTGATTTCTGAGACGTTCTTTATACATGGTTGGACAATTTTCTTTGTGCTTTCCTAGGGGGCCTTTAATTTGGTAGGTTGGCTTGGTGGCACATACCTTTTGATGAAATTCCGTGGATATCCATTCTTTCGGAACATGTCCATGAGGTATCTCTCTTCAACTTTCCTTAAGATGGGAGTGCTGCAATGAGTCTTGGCTGGCCCTCTTGAATAGTGTTTGCATACAACTCCTTTTGTGTGTTATTTAATTGCTGCTGTCGTAATTCAGTATTTGGTCTGTGTGAGTTGATTTTCTATAAACTTGAGTTTCTGATTTTCCTGTGTTTTGTTCGCTTGACTAAGACGTCCAAAACTTAGATTTTGTTCTTGGATTACCTTTGCCTTGTGAATTTGATGTCGTTGAAGATGTTGTTCATTAAGTTGTGAGTTTTATCCCACTCGAATGTGTCGTCCACGTAACGTATCCAAATTTTGGATTTCACTTTGGCAAGATTGTGTTTTCGAGTCCTTGCATCACTGCTTCTACAATCGAAACTGACATGGGCGATCCCATGTGTGTTCCTGTATTTTGTTCATATATTTGGCCGTTGAATTGGAAGTACGTTCTTAGGTATAGGTCTAGTCACTCCATCAATTTTTGATTGTTGTCGGAGGTGTTCGTCGTTGCTGAGTAATTGCTTCATGGTCTCTTTTGCTAGTTTAGTCCGACTGAGGTATATAATACTGTGACGTCGAAGGATATCATTATTTCTTGTTCATCAATTTGAATGCCTCTGATTTTCCCTAAAATAATTGGATAGCAGATTTGATGGAGTGATCTCAGGAATCCGTAAGCTTAGCAAATAAACCATCCAGCTCAGAGAAAACAACTACATCAAAATATTAGATAGTATAACTAATCTACGTCGAAATATAATCAACAAAGACGAAGCAACTACAGTCTGTAACTGCTGTGGATCTGATGGTCCTTTGAACATTTGAACCAGAGGCATTCAGTCCCTTATTCGAAGATTTATCACAGTATTAATACTTTTAGAGATAACAGATTTCTGAGATTTTAGCATTAAATGCCTTTCAGGATAGTTCTGTATTTTATGCCAAGCCTTATTCAGATCACATTCACAGTTGCTAATTAGTTAATAAGTTATTCTCCCCATTATTATCATTAACAGACTTCAACACTGGTCAAGAATATGTCGGCAGTAAAGTCACTTATGGATGGGATTGGCGTCAAATGGATGGGGAACCAGCAGATATCAGTGAACTAGTTGATGTTTTAGAAACTGATGAAAATAAAATCAAGCTATCAAATATCAAGTCTGTTTCACCCAAGAAAGGTCGATGCCTGGTAACTGTATGGCCTGAAGACGGTGCTACTGATCAACAACCAAAACAATATGCTTCTGAATTCTTCTTTACAAGTATACAACCATTAGATGCAACAGAGAAACTAAAACCTGAGGAGATTATTCCATTTGATGGTAAGTGGATTTTCTTTGGAAGATTTCATCGTTAGATAAATTATTTTAAAAAGACTGAAAAATAATTATCATGAATATTAAACTTTGAAAAGACTAAGAATCCATAGGTTTCTCCAATGGATTCACATCGTTATCGACGTGAAATAAATAGTACAATAAATTATTCAAACTGAAAGAAGATGGTTGGGATAGATAGGTAGATAGATAGATTTTAACTTCAGAGAAATTTGGCTTTACTTAACTCAGACTTCAAAATGTTCTCTGAATTAAGATTCTCAGATATTTGGAGAATAATGTGGTATTATATTAAAGCCGATGAAATGTTTTTGAAGCTGAAGCAATTCAAAGAAGTATCAAAGATGATACTTCCTTATAAGTGTATCTAGTTGAGAGCATATCTGCAGAGTTTCGGCTTTTAATGCTCAGTAAATGGACATGACTACCCCAGGTAGTCTTTCCAACGATTCTGTACATCTTGAAGGATCTTACTCATAGAGAAAGAAACACAATCACATCAAAAAAGAATTCCTTGTGGGTTTTAGGTTGGTATATTCTAACCAGGAAAACCTGGTCTATATCGATCTACCCTGTGGATAGAGGCTTAACACTTTAGAGTCAATCTTTGGGAAATTCTCTGATATTCAAAGTATATTCCGGGTGGGTAAAACTGAAAATTCACTGGCTAATAGTTCGACTTCTGTCAGAAATCACCCTTTCATTTCAGCCATCTCAGAAAACAACAACAGAATTTATGATTCAGCAAAGGAACTATTTTTGGGAGAATCCATTTACTATAGCTGAACAGTTTTAACTATATACCCTCTCCTTCATGAATACATTCAATGGTATTCACACTTAAAATATATTTTAACCAGCAGAATAAATGTGAAATTGTTGAAAAATGTTTTGCATCAATGACTGAAGACCATGAGAGGTGGAGAAGTGGTATACAAAATTCCAGCTTCTCTTTTTAAATATCTAGAATTTCCGCCATACAGATGTGACGTAGACACGCTGATTTTGACAAAGTATTTTCCACCCTATAGATAACACTGAAGAAAGAGATTTTTCAGATGAAATGACTAGTATCCATATGATGTTCACTAATCAGACTTCATATAGATCCGTTTCTATTTGTCCATAATCATGCAAGCTAATATTTCTACTTTTTTTCGGTAAGACCGCCATCGAATATTGGAATGACTTGCTCATATGGACCAGATGAACTAATATATATATATATATAGAGAGAGAGAGAGAGTTGGCGAAATCTCAGATCTTCTCCTTCAGGCTATTAGAAAGTAATTCTGGTTTGGGTGCTTTAACTGATACCCTCTTCAAAGAGTTTGAGTTCTGAGTTCCTGAATGCGATCAATCTGCTGAAGTCCCGGAAGGCAGCAGGATCAGATGGCATCCCTCCCGAAGCACTGAAGACTGCCCAAGAGATTACGACAGATGTTCTCGCTGCATTACTGCAAACGTTTGGAAAGAAGGAAAGGTGCCTAGTGATTGGAAGACGGGCTACCTCATCAAACTGCCAAAGAAGGGCGACTTAGGACTGATAAGAACTGGAGGGGAATAATGCTCCTATCCACGCCAAGTAAAATACTAAGTCGCATCATCCTGGAGAGAATAAAGGATGCACTGGGGGTGGAGGAGTCAGGAATACGCTGGACCACCGATAAGAAGACTCTAGAAGATCTGGATTTCGTGTGTGAATGATATATGTCTCATTTCACACAAACTCGAAAACTTCCAAGCGAAAACCAACAAACTGCCTGGAGAAGCTGGCAGCGAAAACAGGACTACACGGAGAAGACGGAGGTGATGAAGATAACCAACCAACAGCAACAAAAAATGCACCAATCACCATCGGTGAGAGAGATTTGACAGAGGTTGCCCCCTTCACTTATCTAAGAAACATTGTTTCAACTACGGTCCGAACAGACGAAGATATCAAAGTCAGAATCGGAAGGGCAACATACGACTTCATCAACCTGAAACCAGTTCGGAATTCTTCCACACTCAGCATAAAGAAGAAGATTCGCATTTTCAACACCAATGTGAAGTCCGTTCTTCTATACGAGTCAGAAACTTGGCCAGCGTTTGGCGAAAAGGATTTCCTACAGCTTGTTGCAGCCTTTCATCAACAGCTGCTCACTTCGCTGGCTCCATATTGAAGATCAAATGGCTGGTCAGAAAGAATAAGCGACAAGAAACTATAGGAACAAACAAACAAGCAAGAGCCGATCGCTCAACAAATTTGTAGGAGAAAGTGGAGATGGATTGTTGGCGCATACATTGTGGAGGCTAACAAATGACATCGCACACCAGACCATTGCTCGAGTGGAATCCCGATGGGAAGTGACGAGTGAGTCACAGGTGCGGGGATGACATGGAGGAGATCGTGTGGCAAGTTGGAGGAGATGAGGGATTATGGGCAATCGTGTGGCTAGCCAGCTGAAGAGGACAGCAGAAAACAGAACAAAGTGGAGATGTGTTGTTGAAGCCATCGCTATGTTCCACTTGGAACTCTAGTGAATAATAATAATAATACGTCCTACATAATTGCCATACTGATTAGTCATCTAGTTTCATACATTATGGATGATAAATCAAGTCTGTCATCACTCGAATTCCCTGAATTTTGATCAACCTTTTGTTATGTTTGTTTTCAAGTGAATCATACCATTCAATAGGGAAGAAGAAACGATAAAGTGGTTAGAAATAAACAAAATTACCCTTAAATAATAGAAAATAAAAGAGGGAAATTTAACAGATTGATAGAAATAAGTGTGATAATGATGATAATAATAATAAGAAGAATAAGGGAGAATAAACAATCGTAAAGATAAACAGTCAGATTGGTTCTGTCCAGAGATGAAAAATAGAAACCCAATCAATGAATGGATGAATGAATAAGTGACCTGTTTACTTCTTTGTGATTTATCTGTGTTTAATAATAATAATAATCATAATAATGAGCGTTGATCACCTTATTTAATTATGCACGCAAATCTCTGAATCTCTCTCACTCTCCTTCCCCTCTGTTTCTCTCTTATTTCTTCTCCGTCACACTCCACTTCATCTGACGTTCAGCTGTAGGTGATAAAGTGATATTCGAGATAACTCCGATGGACGATAAAAAACAGATCAGCTTGACAGCGGATAAGAAAATTGATGAGGTGTCTGTTGTAGCAAAATGTAAGTTTTTCTTAAAATGAATAAATAAATAAATAATTTTATTTGTTTATTTATTTATTATTTTATTTATTTATTTGTTTATTTTGGAAATTTTCTGATTTCTCAATTGTTTTAAAATGTTTATATTAGGATAAGAGTTATTGATAGCGTTAGTATTACTGTAAACAGTATCAATTAGAATGGACTTTGAATTTATGTTTTCAGAAACGTCTGTTTATATTTTAAGTATTGGTATTTTACGGGCTTTGTTTGATTGATTGGAGGCGCTGACATCATTGGAAAACCCCCAGGGAGTACGTAGCAGCTGTTTCCGTTGTCCTAATTCAGGACTGACTCTTCAACTGTGCGCACCCACTGCCAGGGTTCGAGCCTAGGACCTTTTGGTTACAAGGCGAGCTAGCTCGTATACTATTAAGCAGCCATTGAGACCTGATCTAATGGCCAGCCCATGAATTCTAACTTCTGCCAATTTATGACATAGTGCAACCATTCAGCAATGTCTTTTTCGATGAGTTACTGCCCCACCTTCAACCTACTGTACCCCACTGATCACGCTTTCAACCAGAACTCCAGGTAACTGCCTGAATAGGGCAGTTTAACATTGTTAGGGTAGGGTTGAAAGTGTTTCACCTGTTCATAAATATATCTACCACAAGTGAGGATACTGGTAGTCCTCTGAGGACCTTCTAAGCTTGTTTGTATATGTTCTCCTTGAAACATAAATACTCCAGAGGTCAGGCAAAGTTGAAGTCCTAAGAATTCGAGGGGTGACTCCGAAATTCTCCTAGGAATTTAAGCACTGATCTGAGAGTTGGTTATTGTGTAATCATGATGACAGGGGCAGCATTTAATATCAATTTACCAATGAAACGATATCCTATTAACTTAATGGTATCGCCGAAGATTTTGTACTAGGAACTGACACAACAGCAGAAATGAAACACTTCAGTTTAAAAAAATCAATCGGCGGGAAGTTCAAAACGATACGCTGAACAAATAATACTCATTTCGAAACACATGCATCTCTTAGTCTGTTTATCTAATGGATAATTTTGTGACGTTTTGAAATAATTCTCAGTGGAAATGCCAACAGTCCCAAGAGATGTAGATGTATCCAGTTGATGAACCCCAAATAGGACTAAGAGCCTACAGTGATGGACACCATGAACCGAATAGAATTATTTCACTTATGCCTAATTGATGGCTTCAGTTTCATTACTCGAATTTTAGAAATGATTATCAAACTAATGGGTCTTTATTTGGATCTGATGTATTCGTTTGATGTCTGAAGATGACTATAGGGGACTATAACATGTAGCTAGAAACGATATTTTCTAAGAGGTTGTAACCTGTATCACTTGGTAATGAAACTGTTGAGCTATTCAAGACTAGACCAACTTCATGAATATACTTATTAGTCGGTCGTTAATAAATGCAGAATTTATGATTCGTATGAAATAATAAGATCCTGTTGTCACATACTGTATTGGTGAACTTAAATTAAAGGACTTTCTAGAATTGAGATCATATTGTCTTAAAAATAACAAACACGTTAACGCTGGTAATACTACTGAGTATACAAACATCTCCAAATTACAAAAAGTCATTTCAGGTTTGACCATGGGTTGAAAATTATGGAGTCCTGGATAGTTAGGTGTTTCGTCTTAATTGGGGACTCATCGGCAGCACTACAACCCTCTGGTTACGAGTCAAGCTCGTACACCAATCAGTCTCTGAGACCTAATTCAATGTTCCATGAATCTTGGTCATTTTAGCGCGACTGGCACCAGCCAGTGTCATCGGCGGGTATTTGTCGTCACTCACAACCGAGTGGCCCCCAATGGTCATGACTTATGAATTGGTAGAGGTTAGAATTCATGGGTTAGCCACTAATTCGGGTCGTAGTGACTGGGTGGTCTATGCCTTACAACCGGAAAGTCCTGGTTTCGAACCCCGCAGGTGGGTGCGGACTGCCGATGAGTCTTAAACTAGGATGAAACAGCCATCCAGTATTATTTGGCTTTCAGCGGTGGTTCTCTAGTAGTTCTCAATCTGTTGTCATACGTGAAACAAATTAAATCCCTACAAACCAATTCTTGTAAAGCAAGAACAACAAAAAAGTACTGTGGAATATGCTTTGAATCTTTTGTATACACACCAAATTCAAAATCTCGATGGAGTTTATTGTTGTAGGTTGTCACTGTCCTTTTCGTCTTCATATCTGTTGATAAACAAATGTGGAAAGACATATTTTATGTCGATATCTAGTCGTTTTCAGCGGAAATTGACATCTTAAACTATCAAATCCTACACTAAGCTTAAATTTAGTAGGTATGTCGAAGATTGAGAGCACACAAAATGATATGAAAGTAAATCATGTCCGCATAAATTATGTGTTTGTTTCAAACACGGTCATCATTGAAACCGACGATCATTCGAAAGCTGTTTCCTCCGAATCCTTGACTCTTCGTCAGTGGGAACAGGTAACTCCAACAGAGGTCAAACCTAGGACCTACGGGTTACGAGCCTAGCACATCTCTAATCAGCCACTGGAACGCAGTCCAACGGCTCACGAATTCTAACTTTTGGTGATTTAAAACTTTTTCGGTTCCACATTGCAAAATAAGTTCCAAAGTGGAACGAAACAGTTCTCTAATGCCTACCTGGTATCGATATTTCTCTAAGTCATCTTTGTTTTTAATTAAAGTTCATTGAAACAGAAGTGTAAATGTTTCCCTATCCATACAGCTTGTTCTGGTAAGTTTTCTTTGAAATAAATTAAAGTATTACTTTGGTATACAGAAGTATTCAGTTCGTTTAACTGGGTTAACTTAGATCCTCAATCTCTAAAATCAAGTCAGCTTCTTTTTGAATAGAAAGATCTGGTTGAATATCTTGTTTGGTATTGAGCATTTGGTGACAACTCTCATCCACTACTCTATTGATGGATCATGGTTAAATCTTGGTTAGCCAGTGAATCTTATCATTCTTCAGTGTTCATTTTCTAAAGTACTCACTCTCTCAACACTTCTGGGGATTCTTCAACAAATTACACATTTGAATTGCTAGTCCAGAGCTTCACCAACGGAGCTGTGAAAGTCAAAATCTAACGAGGTGGTCACATCCCTTCCATCATCGTGGTTAGTGCCCAGCTGTCATGTGAATAAGTGATACGCTATTCGTGTACCCGCCCAGGTTTTCGCTTGACAAACCAATTCATAGTGAAATACAAAAAGAAGAAGAGTTGCTTGTCAGTTGATAGTGAAACTCACTGAGATAAACTCGAGTTGACAGAGACTGTTTGTGAATTTCTTCTAAGAAACCTGGAGCCATAATTCAAACGATTAGTTAACCACACCTAGAATGCCTCATAAAATACCAAAACACAGGATTTTTCTAAGATACAGTACTATATTAAACATAAAATAATGAAATAAAATATACCAGGCTGAAATTGTAAAGTATCTGTGGCTAAATGCCATCAAAAGCACAGTCAGTGTGCGTCAATAATTAAAACAGCAAAACTGTGTCGAAGGCAAAACATGAGTAGATTTTAACAGCGCGCGAATGCCAGACACAGAATAAAGGGATACGAATAAACAATGTTCAACAGCAAATCGCACATAATCAAGGCATACACATGTTTAACTATAAAAGAATAATTACCACATATCAAATAAAATATTATTACAATAAGTGATTTAAACTTCAAAAGCAAACGAAATAATGGTTATGAAGTAACAAATATACTCATACTACTTACTAGTGGTAAGTAGTATAAATTTAAACGCAAAAAATAACAACAAAGGAGAAATAGGAAAGGAATTCATACTGTTAGTGATTCGAATTGGCAGTGAGTGAGTCTTCACTTTTATTCAACCCTCGCATTTTGGGTGGACCTAAGTACTTCAAGCTCTGAAGCTTCAGTAGCATTGTGGTGTTGATTTCATAGAATGGGGTTTTTAGGTTCATGCCCAGCGTTCTCTCTGTTATGAGCTTACTACGAATTAACAAACTAGGCGGTCTAACAGTTCATTGGCCGTTAATGGAGCCTGGACCAGGAGCGTAGATGACAACCAGTGACATACCATTATCACACATTCACTTTTTGATATGTTTTTTCTTATTCCCTTGCGTTCCCAGTGTGACATAAGGCTTGAAGTCAGAGATCTAGAGTTTCATTAGCAGTGGTTTTATTTTTACGGGGTGGGATTGCTAGTCCCACACCCAACTTGACCTCTTTGCCCAGTTTATCACCAGAAAACCAAGGTTTGGGGGTGAGTCGGCTGCGGACCGAACCCCAAACAACCTGAACGGCTGGCGGGCGTTCTACCCCGGCGCTACCGACTCATATTCGATACGTGTATGTTCACTTTTCTATATCACGCAAATATATATCTCGTCTTCAATCATTTCAGTTTGATGACTTGCCTTATTTCAGCTCACAATTCTTCCCTTTGCTAACTGCTTCTTTTTCCTGCTTTCCTCTTTTGCAGTAGCCTCAACCAATACACCATTAGATGACACAACAAATCCACAACTTCTACATTATTCCTACGATTTAGCCTATATTAATGGATTACCAGCGCATACTGGTGAACTTGGCGAGTCAGTTGTCTTCAATACAAAAGATGGAAAGTTATCAATAACTAATCCACACTATACAACAAAACCGCTGAAAATACGTTTTAATGCGATAGTAAAAGAAACTGAAGAAGCTGATGATGTGCCTACTAGTGATAAATTACCACAACTGAAAAGATATCGATCGGATTATTATCCGATAAATATTCAGCCGGTAGATGGAAGTGAGAAACCATCTTGGTCCGCACAACCTGTACCAGTATATGACAGTAAGTTGAATAAATAACTGCCAGCATGAATTCTAATATCACTTTAATATTATGCCAAATCCTGAAGGTTCCTGGTTCAGTTTCACAAAATGTCGACATGGTATTACTGATACTCGACAAACCTGACAGTATGCCGTAAAAATGGAGAAGATTTGTAGCTCAGTTGGATGATATTGAATTATTCATGTGTTGGTTTGCAGGGATTTGATTGATTGGTTACAGGATTTCATCATGAACTAACATAGGTTGGAGAACCACTGGAAAACCTGGAAGTATTGGACAGCTGTTTCATCCCAGTTTGGGACTCTTCATCACCACCAGGGTTCGAACCCAGGATCTTCTGGTTACAAGGCGAGTTCGTAGACCATTAAGCTGTCAATACGTACAAAAGCTTGAAGACTTACAAGTGAAAACCAGCAGGTTGGCAGAGTAGGCAACGACGACAACTATTCAGATGGACAGTAAGAAGACAGAGGTGATGAAAATACCCCATCGACTAACATCAAAGCACTAATTATCATCGGTGGGGAAAATTTAAAGTAAGCCTTCTGCTTCACTTCTCCCGACTTAGGTCGCATCTTTTCAACTACATGTGGGGTGGACGAAGATATCGAAGCCAGTTAGGATCGGGAGAGCATTGTAGGAGTTCACTACTCTGAAATCAGTGTAGAGACCAACAGCAGTTGACATAGGAAGCAAGATTCTAATGTTTAACACTACTGTTAAGTCAGCACTTCTGTATGTTTCCGAGATTTTGCACAGCCATCGCCAAAGGCATTTCTAACGGACTAAAGTAGATATTCACTAAAATCTGACTTAGGTGGCTTGATAATGAAGATAATTAACAAGGACCCCTGGCAGCGATGGATTCACTTGAGAACTGAGTGAGACTCTGAGACACAGAAGATTCGATTTAGTCGCTAACAAATTACTAGTCTGGCAGTCTACTCTCTGAGCGAAGAAACCCAACTACCACTCATTATTTCATTGCAATCACTATGGATAGTTCTGAGCTATCATGTAACTGATTTACACTTTACTGCCTGTGATTGGATAGACAGAAACTTAAAAACTTCATTATGGAACGTAAAATTATTTAGGAGGAGTTTCCAGCTTTAATTTCCCACTTTTTGGTGGTCATTATCAAGGCGTGCATAGACCTTGATGTTCTGGTAGCTACTTAAAAAGTCTGTTTCATCAAACCATAATTGTTTTTAGATACTATTTAGCTTGAAGAACCTAGAAATTTCAGTAAACATCAGGTTTGCGGTTGATTGGAAAATTGTTCGGATAACAATTTTTCACATATAAGTCGAACAGATAGATCACCGGTAACCATTGGAATGCAGTTGAGACTGTATCAGTAGGTTTTAGAAAACGACGAAGTAACAGAGGGTCTGAAGTGCTGCTAAATAGGTCAGAATACGGAACTGATACCAAGCATATATAGTTCCAAACTAACCAGCCTCGTAAATCACTGTCTTTGGAACAAATACTGACTTTTAACAAGGAATGACAATCATGTGCTGACAGGAACAGAAATTATCCCCCAAGAGATAAATTCAGACATGAATTAAGGTTAAGATGAAGTCTCCAACTTCGAATCCAATGGAAGGATACGAGTTAATTCAGGATTAGTGATACATCTCTTTGATCACTAATGACACTAAGAAAACCTAGATTCAGGTTTACTTGCCGATCCACTGCCCTACCCTGGTACTATACTCCATGTTACAGTACATAGCCCACATCTTGAAGTCGTTTCGCCACATGGAATAATTAAACTTCGTGTTTTCACCAAAAATGTATGGCGATCAACTAAGTTTATGAATTCCTGAAAAAACTACAAACTTTGACGTCATTCCATGATATATAGTTGAATTAGAAACATTGAACATTTGCTATCTGGTGATAATGACAACTGTCCCCTTCTTCTTAGAATAGCAGACAAACTATGAAACATACAAGTGATTTTTGGATCCATAAAGATTGAAAATAATCGTAGTGCTACTTGTGGTTCTACTGCATTATACCACCACACATTCAGAATAAAGCTATCATCCTTGTTATTATTTAGTGTATTTACTCTGCCTACTTATTTCTTATTTTAGTAAGCGGTCGATCGAATAAAGTTGAAATTGAAGGATTAGATGAAAATGGTAATGCAGCTGGAATACCAGGAGAAGATATGACACTGACCTGTGTAGTTTTAGGTAAGTTAATTCAACAGTGAATCCGTGTTTTTCCAATGAGCTTATTGTTTCGAACAGTCAGTCTCATTCATTCTGCCTTACCCAATCTTGTTTAAACTATTTGAATATGGTAAACTGGTTATATTTATTGAAGTAGAATGGAAAAACCTTGGAGTTGCCATTTTTCTACATGTATATATGAAGTACTAAAATACACTACATTGTGTGAAGAAAGATTTTTAGTGAATCAGTGTGTTACTGTAGAACCATTCCGATGAATTACTAATCTGGAAGTCAAATTACGGACTGCGTTTTTCCCCATTTTAGACTGGATGTACCTCCTCCTAATTGACGGTATTCCCACGGTGACCCTAGCCAAGCACACATCATTTCTAACTCCAAAGCGTTAGCCACTGAACGACTTCGGCACCACCTCTTCTACAGCAGGTGCCAGTTATTATTTGTTTCTCATTGAATTTCGACTTTGCTGTTGATTAATTCAGCCGAAATTTTCGACCTCTCTTGATATGTTGGCTTCTAGTACGAACGCTCCGACAATGTCTGAGGATTATTATAATAAGTTTCAGTGCCAATGCAGATGATGAGTCCTAAGCAGGACGAAACATGCATACTGGATTCCACTGTTAGCTACCATTATCTAAAATAATAATAATAATAATAGTAGCACGTTCTTCTTCTTCTGATGTCTATTTCCACAGATGATCTTGATTTAGAAGTTGATTTGAAGAGTACAAGTTACACTTGGCAGTTTATTGATGCTGAAGGTAATCCAGTCAATCCAAGTCGTATTGGTGAACAAGTTGAAATTAAAGATGGCAAATATTTAAATATTAAAGGATATCGTAAAACAATTGTACAAGATTATATTCGTGGCCGTTGTGTTATCATGGTGACAGTACCATTACCGATTGATGCTGAAGTCAGAGAAGATCTACCGCCGATTCAAGAGTATGGATCATCTTACTTTAGATTTACTAAAAAAGTGATCACTGATCAAGGTGAAACAACAGAAACTGCAGAAACTGCAGAAGAAAGCGAAAGATTTGAAGAAACAACGACACCAATGTCTGAAGTAACAGAAGGTGTTCAAGGTAATTACAAATTATTATTATATTTTAATTTGAATCTTTTCTGCTTATAATGTTGACTGTAATGCACACTTTTGTACACATACGGGACGTTATTTATTCAAAACGAATCTTCCTTTCTTGAAGTTTAGGCATCGATGCCTCTAAGACAACCGATGCCTCTCAAAACTCCATCGTACTCATCAAAATCTGATGACTGTGTTACACTGAAGACCAGTAAACTAATTTACATGATAGTAATGAGTCGGTGGCATAGCGATTAGGACGCTCGCCGACCATGCACATGGTCCAGGGTTCGATCCCCGGCCACCGACGCACTCCTTTATCTCGCTAAGCCAGAAGTAGTGCTGGTGAAGAGGGAAGGTTGGGCATGAGGCTAGCAACCCCATCCTGTAAAATAAACACTGCTACAGAAACTTCAAGCCACTAGCTTGAAGCCCTATGTTCCACTGGGGAACGTGAAGGTAAAAAAATGAGTCGATTAATTCGTCATGAGGTGATTCCAGCTAGTTGCTAGAAGAAAATTAATAATAATAGACGCTTGTTTCGCTTAAAACACTATGGACTAAACTAAAGCTCATTAATATAAGGGTAGAATAGTGGCATTGTGGTAAAATATAATACCATATTGAATAAATTTACTTGATATCACACACAGTGATGCAGCATTTATAGATGGATGACGCTTCAAGTAGAATTTATCAATCATAATTGTATCATTGTCTTCACATGGTTCCAAAATTCCCTTTATATATTTTTTCTCTTCCACTGGATATATATTGCAATTTACCATACATCACGTCATTTCGATTACGCGCATGTTTGGTATCGATTCGAATAACAAAAATTCGGTGACTAATCTATCTTTCATCATGTAATTATATTACTTTTCAATACCCTCACCTTGTGGCACCATATTAGGTAGGTGAATGTATTGCAGTTGTAGAGCTTTTTTATAGACTACTTCATTTAGCAGGGTCAATCATTCTAGGTCTGCCTAAATTTTTACGTTCCGATAATCGAACTGACTCCGATCTTCAAGTCTGACACATGTAACTGACCTCAGAGTACTATTGCTTTCTTTAATTCCGAGAGGAACATAGAGCTTCAGCCGCACGTCTTCATTGTGTTCGGTTCTCTGCCAACGTTTTCACCTGTCTCCATGTCTGCCCACGTGCTCTCATCTCCTCTTCGCATCACTTCCTCCATGTCACTCCACCCTCGCACTGACGACCAACTTGCCGCTTCCCACTCGGGTTCCATTCGAGCACTGGCCTGGCGTGTGATGTCACTCCCTTGATGGTTTGTTTTCTCAGAGTATGGCCAGCCAATCCACCTCCATTTCTCCCTGCAAATTTGTTGCACAACTGCTTCCTCCTGGGTCGGTTCACTCATTGCCAGAGATCCTTACCTGTTACTGATCTTTTCTGGCCAGCCATATGATCTTGCACGGAGTATTAAGCGGAGACAGCTATTGATGAAGGTCTGTAGTTTGTTCAAAGTGACTTTCGTGATGCGCCAAATCTCTGGTCCTTATAGTTGGACTGACTTCACGTTGGAGTTGAATATCCGGATCTTATTTTCCCTGCTGAGTGCTAAGGGTTGATCTCCACACAGACTTGAGAGAAATGAAAGCCTGCCTTGTTTTTCCGATCCTCACCTTGGTGATGTCCTCATCAGTCCCGTCCGCCTGTAGCTGAAACGATGCTTCCTAGATAGGTAGGTAGGTAAAGAAGGTCGCTTCTTTCAGACCTCAAAGTGATTACACGGTAATTGTTAAACTATACTATTTCACCTAATTGGATCTATCGGGTCCTTAAGCAGACAAAGTTTATCGTTTGGAGAGTTGGATGGTTGGCTCACACGCCACCCTGACTAATTCCAGCTTCAATAAGAATCCTACGTAAGGCCTCTGATGTTCCCTCTTCATACAGAAGTACTACAGAGGCTTAAACTTCTACATTATGTTTGTTATTTTCACAGCTATTTTCATTCCTATCAGTCCTGAATAAATTCTGGTGGGTAGTTATTCAACACTAATATTTTCCTAATTTATTTGGCTTCATAATTTAAATCTTCTGATATAATAGTTAGGCTTCTGCACCACTCTTATCGGCACTTAAGTGATTCTGGATCAGATGATTTGAGGCCTAAGTGTTCATTGAAAATACGGAGTGGTAAATCGGAAGGCGTTAGTGCGCTGAACTTGTTATTCACCATCTTACTAAATCTTAGTCAATTTCATCAGGAACCGCTTTAAACCAGGGTGCACTGAACAGCTATTTCATACCGATTTAGCGCCCTCATGAATGCAACAAGGATTGAAGTCAGCTTACGCAGACAACAGATCACCTACCAGCCGATGACCCATTTGGGGTGTGATGAACACTGAAGTCTATGTCATTCAATACCATTGTTCAGTATTTGTCCTTAGACTCAACTTGACGGTTGTTTGGTTGACTTCCAGGCAAATTTAGTCACAGGAAGACATCAGCTAGAGAACTACTAAAAACTGTAACGAAATGTACTCAACACTTATCAGCTTAGTGACTCCCTTTATAATATTTTGTAAAAGAAAAGATGTTCAGCGAAGAGTTACTCCTCTTCTCGACGATATCATTCTCAAGCTGTACAATCGCATATATATATATGTAGTAAATTGTCTTAGCACCAAAATGAATATTTTCAAAGATTTTTCATTATAATTGTAAGTTTTAGATAACAAATTCCGTTAATTGGTTAGAAAATGAAATAAGAATAAATAAGCAAGTTGAGTGACATAATCTAATTGACGGAGTTGAGTAGAGCTCAGCTAAAATTAAAACTGAACGAAAATCAAGTTTACAACAGCAGTAATAAGGGGTAGAGAGTTAATAAGGGGTGGGAGAGGAAAGTATCATATAATTTAGAAACCAACAAGCAAGAAAAAGACGAAACAAAATTTGCGTATTTGGTGTTAAGACAAGTCAGGTTCACTGTAAATCCAATGACTGAACGAACTACTTTTGTATGCAGAGTTCAGGTTTTAATATGTGAATTGCCATTGCTTCTGTGGTTTGACGAAGTTTGAGTCGTAGTCTTTTAGCAAAATTCCCACGTATTCTGTGATTGACTTTCAAGTTACTTTGTGGGTTCGCTTGGTGTTCCGATTTGATCGGATGTTCCAGAATAGAGCTTCGGGAGGGGGACCTATTTTATCCTTTATGAAACCCAGCTTTTGCTATCCAAACGTATTATTGAACACTTACTCTTATGGTTTTATAAAAGAGAAAAAGTATTTTAGCTAAGTTCTACTCAACCCCCTCAAGTGGATCAAGTGACTCAACTTGCTTATTTAATCTTACTTTAGTTTCTAACCAATTAACGAAATCTGTTATCTAAAATTTACAATTCTAATGAGAAATCTTTGAAAATACTCACTTTGTTGCTAAGACAATTTACTACATATATATATATATGCTATTGTACAGCTTAAGAACAATATCGCCGAAAAGTGTAACTCTTGACGGAACGTCTTTTCTTTATTAAAACATTGCGTACTGCATAACATTTTATTCCTTATTGTACATGATACATGGTGTACAAAGTAGCAGCTCTCTTCATATAACTATCCTATTCTATAGTATTGTAACTCTATCACATCTGATTATGTGTTTGTGTGTCAGTAAATGCATAACAATAGCTGAGTACTTATTTCCCTTCTGCAGTACACATATATACACCCTGACAGCATACATCGCCACACTTCATTACTATGCATATTTCTGTTTACAAAAACTACCCGTATAAATGAACTGTAGTGAAATCATACTACAATTAATAAGCATCTATTGTCATTCATCATCTACCAAAAAGCAGAAAAAAGGCAGAAGAAAAGAAGAAGGAGGGAGAAGGAGACAGTGAGTGAAGAGAACCTCTATAAGATGGAACAGATTAGTTCCTCCCATTCTTATCATCTTTTAATAAATATTTAATTAATGTTTCTATTCTTAACTTTAGACATCTTAATAGGCAGAACAAAGATAGTCAATTATCTGTCATCTCCATAGGAAACAGACGTATTTAACTAAGTCTAATAATCACAATCGCAATACTAATACTACTACTACTAATAATAATAATAATAATAATGATTAGGGAAATACGTTAATTGTAAAGACGCCGTCTAGAAAAGGGTTGACATTTCAGTTATTTATAAATAGACAGTCAAATTCATTTAGCAAATGAGTACTATTGAATAATTGCATTTCAGTTCTTATAACCTTCATTTCATTATTGTATTTCAGGAATTCTTAGAATGGGTGTTCCATCTTCCTTGAAATTAGTCTACTTAGAAATACATAATGTCAGATAAAGGATCCTATGGTGCTCATTGGACAAAATAATTTAGTTTGTCTAATACCCTACTGCAGTGATTGCCAGGTCAAATACATGGGTCAGAGTAGTAGACCAGGCTCAGTCAGACTAGCGAAACATAAAAGCCGCGCAATATCTAGATTAATTGATCCTGATAAGATAAGAAACCTGGAGACTAACTTAGCTGAAGCGCTATGTGTAATTACCTAGATCCATACAAATATGTAAGCGAAAATCGTGATGGGCTTATTGGGCAAACGTTGAGAAGGCTGTCGAGTGACATACCGCTCAAAGCAGGTCATTGCTCGATTGGAATCACAATGGGAAGCGACGAGTGGGTCGTCGGTGCGAGGATGCAATGGAGGAGATTGTGTGATTTTGAGGAGATGAGGGATTATGGTCAATCGTGCACCCAGATGAGGAGGACAGGAGAGAATAGAAGGAAGTGGAGATGTCTTGTTGAAGTCAGCCCTAGGTTCCACTCGGAACCCAAGGGAATAATAATAATAATCCCACTTACTTCCACCTAAGCAACTGGGTCGCATCACGCGATAGGTGTAAATAAGGCTGGTACATGAAAGATCTGTTTCGAGTAACTGAGTTCAACTGAAACCGTTTAATGATGATTGATGCTTTCTGTTGTTGCTGTTGGTAGGTTATCTTCATCACCCCAGTCTTCTCTAATGTTCACTTGTAGTCTTATCTCCTCTAGCTGCTTCTTCAGCCAGGTTTTGGTTTTCGCCTGCAAGTCCTCGAGTTTGTGTGACATAAAACAAATGTCATCTACGAAACGCATATCTTCCAGAGTCTTCTTATCAGTATTTCAGAGTATTCCTGTCTTCTTACTCCCATGCACAGTCTGACGCATAATCCAATCCACCACATTTAGAAGTATCATCGCTGATAATAGGCAGACAGGCTTCTTTTATTCCTGTTATCACTTCGAACGCCTCACTGAGTTTTCAGTTGCGGATCACCTGACACGTGGTATTGTCATATAGCTGTTGAGTGGGGAAATTAGGTGGGATGGGACTTTAAACCTTTACCCTTTGGTTCGGAAACTGGTGGTCAGACCAGCAAACCATATTTCGTGTTATTCTTTAGGAATCAGTCATCAGAAACACCCTTGCCATAGGTCTTTGCTCATAAGTAAAGGTACCTTTGCTATCTCATAGATATTCATATTTAATTCTGTGTCCACAGACTAATGGTAGTAGGGTAGGTTTAAGTTGGAAGGGAAACATGAAGACAGAAGATACTGCATAAATGATGAGCATTAGTAATGAAGGTGCGTCTGTGGCGTAGAGGTAGAATGCTCGCAAGCAACTCAGGTTGTCTGAGGTTCGATCCCGGCTGACGCACTCCCAAATCTCACTTAGTTGGTAATAAGTCCGGTAAAGAGGGAAGGTTGAGCGTGAGACTATCAGTCACACCCCACAGAAATAAAACCACTGGTAGCAAAACTTCAAAGCTCTAGATTGAAGCCCTATGTTCCACTGGGAATTCAAAGGAATAAAATAATAGACAACAATAATAACAATTAGTAATGAAGGTTTATCCTCCTTGGAAAGCTAGTGGGAGATTAGATGTAAGCTGAACGAAGAGAAAGGATAGTGTATATTTTTGTAAAGGTATTGGATGATTATAATATTTCGGGTAGTTAAAAAGACCTTAACTCACGTCAGTAAATAGTGCGATAGAAGCAGTTTCCAAAGATAAGAAGTTACATAATACATGAAGACACCATGTAAGTGAGGATTAAATGTTTGATAAGGTCAACAGTTTTGTTAGATGAGTGTCTGCTTGACAAGCGTGAAGATGGTGCGAAAACAAAATGAATGACTAGAGAAATATTCAGTGTTAAAATGAAAGACTGAACAAACTTATTGCTCCTAACCGTACAGAGGATATGAAGACGACACGACAATACAGACCAAGAATTCCAGCCTCATATTATCAATTAGCTGCTGAATTTTCTTAATTTTAATTTATTTTTCAAAATTTTAGATCTTAATTTCTACTTAAAGATTGGCTCATCAACAAATGATATCTATCCAGTGGAGAAATCAAAGCAAACTCTTCTAGCACGTGTTCAAAGACCACTAGAGGTAAATTAATTCGGTTTTTCTTCTCTACCATAGTGTGTATTTACAGTTGCATTTTGTTACTGAATGAATAATGAATGTTATAGGCTAAGTTAAATAACTGTGATCCTTTCACGAATGATCTTGGATCAGTCGATCACATGGTGCCTGGATAATGATGAAGTCATAACCGAAATTGTTTTTCAAAAGAAAAGTTACTGAAGAAAGAATATTCTTTTCAATACCTTTATCACCAGGTTATCCGGTAAATATCCATCTATAATAGTGAATGAGTGAATTAGTGCTATTAACAACAACATTAATGTTTAAATAACATCGAATCAGTAGTAATAATAATATCAATGGATTACAGTTCAATAGCATCAGCATAACAATACACACTGAATATCAGACAGACAAATTAGGAAAGATAGTAATAATACAATGAATTCATGAATTTATAGTCTCCACTGAAGGCCCACCAGAGCAGGGCAGTAGTAGTGGCTGGCTGAACCTGCTTCTTCTTCACACAAAGCACCAGTTGTTTCAGGAGAATCGTGATGTTTTTGGCAATTTATTTGGTACCTGGTAGATGATAGAGAAGGATTCATCAATGCTGGCTTTGTGGCCGGTTTGGACCAGGTTCTCTAATAGTGAACTGTTGATGGTTCTTGAATTTGTATTATTATTATGATCTTTTCTAGCTTTTTTCTTGATATCAGTGTATCCTTAGGCTGATATCATTATTATTATTGTTGATTCAATATTAATTTAAACAACATTAATGTTGGTAATAACACTAATTCATTCACTATTATGGATGGATATGAAACTGTAGAACCTGACGAAGATCAAGTTATTGAAAATGTGAATACTTTTTGTTCAGTAATCAGTCTTTTCAAAATTTTAATGGGCATTTTTAATCAATTAGAATTCGAACAAAGCAAGAACAAAAATTGTACCAGGATAATATGAGCTCATCTTTTATTATTTCGAGGATTCTTCTCAACTGGTTACAACCTAAACGATGAAAAATATGAATTACATTACATTAAAGATTCGAACATAATTTTTCACGATCACAAGGAGTAATTGGTAGGAAGTAAAAGTAACATTAGTCCGGAATGATTTAACTAATTAAGAGTTACAAACACTGACTATTTATAGAATAATTCAAATGAACTGTGATCAATATTTGACAGTTTATAAATAATTATAGAATAATTAGGCAATTAGGCTTGGAAACAAAAACAAGCTGTTGTATATTTTTTTGTTGTCACCAGGGCAGTGCAAGATTCACCACTGTCTCTTTCTGCGTACATAGATTTGGTTTAAGTCGTCTGATAGCAATTGCTTCAGCAAAGCGTAGCAAGTTAGGTTTCTTTTGCTTGTTGATTATTTTGAATGACTTCAAGTTGTCTACATTATGACCAGTGTCTAATAGATGACACGCAATTGCACTGTTTAATACTTGTGGACCTTCCAGTCTCAGGTTCTTTGGTATGTGTTCAGAAATGCGGACAATAACCCTTCTCTCTGTTCTTCCGATGTATGTGCTTTGGCACGTATATGTAAATTGGTAGACACAGTTGGAGGTAACATGAGGTGGGTATTTGTCCACTTTTGATTGTCTCAAACAACTAGTTGTTTGATAAACACATACAAGCTTGGCGGCTGGATATGTTCTTTTCAGGGCAGCGTTCAGTCTGCATCTTGTTCTACTGGCAGTATCATCACCTTTGAATGCAAGCTGCAGAAAGATAGGCTTTTTCCCTACTGTGCTGATTTTCACTTTTTCAACATGACCTCTCCCATACTTGTCAATGAACTTTTGTGGGTAACCGTTGTCGCGTAGGCATTTCTCCACAATGGACAGCTCAATTAGAATTCGTTTTTATTCGTTACATTCCAAGTGGCACACTTGGGATTCAAGGTCTGAGCTTTGACGTTTCCTTAACATTGATGTTAATTTCTTGCAGGATGTGGTTATTAGTCTCCTGCCCAAACTTCTCCTTCTTCCGGGTTTCCTATAGACTAAGTGAAGTTTAGGATTGCGTTGGCTGAGAATCAAACCCTTGGCCACATGCATGGCTGGCGCACATTCTACTAGTGAACCACGGAGACACATTTATAATCGATAAGTCAGTCTTATGAATATTAATAATGGACGCTATTCAGTATTTAGTGAAAGGCTATCAGTCGTAAAGTGCCCTGACAGATAATTTCAAGTCCCGATTTTAAACTAATTCGTAACCCAAAAATTCAGCTCCTTACAATAAATGACAATTATTTGGATGGATATTGACGTGCCTTACAGTAAGTGGGAAGTATTCTTGTGGCATATGAGAAAAAAAGTTTAATGTTTCACATACTTACAGTTCTGTGTACAATTTTTCAAGAGCATTAGACTGATATACTGTGACTGACTTCTTCAGGACCGTTCATGCACAGGTTCTTCTTGAATCACCGTTGAACAACTTCACCTTGTAGACGTCAAGGTTAAGTTATTCTTTCAACAAAATTTAGCACAGTTGTGGGTTTTAACTGATAACAGATACTGTCTAGAGTATGTCAGAAATTTTCAAAAGAATGGATACTGCACAAAGAGTACTCTTTTCGATAACTTCATCATCAGGCTCTACATTTATATATACATTTTAGTGAATGAATGAGTTAGTGTTATCAACAACATTAATGTTGTTTAAATAACATCCACCTGAAACCAATCTGGAAATCTTCCGCTGTCACTCAGCATCAACAACAAAATTCGGATTTTCAATACAAACGTCAAGTCAGTCAGTTCTTCTATACGGATGGATCAGAAACTTGGGTCACCAAGAATATTTCCAACAGCCTGTTGCACACCTTTATCAACAGCTGTCTTCGTTTTATACTGAAGATCAGATGGCCGGAAAGAATCACCAACAAGAAACTGTGAGAATAAACAAAACAAGAACCAACCGCCCAACAAATATGCAGGAGAAAGTAGAGATGGATTGGACACTCGCTGAGGAGGCCGCTGGGTGACATGGCGCGTCAGGCCATAGCTCGAGTGGAACCCGAAAGGGAAGCGGCGAGTGGGACGTCAGTGCAAAGGTGACATGGAGGAGATCGTGTGAAGAGGAGTTGAAACAGTATGGACTAACATGGATGCAAGTGAAGAGTACAGCAGAAGACAGAAGCAAGTGGAGGCGTGCAGCTGAAGCCCTATGTTCCACTAGGAACCAAAGAGAACAATAATAATATTAAATAACATCGAATCAATAATATCAATGGATTACTGTTCAGTAGCATCAACATAACAATAAACTGGATGTCAGAAAAATTACGAAAGATAATATTACAAATTCATGAATTTATAGTCTCTACTGAAGGCCGGCCAGGGCAGTAGAAGTGTCTGGTTGGACTCGCTTCTTTTGCATACAAAGCACTGGTTGTTTCACGCGAATTGCAATAGCCTCAGCTGTTTGGAGCATGAGGTACTTCTATGTTTTTGGCAATTTATTTGGCACCCGGCAGATGATAGAGAAGGATTCTTCAATGCTGTCTGGCTTTGTGGCCTGGTTTGGACCAGATAGTCTAATATTGAACTGTTGATGGTTTTCACTACACCTTTACTTAGCCATACTGGAAGGTGTTCTCGAGTGAGCACGAAAAATCAAGTTCCTAGAGAAACGGCCAATATAACTCGCTTCACCACAAGCGCAGTTGAATTGGTAGATACAATTAGAAGTGGCTAACTAGTCTACGTACTTCATCTTTCAGTCGAGGTAGCACCATTGGTCGTGTAGAGAATAAGACGTGTTGTTCACCAGCATTAAAAGTTCTTTGAACTGATCTTCTTAACTTCTTCGTAATTATCTCACTTGGTTTATCGCCTTTGAATTATAGTCGCATATAAAGTGGCTTCTTGTTTACGGATAGTGAGTAGTCCTTTACCGCTTTCTTTGTCATGTGTTTCTTGATAAACTTGTCGGGATAGCTATTTTCCATCAAAGTATCATATACAATGCTCAATTCATCTTCAATTACTTCCTCTGAGCATGTAGCTCTAACTCTGTGGCTGAGGGTCTTCACTAAGTTTCTTTTGTACTTGAGAGGAACGAAGCTGGGAAAATATGTATATTTTCCTGTCCAAATACTTTTTCTATGCAAATTTCTTTTTATGTTACCATCTGGTTTTCTTGTAAGTGGGACATCCAGGAAGGCAATTCTGTTTTAGGATTCCTCTTCGAGCGTGAATTTCATAGCCAAATGTACTTCAGAAATGTTTACTAGAAGAAGCCCTATCTCAGATACAAAATGACAATCTATAAAACCTGTCCATCTAACTTTTCAATGCCTTTTCAGTTTAACTGTGCACAAATAGGTTTCCTATATGTATTTTACTATCTACCAAAGATTAAGCTTTAAAAGTTTTGTCTTTCTCAGGGTAATGGTATGGTTTCAAGTTTATAATAATTGTTTTAACACTTAAAGAACTTCTCTACAGTCAAATGCTACTTGACTGCGGGATAATTATATCGAAGTCTCAATTTAATTCGATATTTACACAGAAAAACAGTTTGAGCGAAGAAATATGCGTTCCTCATCATCGCCTTGCTGGCTGGTTCTACACTAATATGTAGTTTCTTGCATCAAAATGTTTGCCAATTAAGTGGTTATTTTAGTTAATCAATTTTAGATATAGGCGGGAAGAGTGAATTTAAGAGGTTAAAAGACATCACAACACTCAGCTTATAGGTGTTAGTAACAAGATATCTAAGTTTTGAAGGAGGTGTGAAAATTAATTACGGAATTCAAAATAAGTTAATTCATAGGCGTTAGCAGCGAGTTATTACATAATCAAGAAATTTGTAAAATTGCAATGATGACTAAGAAGAATAGGATGACTCAGAAGAATAGATACAAGTTTGGCTTGTTCGGATGAATTCCGATTGCCTCTGCAGTATGTAAAAGTCCTCCTCGTAGATCGTGCAAGTTGGGTTGGCTGATATACGATAAATAACTTTAGAAGCTTTAAA